AATAAATCGTATAAAATTATACCAAACTCCATTTCCGAAATACAGAGCAGCAGAACGATGCCATCGACGAACTCTTCGCGTCGAGATATTGCCATAAACGTTGTCGACGTCTTTTTCTCCACCCCGGACGATCGCCTTCATTTCTTCTTTAGAATTTAGCTAAAAAAGTGCCGGGGAAGTATATAAATAACGACGAACCGCTCAGCGTCAATCTAGAAGCATTGACCGAGAAGAATCATCGTCGTTTTGTCGCGTCGGGTCGTCAGTGGATCGATTGAAAATTGTCTCATTGTCTTTTCTGATCTAAAAGGATGTTTTTAAAAGAAATCACCTCATTGATTTCTTCTCTTCTGATTCTTTCATAAAGAACGTCTTCTATGCCAGTCGGATGAACGACTCCAATGATGATGATGGCCTAAAAACACAATTTTTCACGAAAACATGGTGAAAACAACCTGCTCAGTTCGTATTTCCCGTGAAGACGTTAATTCTGTCTTCTTTCTCATTTCTTCCTTCAACCACCAGTGAGGTGCCGCTCCTCCTCTATCTCCATTAACTAGCCGAACCATTTCCAAGGCCATCGTTTCCCATATGTCGCCTTTACAACGAATTGCACCCTAAAAAACGTAACAATTTAAGAATTACCGTGCCCTTTCCATTCTCTGGCTTTTAACTGCCTTGAACACATCAATTCTGTCGTGAATTTCACAACATCAGCTTCTTTCCACCGTCGAGCTGCGTACTATCTGAAAAAGAATAACGGATTCTTCATTTTTTCGCGAGCCGTATCTCCTTTTGAAGTTGCGTACAACCTGAAAAAGTAGAATTAAGTGAAGAAGAAAGATGTTAACCTAAAATCAAGCAGAATCGTCGGCGTCGCAATGACTTTCATTGCTCCTTTTGTTGCGTTGCCGTAGCGCAGCTGCATGGACACCTAAAATACGTTCCGATGTTATAATTACCTTATTCTCAATTTGTCTTCTTTCTTCTTCCTTTACTGCATAGATTGCGTGCATTTGCCAAGGCCGGAGTATTTCAGCAGCAGAGTGCCGGAAAAAGCTGAAAAATGAAAAATAAAGCCCAAAACAGGTCTAAACATCCAGCCGTGCGTCGATCGGGCATTGCCAGGGCCAGTTTACCTGCAAGTTCTAGCTTCTTGCTCTTTTTCCTCGCCAAAATCGCCAGTGAAACAATCCTCATCGCCATCCCATCATTTTTTGGCGCCATTTGCACCTAAAAGAAGCTATTTTAATAAATTACCTGTATATCCTCTATTCCGCTTGTTTCTTCTATCTTGCAATCATCAATTCCGTGCTGAACGTTACGAAATCGACTTCTTGCCCCGCCAATGATTAGCATTTGCTCATCTTCTAGCGGCCATTGAGGACGATCGTAGCGCAATTTGACCCGAATTCGTATCTAAAGGGAACCGGGGGAAGTGGATCGTTCGAGACTAACCGCAAAAACACTGCTGTCAGAAGTGATAGAAGAGGAACAGCCTCTTTTTGTCCTCAACACAGTCTCCATCAGGTCACCGCAGCGATTTTCAGCCTGAAAAATCGATTTTTGGAAGGAAAATGTGCACAATCATGCGTTGGTTGTGACCAGCGAGCGGGGGCAAGACATCATCCAATTCGGTGAATGTTGTAGAACGTCCATTCCAGCAGTTCTTGCACGATGTCCATCCCGAAACGTATCTAAAATGCCGGGGAAGTAGATAAAATATGACTAACCGCTAAGAAACAAATAGAACCATAGGTGGAATGGGGGCCGCGCAGGTAGTCGATTCCGTTGAACCGCTGTTTCCTAGAAATGAAACTATAGTACATGAAAATAGAAACGAAGCTACGAAACTCAAAACAATTTTGAAAGGCGAATGAAAAGCTTCAATAGATCTACCAGAAATTTATTCGTTTTCTTGTCCGATGGGCTCCAAATTACGGTATAGTATCGTCACGTAATTTCCCCCATTCTTTTTAGTTATATTGATTTGGGAGAAAAATAGTAATAAATTAGGTACAACTACTAGTTATAATAATATTTTAGCTGCTTTAACTCGGCGGCGCCTTCGCTATCGGTCATTTCAAGGTTTTTCAGCTCTATGGCTCGGCCCCTGCTTTTTTCTCTCACTGAAAGGCCCCATTGTTTTTGCTCTCCTTTCTCTGCTTTCCTTTTTTCCATTTCTTGCTGCTTTTTGCAAAATTTGTCAAAGCAATATTCCTTTTTTTCAGGTAACCCGCAAGATCGTGGATGAATGGAACGACCGAAGCAAAGGATGCGCAAAAAGGTCATGTTTTTTTTCAATTTCTTTTCGCATTTTTTAGGAAAATCGCGATGAACGACGTCGGCGACGGTGATCTTCAGGAAGAGGAAGCTCTGCTGCTGTTGGATAGCGGTTAGTGATCGGACCGTCTACTTCTCCGTCCTTTTTTAGATTTCTCCTTTCGGTGGATAACGACAAGAAGGGAGAGAAGCTGAGCCCATTTCTACCAAGGTTCAAGCAGCAACCAAATGGAAACCCCCAGGGGAAAGGTAACGACTCCATCATAGAATCGTCTTGTCCTTAATCCTCGTTTTCCCCTTTTTTTGCTTCAAATTTAGCACTATTTTTATACCAAAAACTTCATTACAAAATAAAAGAAGTTCCGACATTCCGAAACACTCCTATGTCGTAATTGGTGTCTACCGGACTCGAAACATGATCTCTGATTTAAGTTTTGCAATTCCCCCGAATCGTTTCTCTCTTTATTCACTATATTTTCTATTATAGGCCGGATGGGGATGCGCGATAAGTCGAGGACCAGGACAAGGCGGCGCTCGACTTCCTAGTCTTCGTCTTTTTGTGTTGTACGGTTAGTCGTTGACGAGTTACTCCTCCGCCGATTCTTTTTCAGGTACCAAGCGAATGAAAATGGCGTCAACAGAGCTCAGGCGACTGTGAAGGCTGGAATGCGGCACTGACAACATGGACAAGCTGTGGCAGTAGCTCAAACCGGCGATGATCGAAACTTTATTCTGGTTTCAGTTAGGTTTTCATAGTTTATTTTAGAAACGAATATGCGAAGATTCGATAAAAGCTATGAGAGAGCCTTGTAGAGCGGCGTGAACGCAGAGACGCTGCTCTCGTGCAGATGCGACTATGGGCAATATGGAAAATGTTACAGATCGCGCAATTTGAACGTAAATATTTTCTATGTCAATAGTTTTATAGATTTCGAGTATTCCGGCTGCTTTCTTTCGAGTTGGTTCGCCTTTTAAGTCTCTAAGTTTTCTTTTTTTTTTGTTCACTGGCTCTATTTCACTGCTTCTACTCGATTTCGCCAAATAATTAATAGGCGTCTAACGGGGGCTTACTTTTGTGGACGCAATTTTGGCACCTAGCAGAGTTATATTTGCGAATTCCTTCCGGTTTCCGGGACTAGTTTTTGTCTGTTGCGCAAACACCCGAATTTTTGCAAAGTATCCCATGAAATATGCGCGATTGTCTGCCCCCTTATCACAATCCACTTTTCTAAGAATTTGGCCTAGAGGCTTCTCAATTATTTGCTGATTGAGGCGCTGCAAATCTTACAAATTTTAGGCATGGTGATTGAGCGTTTGCTGACATGTCTCCCAACACCTTCAATGCAGTTTCGCGGTTAGTCGTTGAACACAGTACTTCCCCGGCATGTTTTTTAGATAGACGAGCGGATGGTGATGTGCCAAGGAACGCCCGGGCTGGACAAGAACACGACGGAATTGGTGCTATCAAGGCCTGGCAATGACGCGCGATATTATGAAGCAAGAACACAAAGAACTATCAAAGAGGAATAGCATCTTGAGGAGGTAGATTATATCCAATTTTTTTAAGAATAGAGCAATGCGCGAAAGAAGGCCTCGCTCGACCTCGATTGTCCTCGGCGGCTGTTTTAAGAAAAAACTGGGATGACGATGCTTGCAAAAGCTTGAAACATCGCTGCAGCAACGATTGGAAATGAAAGAAAATGGAAGAAGATTGGATTTGGAAAGAAACGAACATTGAAAGGTTATTTAACCGTAAAAACTTAAATGATACTATCTATCGATGATGGGCCTCGTCTACCAAATATCACAGCCGCTTAATTTCGTTGATGCCGCAAATTTTAGGATATATTTTCCTTAATTTTAGGGCGAAACTCTTAGCCGGGAGCGCGACTTTTTCAGCTGAAGTTTCTTTAACTTCTTAATTCTTTAGGATAATAGGAAATAGGATAAGACGGGCATAGGCGCTGGTTACATTCATTAAAACTAATATTTTAGGTTAAATTTAATTTGGTGATTCGAAAAGATGGAAACTAGACCGTCGCGTGCTGCCGTAGTCGTTGCGGAAAGGGCGAGAGTGGCAGAAGTGGCGACACGTCGTCCTACTGAGGCACGAGCAGCGCCACGAGCAGCGGCTTTCTTCCCCGGCTCGTCATCAGCCTTCAGATCGGAGTGGAGCCACGTTGGAAAAAGAAAAAAATTTTAGCTACGTACTAATTACATTTTAAAAACGATTTCAGTGGAAAACTTTCCTTCAAGGTGAGTGGATCGGCAGAAAGGAGAGTTGTGGATACGGGTGGCGCTTTTCGGGGGCACATCGTCGTCGCGCAGCGGCGGTTCTTGTCTGTTAGCGGGGAGGCAACCACTTTTTGTTTTCCACGTAACCTACTCAAAGATGTTAAATGTATTTTTTTATAGGGCTCATAGTAGTTTTTATTGCTAGAAGTTGTCGAAAATATTTTTTAATTTTGGAAAATTTCGATTTTTCGACAAATTTCGGGAAAATTTTTAGTTTTTAACATTATTTTTCTATCTAAAAACCATGTAAACTTATTTAGTTTAACTTACTTTTAGTCCTACTAACTTCAAAATAAGTCTCACTCGACCGTCGCGAGCTGCCGTAATCGTTGTAGATGCAGAAATGGCGACGTGTCGTCACGACCGACTGGCACCAGCGGCTCGCTCAGCGCCGCGTCATCAGCACATGCCGAACGTCTTCAAGCCGGCGCTTCCGATTCTAAAAAAGGTCATATTGGAATATTGAATTTGCATAGCATTCTTTACATCTAGCCATATTTGCATAAATATTTACCCTTTGATTCATCGATGCAGCGGGGAGCGGAAGCCGGGTTAACCGCATGACGGGTCGTCGGGCGAGGAGAATGAAATGGCCTCAGCGATTTAGAGCAAATCGGCCGACCCGGAACTTCCGGTTAATGCTAATTTATTCGCGTTGCAAATTAGCCTCTAGCTTAGGTTTAAGCGTTTTGAGACCCGTTTCTTGAACCCGTCGTGTTGACGACACGCAACGTGTTCCGGCACACTTCGCGCACAATCAGCATCAAGACTTGAAGAAAATCCATCTGAAAACAGCGAGATACCATCTAGTATCCGAATTCCGTTGATAAGTTTTGTCAAATTTATTCCAACGAGGTTAGTAAGGCACCCGTAAAAAGAGAAACATAAATTAAAAATGACAAATGTGTCCGATTTATCACTTTTGACGGTGGAAGCCGGGTGCACATCTCGAAGAAGGGCAGCGTGCAGCTGCGTCGCCGAGACGTCATCCTGAACTGAGAAAATAAAAAGAATACAGCTGCTATACCTGCAACTGCATCAGGTTTGTCTCCTCAAAGGCGCCCATCGAGTCGAAGGTTGGGGCTAAACACGGAATATTGAGAATTGAGGTAATTTCATACCCTTCGATTGATAAACAGCCGGCAGCCATATTGACGACTGATGCCGAGCATCGAGGTGTCGACGTACCTAAAATTTCAGACGAGAGAAAACTTACTCGATTCATTCCTTTGTTGGCCTCGCTGAGCGCTAGTCACGCCGATACTTCCCGTTTCTTGCTTTCTTTCAAACAACCGTTTAAAAAACAAACGTGGCAACACGTTTCTACGTTGATGTGTAATCTCGCCCTAAAGAAGAAGTCCTTGAAGATAATAGTCCGTAGACCAGGCGCGTAGAAGGGGGGGGGGGGCAGTGGGCAGGCTTTTATTACTTTTTCTTCATTTTTTTTAGCGTTGCTATTTTAGCGAAATTTTTCGCCTGCGGCGCTCAAATTTCTAGAAATTTTTCTTGCTGCCCCCCCCCCCCGGCCCCGACTAACGTCGAAAAAGATGCATCACTGAATTTTCAGTTACCTTCAACTTTGGTTTAATTGTGTGGAATTTCATCAATCACAAGATCATTTGGCACCTTGTTAAACAAACAGACCCCGGGTGCAGAGAGCTCTTACCCGTCAACTCTTCAAGCTACCAAACAGCGCAACTCAATCTGCCGCAATAATGCTAGTATCCATGATTTTCATATTTCCTATATGTTATACAGCCTCTAAAGCCCAGGGTAACTGAATTTTATTTGTTTAAATGATGTTTAGAATGCCTCCCCGAATGCCATTTCCTAAGGTCTGATCCCCAGATAGTACCTACAACATATCGAAATTGTTCCTGTAAGGTACAACCGGAAGTTGAGGAGCAATTTGAATGTCATCCAGAATTCAGGACCTTGAAGGTTACTTTGTTTTGACGATCTAAATTGGGTTTTTTTAGTTCAGAAATCAGACAACTGGAACTGTTGCGCTACAAAAAGCTGTTGTTGTACAATGTATCGGCCCGGAAAATCAGAAAACTAATATTGAACAGCCAGAATTTGAAGCGGAAGAAAAGAAATTTCTTAAAAAGCTTGCCAGTCTGGATCGCATGACTAATTTTGAGAGAAAATACTCCAGTTGGGTAGGTTTTGTAGATTTATCTAGTTTTTAGACTATTTTTAGGCCTTTGGCTACCGGACAAATCTAATGAATTTTTATGGAGCTGATGATCGACAGCTGCGATTTGGAAAGTGATACTGTTATATTTTATATTGTATTTCAAGCTTTATTTCTATAATAAATTTATTCGTCTTAGAAAAAAATTAAAACGTATTATAAGAGCACTGGGATTCGTGTGTTGCCCGTAAGAACTATCGGTAAAGCAAGATAATTTTGGGGTCGTTTGTATCGCACAATATCAATTAAAAATCGAATTATATCGCGGCAAAGCTCAGAAAATTTGAATCCTATGATTTTCGCGGTCGCTGACAACAATCGAATCATTTAGTAGACAAACGTCTTCGGCTCCCTGAAAATTGAGGATCCCGTCACTGAATTTTCAGTTATCCCCGAAAGGTTACTGAATCTTCATTTACCTTCAACTGCCCAGCTCCAGCTCCCCAGGTTCCAAATGAAGCCAAGAAATCTCCTTCGGTTGTAAATACCTAAAACAGATCACAGTTTGTCATTCCAGACTATCGAAAATTACCTGGACTCGATTATTGCCCGAATCAACAACAATAACACTTCCTTGGTTGTCGATAGCAATTCCGCGCGGCGATTTGAATTGGCCGCCCTATAGGAAAAGAGGTTGTCTGACAAATAAGCAAATTCACCTGGAATCCCTCCTGACCAAAGGAAAACAGGAATTTGCCTTGCATGTCGTAGGTGTTGATGCGGTGGTTCCCAGAATCGGTGATGTACACCTAAAATTACGAGTCCTTAGAGAAAAGGAGGGTCCTTACAGTATGATTAATTCTGCATACAGCGACAAAAAGGGGGCAGTTGAGCTGTCCGTCAGCCGATCCATAGGTGCCGAACTTGCCGACAAAGACGCCATTTTTATCGAACATTTGGACTCGATGGTTGTCCTGGAAAAAAGGTCACGGTATTCTAAAGGTGTTGAGACAGGTATCTCGGGGATATTAATTGCAGGTAGACATTTAAGAGGTGTCAGTATAAAGTTTCCGATTAAAACCAACCTTATCACAAACATAAATCGTTCCTAAATCATCCACAGCCACTCCCCATGGGTTATTGAATCTTCCATTAGCAGGTCCATGCCCTCCCCATTGTCTTTCCATTCTTCCTTCCGAATCAAAGACACAAATTCGATGATTATATCTATCGGATACAATTAATTGTCTTCCTCTTCCACTAGCAATTCCAGCACATGAATCTAATTGTCCAGCAGCTGTTCCATATCCTCCAAAACTCTTCAATGGTTCTCCAGATTGAGTATATATACAAATACGATGATTTGAAGAATCACAAATGGCAATCTGTCCTCCAGGTAGAGTTGTCACTCCTCTCGGCCAATTTAATTCTCCTTCTCCACCTCCTTTTCTTCCGAAAATAGTCTTCGGTCTTCCTCCCCTTGATCTCCATCCTCTTGCCTCACTTGTTGTACTCCTCCCATTTGTTGATCTCGTTCTCGATCGATATTGAGCGCCAGCTGTTGCTCCTCCGATATTCTTTCCATCTTCCTCTTCTTGAGCATCTAAATGTAGATGCTCATTATTATTATTATTATTAGAAGTTGGTGCTCCTCCTCCTCCCCTCTCAGCCAATAATTGTTGTACTCTACTAGATGTAAATTGGGAATATAAATCAGGATTAGTTCTAGATCTTTGTTGTCTTGCTCTTCTTCTTGTTAACCATGATGGAATATCTGTGGATAGATTACAATCAATTATCTCACCTGGATAATGTGTGATAGGTATTGGGGTTTCTCTTTCTTCTAGAGATTCTTGTCTATTAACTGATGATGCTCGCACACGAAGACGTAATCGAGCAGTTCGGGGTCGATCCTCATCCTCAGACTCCTTATCGGTCGATTGTTGCTGCTCAGCGATCAAAAGCGACGTGGGGCGTGAATTTCTTCGAACTGGAGCATGAACTTGAGTCTGAGCATGAACTTGAAGCTCGGGCTCATCTTGGCTAGATGGCTGCCGAGGTAATAGAGGTGGCTTGTGCATTGGAGGTTTCTCAAGGGGTTTTGGAGCCTCAACTTTTGGAGCTTCAACTTTTGGAGTCTCAACCTTTGGCGCGATCTTTTCTGGCTCCTTCTTAGGCACGAGAGCAACAGCTGGAGCTGGAGTTGGGATTGTTACACTACTACTAGTTGCAATATTTTTAGTAGGTGCAGGTTCAGGGGTTGGTGCTCGTTTAGGGGCGACAACTTCGTCAGGTGGCCTCGACCAGATTGATTTCCCGGGTACACTTCTGGAAAGGGAGTCAGTTAAGGTTATTAAAGTGTTTGTATACCTTTCCTTGTCTCCTTCAATTCCCCTCACTCGATTCCAGGCTTCTTCTTCGATTTGTTGACGTCTACGGTATCGTAGAGAATGTTCTGGTAGACTATCGGCCTCCCGGAAACGGTTACGGCCAATGTCCACAGCTGCATTTCGCTCTTCGTTACTTCGAATTCTAAAAACATACTAACTGACTGGCAAATAGATTCAAACCTGTAGTGATCACTCTCCAACCCAACTTTTGCAGAAATCATCTTCGGAACGTAAGATGCCTCCAGTTTATCGTATCTAAATTTAATTAAAAGTTAAGCTGTCCTGCAAACTAAAAATACCTCCCAGTGCTCCCCGGATACATTACAGTAATCTCTCCAAATGTTTGAATAGCACCCGGAAGTCGTGCAGCATCTTCTACAGTAAACCGAAGTTTCTTGCAGAATAGCTCGTCGGCGTCTGGCTAAATTTTAGGCTTTCAATACAGTTTAATTGTATTCATACCGAAAAATTCCTCAAGTACTCCAGACCCTCGGTAAAAATGTTTTTAAACCGAACAATCTCGTTGTCATCCATGTCGTATTCTCCCTAAATTAATTTTTGGATTGTGGTGTTTCTCATTTTTAAATTAAGTTACCTTTAATGCAGCCTCTAGCCTGGCAACCGCTTCACTCATATTGCTGCTCTCAATCTCGAGAACATCACTAAAAAATTAACTTTGTACTGCCTGGATTTTCATACCGTAATGCAGCCATCAACCGAGTTTCCGTACTTTGAAAAGTCTCCACTTCAGCTACAAATGCGTCCTCCCGCTTCTTCAATTCTCGCACGTGCCTAACAATTTGATGATATAAACCAGATTTAAGTTTAACCTGTGAAAATATTCCTGGATTTCCTGCTTCGTTGTCTCGCAATTCAACGAAAGCAATTCGATCCCTTTTGACAGTCCGTCCGAGGCTTCAGTTACCCGATTTGAGAGTCGTTTAACCTGAAGACGTTAATTGTAAGTACTTTAAGTACTTTATGTAAGCTGTGATTCAACGATCTATAGTAGGTAATTTAATTGCTGAAAATTACAGCAATGAATTCAGTGACCCTCTTTGGTAAGTGAAAATGCATTGACCCTTGCTGGGTAAATGAAGATTCAGTGACCTCGCTACCATAATTCGCTGATCTGTGTTATCGGTAAACTAGTGCTGTAATTCAGTTACCCACCTGCATCACCAATCGTCCCATATCCCGCTTCAACATGTCCATATGCGTCTTTCGGCACTCTTCACAAGACCGCCTAACATTTCAAGGTTCACAAATCAGTGACCCTCTACTCACTTTTCGCAATGCGGACATATCTCACATTCAGCCTTCTCATCGCACACCCGACATCGCTCCAAATTGTACCTTAAAGTATCGGTATATCGACAAACTGACTTCTCATCTCCATACCTATGCACATATTCTTCGACTTGAGCTGCAGATTCAGGAGTGGCAGCCAGATGAACGTCCAAGAAGCCGGTAAGGGTGTAATTGGGCTGAAAGATCACGATTTTTTATAATTTAGCAATAGAATATGATATGCTGGCATACGGTAATTATGACTACCTGAAAAGCCTTGACACCATCATAGGGGATATTGTGTTCGGCACGACATTCCGGGCATTTCAGCTGTCGGTGAAGGGTATCGGCGCAACTCTCCAGGCATGGATGGCAGAATGTATGCTGGCAGGGCAGGAGTTTTGGTTGTCTGAATGAGGAAATAGCGTAGCTGGAAGGTGAAAAGCCGAAAGCAATTTCAATTTTAAGTTTTGACATAAATTCAAAAATTTAAATTCAGTTACCCGCCCTGGAATTGATAAATTTAGGAAAATTATAATTTTTCTAGGTTATCGTTAATATGGGTATGCAAATCTTGAAGCTAGGATACACTCTGTCTGACTACCATCCTTCGCCCCACTTTAAACCGCAAGCTTTTTATCAACGGTCGCCCCGGGGACCGAGACTTTTCTAAAAAGTCCCTTTCCCCCTCGACTTCCCACTCCGAGGGCCATAAATTTCAATGACCGGCTGCTCAAATGAGTTGACGTACTTGTATCGATCGAGACAGATTGGACATGTCAGCAATTGCTCGATCTTCTCCAGCGGATTCACCCAATCCGGTGGACGTTGCGCCGGGGTTTGGGCTAACAGCTCGCGCACCTGGAAATTGTTGTAAAATGTGGTTTTGGCTTCAATGGCCCTTTAAAGGTGCCAGCTGTATCGTAGTGTAGTTTTTGAAAAGGCGTGGCTACCGTAAAATGCTGCTTTCGGAAAGTTAGAGATCACTTACCACAGAAGGTCACGGAAAAAGGCTTAGGCTTAGGCTTAGGCTTAGGCTTAGGCTTAGGCTTAGGCTTAGGCTTAGGCTTAGGCTTAGGCTTAGGCTTAGGCTTAGGCTTAGGCTTAGGCTTAGGCTCTAGCGCCCTGGCAATATCTTCCCTTCTCTTGTGTTCTGCTAGTGGGCCAGGTGGTTGACGAGTGGGGGAGTGTATTTTCAGTTACCCCAAAAGGTCAGTGATTTGAGAAATCTATTTAGCTAGGCTTCGGAGGCTTAGGAATATGGTATCGATCAGTTAACAAGTCGCAACCTACCCTTTCACGCTGCTGATCATCCATTCGGAATACGAACCGAAGAAAGGTTGTAGTGAACTACTGAATGGGGGGGGGCAGATCGGATGTGAGGGGGATGGACCGAGTGAAAGAAAAGAAGAGAGAGGTGGGCTGTGGGTCCAGTGCTGAGGGCCCAGGGTTTGTTGAACTGCCGGCATCCATCTTACGACGGCTTTTCCTCCTCACACACATACGCAAGCTGGCTGTACTGCCTGTGGGCCCTCTCACTGTGTCCCAAATTTCTCCATTCCCTCAGTCCCTCCCTCTCCTTTTCTTACACTCTACGCGTCCTTTCGTCGGTTGTGTTCCACCTGCATCCTCTATCCCCCCTCCAAAGAGAAGAGAAGGAGGATCTAAGGCATCTCAGCTGTGAACCTCTACCCCCAGATCGTCATACATAAAAATCCCCGGGTTCGGCATCAAAAGGGGATGAAGCTGCAGGAAATGGCATTCCCGTGCGTAAGATGTTGTACAGTGGAGGGCAGGGACAAGATATTACGTCGACTTGAGGCTATGGAGACAGGGTCACTGAAAAGGTAACTGAAAATTCAATTGCAAATGGGCAACTGAATCCAGGGTCACTGAAAACTCAGTGGCAAATAGGGGTCGCCGAATTCTAAAGCTCCCCAAGTAGCTTCAGCAAGTTCTCACTTCCGCATTCGGATCGCCTTCCGCCAAAACAATCCTCTTACCGTCAAGTGGAACGGAACCGAACGGAGGAAGAGAGATAGAGGGATCTCAGGTAACTGGTCCTCTTCGTCTCTTTTGTTATTTGTTGGGAGGTTTGAGGCACTCGAGAGATAAAGCTGTGAGCCCTGTCATTGCCCTCTCTTCCACTCCCGGTCAGCTGATGTCTGCTGGACACTTGACTCATCCCACGCCTCGTTGGTGTGTTGAAATTGTGCCGAAAGGTGTTGATGGAGAGGGTGATAGCTGTGGCCCCTGGCAATTAAAAGAATTTGTCAAAAGCGTGAGGTTAAATGTTCAAAATTTGGACATTTTTAGGCTGGGTAACTAATTAAGCTTACGGCTTTCAAAACTAACTAATTTAATTCATAAAAATAAGAAGTTATCCTGCAAATTTTTACCATTTTCATAAAAGGTTATTGAATTAAGCTGCATCCTCTTTACGCTGCTTCAAAACTAAATTATTAAATTTATCATCATAAGCCGCTTTAGCTGCTATCGACTATACCAGTATATCCATTCCTCCAAACGATATTGAGGGTTCCTGACTCAGCCACCCACCCCTTCTCATCTCTATTTTCCACCCCCGTGTTAGTCAAACAGAATCCTCCTCAAATCCAGTCGCCCACACCGGAAACCCCCCCTACTACTGCTTCTGCTGCTCACATTCACCAATAGATCAAAAAGATTGGCAGAAGGTTCTGGTAAATAAGGGATCCTTTGCTGTGCATTACCTGACGAAGTTTAATAGGGTAGGTCACTGAATTGAGAAAAAGAGCTTCGTTACAGAAAACAAGTCGACTTGCTTCTAAGCTGCCAGAAAGCAAGGATCGCCTTGCTGAACCGCGATTTTGCTCCATATTGTAACTAAAGGGAGAGGATCATTGAATTTTAAGGCACTCTAGGACAGAAGTGCTAGGTCACTGAATTAAGCAGGCGAGCTTCGCGGCAGAGACCAAGTCGGCTTTGTTCTGAAGCTGTCAGAAAGAAGGAATCGATTAGCCGAATCCCGTTTTTCCAATGTCAAAGAGCATGGGGCATGAGGTCATTGAATTGAGGGCCTTTGCTTTTTATTTAGGTTAAAAACGACGAGGTCACTGAATTAAGCAGGGGAGCTTCCTGGCAGAGACCAAGTCCGCTTAGTTCTGAAGCTGTCAGAAAGAAGGAATCCCCCAGCCGAATTCCGATTTTCCAATGTGAAGGAGCAAGGAGTATGAGGTTTGGAATGGGGCAACTCTTCTTTCTATTCAGGTTGAAAACACGATGTATTGAAGTGAGGAAGAGAGCTTAATAGACTTGAGCAAGTCAACTTAGTTGAGAAGCGGGCAGATAGACGAATTCTACCATCCGAAGCTCGATTTTGCGCTCTAGTGTAGGAAGGAGCACGACGTCACTGCATTTCGAAGCGTTTCGAAGCAAAGCGTGGCAGCATTTGTCACGTCCGTTTCGTTAGATTCCGCTCAAAAAGTTACAGTAACTCGCTAAAATTCTGTAATGTATCCCAAATGTATTGATGCTGCGATCAAAGATACATTTATGAAAACCCAATAAATAATGGCATTTTTGATATAGATTTAGCTGGAGGCGATATGGCGCATCAGAGTTCCCGTCAACTTTTCAAGTCTCTTCACGTCCTGAAATTACTGTGGTTTTGCCAGTTTAATTCATTATTGAACAAATATTTCTATAAAAACCGACCTGTGCCTGATCGGTACTGTATTGTAGGCAAACAATATCATCCGTCATTTTCAGAACAAGCTTTCCATTAGTGTGGTTGTATTTTGTGGAGAATCTGAATAGATTTGTTTAAAATTGTTTTAATTTCAATAAAACTTTTATCTGGGCTATAAACTATGGTATTTTATAGAAATTATTTTAATCGGCGCCCACCTGCACTTACTCGGATTGACCGAATACAACCTCTCTACCGATTTCGCAAATTCGTCCCAGCTATTGAAATATGTCATCTAAAAACCAATAAAATCGATCAATATCTTGTTAACAAGACAGATAAGAAAAGCAAACAGATGTTATCAAAAGATAGGCAGAAAATCGGGTCTAATGGAGGGGGAAAGGGTAAGGAAGGGACAGCAGGGCATGTTGAACATCGCACTACTCTAGACACCCATATAATGTATTATTGGCTCATCGCCTGTCCGGCTTGAATAATAAGCAGTAAAGGCTGAACGGCAGTTTACCGGAACCAATAATATTTATTACGCTATAATAATTATATCTATCTACATATAGATTTTTAGATGTGGTTACTGATTTCTGTTAATGTGTGTATTTCCTATTTGGCCTGAAGCCGTTACAAAACTTTATACGGACACCCAATTCAGATCCTCAACGGGAAAATGGGATGTCGCTGAGGCTAATAGCCATTCTAACGGTGCTATTATCAACAATAATTACTCAGCAGCCATGCCAGAACCTCTCCAGATATCAGTAAGCTTTTATCGATTAAAATATACATAAATTTTATTTCTACATAAAATATATCAATAAACCGCCTAGTCATCTACATTATTATTAGAAAATCTTTGGCCATTGCTGCTTAAATAAAAAAAAAATTTCATTTTAGTTACCGTTGCATCGAGCCAAAGATCTCAAATATCACACAACAACCAATCCCATGCGAAGGAAACGGCTCAAGTTATGGTATGGCATTCAGGAAACATTGATATTGTTCAGAAAATAATAGAAAATATAGACACAGTTTATCCTTGAGGGTAACTGATTTTCTTGAATGTCGGACACTAAATTTTCAGTGACTTTTTGAGGGTCACTCCATTTTCAGTGACCCATGGAGAGTCAGTGATTTTGTTTCCGTTCAAACGAAATTTCTGACGGCAAACGCTGTTGATGTGACCTACAAATAAGCGCAAACAAAATGTAACTTTTCAGTTTGGTGCGAAGTAGTGCCGGGCATCGATTGTGATGGAATATTCCCAAATCAAACCTTTCGCAAAGAGGTAAACGAAAAATTTCACCTATATTTGTCATTTTTGAAAAATCGCGAAAAATTACATCTTATTTTTAGATTCTGAACGCCTGTGATCCAAAATCTCATCTCCACCACTCAACAGCCCTCTTACTTTCTATATTTCTCGGCTTCCTCGGGGCCGATCGTTTCTATTTGGGGTATTATGCCCTGGGGACGCTGAAGCTGCTCTCACTGGGTGGCCTTCTCGTCTTCTACCTCGTCGATATTATTTTAATTGCTTTAAAGGTGAGTCAGTTAAGCAAAATCGAAAGTAAATCACCTATCGATATCTCTGCTTTTTATACAAATTTACCTAAAAATCCTATTTTCCACTAGCTTTTTCGCAATTTTTGCTTTAAAAATAACATTTATCTTCATTTTCGATTCAATACCCAGATTCCTAAGAGTTGAACCCTATCCGGCCTACGCTTCCCCCCACCTTGCCCCCGCTATAATTGGCCAATTTTCAGCTGCTGGGCCCGGCGGACGGCACCGCTTATTTGGCTCCTTACTATGGACCAAATACCTATCCGCTTCGTCTTGACAACGATACAATGTTTGCTGTTTATGTTTTCGCTTATTTGTAGGCCATATCAACAGGGTTTGTCGTTGGAATTTTTATTTGAAATCCAGAAAATCACTTACCGTCCAAAGGCCGCTGAAAATTCTTTGACCCTAGGAAGGTAAATTAAAATACAGTGACCCTCGACCAATCCCCTCACTGAAATTTCAGTTACCCTTCGAGGGCCACTGAATGACAAACCCTGAATACCAAGGTTTCAACCGGCACTAAATCTCAGAAACTGTTGCTTGCACTCCAGAAAAGCCAGTTGAAATCCTATACAAACTTTAGTTCTTTCTATGATTGCCTTGCCTATCTCTTGAATCAAACAACTCGTACAGTGTCATGTCAATTCTCATCATAAAATGAAGGTCTAATCTCAGCCACTAGTAAATTGCTCTGTCAAAAGCCCTGCTAAACAATCTCTTCCCCCCTCCAAAGTGATCGTGTCTGAAATGTGCTCAAAAACTGAAAATACCCTCCTTTTCCGTCTCAAGTTTTTATTCATCTTTGACTACTACCATCTACCTACCAAAGTGTCTATCGTGTCAATAGAATCATCTCCGGAATTGTCATTTTTGTATTTTTTGCAATTTATAGGGTCTCTTACGGGTCATTTTAATAAAGATCTATTTCTAAATGTGGTTTCATATACAAAAATGATCGATTTATTTATCATTATTCGAACAAGGGTCAAAAACAAATAATGTAACATTTGAAAATTGTGAAAAGTCGAGGGAAAATTTGATTTAAAAAATTAAATTGAAACAATAGGTAATTCTAATCAGAAAATCCTAAAAGGAAAAGCTCTCCCAGTTTTTAAAAAACAAAAATTGAAAAATTAAGGTTAAAAACAACAAAATGAAATTAAGAATTGGTTTTTGAGAAAAAATTCGATTTTGTAAAAATTCGAAAATTCCACCGAAAAACAGTGAACAGGGATACAATATGACTGTATTCGAGAAAAGGGTAAGAAATAAAAAAAAACAACAACGATAAAAATGATGTTAACGCTCGGTGAGCTTCTCCCTCTTCTTCCTCTCCTTGTCCATCAATTTCCTGAGATGCTCCTTGTAAGACATGATATCCCCATCCCATTTTGTGATCTTCTGCTCGTCACATACCCACACTTCATCCGCCACCTTAAATAAATTAAATTAACGTCATTTACACAATTACAAATCTAGATTAGAAATTAACATTTAAATACCTGTGAAACCAGACGGAAATCGTGAGAAACTAGGAAGATCCCCCCGGCGAAGCAGTTTATAGCCTCGGCCAGGGCGTCAATGGACTCCATATCCAAGTGATTGGTAGGTTCGTCGAGGAGCAAGAGGTGAGGCTAAAAATTTTTTAGGTTTTTATTTTACAAAAAATTGTTTTTTAGAAAATTATATGTTAATTTTTGCTCGTTTTTTAAGCTCTATTACCTGTTGCCAAGCCAACCAAGCAAAAGATACACGACAACGCTGACCATCTGAGAGCTGCTTCATCGGGCAAACCTGAAAAAACACGCTTTTTGTAGATATAATTTTTTGTATAATTTCATTTTTTAATTATTTGATACCTACCTGTTCCCGTCCAGTAATCCCATATCTGCCGACAATCTTCCTCATCTCCTCCTTCTCCTTCACATCCGGAAACGCCTGCATCATGAATTCAAGGGCCGACAGATCAAGCGGAAGTTCCTCATGCAAATGCTGATGGTAGCGACCGATTTTGCAGTGGGAATGGCGACGGATTAGACCGTCGGTGGGCAGCACATCGTTGCAAAGGAGCTAAAAATAAGCGTATTATACAAAAACATAATTACCTTCAACAACGTCGATTTTCCAGCTCCGTTCGGTCCTACCAAGGCCACACGGGTGTCCAAATCAATTCCAAAATCGATATCGTGGTAGATCCAAGGCTAAAAAATTTAAAATGATACTGGTGCATTAGCGGGGGAGGTCAGGACGTAGTTCATTAGGGGGGGAGAGGGATATCCCACAACCCAAATCAGACAGCTGGAAACGAGAAATTCTACCTCACCCGCTAATGAACTAGTACCTAAAAAGCTGAATCTAAGCTTTAATTACCGTTTTCTCGTTATATCTGAACGATACGTGCTGCACCATAATGACGGGAGGCGGGATTTCTCCGGCGTCGAAGAAATAGAATTGTTTTACCTGCAAAGGTAGTATTTTTTAGGTTTTAAACTTTCAAAAAGTCTAGAATTTAAGTAATTTAATTCAAATTGACTTACATTATCCGTAACAGCCTTTTCCGTCAAGCCACCAGCAATCATCTTTGCCATTGTCTTTTCCTTAGACTGGGCCTGTCGGGCCAATTTTGCGGAACCGTGACCAAATCTAAAAAATAGTTTAATAAGTTTTAAGTAAATTTGGATTTTCTATATTTTTATATAATTTCCATACCTAGCCACATAATCCTTCATATGCTGAAGCTGAGATTGTTCCCAATTGTATCGTTTTACTTGATTTTCAAGCAATTCAAGCCGAGTTTTCACGAATTGATCGTAGTTTCCCTAAAATTGTGGTATTTCAATTTTTTCGAAAATTTGTATATTAACTTAAACTTTGATTTCCATTTTTATTGCAACTTACGGAATAGTAAACAAGTTTCTGCTGGAAGAGATGGATGACGTTTGTGCAGACACCATTCATGAAATCTTGAGAATGGGAGACGACGAGGAGACAGCGTTTGTATCTGCAAATGGGCATAATAATTTTAGATATATAATTCTATTAAATATTAGCTTTTTGGCTTCAAAATTAAAAAATCGATTAAAAAGTGTTAAAAAGGAGGTGAAAATCGATATTTAGAGGATTTTTGGCATAGTGAGCCAGATGGGGGGCGAGCGGGAAATTTGAAACCATCGTATTTTGTCGACTTACTGAGCCAACTCCTCCTCCAACCACACACAAGCCTCGAGATCCAAATGGTTCGTCGGCTCGTCAAGCAGCAATAAAGACGGCTTCAAATATAGAGCACGAGCCAGAGCGATCCTCATTCTCCAGCCTCCTGAAAAAATTAAAATATCGATAAAGCAGATAAAAACCAACCCGAGAAATCCTTGCATTTCTTGGCCTGCATCGTCTTCGAGAAGCCGAGACCGTGAAGAATATTGGCGGCTTTAGCCTCAGCCATATCCGCATCCATCTCATCCAAACGCTCATAAATATCCATCAGTTTCTGTTGGGATTCTAAAAAATATTAGAAATTTTAGAACATCTATTTTTATGTTAAAAAATCGATTTTTATTGATTTTTCCGACTTACCATCATCATCACACGAAGCCAATTCTTCGGACTGTCGCTCCAAATTTTTCCTCTCAGCGTCGACATCAATAACTGCTTGCAGAGCTGTTTTTGTTGAAGCCTCCATCTCTCGGGATACCTTCAAATAATTAATTTAATTTTAGGAAAGTAATAAAATGTATAAAATGAAGTGTCACATACCATAAACATGTCCAAATGCTCTGGGAATGGCAGCTCCCGATTGTAAATGGCCTGCATAATCGTCGATTTTCCTGAATTTAAATTTTAGAGAAATCTTCATATTTTTCTTACCAGATCCATTGATGCCAATCAATGCATATCGACGGCCCATATTCAGTTCCAACTTTGTATCAGTAATTATTTCCCTTCCGTGGAAAGTTACTGTTAATCCTTCGATCTAAATAGCGTGTTTTTATTGTTTAACATTACAAAATGAAAAAGTCCATTTTTCAGTCTTTTCTCTTACCTTCAAATCCACAGATTTCGGGTTAGAAGTCAACGCCCCGGCAACACTTCTAGCCTTCGCATTCTCGAGCTCAATCTTAGCCAATAGAGCTGCAGCTGCATCAATGACCATATCGTGAGCATCGTCTCCATTTTCGAGACCATCCGGAGTTGTGCCTCCATTTTCAGCAATTGGAGTCCCAGCCCCATCTTCCTCTTGTTTCGATTTTAGGTCACGCGCCTGAAAATTTTCGGGTTTTTCGAAATTAAAAGAAATAAAGGATAAGATTAGATGATCAAACATCAAAAATACATAAATTTTAATTTTAATATATTGCCTACCTTTCCGCGTCCTTTTGAAGCTGCTTTCTTTGCCGCATCGCGAGCTTTTTTCGAGTCGGATGGCATTCTCGCTAGAAATATAGAAAATTTCTAAGAAACCCTCTAAAACCCAGAAAACACTTTCATAACGAAATATTTCGAAATAAATCTAGAGTTTGTAGTTTACGCTCCTAAATCCCAATCCAAATGGCTTAATCAATAAAATAGGTAATAGGGCGTCAAAATATTTGCGAGGGGCCGAGGATAAAAATAGCGGGAATTGGGGGACCCCCTCCCCTGACTGTCTATAGGATTTAGTCGGGAGAAAAGAGCCGAAAAATACCTGCAGACAACCAGAGATCTTCAAAAAGCGCGCCAATGACAGTAGCTAGGGAGGAAGAGGGACGGAAGGAGAGAGAGAGACAGAGCGCGAGAGGGAGAGAGAGAGAGAGAGAGAGAGAGAGAGAGAGAGAGAGAGAGAGAGAAAGAGCGAAATAGAAACAATGAGGGGTTTAAAATCGTCTAGTAAGCCAGCTAAGCTAAAAACTATACGAAAAATGTCATAAAAGGAGAGAGATGCTAAAATACCTCCTCTTACCTTTAAAAATACCTCCACTAGCAGATGGGCCCTTTGAGCAGACGTTTTTGGCTCAGATTTTGCCCTGCGGACTCCAAATATGAAGAAGCACTAACGAAAACTGTCGACAACCCGATCGATTCGTGCAAAACTATTCTAAAACCCCTTCAAATATGCCACGCGTCTTCAAAATACTGCAAAAACTCTAAATCAAACTTTTCAATGAGCATAAATCCAAAGAAATTGCCAAAAAGAAGCGAAGCCTGCGCAAACAGTGCAAAAAAGTTCAAACACGCTCATATCTGTAAAACATATTTATCTTCTACAAAGACAACAAAATACAACTCAAAAAAATCGCTAAAACAAAAAAATACTACAAGCGAAAAAAAAATACTCTATACTACAAGCGAAAGGTAGAAACAATACAAGTAAAAGAATCCGATAAAATTCAGGTCATTTTGTTGGTCGTCGACTCCTCCTTGACCGACAAGTCGAGCTGTTGCTATACAAAAGAATGGAAAAGGGCAGAAATCGCTACCAATGTCTTCTTGACTCCAGCCTGCACTTGTTTAAACTTCTGAAGACGCTGAAGCATTTCCGGGTTTTGATAGATGTCCTCGCCAGCGTGGATAGCATCGTAAAGCTTGCGCATATCCTAAACAAAGGATTATTGTTACTGAAACACCAATTTATGTACCTTGATATTATCCTTCCTTGCGGCTTGCGCTTCTCGCTTCTTCTTCTCAGAGTCATCCTAAAATAAAGTAAACTTCGAAGAGACTGAGTAATACCTTGTAGTACCGAAGACCTGATGGCCCAGGCTCCTGATCGACCAGCGGATTCGGGTGCGGAGCCGGCAGGTCAGAGCGCGACATACTATATTTACCTTAAAAAAATCAGTTTACACAAAAAAACGAAAACCAAAAGGAAGAATAAGAAATTTACAAATACACAAAGAAACTATAAAAACAGCTAGAAGGTGTGTGAAAATGATTGAGAACGTTTTGTGTAAAGTTTAGAATCAGATGTAATACATTCGCCTCTTAAGTGAAACATTTATCAGCATAAAAGAGTGAGATCGCAATCAAACACGTTTTTTCTCTTAATTAATCGCTTTCAGCAAAATAGGGATGCGCCAGGCAAATGTTGGCATTAATACGACCGGCTGGGTTTGAGACAAGCAGTTTCTAAAGGGGTTTTTGTATTTCCGCACATTTAAAATGACTAAGTTACCTGCAATAAATCCTTTCCCTTTGAGGTGAGATCAGGAACGACTTGTCCGAAAGTCATTGAAGGATGATAAAGTGGTAATGGCTGAATTTTTAGACATTCAGCTTTTAAATTAATTTTAGATACCTTATATTCCGGTAATCCCATCACCCCGGGCCATGTTTCTTCCGTTGGTGTACCCAACAACTTGAAAATCCGCTTCAATTGATCATCTACATCAGCACCAGGGAACAGAGGACGTCCAGCGTTCGAAATTTCTAAATACATATACTTTTTGTGGCTTTTTTTAGTCTTACCAGCAAAGATACAACCTGCAGACCACATATCTATTGAAGTATCATACAATTTAGCACCGTATAAGACATCTGGAGGCCGATACCAAAGAGTTACTACCTAGAAATGTTTATTATTTAGGTTTTAAGCTTTTTATTTTTGCTTTTTAACTTACCTCAGAACTATAACACCGCACTGGAATCCCAAAAGCTCGCGCTAAACCGAAATCTGCTAATTTCAGCACCCCATTGGCGTTTAGCAGCAGATTTTGAGGCTAAAAACCGATCTAAAAATATTAGAAACACCCTTACCTTCAAATCCCTATGCAAAACATGATGCGTATGACAATATAACAACCCCCGAAGTAATTGCTGCATCAACTTCTTGACTGTCTGAAATTTTCGTGAAAAACAAGCTAGAAAAACTGACCGATTGGTCTATTTGACCATTCAAAGAATCGAAAAATTTCTTTAAATCTTGATCGCAGTATTCGAAGACCATTGTTAGTTTATTTTCGGAGTGTACGACGTCGTAGAGGCGGACCTAAAAAGAAAATACAGAATTTTGTGTCCAAAACTCACCACATTCTGATGTTTCAACTCTCGTAAGATCGCAATTTCACGTAAAGCTGAGCTGGGAACACCCTAAAAGGTTCTTCAGCCCCAAAAATCAAGTTTCTACTTCATCGTCATCATCCAATCTAACCAGTTTCAATGCTACAACCTCGGAATTATGTTTATTTCTAGCTTTGAAGACGGTTCCGTAGGTGCCTGAAATCTTTAGAAGAAATAGTGAGCCACTTACCTTCCCCAATCTTCTCTAATTTATCATATTTCAGCATAATGCTGGTCGAAATGATTGTTTTAGCATAAAATTTTTATAAACATTCAGGGCTTCGAACACATAAGGGAATAGAGGAGGGGAAGGCTTCTTCTGATCAATCGGAGAGGCTGGGGTGTCTTTTAGCTAGCATTGAGGGGGGGCAGCAGCGGGGCTCCGCTTTCTAACAGAGATCACGCTCTTTGTCTCATGCATTGTAACAACAAAAGTAAACATGACTTTAGGGATTGAAGAGCTCATAAAAACTATAATAAAAACGCTTTTAACATTTTCTAATCATTTCCTTGTTTTCTGCTTTTTTTAAAAAACTTCCGCTTTTCAAAATTACGTTTTTTTTCCGTCAAAACAAAATTACGCTCAGGCATTGTAACAACAAAATAAACATGATCCTAGAGATTGAAAAGCGCATAAAAAACTATAATAACCTTTAGAACCTACTCCGTTCTACTTCTTTTCCGGTTTTCTGCTTCCTTTTTTGTTGTTTTCGTTTTTAAAATGCTTTTTTAGTGCTCAAACCACGCACATGCAACGAGATTCCATTCAGTCTTTGACATGAGGTAAATTACAATGATTTACTTCGATATAATTCCTTTTGTTTAGATCCAGAAGCGGATCTGGTGTCCGATTAGACCGTCTACTCTTCCTCGTCGAACAAACCATCCTCAGGAATCAAGATGCGGCCACTGGATTGTTTGAAAATAACTGTCTAGACTTTCCAGGTACCTAATTACAACTTTTCTTACTTTTATTTCCAAATTCTAGGCCAAGCCTGGGTCCGCGACAATGTCTACGCGGCCCACGCTCTCTGGGCACTCTACAGGGCATACCAAAAGAGCGCCGAATTCGATGAGGATTTGGTGAAGGCCAGTGAGCTTGGAATGACTTGGTAGGCTTCATTTCTTAGCTTGATCTCTTTCATTTTAGCACAAAAATGATGCAGTCACTTCTGGAATGCATGATTCGACAGGCCGATAAGGTAGAGCAGTTCAAACAATACCAACGCTCTCCGGACGCCATTCATGCCAAGTTTTCGGTAATAACTCTAAAAACAATGATTTAACAGCCTTTTTAGTCGCGTACAAAAGCAGCAGTTTGTGGAGACAACGAATGGGGACATCTACAAATCGACGCCATTTCGCTTTTCCTGCTAACTGTCGCTCAAATGACAGCTTCCGGGCTCCAAATTGTCCGAAACTTTGATGAAGTTGCCTTCATCCAAAATCTCGTCTATTATATCGAGATTGGCTACCGAACGCCGGTATTTTACAGTTTTTAACGCGTTATCTCTATTTCAGGATTTCGGTATCTGGGAACGTGGCGACAAGACGAATCAAGGGATTCGCGAACTAAATGCCAGTTCTATTGGCATGGTCAAGGCTGCTTTACAGGTAAAAAACCCACTGAATTGTCATATTTGCTTTATTCTAGGCAATGAACGATGTTGGAGATCTATTTGGCGATGGTTCCAAAACCTCTGTGATCACGGTGATGCCAGATGAAATTGAGCAGTGTAGCGCTGTTCTAAATAGCATGTTGCCCAGAGAATCCTTTTCAAAAGTAAGATATAAAGTGAAAAAACTACTCTTTATTTTCCTAGGAAACTGACGCAGCTCTCCTGACGATCATTTCCTACCCAGCATTTTCTGTTGAAGACCCTGAACTGGTCCATGTCACTCGGTAACAATTTTAGAAGGTTTTTAAACTCAATTTTTAGTGAAACAATCACTTCCATGCTCCTCGGCAATTATGGCTGCCGCCGCTTTTTACGTGATGGCTATAGGACTGTTCTGGAAGTAATATCACCTCAAAATCCTTCAAAAAAGCTTTGTTTTTAGGATCGAACCCGCCTCTACTACAACAAAAGTGAACTTCAACAATTCGAAGATATAGAATGTGAATGGCCACTATTTCTTTGCATGTTGGCATTGGATGCAATGTTTTCGAAGGACAAAGCGATGGCTGAGCTTTATTGGTCTCAATTGGAAAAGGTTAGGCTATCGGCTTTGGAAAAAAAAACTGAATTTAGTGCCTACAAGTCTCTGAAACTGGCCAATCGATGGTCCCCGAGCTATTTGTGGTCGATCGCCAGCATGTATCCGCCGAAAAAGCCCACCGAGGGAGTCAACCACGTTCTGTTGCTGGAGTTGTGTAGGTTTAGAAAAAGTAACCGTTGATTGTGTGTTTCTAGGCCATATCTCTGGGCTCAATCTCTCTACGTGATTGTCAGTCTACTATATGATGGCTTTTTGGCGCCAGCTGAATTGGATCCATTGAGTCGAAGATTGACAACATATGAGAAACGACCTCCTTGTGAAGTTCAAGTCACAATTTTGGCTGAAAACCAAAATGTTCAACGAGAACTGAAAGCAAATGGAATTATCGTGCAAAGAGTCGATGAAGTCGATCCCGTTTTCATGATTGAGCCGGCGAGCAAGCTGGGCGAATTGTTGGAAAAGTAGGTTTTCAAAGCTAGAACCCTAATTTTTGATTACTTTATAGAATCGGCGCTTCAAAAAAGCTTGGGCTCAGTGGAAGACCGAGAGATCGTGAAATCGGACTCCTGAGTACAAGTCGGCTCTATCAACTTGGCTCGAAATTCGTGGCTTTTACCCCACAGGTTTATCTCTTCATGAAAATACAAAAACAGTTTTATTCATTTAGTTTATGGACAGCCGACGATCACATCTGATGTATGATATCCGGATATTGATGGACGAATGGAGCAGCGAATTGCAATACCTCTATGCTTCGTGGAATAGTGTTTCTATCAGCGGTCGACCACTCGTTGTCCTTGTTATCAATGAAAGCATGTTGACCACGGTATTTTCATACCTAATTCTCTTTGAAAAATTATGTTTTAGGATGGTCTGTCGCCCTATTCAAGCATCTCCCTGAATCGCTTCATGAAATCGACAGTCCTTGGAACAATCAAGAAAATCAGTACCGGATATTTGGGCGGTGCTCGAATTGTGATGAGAAATATTGGAGATTTCTTCAGGACAACGGCCGTGTTGAAACTAGAGTTTAGAGGGTAATTTTCAAACAGCAAAAGCGAAATCTGTTGTTTTTAGTGTCTCTCGAGCGGAAGATCTGCTGAAAAGAACTGATGCGACAGAACGAGTCCATTTCAATCTTCAAACGGAAGTGGATAGAAGAAAGAATGAAATGAATAGCCCAATGTCCGATGGCTCGCCAATGAAAAGCTCGCTAAAAAGAACGGATTCAGTGAAAGATCGCAGAACATATAACCTCATTCATAAAGCCTCGATGAGACATCGTTCGATTGTTTTGGATAGCAATGATTCGGGTAATAAAGTGCTTTCTAAACTTTTCTACCTTTTTTTAGACCTTGTCCAACTGAGACTGGCCTTTGCGAAGAAGGGCAAGAATCTGGAAGACGTGGATTCGAAGCCAGGATCTGCTGACAGATCGGGATGCGCCTCTCCAATACCATCATTGGCTAGCAATTTGTTGAATACAGAAGCGGACGCGACGTATTTGAATTTTGAAGTTAAAAAATATAAATGTTGTAGAGCGCGTCTCGATGATGTGCAACGTGCTCAAATGGCTGCCATGAAAGCGCATGATCTCGTGGAAATGCTGGTGGATACGACACAGCTGGAAGAACAAGTGTCGATTCTGCATTGCTTGTGGATGAAATGGTATTTGAAAATAGTTTAATAAAAGTTATTTTGATGTTTTGAGTGGTGGCGACTTCCCGGTAACCATCAACAATCGACAAGTATCCATTCGAGCATTGATGGAAGAAATATACTCTAAGGTATCGTTTAATAACGCTTATAAACCTCTTTTTTAGGCATGTGAAAGCAGAGATTGGGCATTGACAAGACTGACTGCTGGCCTTTTGAACAAACGACTAGAAGAACTTGGAAAAGCTGTCACGCATCTTCTTGTACGCCAAAAACAAATTACGGTATTGAAGAAATAGAGCTAATAAATACGTGTTTTTAGGTGGGAATGCCGTCAAAACGAGAAGAAGCCATCACTTGCCCGAAAACAAACGAAGAACTGAAGGATATCATGTTCCGAGCCCTCCACGATGACCCTAACTCTTTCACCCTCAGTCAAGAAATTATCGTGGCTCTCGGCTCGATTGTCAGAACTGAACCCAAGCTTTTTGTCGAAATGTTCCGTCTAAGAATTGGACTGATCATTCAGGTATTTTGAAATCGGCTTTCCCTAAACCTATCTTTCTTCTAGGTGCTCGCCTCCGAATTGGCACGCCTAAAAGATCTCTCGGCTTCTGATGCTCTCCAAAATCTGTTGACAATATCCCCGTTCGAGCTCAAATCAATGCTGTTGATGTTGTTGAGTGGACGACTTCTAGAAGAAGTACCTCTCGATGATGAAGCTGCCGCGAAAGAGACCCGCACTGGGATTGGCAGCTTCAGGAAGCATATTGAGGAGCGGAAGGTAATTTTGTAGACTTTATTCCATAATATTCACGTTTTCTAGTCTCTACGAAAATCGATGCGCCATTCTCGTCGTGATGCTCCTCCGACCCCAAAAGAAGTCGATGAAATGGAGGCGGATTTGCTAGAAGAAGAAGCCGGCATTGACGATTTCCAGTTTGGCATCTGGCTGCGACATCGAAGGATTGATGGCGCCCTCAATCGTGTCCCCAATCATTTCTATGCTGTAATTTGCACATTTTAAACTTATTTTTGGTGTTTTTAGAGTCTCTGGGATAGTGTTCATCGCTTCCATCATGGCCTGCAGATTAATGGGATTATTTTGCATTGGGGATTGACCCAGGTATTTTTAGATTTATCGCGTATTTCTGAAATTTTAGGAAATGACGCGTCGTGAAATCAAGTTTGCGCTTGAAGTGGAGGAGGTGCTGAACCAGATCAGCGAGCCGGAATACAGGGAAATGGTAGGGAATTTAGACTAATACTAAAAGTTCGATTTTTTAGGTTATTGAAACGCTGTGGCTGCTAGGACGTGTGGATCGTGTACTTCGAAACGATTCCCTAAATCTACCACAAGATCGCCCCCTCGACATTGATAATATCATTGCGAGAGCCAATCGTATCTTTGTCGATCATAACGTAAGCCGTGACCCTATTGCCAGTATAATCTATTGATTTTAGCGCGAACTCGACACAATAGTGGTCGACTGCTGTGCCGGGGGCAAATCGTGTGGCGGCGCCAGAAACCTGTGCATCCACTTCCTCGATTCAGCACCTGCTGGAGAATACGGGACAAGCCATTACATCATTCGTGCTTTTGCTGCCCTTTTCACATAATTTAGCCATATTTCAATTTGTATTGTCTTGCCCTGTATTGCCAGTCGCGCATTTTTTAGATTGCCAGATTTCGCTAGAAAATTGCTACATCTTTTCACCTTTCCTTTTATCATTTTGTAAAAGTTTTGGTTTTTTGTTAGATTTCTACAGTTTGGTGCTAGTCTATTTTGGAGCTTGCTTGCGACACCAAAGAAACGTTTTGTCTCTCTTGTTTTGCCTGCCTGCTTGCTCTAGCTAAAACTACGGTTCACAATATATTGCTCAATTTATGCTTTGTAAAGCGTTCAGCAAATAAATTCTTGTGTTTTGTGTTGAAAATAACATTTTCTGCAAAATTTCGTTTCCACGCCCATAAATTTTCGGCAGTTTGGGGGGATGGCTACGGGACGCTACTAGTTACTCACGGATAGTGACGGCAAGTAAAATTGGGTCCGAATGATTTAGTTGGGTAATCATAGAGTGGAGCTTATTCAAATCACATCGGACTCAAATCTGATTTGATTTGAATAAGAGCGATTTGAACAAGATTTTTCTATTCAAATTAAACCGATTTGATTTGAATAAGAAACGGCAGTTCAAATCAAATCTACTGCGATTTGAGTTGATTTGCATAATTTGAACAACAAGCAAATCGAGTAGGCAAATTTGGGTGCTAATGCACTTGGGGGGGGCAGTCCAGATTTTGGCTACAAGACGCTCCAAATGTCGTTTTTCGAAGCCTCTGGGAAAGCTAAGCTAAGCATAAGCCTAGGCTTAGCTTCATACCAACGAAGCCTAAGCTTATAGCTTGAGCCAAGCTAAGCTTAGCTTTAGGCTAAGCCCTAAGTGACCTGATGTTGCCCTCGTAAGTCAATTTAAAGCTCAAGATAAGCTTAAGCCTAAGCCGAAGATACGTATAGTTAAAGCTAAGTTAAGCCTATGCTTAAGCCAAAAACCAAGTAGCTTAAGCGGAGCGCCTCGTAGCCTCTTACTACGAATTTCGGACTGCCCCCCCTAACTGCATTAGCACCCAAATTTGAAACAGATGGTAATTAGCCGAATTTCGGATTTTGGTATTGCCGAGTTACGTAATATTGATAATTTCTATTATGATATGATAATCCTTTCGATGCCGAGGAATCGAACCCGGGTCGTGTGCCTGGCAGCGCCGTGGCGCAGTGAGTAGGGCGTCGGCGTGCCAATCCAGAGCCGGCGCCAGTTCAACCCCACCCCCTCTCCGAAGCCGAATTACTTTTTGCTCTTTTTTTTGCAATAGCTTCGGTATGCTCTCTAGATGCAAACTAGTACCTCAGATTTCGTCATTTTCTAGAGGCTAGATCTCGGCAACAACTTGGCGTGAAGATGGTGGTCTTTTCCCGTCTCCTACAACCAGAAGATGACCCTACTGGGCGCAAAAGGCATGCCCTTTTCTTGTGGAATTCCAATTTTATTTTTTTAAAGAAAAATGGTGTATCTCCTCCTATCAGCCGGGTCGCTAGTATTTATGGCAGTCTACGCGTTCGACGTAAATGAATATAAATATAAATATAAATGACCCTGTTTATTTAGTTTTTCTTCCACAAATCCGGTCATATGTTCGTTGGGCTGTCGTGGCTGATGTCAACGAAGTGGGCGAGCATAGTGGAAGCTCTTCTGTTGGGTATCTGGGGTGTCGCTTCTGTCTACTTCCTGAGCATGGCAATTACCGATGATGGGCAAGTTGTCGGCAATGCAGCAGAAGAGTCGATGTGCTTAGACAGCTCGATGACCACTCCAAAGCGAACGGTATTCCAGAAAAAATTACAAAAACATTTAAAAACACAAAAAAACATTTCCAAAATTGGTTTTTCAGGGCCGCCCATTCCTTGAGAACCTGGCCTTCTCGGTCACTCGTCCATCGGCGTGCTCGCCTCTGTACAACTACCGTCAATCACAAGTCTCGACGCCGAGCGCCTCTCCATCGACCAGCATTTCGGCTTTGTAAGATCATTATTAATCCTTAATCAAACTTAAAAATCTAAAACAAACTTTAAAAAACTTACAACTTAATCCGTACAAATGTTTTTATAGGCCGAGCTATGCTTCCAAGCCTCAGACTGCCATCAATCCTTACAAACGAATTGTACCTGTCGTCTCCACAAGCCAAGTTGATTCGCTGCTCGAGTCTTCAAAGTATGACCTATTTTCGGGTCAAGGAATGCTTTTTAGTTATTCGCCAGAGGTCAGCATCCACGAACCAGTTAAGGAAACGACTTTCGAAAGCCTACTGTCGGGTGGTCGCGATAGTTATACCGACTGGTCCAAGATGCCTTTTTCTTCGCTGCCGCCGGCCCCCAACAATATTTCATCAAGTAAATAATTCAGTTTATTCATTTGTTTTTAGAAGAGGTGATGCGTCCCCGTGGGCGGGACCCAAAGGAACGTTTCGTCGAAATCCTCCAGGGTACCAGTGACAAGAAGCAGGAGGCTCCAGTAAACCCAATTTTCCAATTTTCATATTGGTATTATCCCCTTTAGCGCCCAGTCCCGCGCATGGTCTTTCCAACCCGACGTCGTCGCTCGTCGTCTCCTCCAGGTGGTGGAATACCTCCCGCGTATGCCTATCTCTTCTCGGGACATGCCGAAAATTTCATCAAGTATTTATTCTATTCCCCTCAGAAGTACTTTTTTAGTGCCATGTTCCCCGATGAGGACATGGAGGCCCTCGAGCCGCTTCTTGAACATTGGATGAGGAATACAATCTACATCCCCGTCGGAAATGCCATCAAAGAGCTCAATATCATGCTTCAACAGGTACTTTCCCCTTCTCAACCCATTTAATCTTTCCTAGAAACACCCCGGCTATAAGATCGGACAGACGAGAGTCGAACTGATTTCTCGACTGCTCGAGAAGAACCCCGAGCTCTCAGAGACAAAGTTGCCCTTTGTTTTGCCATACCTGCAGGTTAAATATTTTTGGTTTTTGAAATGAATGGTAAATTCAGTTGTGCTGGTGCCAGGAAAATGTCATCGCGGATTTTAATCACGCACAGCTTAACATCTTTCCGCGAGCTCGGGTTGGTCACTCGTTTGCCTCTATGATGTCCCGAGTTTAGTTCCCAGGTGGCAGCGGTAAGAGGCGTTCGGACAATGCGCTGAGGTTCCATACCTTTGCAATATATATGGATCAGGCGGTGTCTTCATTGATGGTATTTTTCTTATTCATTTCCTTCTAATTTTTATTAAAGAATGCTGGCCCAAAGGTTTTCTCCGAAACCTACATCATCCCAACTGGCGCTTCCCTCACCAGCCCGAAGCGTGAACTCTATGCAATTGCCTTCCAATGGGTAATTTTGCGCTTAGCTTGCAACAGTTTATTTTTAGAACGACCCGAGCGAAGAAGTTTTGAACGTGTTTGCGTTTGGCGAAGATGGCGAGCCGATCAAGCTCCCGGTGACGCCTTACTACTGCCGGAATATCAACCACGCCATCATCACCTTCATAAACCATATTAAGGTAATTGGGTTTTTCTGGTTATTTGAACGCCCTATTTTAGTTCTTCCTTGACGGCTGCATCATTGGCGGTCTGTCGATCGACAAAGTAGGGTTGAACCTGGAGATGTTGCTCCAAGATGAGGTCTGATTAGGCGTCCTACTTCTCGCTATTTTTTTGTAAATTAACTCTTAGCGGGTTCTCCTCCCACGGGATTCTTATGTATGATCCTCTCTGGCAGTTCTTTTGTTTCGTTGATATATATTGTTGCTTCCACGCTATTCTTTTACTTCCTCTGCCCCCTCCCTATTCACGCCTAATCGTTTGTTTTTTTCCCGACTTGCCAGATTCGGGTAAAGACGTTTTTTTTATTGGACTAGCGTAATACACGTAAAAAGTGACTAGAAACACTCAAAAAACATCATAACGAACAAAACAAAAAAATAGGTAATTTTTAGTGGTAAGTGGATGTGAATGCTGGCGGTGCTTCATATAATGGCTCATCAATTGGCATTGTGCGAGCATAGGTAAGACGATCGGGTGTTGCTCCTCTACTCATTACTAGCCCTGAAATCGTCTTATTTCTTTTCTTCTTTAGATACAAACCATGATTAACGATCCCTTTCTCCTTGTGCCATCTCTCACTCAATTGCCATCCTGGTGATGTCATCTCACGCCAATTTTCTATTAAAATATAGCCTTTTTTGCTAGTAAATTCTTACGTTTTGCTATTCGTCTTCTAGCTGCCCAATAACCCATTGATATAACAAATAGAAATATTAATAGCAGACTCCCAACGGCGCCTATTCGCATGTATTCCCAATTGATTTTCTAAAGCGTGTTTAGAGTTGTTTTCTAGGACATTACCTCGGATATAACTGGCCGTTTAATGTTATTTTTATATAGAGGATCTTCAATGGGGAATTTGTCTACAATCGGCGCCAGCTCCGTCAAATCGTTGGTGTTTTTCTCGGAAATGTCACAGTCTTCGCATTCCTGAGCGGATTTTTAGGAATTTGGTCTTCGCCTTACCGTTTTTAGATCAGCCTCATTTTGCTGCTCCTTTATTTGAGAGATAGAAGCTTTTAGACTACATTTTCTACCCCTCCATCCGGCTTGACATTGACAACTAAAAAATTAAGGTCTTTGTGTACTTCTTAGATTGTTTTACCCGTATCCCAGCTTCCCTTCCGGCAATACAAATATTTCATGGCCATCCCTCAGTGTTAGATCTCGTTTTGTATCGACGAAATTGGCCACGCAGGCGCCTTGATTATCGCAAGAGATCTCAGAACATTGCCCAAGTTTTAGGCTTATAACGTGGATCTAAAGTTAATGATTATCGTTGTTTTCTTGTTTTTTTTACAAACCTGCAGCGTCTCCTTGTTTTTGTCGAAGAAATTCTGGAATAGCGCCAGAGAATCGGAAAAGCTGAGCAGATTCAAGTTCCGATCCCGAACTTCTAGTGCAACCTCGAACTCATCCCGGTTTTTTAGATGGATCCCGATCCAATTGAAGCTCTAAAAATACATATTAGATAAAGAAATCTTGACTCTACCAAATCCACATATTTTTCCATCAATTTTTGCATCATATTCGCGATCCCATTACCATTACCGTACGCAGAAATCAGGATAGAATCGGTTGGTTTTTGGTAAGGCTTAAAAATAGAGATTTTTTTCAAGTTTTAGGAAAAAAAACCTGTTTCTTGGTGGTGATTGTAGCTTCATATTTATAAGATTTCATCGTTAGACTATCTTCGGCCATTAGAGCCATTTTTGTGGTAGCTTTTTGGACTCGAATTGTGCAGTTTGTATCGATCTAAGACTTCAATTAAAGATTTAGTACGTTTTAAACTTGCCATATTTGATTGTTGACATACAAAATGTCGATTTAGATCATTATTGTAAGGTTTAACATTGTGGATTTGGATCGAACGACTATGTAGATGACGACGTCGGATTATCGTTATCTAAAATTAGGTAAAGAATGTAGAAATCTCTTAAAATAGGCTTACATTTAAATCCATATTCTTCCCATCTATTTTTAGGGTTTCTACTTCATCTTCAATATATATTCGCACCATTTCATTGCGTGTACGATTCCCAGAATGGATAACAATCGGCACAAAATACGCGTTTTTCGCTTCAAAATCGAATGCTCGCTTTGTACGCAGACTTCCGGTAGAGTCGACCTCAAAAAGCTGAAAAATTAGGTTTTGGGGTACTGTAGAGCTAAAAATACCTCATATTGCTCCGAATTGGTCATTCTTATTGTCATTGGGTAATTGGTGGGGTTGATTTTGAGGATAGTTTGTGATGGCTCGTTTTCACGAATCCAACCGACGAGGTTTGAGCCCTGAAAATGACAATTAGGGGTTCAGGATTACGGTAGACTTACAGCATCCGATTCTGTCACTTTCAAGTGAATTTCAGTTGATGAGGCTACAAATTCCTGGGCCCGGATGTCAATATGGAATTTGTGTAGTCCCGCAGCGATTTTCCCGCAAATTGACAGTACCCCAGTACGATCGATACATATTGACTATAGAAATACTGTAGGTACTATAGTTTCCTATTTACCTCTCGATATTCCTCCTCCCTTACACTTCCCATCCAATTTCTCGGCAACGTCAGGCTCCAATTTGCGAGTACAAATGGAGCCTTTTCATCCTCGTTTAGCTCAAACTCATAGAGCTCTTTCTCAAAAACTGGAGGCGGAGCATCAGGGGTGAGACTCAACTCGACTTGGATTCTAAAATTATGATTTTGAAATCTTTTGTTTTTGCTTACCTCTGGATGTCTTCAGTCATAGAATTCATACATAAAATATCGATCGAACCAGGTTTTATTGTTTTTGCCAGGGATACAGTAGATTTGTTAAACGAGAGCATGGCTGGACTGCTTGAACATGTTGGCTTTTCTAGCTTTATAGGGAGCCCGGTCCCAACAGCCGTTTGGGAAGAAACAGCGATTTTCTGAGACCTCTTGCTCGATTTTCGAGTGGATTTCTTGAGGTTCTTGATCCGAATCATGCTTCTCCAGTTTTCATCGATAATTAGTAGACATTCAGTGGAAGGTGTAGTTTGTAGTTCAGAGTAATAGAGGCAATTTCCAGCTCTAACAATCCCCTCGCAGTTCAGAGTGACATTTTGGGTTTTGAGGCAGGTGATTAGGGTTTGACTGGTCGCTTCTACAGCGATTTCTTCGGTTTTTAAGAGTCGTTTTTCAACGGCTTCTTCTTGAGCTGGTTGTTCTGAAGTTTGAGCATCAGCTTTAGCCTCAGAATTCTCGAATATAATTGGAATTTCGGTACATGCTGTTTTTCTTGGAATTCCAGAGTCAGAAGCGCAGATTGTTAGCTAAAATAGGAAAATTATAAGAATCCAACTAGGTTTTCTTACATTTAATGCTCCCATTTGATGGTTTTGACAATTGTAGCTGATTTGCCCGGAAATAGGGTCAATATGGAAACAAGGAGCTTCAGGAATTGAGTAATATATTTCGGCATTTTTTCCGGTATCATCATCTAGAGCTCGAACTCGCCCGATATTGCCCTAAAATTAGAAATAGTTATAGTCTTATTAAAATTCCATTACTTGGCCATTTACAATCAATTTCTTAGGTATTTCCGTAAATCTTGGAGAATTATCGTTAGTATCAGAGATTTGGATAGCAACAATTGTTTCGACTGCCCAAACTCCATCCTCTAGCCCGACTTTCAGACGGTAGAAAGATTCCTTAAAAATATTAGACAATTATTCCAATTTTTTAAAACTTACAGTCTCCCGATCCAAACTTGAATTAACATATATAATCCCTGTTTGCCAGTCAATCATAAATGGAAGGTTTTTCGAGGGTTCCAAGATGGAAAACGAGTGATTTGTCGGGCCGTCAGGGTCTTGGCTTTCGATTTTTATAACCTAAAATGAGAATATCGAGATTTTATGATTTTTGAGCGCTACCTTTGTCCCGATGGGGGAATCTTCAGAAATTGAGGTGTGGAATAGGCGAGTAAATTTTGGGGGGTTGTCATCTTCATCAAGGACTTTTAGCTAAATTTAGATATATAAATAATTCTTGGAAACATTTAAATATTTTACGTGTAATTTAAGTATTCAAATACCTTGACAATAGTAGATCCATTTAATTGTGGTGTTCCAAAGTCAATAGCCAAAACTTTGATTTCGTAATTTTCTTGCACTTCCCGGTCCAATTCTAGGGTATTTGAAAGCACTAAAAATAGTGTATTAATTTTTTATAAAAGCCCTACCTCCAGTCTCTCGATCAATAACAAATAACCCATCATAATTGTTCTCTAATTCATATCGTATTTTTCCATTCTCACCACTATCCCTGTCTTCAGCTTTTAAAGCCAAAATCGGGGTGACTCCCATATTTTCGAGAATTTCGACGGAATACAGGTCCTAAAGCTCATCATTAACTTTTTTAATAAATGGATACCTTATCGAATTTGGGTGAATTATCATTGACATCCACCACCTCAACTCCCAGTAATTGTAAGCTACAAAATGGTGGTGTCTTCTCGGTACAAGCCGTGATTATTAGGGAAGTATTCCTCGACTCCTCGAAGTCGAGATTTTTCCTAAAATTTTGACTTTGTAATTTTTTACCTATTTTCATGCCCACCGTATTCTCACAATTCCACTAGGATCGATGGTGAAGGAGTTTTGGAATTTCGTCGAATCTACGGTATATTGGAGGTTGTCGTTCATAGTGCTTGGTACTGCTTGGAAACGGGTTGCCTGAATTTTGGATTTTAATTAGATTTAAGGTATAATTTCTACCTCCCCAATGTAGTTTTCCTTTAAAGCAAGAGGAGCTTGTCGTAGTGCCTTGAATCTTGGGAAATTTTCGGCGTGAGCTGTGTAGAGGGTGAAACTGGAAGAAGCCGAATGCCCGATTTTATCAGCGACTGTAGAGACGAAGGAAAATTCAGGTTGTGAGGGGAGATCTAAAGCTTTTATGGCTATTTTTTGAATAGTTTAAATACCTTTCCTAGCATAGATTATTCCATTTTTGTCGATAAGGAAATACTCCATATCCGCTCCAGAAATTTTATATCGAAAAATGTCGTTCAAATCTTTGTCAAAAACGCTGACATGCACGACAGGATCTCCTTAAGTATTTTATATTTTATTAGAAGTGCAGAAATACCTGTTTTAAGATTATTTGGAATCAGATAGTCGAGTCTTTTGTTTGCTATCACCGGAATTTCATCATTTACATCCAGAATCGAGATCTCGAGTCTTACGGTAGTTGTACGAGTGTAAATTCTGGAAAAGATTTTTATATCTTTTCTTGCATAATAAGCCGACCGTCCCAGATCCTTCGCTTGAATAGTCAGATTCCAAAATTCATCGCCATCATCGCGATCCAATGCTTTTACAAGCCGAATTTCCCCCGTTTTCATGTCGATTTTAAAGGGGCAGGTGTCTCCGCAGTCAAATATTTCGTAGGTGATGATTCCATTCTCATTTGAATCTCGGTCATTTGCTGTCATTTTAGCAACCATAGTCCCAATTGTTGTATTCTCGTAGATGGCGACTTGTTGAAGAGGTTCAGAAAACATTGGGGAATTGTCGTTGGTATCCAGTACTTTGATAAGGACCGTATTGGTTTCAGAATGTCGTGGCCAGCGGGATTCGGAGATCTAAATAAGTTTTATTAGCTTTAAAATTAGTTTTGCTACATTTTTAAAAATTCTTATTAATTTAAAATGGGCGGCATTGAATTCTAGATTTTTTAACTTACAACCAGCGACAATTCGTGTAGCTTCTCCTTCTCAGCATCAAGAGCTTTTAACAACTTCAAGCTCCCGGTATTCGGACCGACAGCAAATCTCTCATGCTCCCCATTTGTAATTGAATATGTCAACTCAGAATTGTTGACGACAGACGATCCAAGCTGTCCGATTATGACCTAAAAAGGCAGAGATTTACGTCATTTAGTAGCGTATCGTACCCCTTCCTCCGAATTCTCATAAACCTCAATCTCTAGAGGAGAACTGGCCATGACTAGCTCTTGTTTTGAGGGGATCACGTGAATATTTAGGTTTCTAAACGAAACATTGAATGATCTAAATTCTTGCTCAAGACTTACAATTCCCCAGGAGCACCACCGCCAAGTGGAGAAAGACGAATCGGTAGAGAGAAATTTTGAGCGTCAGTATACTCCAATTGACGGTTTAAAGTCACAATTCCGCTTCTGGGATCGATAGAAAATGTTTTGTCGGTTGTGGAGAATATAAAACAATTCTAAAAATTTCGTAAAAATTATGTAATTATGCAAATTACGCTTTGGTCGTTGATAGGAATCTGGGTGATAATCGTCCCGATTTTGGCATCTTTTTCGACGGAGAAATCGGTGATGGGTTCAATTAGGGTGGGTTTTTCAGAGCAGCTCGGGATTATCTGAATTTTATCGCAAAAATAGGTTTTAATTACGATATATAAATACCTGTACAGTAATGGCTTGTTGTGTAGATAAAGACGGACTGCCAGAATCGATAGCTTCAACAATAAAATCGATTTTTCCAGAATTTAGAGCTTTTAAAGGATGTCGTCCAACTTTTATAGACCCAAAAAGTGGATCGATTGAGAAATAAGCGATTGGAAGAGAATCTGGGAGGATTCTAAAGAATATATAAATGCTAAATCAAAAAAAGTAATACAGTACCTGTATCTTAGTAACGAATTCTGAGCACTATCTTCATCTGTCGCTTTCACGACCCCGAAAATCTCTCCAGCCTTCCGATTTTGATCCACCAAAAATACAGTCTGTTCCAGGAACTTTGGGGGGCTATCATTAATGTCGAGAACCTCGATTTCCACGTCACATTCGACGGTATGGACTTAAACACAGGTTTTGCAAAGTGTCACACTCCCTTTAAACCTGTATACGGTAGAATATCATCGTCCAAGGCTATCACCAATCGATGGCTCTTCTTCTTTTCGTGGTCCAGCCCTCCTTGAAGCATCAAATCGCCATTGTTTTTGATCGTAAAAATTCCTTCATCGTTTCCGGAGATGATTTTCGGGTTGAAAAAGGTTTCTAAAAAAATGTAAGCGAAAGTGATTAGCATACCAGAATCTGCATCTCGAAATTCTAGGGTGCCAATTATCGATTCTTGCTTGAAATCTTCAGGAACGGAGAATTTGGCCTTTTTGCAGCTTGGAATCGAATCATTCTCATCTTCAATAATTACAGTAATGTTTTTCTGGCTTGAATATCCACTGGAGAGGCTTTCTTTAATGGAGAGCACGATAAAAGCTTCCTAAAATATTTCTAAAATTAAATTTTCATTTATTACCGCCTCCCGATCGATTCCCTTCTTCGTCCGTACCACTCCGTTTTCATCGATTTCAAATAGATTTTCGTGGTTTAATAATGAAAAGAAATTCACTAAAATTTTTTGTAGATTTTTTGTGATTGTTGAGTTTACCATTTTCAGCAACCATCTGCCCCACTGGGGTCCCGGAAGCCGAATTTTCTCGCACGAAAAAGTAGATGTGATCCCGATTGTCTGTCGGATGGCCCTCTTCGTTGTAATTCCCAGTGATAGCGACTACAACATTAATTTTCGCGCTCAATCCGGCTCTATCCAGCTTCACTTTTAACTTCAAGAGGTGGATGTCCTAAAATGATGGAAATGGTCGAATGAGGGTACTTCCAACCTTTGGAATGGGTTGTTTTAGCCTCAACTCTCCAGTCCTTTGATTAATTGTTATATAAGGGTCTTCAGAAGAGAAAAGGCAGTCTCTTTCGCTTAGTCTCCCTACTCGAAACCCTGGAATTTCGAGTATACCGTAGTTCATCTAATTTTTAAGGTACCTTTCGGGGAATCCCTTTTCATTTCGAAAAATACATCCGGATTTTCGATCCTCGCAGTATCAGGGGTCACTTGCAGATCCATCTAAAAAGTTTAAATAAAAATTAAGGATTTTATGTTACCTGAATATACTGTAGATACGTCGAGTTGTAGATGGTTAAAATATGTTGTAAAGGCGATGATACGGTAGCCAGAGCTTTTGAGACCATAATATCCCCATTTTTTGAGATTTCGAGATAGGGCCCTCCTTCTGGGATTTTTGTAAATGCCGGGAGAGTGTTTTCTTCGAGGTGGATCTAAAATTGAATCGATAGAAATTTAAATATGGTTTTTAAAGCTATAAAATAAATTTTTACCTTTCCAAGAATAGTCCCAATTTTGGTCGAGCTGTTTGCCATTAATTGAGGCAGATTTTTGACCTCGGCGATTTCAGATGCCCGAATTAACGTCAATTTCATTAGTGTGCTTTTTGGGGAGTTTCTATAAATAATTAAAATAGCTTTTAGAACGCTTACAAAGCCATATCCGTTACAGTAACCGCAACTTCATGAATTCCTGGTTTTAGAGTGTCGATGATCAAATGGCCATCTTGCTGGACGCGGAGGCCGTCCACCTAAAAAAAATTGGGTTTGTAATTTGTAGGCTATAGCTTGTAATTTGTAGGCAATAGCTTGTAGTCTATAGTCTCTAGTTTGTAGTCTATAGTTTATCGCCTACCTTCTCGATACTGTATTGCAACGTCCCATTTTCGCCAATATCCGGATCATGGCAATTCAGAGGTACGATAGAAGGAGTTTGATCGATCACAAAATGCGAAATCCCATCGCATATTGGAGCATTGTCGTTCACATCTGATACCGTAATCTTGACAACATCATACAGTACACTTTCGCTACCCTCAGCCCGTATAAACAGCTAAAATTTTGTATTTTTAATTGTTTAAATCTTACTTGACAACTGCTGATTTCCTCTCGATCCAAATTAGCATAAAGCTGCAGTTTTCCCTCGGTAATTTCGACTGGGCAATTTTCAGGAAATTTCGATATTAACGAAAGATCAGCTGCAGTAGACAGTTCAACTTGTGGCAGGTCTGAATCAAGACCGCAATTCTCCTAAATCATCGAGTCTACAGTATGCTGAATTACATACCGTAATTGATAGCTCTTTTGTAAGGAGCTCCAATTTGGTAGTGCCGTCAGTAGTATCGATTCGGATAGGTAGCACCACTTTTGTAGAAACTTTGACCACTTCTTCTCCTTGCTGAATCTTGTCAAGCAGTTCCACCTCGAGAATGGCTTCTTGGCTGCGGAATTTCCTTGGGAGTTCGTTGAGGATGATTCTTCCTTTAGAATCGATGTAAAGCTCAGGAGTGCGACTAAATTAATGTTTAAAACTGTCAAAAAATCGGTAGGTACCTCTTGAACCTGACCGGACTCCCGGAATGGACCCTCAATTGATCGACGATTTCTCCAATTAGCATATTTTTCCGAATTCTCAGTTCTTTTGGGAGATTTTGGAAAACCGGCGGACTGCCGGGCTTTAGCTAAATTTAATTAAATTGGAATTAAGTAATTTTCAATACCATATCGATTAGCTTTGGTGGCTCCAAAAAGGTGTCTTTTTCTGGCGCTCTAGCAACTTCAGCATCTTCGACAAGTTCAACATTAAACTGGCATTTTGTGGTGAGAGGAAAGGCGCTAAAATATATAAATAACTTTTGTAAATCGCTTAAATTACACAAATAAGCTTCATTTTCGAAAGCGAAATTTCATACCTTTTTGATCCAGATAACTGTGGCTGATCGGTAATGGAATATTCTACAGTACTGTTCATTACAGTATCTGGGGCAAGGGTGGAATAATAGATCTAAAAATTTTACACAACTATAAATAATTTTTTTAATACATTTCCGTGTAGATCCACGACCAGCCAATCGATTTTTGATAGCATACGGTAGGCCAGAATTCCGTTGATTCCGCTATCTTTGTCTTGGCCTTGTAGCGTGCAGATTTTTGAACCAAGATCCGATTTTCGATAGATTTTTAGGGATGGGATTTGGGCATCTACAAATTGCTCCTTAATGCAAAGTTTAAAAGCGATTTTCTACCTATTAATGCGCATTCTGGGGCGTTATCATTCACATCCTGGATTTTAATCTCGATATCGGTTTTCCAACGATTGGATTTTGAGCTGAAATTGACTTAATTAATTCTTTAAACTTTTCTAACCTGTGAGAAGCGATGACGGTTAAATAGATTAAATCCATAATTTCATGATCCAGCTCTCGAGATATGTAAATTTCACCTAAATTCAATATTTTTAATTGGCCATTTTTACAGAAACCTACCATTCGGAAAAATTCCTATTGGTAAATTAGCATTTCTAGAGCCAGAATGCAGCCCGAAAATGATGTCAGAACGATTGCTGATTTTTCCAAGCCTCGTTCCCAATTCTGCATCTTCAGCTACCGTATACGCTAGTTTTGCAGGGATTGGCTCATTCTAAGGATTTTTAAAAACCAATTTGATGTTTTTTATTACCTCCAAACTGTCCTCAATTTTGAGAACAATTTTCAGCTCGTCTTTTTGGTTTTCTGCAGAGGTGGCGATGATCTAAAAAGTCAAAAATTAAGGAGCTGATTTAATATGTAAATTACCATGCATTGAATTTGGTCCAAAGGGGGTTCTAGCAGCGTTTTTACAGTAATTATCCCAGTTTTTTGGCCGACAGCCAAGAAAATACAGTCTGTAGTAAATTTCACGCTTATTTCGTCCAAAACTTCGACCTAAATATTTTGATAATTTTAGTTTCAAAATTTCCAAACCATTTCTAGCTCCTTCCCAACCGGGGTATAGTAATTTGCATGTAGAAGTAACTCTTTTTGTGCAAATCTTGGAGGACTTGGAGTGGGTTTTAATTTAAGCTAAATTTAAATAATTAGAAATAATTTAATTAGCATACCAATCCATTTTTCGAGACGCAAATATTCTCGGCATTACAGGCAGATACCGTAAATGGGAATCCAGAACTGCCAGCCTTGGAGTTAAGCCCGTTTTTGGAGACGATAAGCTTTCCGGCTTCAGTGACTTGGACAGGACCGGAAATGACTTCATAACGGACGGCATTCTAAAATAATTTAGATATGAAATTAAAAACATCATACCTTTGTTCCAATTTCCTCGAGCTCAATCTCATGCTCCAAACAGTCTTCATCAACCTCGAATATCCAGTCTTTTTCCGGAAACACCGGAGCGGTTTCATTTCCGCTCAAAAATTCCAGATGCAACGTAGCGTTTATCGGAGCGTAGCGTCCTCCTCCATCAACAGCTCCAACTTCCACCTATAGCAAGAAAAAAAAATTGGATTCTAAAGGAAGATTGCATACCGTAATCGATTTTTCTTTAGGTGGATACAGTAGGAAAATGTCTCCTGTCTCTTCGTCTAGCCAAACCGATCGATTCGAGGGTTTTGAGAGAAAATATTGAATTCTTCGGTATATTCCGGAATCCAGGTCTTCAGCGGTTAAAGTGGAAATCTAGAAAAATCGACGAATAAATTTTTTTTGAAATTTTTATAGGCACCTTGAAGCCAGGAGATTCCGTTCTGCGTACAATCGCGTACTGGTTTTTCCATAGAAAATTTGGAGCATTGTCGTTTTGATCCTAAATGCATTAAAGATATATAGATAGTTATGGAGTGCTAAACAATTTAAACCGAAGAAATTAGATTCATTAAAACCGACCTGAACGTGAACGACTAGATGTTGATGATCACAAAGTACCGGTTTTCCAGAGTCGCAAACCTCGACCACCAAAAAGTGCCATTTGCTATAAAAATACAAAACTATATTAAACAATTAAAATGTAAATTTTAAGTCCATTTAAATTAGCTAACGACCAACCTGTTCTCATAATCCAATCCCTTTCTCAAAATCACATCTCCAGTTTTCTTGTCAATTTGGAAAAAGTCGGAGCCTTTCTTTAGTGTATAGTCCAGGACGGCATTTTGACCGTAATCCTGGGATTCGTCAGTTTTATTACGATTAAAATACCGTACCTGATCTGCCGCTTTTACCGTATAAACGACTCTTCCGATAGGGCGATCCTCACTGACAAAAATTGAGGAATTTTGAGAGATTATTTTTGGAGTGTGGTTATTGACATCAATGATTTGGATGCTAAAATAATTATTTAGTAAATTAATTAATTATATAAATGTCTAAGTAATTTTCATTATTAAATCCAGTACCTTATTTCCGTATTTTCAGGTTTAATACTAGGTGGTGGTGGCATTGTCTCAACTTCTAAGGTGTATTTTGTAGCCTCGTGTACATCTAACTTTTCCTTCGTAACGATAATTCCTAAATTTACAGTATTACAGTAATTTTGTTGTTTTTTACCATTAATCGGATCGATTTCAAATTTTACTGTGCCTTGAATTAAGCGGAAAGTGGAGTATTTTGGAGCGTGGATCTAAACATAAACCTTAGAAACCTTAAAAATGCCAATTACCTGAGAAACATAAGACCCAATAGGTATATCTTCCTTCAATGTAGCGCTCAACGAAGAAGGAATTTTTGAAAAACCAGCTTTTCCGAGCCTTTCGAGATAAATCTGAATTTCTGAAATTATCATACGTTAAAAACAATACCTTCAAGCTCTTCCTGATCCCTTGATCTTTCTCCATCTTTGCAACAGCCTCAAAAACCAGCTCGAAATACTCTGGAGCAAGAGTTGTCGGTCTTTTCTCGAGTCTCAACATCGAGAGCTTCGGATTTCCGCTCAACGAAAAATATCCGGCTTCATTTCCGGAAATGATTTTGAGCGTTCCTAAGTTTAAATACAGAATTTGGTATGCAAATTACCATCAAAACCGGGGGTTCCATCTTTTTGCACTGATACTATTGCGAAAATGCTTCCAATCGGAATGTCATTTTTTAGAAGGGCAAAATCGCGCGAATTTTGGGTTCTAGGACGAAGCTAAATATATTTAAATCAGCTAAATACTTGAATTTAATGTCCAGATGGCTTTTGTCGGATTCTTGTTTGATTTTGATGATGACAGATGTGGTCGAGGAGAGGGGTGGCGTTCCTTAAAACCAAAAATAGCTTTATAAGTGAGCCAAAAAATACCATGATCACTGGCTCGAATGATGAGGGTGCATTCAGAGCATGAGGATTGGGGGTAGCAGCAGGTATGCCAGGTGTCCTGGAATGAGCTCGAGGTTTTAAAGGCATGGCGACAGGTAAGAAGTGGTGCTCAGTCAATTATCGTAAGGAATCGAGTGAGATTTTAAAGGGACAGAGACAGGTAGCCGGAAAGCGTACTTTAGCTGTCAACCTCCCCTGTCCATCAATATCAAAAGAATCCATTTGTCGATCCATTCCTAGTGACACAAGCCCATTCACACCACTATCCACATCCGAAGCCATTATATGAGCGATCGGGTCCCTCACATTTCCTTTAAAATTAAATTTACGTTTTTATAAAATAAGCTAAAATTGCGCACCACTCCAATGCGCCACATATTCATCCTTCTCAAATTGTGGAGCATTGTCATTTGCATCCAGAATATTGACGCTAATGGAAGTGGAGCCGCTTCTGAATTTTTTACAAGTTTTTCGTGGTTTTTAGGTATCTTACTGCCTAGGCGATCCCCCATCAAATGCCGTCAATTCGATGTGTAATTGGTGGAGCTTCTCGTAGTCCAGAGCATTTCTAATCAAATTTTTACAAAAAAGATTAAAAAGAAGGAATACTGTATCTCCAGAAATGGCAGGGAATCGACATCTGGATCGTAGATTAATTTGAAATAGCCTTCATCTCCAGTTAAAGTATATTCAACAATTTTTCCTAAATTTATAAATTAATTTTTCGGTTTAAAAACCTACCATAATCTCCCGAATCAGCATCATTTGCTGGTAATAATGATATTCTTGACCCAACAGCTGCCGATTCAGATATTGTAAAATTCTATGCGCAAAATTGATCGATATTTGTCATTTTTGAGATGGTACCTGGTGACCAGACACAAATTGAGGTAGATTGTCATTAACATCATCGACAAAAATATTCACATGAATTACAGAAGGACCCGCTGAGATTAATAATAGACTATAGGAAGCTGAGGATTCTCGATCAAGAAAATCCGACGTAAAAATCTGGAAAAAAGTCGTAGATAATAAAATACGGTAATTCCTACCTGACCCGTATTCAAATCTACCCGAAATTTGTCTACTTTCGATATGAGACGATAGGTTTTTGAGGATTCCAAGGGGATACTATCAATATAGGTATCGAGGGGAGCATCTAAAATTTGTTTTTCGGCGTTATTTATTTTTTCTATTTTTTTTCAGGAGCGATTTTTTTAGCTTGAGGTGTTCCTTAGAGGCAAATTGCCCTCTTAAGTACATAAGAAAGTGGCGAGAGAAACAGAGAGAGAGATAAAGAGAGAGAGAGAGAGAGAGAGAGAGAGAGAGAGAGAGAGAGAAACCGGATTTAAGCAGCATAAAACGCGTAAGAAAACCACCTACCCTCAGAAATATGGAACTCGACCGTCTGTTCCTGGAGCTGAGCACCAACTTTCAAAATAAATGCGGTAAATAGGAGTGCTACGGAGTAGTACATCTTCTTGTCAGCAATATTAGCATTTTGTAGGGCTGAAAAATTGACAATTAAATTATCTAAAAATCTCCAGGAATTACAAAAAATCGAAAAATCAGGAAAAGCTCCATCTTTTCGATTGAGCACGAGCTGAACCTCCAAAATTCGGACTTTTACAACATTTACAATTTGAGCCCCGGAAAATTGGGCGGCTCGTTGAATGGTTGGAAGTGGCTGTAAAATAGAGGGGGGAGGACGAGGTGAAAGAAGCGGTGGAGGGGGATGAGCAAGATTTGAGCACCAGATAGGTAGCCCTAAAGAAGGAGCAAGAGAAGGGATGGAGGGAGGGAATTGAGGGGAATGAGAGGGAGAATCAACCTCAAAGGAGACCCTAATAGGGCGGTACAAGTTGCAAAAAGCACGGTCACAAATTAGCACGAGGAAGGAGGTGTGAATTTATTGGGAATTTATGTTAATCTGGTAGAAAATTCCTTAAAACATTAAAAGTGTAGTAATTACATCTGAAAAATCCAGGAAGCTACAAAAACAAATTTATAAAGAATAAATACTTTGCAAAAATCAAAAATTTACATAAAAATGGCAAAATGAGGTTAAAAAACATTATCTCAAAATTCCGATACAGTACGGTATTTCCAAATCAAACCCTAAAATACGACGCAAATTACCGTACCAATCAGTCCCATGCTGTTTATGAGACATGGACATAGAGAGACTGTCAGTTATGACCCCGAGGCGTGAATTGTTTGTCTGTGTATTGGGGTACTGGGGTGGATGATTAGAGGAGAGAGAGAGAGAGAGAGAGAGAGAGAGAGAGAGAGAGAGAGAGAGAAAGAGAGAGATACAAACATCCAGACAGCCATACTATGTCTATATGCCAATGAGAGTAGTATTAATCTGTCTCTCTTAAGCGAGACAGAGCGAGAGAAAAAGAGCGTGACAGTGAGCACCAGAATGAAAGAATGGATTGTGGATGGACAATCCACCTCAATCCCCCCTCGGCGGGTCTTGTGTTTCTTCCCTCTTGCTCCCCTGTCCTCCTCCTCCCGATCGTCCATTCTGATGCCCCACAAATGATGCTCAGAGCCCCCGCGGTCTTGCTCCTCTTTCCATTCCATTTCACTCCTCCTTCCGCTCTACCCACAAGCCCCTCTAACCCGTACCTCAAATATTTGGAGGTGGGGATTTGGGATTGGGGTGGAAAATTGAAAAAATGAGGTTTGAATACTGAAAGCGAGAGAGGGAGAGAGCGAGAGAGAGGGGGAGAGAGAGTTAGATAGAAAGAGGAAATATAAAAAAAAACTATCTAACGATTGCAGCATTAACGGTACGCATAGAAAGACGAAACAATAAAAATGAAATTGGCTATGAGTACTGTAAAATCAATTAAAAAAAAGATATATCCATATATCTACCCAATCCTGTAGCTGGATGGTAGCGAGAATTGGTACCCGAACCCCCCGCCACGAATGGGTGCTTGATTGGGGGCAGTTCGCGTGTCTCTCTCTCTCTCTCCCTGTCTCTCTCTCTCTCTCTCGCTCTCTCTCTGCCTCTTTCTCTATGTCTATAATGGGTCAGGTGCATGGGGGGCAAGTGGAGGAGGGCCAGGTGCGGCTTTTTCTGATAGGTTTTTGGAAAGGTAGGTTCTTGTTGGGTACCGGATGGGGCGTGGGGGCTGGCAATTTGCATACAGCCTCGACCGCCTCCCTATTCGTTACGCTACATTGGACATTAAAGGAGGATAGAGAATGGGTGGGGGAGCACGAGGTGGGGATCGGGACGCCTTGATTCACCACTAATCGCTCTAATATGTGCGCGATTTTTTGGAGGTCGAGGGGGTGTAAAGAGGTGTGGGAAGGAATTTAAGGTATGGAATATACTGTAAAAACTATAGATACTGTAAATAGCAAAATTACTGTAGATGACAACTACCAGAGCCGACCTTCATGCTCAGGGTATTTAGCACGATACCGCCAATTTGAGGTGTGCGAGCATTGGTTCGTGCTCTCTCTCTCTCTCTCTCTCTCTCTCTCTCTCTCTCTCTTCTATTCTATATACCCTAAGGGCAATTGACCTTGTATATTCCCCTTCTCTATAGGTCCCGAACCGTCGAACCAGATCTACCCAATTCCACCCCACCCCATACCACCTCACTCTTCCGGTCGGGGATAGAATAATATTCTAGGGCCCTCTTCATTAAGTATTGAGGGGAGAGAGCGAGAGAGAGAGAGAGAGAGACAGGTGCCACACCAAATACTACAGACCATCGTATTATTTGCACAAGAACAATGCATGTCCATGGTATCCATATGGACTCAAAAATCGTGCCCCGCATTGGTTGGGTACTTTAAAGGACAATCGAAGGCAAAATTTAGGTCCTTCATTCCAAAACTGGTAAAATTAAAAAACAGTTCTACAGGTTCAAAATTAGCGATACAGTAACCCAGGTTTCAAGCTGTATTTGAGGATGATTTTCAAGCCACATGAAGATAAATCGAAAACAAGAGCATCGACAAACCCTATGCCCTGAATACCATCTCTCCTGCTCCCCTCCACCCTCCCCCAAGTCGAGAATTAGCAGTTCTATGTCTCTGCATACCCAATTTGAATCCGTCTCTGTGTCCTTGCCCCTCTTTTATTTCTCTCTCACTCACTCTCTCTCTCTCTCTCTCTCTCTCTCCCTGTCTCTTCTACATTTCAACACCAAGGGCACCACAAAAAGCACCAGCTCTCAAAAAGACGCTCCATTCGCACTTTCCTTTGACCCAGAAATTCTAATTGTTAGGTTGAGACTGTGGACAACGGAACTTTTAAGGGAGGAGCACGAGGTTGGAAATGAGGGTGGTGCTCCCGAACTTCAACTAAACTAAATAAACCCGATTTATTCACGTATTAAACAGAATCATTTTAATATTATATATCTAAGGCTCCAACCGTAGACTTCGACTTAATGTAGAAATACAAGCGGCCAGCTGCTCGTAGGTGATTTTCGTGATTTTGCGATCTACAGATATTATTGTTACTTTTTAAACTAGTAAACACTTACCCATGCTCAATTCTGGAGGTAGTGGTAGATCAGCTAAAACCGGGCGAAAATCGGCAAAGCCCAATTCGAGGGGGATATCTTCATTCGCTTCCAAAACCAGCTAAAAACAGTAATTTTCGTATTAGAGTATGCTAATTAATGATATACCTTTCTTAACTCCCGTTTGGCCAACCCTGGATTAGTGTTCTTTCCAAATAAAGCTCTTTGGAACTGTTCGATAAGACGTTTTTTGTAGCTCAGCGTAGTGCCTATTTTCAAGGTATGATTTAGGTATGAAAAATACCATCAATTGAGGAATTGACAATTTGGAAAATTCTTTGAACCATGGCTAGGATCTGGACAACAGGGTCTATTGTTGGGCGAAGGGCTCCACTTCTGAAAATTAAATTTATAAAATGATATTTACAAAAATTACAAAACTAAAAATGACATTTATCGCGTACCTTAAAGTCAAAAGCGGATCCGATTTGTCGACAGCACCAGAAGAGGAGGCTCGTTTATGAGTACGAATTGCAGCTACCGTAAGCCGGCGGGATGGCTGAAATATAGAAATCAAGTTGTATTCATTATTAGCACCCACATTTGGTGGTGGAGGAGCGATTGCCGGAAGTGTAGTAGACAATGGCAGCCTTACTCGCCCTTTTGAAGTGGTGCCAGCCGATAGTGATTTTAATTCCCCTAAAGTTTAAAGAATAACTGATAAAATTTTAGGAAAATACTTTTTGGTTTGTCGATATTTCCAGGATCGATAGAAGGCAATTTTAAATCATTATTCTGTTTTGTCGGGCCATTATTGTGTTGATTCTTGGTGACTTCAGCAGATAGAGATTTTCTTCGTCTTAAAGCTGCTCTAGCACTTGATAGACCCAGTGTAGAAGATGTTGAAGAATTTAGGGATGAAGAGGGAGGTCTGAAAATTCAAAATATACCTGAGCATTGCGATATATTACCTTTTTCCAGTCGAAAATTCACTATAAGAAAACATTCGTTGTTGGGTGTCTTGTGTAGTGGATGGCTGACGTCTAAATATTGATTTTTTGGGGGTAATCAGTAATTTTTAACTACCTAAAAACCTCATCTAAACATAAAATAAGTCTTGGAGCAGCCAATGCAGCCACCCCATCAATATCCGGTCGAGATTGAGGCAAAGAACTCAGACAGCAAGCCACCAGATTTCGAAGCGGTCTAAAATGCAGATAAACTACAGTAAGATTGATGGACATACTCGGAATAGATCTCAGAAATTGGATCATATTTCCCCTCAACAATCATCGTCGCCAATTGGAGCATATTTTGAGAACAAAAAGCGGGTCTCAGGGCGCAAACCTGGATTTTAAAGATATTCTATGACTTTTGAAACCCTACCTCGTAGATACAACACCCAAATGACCATATATCCGCTTTTTCGCCGTATGGAAAGTGTTGAACCACCTCGGGGCTGGAATTTGGATTTTTAGAAGCTTACAATTTTTATTTTTTTTTAGTCAAAAATTGCAAAATTGGTTTTTGCTACTTACCAGCTATAAATAATGGTCCCAGTTGCAGATTTCAAATAATCAGCCCCCTTTTGCTTTGCCAATCCGAAATCCGCTAAAAATCGATTTTTTATAATTATTTAAATCTTTCTTACTAATAACAACCCGATCGCTATCAGTCAGCATAATATTATTGGGTTTTAGGTCCCGATGGACGATTCTTTTGTCTTTATGAAGATACCGTAGGGCTAGTATCATCTAAACAGCTTAAAAATAACGAGATACTTATATACCTGTATAGTGATACTCCAAACTCGTCCTTCTTCAAATTTCTCCCGTTTTTCTTTAGTTGAATTTATATGTTCCTTAAAACCGTTGAAAAATATATACTGAAAAACTCTACTTTTAGCGAAGCTCCTTCTATCAAATCCATGACGACATATAATCGATGGGATTCGACAAATATCTTACGGTATCGCACGATGTTTGGATGGCGTAACTGGATAGAATTTTCAAAATCAGAAATACCGACAAACCTGCTGCTTAATAATTTTTACTTCAGATATAATATCCTCAAAATTCTTCGAATCCGACCCAACACCAGAGCTTGAATCCGAGACGGCATTCATAAAAATCTAGAGACAAAAATTTAATTTCTATAAAGAATTTAAATACCTCTTTTAGAGCAAAATATTGTGGAGCAGCTGCCAGGTCCTTTGATTTCTTTCTGGCAGTGTAGACACAACCAAAAGCTCCTGCTCCCAGTTGTTCGAGGAGGTCGTACTCCCCAACGGTTCCTGAATTCAAAAATTGATTTAAAGTTGGGGACAGTACCGATCGGATCTCTCCTCAAATTGACAGCATCCCAGGCCGCTTTGGTTTCTTCGATGGTTTTCATTTTCTAAAAAATAGGGGTTATTGCAGGAATGTGCATCATTTCTATGTATATGATGTCATATATAACATTACTTACAATCATGGCGTTATAATGCTCAGTAAGAGAGTGATAAGCTGATAAATCATGCACATAGTGCCCAACGTCAATGAAAGCCCCGAAAAAATCGGCCTCAAACACCTTAAAAGAGATTGAAAAAAAATCGAAAGACTTAGCCAACCTTCTTGAAAAAATGACGATTTCTCTCCAATGAAAATAACAATCGTAGGACCCGAAAAACAGAGCACTAAAATTAAATACGATTTTTTAGTTTTTTATGGCTTACTTGTAAGGTATTGTAGTTAGGATTCGTGGAGAGCAATGGAGAATGATAATGGAGAAGCAAAATCTGCCCCAATACATAAATTCCATTGCCATTAACTATCAACAATTGGACACGATCCGATTGGCAGAGCTGGGCTAGTAAAGCGCAGACGCCGGTCATCATTGCTATCCAATCAGCTATGCCACGTTCTGGGACCTGAAAACCACTTAAAAATCAATAAAAAAATGAAAAAGAGAATTTTAGGAGGGATCGGATTTGATACTTATGGCTAATTGCTAAAGCTCTAGCCTACCAATCTCAAGGCCAGGGTTCGAATCCCGTCCGAGACAGAACTTTTTGCCTTTTGAACAACATCTGTAACACTTTTTTTAGAGTATCTTAACATACTTTAGCAACATATAACATAGCCAACGACAGTGACACCCCTCCAAGTGTCGCCACTTCAGTAGCAGTCTCAATATCCTCAGCCAATTGCGCCAATGACCATGCGACGTGCCATTGTAATCGACTGTTTTTTACGGATAAGAGTCTAAACTACAAGTATGAACTATGAACTACAAAATACCCAACGAGCAATGGTACACCGTCGTAGATCTTGATTTGTTCTCGAGCTTGTTCTTCACAGGAGAGAATTCGTAATAGACTCACGCATAGCCTAAAAGTATAGATTTTCAATTTCCTACGTTTTAAACATACTTTTGCGTTAATAAATCACTAGATGGAGCCAATTGCAGGCAAACGTCAATGGCTGTAGATGCACATAATTCAACCCGGCATTGTGCGGAGAAATCTGCCAACCGACCGAGGACCTAATTTGTATACGTTAACGTCTTAAAGAAAGTCATTTAACATACCTCCAATGCTCCTTGTAATATACTCATATCCCGACTTGTTAAAAGCTCCAAAACACATTTAAAAAGCCGATAAGTCACGAACAACTCGACGAATTCTTTCTTTGAGCAAAGCTTTTGCAAAATATCTAAAATATCGATTTTATAAGCTAATTTTGGGGTTAATTACTTAGTAAAGTTGATGCAGATTGTGCGTATTCTGTCGTATTGTCATGCGCAAAATATTGCGAGGATACGTAGTCGCAAAACTAAAAAACTCGTTGGCATCTGAAAAGCTATGTTTCACCTGCACGAAATTGGCGTGCAATTGGAGCTCGTGGAATCTATCGACCAGCAATTTGTCACGCAGTAAAACACGGCAAATTCTGAATAAAATAAGGATAAAAAGCATTAAAAACCAAGATTTCCTACCGTAACAGGGGATGAAACCATTTTCTGGGTGGTCGAGAAGCTAGCCAAGATAAAAATCCAATCCGCTTTTGAATAATCGATTCTAGGATTTTAATCGATATTCCTTTTTCTGACAATTCGACGGCAACATCTTCTGTGTAGTTTTCACTACAAAAAATACAAAAATTTAATTTAAAAACTTACATAAACTTATTACACAGCGATACTTCATTATGAACATTGGTGGGTTGATTATGAATCTCGAACGACAGAGAATGAAGCAATTGAGCCGAATAATTCATCTGTCAAGGTATTATCATCATTTTCTTGTCATCACATTCAAATATAGTTGCTAGTCCATCTAGTTTCTTTCAGCTGCGCTTAAAATGGCCCTCTCTCGGGGCCCCCTTTTGGACCTTAGCAACCAGAAATGGCCCTTGACAACACACACTTCTCTCACTCCTCTCACTCTCTCTCTCTCTCTCTCCCTCTCTCTCTCTCTCTCAGCTTCTCATCCTCTCAAAAAATGACACCCTCCAACAAGTACCAATTATCAAACCCCTCGGGTAACCTGGGCACCTGCACTTTTTGGAGGAGGAATGGAAATGAACTTTGAAGGGTTCAAAAGGTTTGCAAAACTTTTAAAGGAACATGGAAGTGAAAAATTACAAAATTTGTATCGATTTGACTTCAGGGGTCCTTCAAAACGTCTAAACCGAAGCTTTTGGACTAAAAGACTTACCAAAAACCCGTCTGGATCATTTGTTTTAGAGATGTTCTTCTGAGTTTCGACTTCTTGCTGAAAACAGCTTAAGAATACGTAGTGACTCATTAAAATACCTTATACATGGTTTTCTAGTTGCAAGAATAAATTGCCATTTTTAAGAATAAATAAAATCTTTTACGCAACCTGCAGAGTAAACGGAAGATATGTGTGAAGTGGAGCGAATAAAACCCCTACTTGAGAACTTTCTTATTGCACCCATGGGGTTGAACTTCCGAGGGGGGGCATTTCCGGTCTAAAATGGGCACATGGCAGGGTGGAACACGGGGCGGTGACCCGAAAATTTGAAGAGAAGTTGGAAAATGGGAATTTCGAGGTGTTGAGAGGAGGCCAGAGGGTTTAGCAAATTTTAAAGGAGCGCGTAACCTTGGGTGAAGCTAAGAAAGAGCGAGAGAGAAAGCGAGTGAGCGAGAGAGAAACAGACAGAGAAAGCGAGAGAGAAACTGGATAATCAGAAACTCCGAAATTTCGAACGCTTTTCGGTCCCATTCAATCCCGGGGCGCTTCTACCCCATTTGGGGGCCTCAAAAACACCAAACAAAGAACCATTGGCAGGCCACTTCGTCCCCCTAACACCCCGAAAGTACACCCAATGTTACTGTATTTCCCACCATTCTCTCTCTCTCTCTCTCTCTCTCTCTCTCCTCGTATACATGAAGCCTTTCCCCTTCTCCCTACTCATTTATTCTGAGCGATCCTCCATCCCCTTTTCCAACCCTTCCACACCGTCACTGTATGGGGGTCTATCTGGGTCTATATGGTCCAACCCCATCCTCCTCCGATCAATTGCCATCGGCGCCACCAGACAGTCTCCATCCGGCTCCTCCCTCTCCGGCTCCGGCTCCTTCTTTGTCAACACCTCACAACTCGCCTGTTTTTCTGGTACTGAATTTTAGTAATGTTCCCTGTTTCGGCTTGGAGATTCAGCTCGAATCTATAGGTATTGAAACAGAAAGCTCTCTCTTCCTTGCTCTTAGTCAATTGGTAAGTCTCTCGTCTACCAATCTTAAGGCCCAAGTTCGAACCCGGCACGCGGATTTTTTTTGCTTATTTGGGATCTACTTTTAGCTGTATTTTGTGTCTATCCACAACCCCTATAACGTCCTAGTCTTAATTTTTTGCCCTCAAATGCAATCTTATTCTGAGGCTTCGGTAGTCGCTATATTTCTCATTTTCAGCAATGATGTTCGAGGTGCCATACCTGAACTATCTGTTCGAACTTCTACTGTTTGGGCGTCGAGATGATCGTGGATTACATGGGAAGGCTGATCGGCTCAACCATTTTGTGACTGCTGGGCTGTTGCTCTTCTTTTGTCTCGTCATCTCGGCTAGACAGTAAGTTATTTGCCGCTTCCTTCATTGTATTCGGGGTTTATATTAGGCGAGAGAGAGAAACATGGAAAAATCTAGTCATAGAGACGCGCTAGCAGCGCTTTCAAAAAGCCTAAACCTTCTGCATTGACGATTTAAAGGGACAGAGACATAAAATTCCCATGTCAAGAGCTCACTATTTTCGAGTCCCGGATCCGCTTGAGCTGTCACTATCCCTTTAATTCCCTCATCTTCTCCAGCCCCTTCTAGAGCTTGAGCATGATTCATACGTGTTTACTCCATTCTTCATTTCTCTAGAACCCCTCTTGCATATACCGATCAATTCACGGCGTCTATGATCTGTCCGCCCTCCATCCCCCAGGCTGTTGTTTTTCAAAATTCAGCGACTCTCCATTACACTATACATCTATTGACGTTTGGTTAGACCACCCGGGGACTGTTCTTTCTTTCAAAAAGCTCTAGAACACTGAACTATCGTTTTAAGGGGTTTGGAAGGATTTTAAAACCACTTAAAGGTTAATGTTGTAGATATGTCGGCTCGGCAATGCAATGCTGGTTCCCCCAAGAATATTCCGGGAGCTGGATGGAATATGTTCATGATTATTGTTTCATCCAAAATACGTACTATGTGGCGTTTAATGACACCAATGTCAGTGATGACGAGGTAAGGATTTAGTGATTTTTTTAACTAAGAAATTTGATTTCCGGTGCGGATTGGGTACTACCAATGGATTCCGCTGTTTCTGGCGCTGCAAGGATTGTGTTTTATGGTGCCACAATGGCTGTGGGGGACATTGAATGGTGTTACTGGTAAGGGGGAGAGCGAGAGAGAGAGAGAGAGAAAGAGACGGCTCTTAAAGGCACAGTAACACCCTGATTTTAGGTTTCAACGTTAGTGACTTCCACTCGGACGCGCTGTACCTTGCTTCGATGCCCCACAATGGAGAAAAACACGCAAAAGAATTGGACAAACAAAGCCACAACCTCCTCGAATGCCTCGTTATGCAAATCGATACTAAGTAAGCTTCCACTCGCTTTAAAACGCGATTTTAGGGGTTATTTCGTAACCTCCCTTTATATGGTAATCAAGGCCTTGTACCTCATCAATGTTTTTGCCCAATTCTTCATCATCAATGCCATTATCGGGGCTGGATCACAGATATGGGGACTGGACGTATGGAAATTTAACGGTTCCTTAGTATCTGATATTTTTAGGCCTTTTGGAATATGATGAAAGGAGAGTCTTGGGAAGAACTAGGGCTTTTCCCTCGCGTTACTTTTTGTGACTATGTGGTAAGATCTAACCAAGTTGGTCTAGTTTTTAAGGTGCGCCACATGGGAAATACTCAAAGGAATACGGTACAATGTGTTTTAATGCTGAATATGTTTAACGAAAAGATCTATATGTTTTTGTGGTAAGGATACGGTAGAAAATAGAGTTAAAAACGTTCTAGGTTCTGGCTAATTTTTGTGATGACAGTGAACATCACCAGTTTCATCACCAACTTCAAACTGTTAGGATCGGAAAAGGAAAGAATTCAGATGTGTGAAGGGTATATAGATGTCGCTACCCCTTTAAAAGGCTTTAAGATGGATCGATTATACTAAAATCCCGGAGGAGCATAGGAGATTAAGCAACAAGTTTGTGAGGAATATGCTGAAAGCTGGTGAGTAGGGTACTTTATAATAGATAATTTTTAGATGGCGCCCTGCTATTCCATTTTATTCAAAGCAAAGCTGGGACTGCTGTAACTAAAGAATTGATTACTGGAGTTTTTGAGAATTATTTGGATATGGTAGGGGAAAAATCTCAAAATACTAGATAAAGATTTTTAGATAATTCCAAAAATCGTCAAACCACTAACAAGCGATGACTCCGGAAATGAAAAAGAGGAAAAGAACGACGATGTTAAGAGTATCACTTCGGAAACTGAAGCCAACTCTTTGATTCCAAAGGTATAACCCTTCTTAAGGCTCACTTCTCTTTTTAGACGCCCATGGACCGTTTTGAAGTCCCAAAACCCGATATGGACCTCTCTGATGTTGAAGAACCCTCCCTAGATGTTAAGGGAATGAAAATCGATCCAATACTCTAATTTTCCAAACCCAAACCCCGCCGAAAATCAAATCCCATCGAATAGCTAAATTCTGAATTTCGGCTCTAACCCTTAAAATTACCACTTCTCCGCCAAATTCGATGTTGATTTGATTTTAGCTGAAAAATCTCCTCAATTACTCATTTCACGTTATTTCGCAACAGAAGCACTTTTTTGAGTTCTTTGTGTTTTCTTTTATTTTGCACATCGTGGCGCACACCTCCTATTTTTTTTTTAGTTTTGCTTGCCGGGCTGTTTATTTGGCTAATAAAGCTTTGTTGGGTGTATTGATTGCCTTACTTATTGTTAGCTTTGCTTGCTATATTTATGCTAAAAATCGTGCAGCAATTTTTTATTAATTGTATATTTAGGGCAATGCAGGGCCTGGGGTCACGCGAATATGAAGATCGCGCAGATACCTGCAGGTAGGGTTTTAGATTTTAAAGCTTTTTAAGATTGAAACTAAAATTATCAATTTTTCAGGCCCCCCGAACTCGATCGGATCTTGGAAATGCCATTGATGGAAAAGAAACAGCGTGCCGATCATGAATGGGATCCCAGTGATCATTCTCCCAATATCTACATAGATAGAGATAACCTATCTGTATTTTCTCGCATCGAGGTAAGTTTTAGTTGAATTTAAGGCCATTCTAAGGTTTATTTTAGTTCGGCACTACAGTTGATTGTGTCCGCGGAGCCGTCGCCTACCGTACTGGCTTCCACGTCTGGGAAATCAATTGGCCACGCCAAGATCGTGGCCCAGCAGCTATCATCGGATTTGGGAATCGTCTCGTCTCCCTCTGCAATCCACAATATCGTCCTATCCTTGGAATAGAACCGAACAGCTTTGGATGGAACATCAGTCAAAATGTCACCATCACCCAAGGAGGCAAAAGAACTCCATACCCACATGGATTGGCCCGGGTTGGACCAAATTACACAGTCGGCGACACTTTCTACTGTATCCTCGATTTGAACGAGGGCACAATGGCATTCGCGACTGATACCCAATACTTGGGTGTAGCCTATCGAGGGCTGAGAGGACCGCTGTATTTAATGGCTTCATCTGAACAGACACATTGCCAAGTCACTCTCACATATCGTGGTGGGCTGAATGGGGTACGGCGTTTGGAAGAACTCTGTCGTGCACAGATCCGTCGAAACATTGGCCGGGGAAATTTCAAGACGGTCGTTCATCTCCCGTTGCCCCGTCATTTGAGGCGCTATATTCTTTTTGAGTACTAGACATCGTGCAGGGCTCTGTGTCTTTATGCACCTATTTCATTTTGATGCACCCAATTTTAGTTCTTTTATGCACCAAGTACTTAGAAATGTTTAGAGATTTATGCACCCAATCGACGCGTTTTTGTGCTTTTACAAAAATCGTGTTTTTTTGAATCTTTGCATGTGTTTTTGCTTGTCGTTCTCAGCTACATATCTCAAGAAACTCACGGTTGTGATTAACTGGTGCCTTACCTCCTATGATATCATGGAAATGCTTTATCTCATGGCTAGTCTAATAAATATATATGATCGATATTAGAGAGCGAGAGAGTGAGAGAGTGAGAGAGAGAGAGAGGCCGCGAGAGCGAGAGCGAGCACCTAAATGGCAGCCAAATACAGACACAAGTTCCAGTTTCAAACCTAACTGGACTCCAGAGAACGAGCAGTGAACACTCAAAGAACATCAAGGACAGGGGAAGAGAATGGTATATAAGACAGGGGAACGAGCATCAAACCTAAGTTTCTGAAAATAAGGTTCAAATGCGCAGCGGACTTCTCCTAACACGACTTATTGCAATTAGACCATCAACTTCGAGCTATAATGGTTAGTTCCTGCTTTTAAAGTTTTTTGAGTAGACCGTTTAGCTGGTCTTATGACGATTTCTTCAAACACTACTACCGAGATAACCGGACCGTATTATGAAGCTACTTCGCTAAACACGGATTTATTAGATCATGCGGTAAAGGAATTCAAATCCTTTCAAAAAACTGTAAACTTTAATCGAATCGCTGAGAAGGTAGACTAAAAAAACCCACGAGAAATTAGTTATATTCTAGGTCATCCCTGTGAAAGCTACGCCTAATCATTTACAATGTGAATTGGTGCTTGGACGAGAACATTTGAATTCCAAGGTTCGTGATAAAAACGGATAAGCAAGACGTTTTCAGGGTACTTTACATGGTGGTATGACAGCAGCTATTGTTGATATCGTAACAGCAAGAGCTGTAGGACTAACAAATCGTAATCAGGGAATGGCTAGTATCGAGATATCGGTTAGGTAAGTAAAAACGCAAATTCAAACTGTAAAGACAACATTTGCAGCTATCTAGCCCCTATCCAACTTGGAGATACGGTCCTCATTCAAGCAACTGTGCTTAAACATGGACGAAATATAGGTAGGAGGCCAAAAACTACCTAACTTGTTTTTTAGCCTTTACCGAATGTGAATTCCGACGGAAATCCGATGACAAACTGTGCGTGAAGGCGCGTCACACAATTGCCCTCATTTCGGGGCAACCCTCTGTGTTCGCCGAAAATACGGAACTATGCTAGTCGATCCTATTGATGCGTTGTTTTGCCGCATTTATCCGGTGCCCTATGATAAACGTTTATCGATTTTTGAAGTTGGCGGGAGTCTATTGAAGTTTTTACACTTAAAATGACGTAACTCGTGATTTTTAATGGTTTTTAAAGAGTGGAAAATTTTTTTAGATTGTTTTAGAGCTTAAGAAGTTAATGCAACCACTTCATGTATTTTTATGCAAAAATATTCCCATACAAAGATTTCCAAAGCCCCTCAACGGTCAAGGACACGTAATGTGGGAAGAGGGACGAGAAGATTGAAGCCGATAGTGGCCGCCATGAGTGCACCTCCTTTCGATTCCCCCTTTTCATTCTCTTTTTACTGTTTTCCTAGATTTTCCTCTATTTCCTAATCGTTTTCTTAACCCTTAACCTCAATTCCGGTTGTTCTACTCGGATATATATGGCGTAAACCCGAGCAATCCACCCATGTTCAGCCCCCAACGCGCATATACCCTTTTCGCGATGACACCGCCACCAGGCACCCATGAATTGTCGGACGGCCAAGGGAATTCGGCAGAAAATGATTTTATGCAGTATGCCCGTGACGAGTTCGCCTCGTTTGCCGGCGCGGAAAACTTTAATCGAGTCGCCGAAAAGGTTGGTTGAAATTTTAATGTATTTTTGAGGGCATGATCCCATTATATGCGACCTAATTATAGATAGTACCTATCGAGGCGGAGAAAGGTCGTCTGCTATGTGAGTTGACTGTTGAAGACGATCATCTCAATTCTAAGGTTGCTATTACAAGATCTTAAATAAATATTGTATTTTAGGGAACGGTTCATGGCGGTATGGCCGCTTCGATTGTGGATATTGTGACGGCTCGGGCTGTAGGTCTAACAACGCGTGACAAAGGGATGGCTAGTATTGAAATTTCTGTCAGGTAATTCTTTTCTGCCATTTAATACATTATTATTTAGCTACTTGGCCCCGATCCTGCGCGGAGATGTCATTACAATTGAGGCAAACGTGCTAAAAAATGGGCGGACTATTGGTTAGAGTCTTAAATATAAAGTTTAATTGATATCTTAGCATTCACTGAGTGTGAGCTGCGCAAGAAGTCTGACGGACGTCTCTGCGTAAAAGGCCGTCACACGATCGCCTTCCTTCCCGGTCAGCCACCAGTCCATAATGGAAAACCACAATTATTCTAGGACATTAAAGCGATTGTTTTGAAATGAACATTTAATTATGATAATCTGTGATTTTGGGCCTGAATAAATTGATCTTTACCTTCAATTTCAGGACTTTTGGAGCTTCAACTCTGATTTGGTGCCTACAAGTTTTAACCCTGATGGATACGAAAGTTTTTAGGTTTGAAATGCTGACTTCTTGGGAAAAGCCGCTGAAGGAAGAAGAAGACGAAGAATCGACCATCCCCACCCCGTATCTTGGCTTTGCCCGCGAGGAGTTCAACAAAATGGCATCCAATGGATTCACGAAGGTGTTGGCCGGGGTCAGGATTTTAGCATTTTTGACAATATTTTAATTTTGGGTGATGCCTGTGATTGCCGCTCCAAACCAACTGGTGGTGATGTTTACTGTTACGCCAGGAATGCTCGATCCGTTGGTGATCAATAATCAATAACATATACGAATCTTTATCTCTTAGGGAAATCTCTCGATGGGCTTCATCTTGACGCTTACGGATTGTGTAACTTCCCGAGCTGCCCGCATCGACAACCAGAATCTGAAGACAGTTTCCGTTACACTCGAAGCAAAGTTTGTTAATTTTACTATTTATTTTTATTGTTTTTTTAGGATGGGAAAAAGCAGGCGGGTCGTCGTCGGCCAGGTTATGTATGGCCGCGGAAATACCGACTTCATCAACGACAACCTGGTCATGGGAAGCTTCTTCTTTCAAGAGCGAAATGGAGAGAAGCTCGACTATTGGACCGGTAGCCACACAATGTCTATCGTTAAGAATTGATTCTAGTTTTTGATCTCGAATTCTTGGGTAAAATTGCACCTACACCCTTCCTTGATCTGAAACTATCGCATTTTTGGGTATTTTTGCGGTTATTATATCTAGTATTAAGAACCTGTCTTTTTTCTGAGTTCTGCGCAAATGCAAGACCAGGCTTTTCTCGCTTGAATGGTCATATTTTTGCGATTAAAAAAGCCACTTCCTCCTCGAATTATGTGTTTGTAAGCCAATTTTTTTACGTGTGTCTCTTTTTTGTTATGGGTATTTAAGAAAAAACGTTATTTTATGCTAAAACTTTGCACAAATTGCGAGGAAATTTGCCATTCCAAAAAAAGACACGTTGCACATGATCAAAATAGTGGGGAGGGGAAAATGAATTATTTGGAGTAGGGAATTGCAGCATTGAAGGCAAGTGGGAAGGGCCACAAAAATAGAACGAAAAATAATAGTAAGGGGACGGTGGAGATCAACATGAATGTGATTGACGGATAATAATTATAATAGAAAATATTGGCAAGATCGGCAAGACAAGAAAAAGACAAGAAAAGGCAACAATAAAGTACAAAATTTAAGGTAAAACGAAATATATATATGAATGCGAGTATCATGACTTGTTCACCTTCTCTTCACCAAGTTGCGTCATTCCTCCGTGCTGAAAAGGGTCAAACTCAGGGATAAGTGTTGTAAACTACCAGTTGTGGATTGTAGCTTGAGAGATCAAATGGTGCTCCCATTCCGAGATGTTCAGATCCGGCTCCAAGCATTCCACCGTATCCAGACATCATTCCCCCTGGTGCTCCTGAACAAAATTTCTATTTGATTATTTTCTATTACCTAGCATCCCATAAGCGGGCATTGCTCCTGCAGCTGATGCGGCCGGAAAACCTATAAATTCTGAATTTTTTAGAGCTTAGCCTTCATTAATGCTGATTTTTATAGCGGACTCATACCTCCCAATCCTTGTGCCGCCGCCTTTTTCGCCGCATACATATTGGCTTCCTCTTGCGCTTTTGCGATGTTTTTCTTATATCGAATTCGCTTGTTTCCGAACCAATTCGACACCTAGAAAAGTGTAATTTAAAGTATTCGATGATATAGACTCACCTGTGATACAGTAATCTGACATTGTCTGGCGAGATCTTCTTTGGCTTCTTCGCTGGGATAGGGATTACTCAAATGAGCGTAGAAATATTCATTAAGGATTTCAGTCGCTTGTTTCGAGAAGTTTCGTCGTTTTCTCCTAAAATATTTATTTGGTATGTATCGTAGTATTGAATTATACCTCGCATCCAAATGTCTACTTCTCAGGATCATCACAGCCTCACAGGTGCTTTGCTTTAGTTGCACCTAGAAATTGGACTAAATTGGCGGTTTAAAATTCCTTACCTGGATCATATTAAATTTTCTTTGTATGATAGACACCATTCTATCAACTTCGGTCTTGGCAATGGGTCTTAATCTTTGTTGATCTCTCAATAGTGCCATGACGTGTTGGGTGAATTCTCCGCAAGCCTAAAAGATTTGTTTAGTAAGTTTTACTTAAAAATGAATATACCTCTTCATACCGTACCAACTCGTTATTATAGACAGATCTAATTTGAGAGAGCTTCATCCGATAATCCGCTTGATCTGTTGAGGAGGCATCAGCACCCAGGGAGGCATTTTTATCGGGTCCCGCCACGCCTTCTGCTACCTAAAACGATTATTTTGGTTTTTAAAGTAGCGCTATCTTCTTACCAGCATGTTATCTAGCCTCATCAATTGTGGATCATCTCCTTGATCGTCTAGACCGGAGTGTTGGAGCCGGAGGACTAAATATAAAGGTTAAGAGAAAAATTTTGCCTTACCAGTCTTTTCCTTGACCTCACACAACACTTGGAAAAGTGCTGCTCGCATTGAATGGGTCTCGAGCGCCTTTTTTCTAGAATTAATTTATAAATAAGCCATAGAATCTTTTACTTGTCATGATTATTATCTTCTAACGTCTCGTCCGAAATGACCCGCAATGATTGCAGCATTTCGGCCAGGTTGTTTGGTGGCTCGATGGAGACCACCATTTTTGGAAAATTGCCCTGAAAAAATCATTCTTATTAAGGATTAGAAGATGACAATATAGTATATTTAATGCATAAAAATATAGATAAAAATCCGGTAAAACGGATAACTTAAAAACTTTTAGATTACGAAAAAGTCAGCCATTTATCGAGGTAGAACAAGCACCAAATATATAAACAATCACACAATTATACTCCTGTCGGCAAGGCATGAAATGGAATCAAATTTGCATAAAAATGAATAATATAATGCAATGAAAAGAAAATTATGTCGAATATTGGTGGGGGGAGAAAGCTCGTCAGTGTATCTTACACGTAGAGGGAGGTAGATGATGGGTAATAACAATAGTATAATAATGTAATGTAATGGGATGGAGGGGGAGATCACGAAAATTGAATTTAGCATTTGTCGAATTTCTATTTTGGTGGCTGTTCGGGTTGGGCGCCGAAATTTGAATAGTAGGCCATCTGAAAAAAATTATATAAAATTTTATACCTTAAAAACGTACCACTTGAGGGTTATAAGCCGCCAAATCAAATCCAAGATGTGGATTAGAATTTCCGAGTAAACCGTAGGACATTGCCATTGGGGGCATGCCTAAAAAAGTATTCAAAATTGAGTATACGCAAATTACCTAACACGCCATAAGCCGGCATTCCACCTGGACCACCTGGTCCTGGGCCAAAATCTAAAAAATAATTTAGAAATATGGATCTAGTATCGTATATTAAATACAAATTAGCATGCTAGCATAATTAGCATAATCGCTTAGCATATCTTACTTGTGCCAGTTGAAGGTGGCTGAGGTGGCTGCACCCCTCTCCCAACGCTCTTCTTATATCGAATCCGCTTGTTTCCGAACCAGTTAGAAACCTAGAATAATTTTTTTACAGATTTTCTTCCACTTTTCGCACCTGCGAAACAGAAATATTGCATCTACGCGCGAGATCCTCCTTCACCTCCTCGCTTGGATAAGGATTTGAAAGGTTTTGGAAGAAATAATCGTTCAAAATATCGGTGGCCGATTTTGAGAAGTTCCGCCGCTTTCGTCTAGAGATTTTTGTAAGTTTTATATACGCCATTTTTTACCTGGCATCGCAGAATCGATTCTTTAGCAACATCAAATTCTCGCAAACGGCTTGCTTGATGTAGATTTGAATTCGGCGGAATTTCTTTTGAATCACTGCCTGCATTCGTTCTTTCTCGTCCCGAGTGACCGGGCGGATTCTAAAATCATTAAATTTACTAGAATTTAATGAATTTTTAATTACCTTTCATGTTCTGACAATAAAGCGACAGCATTTTCCACAAAATTTGTTTGGAACTAAATATTAAGCTTTAAATTAAGCCTTAATTATTAAAATTACCCTTCCAGCCTCATCCATATACATTTCATATTTTGTTTTTTGTTCTGTTAGCTTTAGCTTGTAATCCTCTTGATCTTCCGCAGCACTGCTAGGTATTTCTGGTCCGGTTAAGCCGGAAATTCCATGTCCAAGCTAAATGAAGCCATAAAGTTATCACTTAATTAACATACCAACATATTATCCAGCCTCGCCATTTCTTGAACAGATTCTTTATCATCTGGATCATCATGACAACTCGAAATTCTATAGCGTTCTTTTGCCTCGGCTAGGCAATCCCTCAAAGCACCGAGCTTCGGATTTGCATATAGGGTATTTAATCTAAAATGAATTTTAAAAAGCCTTTCAATCACTTACTGTTGTCTATAAGGCAATTCGGGCTTTGTATAGTCGTCTAATCGAAGTTCTGATATTTCATAGAGCTTCGCGATCAAGTCTTGGATATCTGCTTTTTGTTCCAGAGGTTTTAACTCGACTATGTCAACCATCTGAAAAAAAATTTAACTTAATTAGAATATAGCAGTTAATAAGAATTAGGAGGTAATGGAATCAAAAAATTCGGGAGTCTGAGTCAAATCTGGGAGTGGAATGAAGAAAAAAGAAAGAGGGGGGAGGTGAGCCATTTCCAAGCCAGTGCCCGGGCGCATAAATTGCCGTGGCGGTCGTAAATTTTGGGAAAATTAGCGAAGAGAATCGATTGGTTTTTGGGATGGATTCGGGGTTTTTAATAGGTGGAAAATTGGTGATTACGGTGAATTACAGTATTCTCAAGCTACTGTAAAGTTTAGGCACATTTGGAAAATGCAAAATATCGTATTTTATTAAATAATAGCAAAAACATTAGGCTCTCTAGTTTTATAGTTTAGAAAGGTGGAAAATTAGATTATAGATAGCATGCTAAAGGTATAATTTACTTTCTAAAAACTCAATATATCATAATCAATTAAAAACACAGTGAAAACGCGTTTTTCTACAGTATTTAGCTTGTATATAGGAGTTTAACCTAGCCAAAAGTCATTTGAAAAGCATTTAAGGCGTCTTAATCTAGCTGTATTTTGAAACAAAAATTTATACAGCATCGGAAGCAAATTTTCGAATTTTTTAATGATTTTTACAAAACCAAAAAAGCATAGCCGATGGGTTGTACAAACCAATGGAAAAGCCGATAATCGGTGAATGGCCTTGTATTCTCGTGGCCTTCCCCTTCCCCTTCTCGAAAAAGAAAGAGACGGTCGATGTTTTATGGGGGTGAGAACGTGTCCCGCTAAGAATAACAACCAGATCCAAGTTGCCGCTTATCATTTCTCGTTTAAGGGCACATAAAATATGGACTGCCAAGCGGAGGAAGGGAGGGAGGAAGGAAGAGGAGGCACTCAACCCCTACACCCTCCCCCTCCAACAGCATTTTATGGGCTTATTCGAATAGAGGGCTAGAACCGCTACTTGGCTAAATTTTTGAGGCCTGAAAATTTTAAGAAAATGGAATTAGGTAAATTTATGGGGTTTTAGGAGAATTATGCAAATTATGCAAACGCTACAAAAATTTATGAGCAAAAATACCGGCCAGTAATTTTAATAAAACTGACTATTTACTTAAAGAGCTATTTACATAAATTTTTAGAGGAATTTGTGATAAAATAATGAAATTACGCAAATCTAAAGAGGAAATGGATGCTAAAAATCTAGAGATCTGGAATCAAAAATAAGAATAAAAAAGTATAATAAACCTGGGCAACGAGGGTTTTTAATAAAAATTTTAGTTGTAGAAAAATCATAAAAACGTCAATTATGCAAATCTAAGGAGAAATCACGTATGCAAAAAAAATTTGGAGGTAATAATGAGAAAAACAAAGCCAGAAAGTGTAATAAACCATCCAGCCAATAACCAGGCCATAATTCTAATGGGCGTGTCGCCAATATCTATTCAAATCCCCTTAAAACCCGAGCCGAAAGCTATCCACTCCCTGAGACGACATCAGGAGATGTCCATCCAGGCCGTGGAGGATATAACCCGAGGGTATTGTCGCTTGGGAACACACATGGTTACAGCCAGCGGATAGAGGCAGAAGGGATCTCACGAATACATCAAGTACCGGAAATGGATGGGGGTGATAATGCACTAAAAGAAATTGGGGTTAGGGGATAGGCGTAGAGGGAGAATGGATGGGAATTGTGCCCTGATGTTTGTTAATAGCAGGGAATGCAGCTGGAAAGGATTGTAAAAAAGGTTGAGGGGTGTTTTTGGAATTAATTGAGGGTAGATGGGATGGATTTGAATTTTCTGGAGGGCTAGAATAGCCGGAGAAAGACCTTAAGAACACTAAAAATTCCAAAAACTAGAAATATCCGATTTTAAACGAATTTTCAACATTTTTAAAAAATTACGAAAGTCGCGAAAAAATTGCGCGGCATTTTAACATTATTTTAGGGAAAGAGGGTATGGGTTTGAATTTTCTAGAGGATTATAGTAACCGGAAAAGGCGCTACAAATAAAAAATACGATTTTCACCAATTTTACAAGATTTTGAAATTATTTAAGGGCCATAGGATCAATTCTAATTTTTGGAAGGGCTAAAATAGCTAGAGAAAGCTTATAAAAAAGGCAAAAAACTCCAAAACAGATTTTGAAAACGATTTTCCAATAATTCCCGGCCCAGATCACGCGCCACGATACGTGGAACATTCCTTTTCAGGGGCGGCAATCCGTAGGTAACGATCGTGGGGATGAGAGGTGTAAAAATCGGGGGAAATGTTGAGAAAAGAAGGGGGCGGCAGGGGATGGATGGGAGATCATCAGATACGGTCGGCAAATTAAAAAAGAAGAGAACGCAACGGGGGGAAGAAGGAGGAGGTCGTTCTGAAACTGTACACAGTACATTTGTCAAGCAAAGGCGGAAAAACCGGCTTTAGAAGTCAAAATTAAGGTTTAGAAAGGTTTAGAAAGGTTTAGAAAATTGGTAGAAAACGGTGCTAGCAAGATATGGTTTCTAGAAGGCGGTACGGAACTGTACATAGCCGTTTCTTGGCAATAAGCGCCAAAAATTGGATTTAGATGTAAAAACTACTTTAAAAAGTATAGAAAAGCTTTAAAAATGGTATAACAAGCTGAAGCCCAGCGAAACCTCAAAAATAAATGCGGTAGACAAAAGCCACGCGCCCCCGTCAAGTGCCAAATCGCAATTAGCATATGCCATTGTCTTTCACATAGTGTTGTGCGATACTGAAGTGCCAGCGGGCCCTAAGGGGGGATCTAGCTGGTATAGAGAAAGGGGGTTAGGGTTCTTTTCTGTTAGGGGAGGACGGGCTTAGAGGAGAGAGCGAGAGAGAGCGAGAAAGAGCGAGAGAGAGAAAGAGAGAGCGTATGGCTGGGTCGTGGTTGGGATCAATAGGGCACGAAGCAGAGAGGAGGAGGAGGTGGAGGAAGGCACCCCAAGGACATCCACACTACCCATCCCCCCAAATACCCTATCCTATCCAATACAGCACACAGAAGAGGCCGATGGAAAGGAGCACCATCTATTAAAACACAAAGATATACTGCATCTAGACTTTTAAGGGACAAGGAGGGGTATGGTACCTCTAGGGACGACTGTAGAACGAGCTACACCCTTTTACATATAGAAAAACCTCTTAAAACTTTATTAAACTGAAAGCTGGACTACGGTAGCTACGTTTTAAAACGAGCTACGGTTACTTATACCCGTAACTGCCCTGTTAAGACTGTCAATTACCCCCAATACCTCTAGGTATTAGAACTATCAATCAACCCCCCCCGCCGCGGAACCCATCCCCAATCAAAACAAATGACAAACCATTACTCAAACTCTTCACCGCTAGTCCCTAGGTGTTGATGGTTCAACATCAATCAATGCTTCCCTTTTCTGTCAAATATGTCACAATCGATCAAGAGTACGGGATGCTACGCACTGACGGTATCTCCGAAAGAACGGAGCATAACGGGATCGGGGTAGATCATAAACTTTTCGCCGCTCCAAAAGACAACCACGTTCTGTCTCCATAGTACCTCAATAGTGGCTGTAAGAACTTGAAATTAGCATCTGGCAAGCTAAATACGTTTCTACACATTATTCTCTGAATTTAAGAGGTTCTGCATCCTAAAACTAAAAATTCTCTGGCTTCTCCGCTCCTTTAAAAATCTGGTACCATTTGTTTTGGTCTGTTTATAATCCACCACTCAGTAATAACCCTCTTCAGCTCCCTAAGCCAATAAAATCCCCCTCTCTCTCCCTGCCAATTGACCTAGCGCCACATGGGGGCGCCGAAGGGCCCAAATCACGTAATAACTTGCGCATGGCGATAATCGGTCCCGGCCCATTGATTTTTGGTAACTTATTAGCTGAGAAAATAATATTGTGTTATGAAAATAATTAAAAATTCTGATAGCTAGTTTTTAAGGCGAAAATCTGAAATCTAAGCTTCATAAGCCCTTGAAAAGACCTAATTTCTTGTAAATAAACCCCTCAACCTGGTGCTGCCATAAATCATAGACTTCCGGAACCAAATGGCCCCTCTAGACAAATCGATGAACAATTCAGGGAGTCGTTCACAAATTTCAGAGCTAGGGAAAAGGACCGAATGGCCGGATGAGAGAGAGGGAGAGACAGAGAGAGAGAGAGGAGAGAGATCCCAAAACGCAGACACTACCAGATTGAAGAGAAATTGAGAACCAATGCTGAGATCGGGCTTTTTCAAGGGAGCTGGGGAGGGGGGATGGGGAGGACGAGGGTCCGAGCAGCTGCCCGTGGAGGGGGACCTGTCACTTTTGATGGATCTATTGCCTCGGCCCTCGTCCCTTCCCCCCTAGCTCGGAGCAGCTCTTTCTCTTTCTCTGGCTCTCTCTGATTCTCTTGCTCTTTCAGCTACCAGTACCCCACGATTCTGGCCTTAAAACCCGGGCGTTCTGGCGGAAAAACCGGAGTGAAATGGAAATTGGGTTGGGAAGGAGAATGGTGCTACCATTAATGGGAGGGAGAGCTAAGGGCGAGAGAGAGACAGAGAGACACAGAGAGAGAGTAAGTGAGGGAGCGAGAGAGAGTTTACATACCTCTTAATTGCACAAATTTACATACCAACTTTCACGTTTCGTTACACCCCTACAGCCAGTGGCAACGGAATGGCAGAGTCACCCTGCAGATAGCATCTGGCAGACAGCCAAGAAATAGCCTCGAAACCGGTGAAACCTCCCCCTCCTCCCCTCCCTCGTGCTCCCCCCTATCAATGCCATCAATCTACGGCTCGCAACGCGCATTTCACGCAACGCAACAGTAGCTAGTGCTTTAATGCCATTTTTGTGATTTCCAAAAAACAGTAAAAGTCCATAAAAAAACCACAATTTATTCATACATAGCTGTAATCTCGTGAAAAATGCACAACTCTACGTAGTTTTTGATGCGGGGATTGAGACGAGAATTGCACATAGTTGAAGAATAATGGGGGGAAATTAGCTTATTGCTTTTGATTGGGATTGAGAGTAGAGCAATCTCGGTAAAAAATGGGGAAAGAAAAGTAGTAAAAGAAATAAAGAAAATTACAGAATTCGTTAAGCCAATTTGAACAAATTCAGGCAGGGAAGAGAGAGAGAGAGAGAGCGAGAGAGAGAGAGAAGTGAGAGACAGAGAGAAAAAGAAAAACGAACAAACAGCTTTGTATAAACCGACATTTAATGTGTAGACCTTGATGAAATTGGCCTTCATAGACGGCAAAAAAAATATATTTCGGAATCAACCCCTATTATATTACACGCGGGTGATATTGAGAAGATTCTTTGAATGTCACATTGCAGCCTCGAAATTCTTAAAAAAGAGAGAAATGATGAATAATGGATACAGACGAAAAGGAATGATAGCGATTTTCACCAATAATAGGACCGGGGGATACCAATAGTTTTTTTGTGAGTTGATTTCTGAATTTATAGAAATTTTAAGGTACATACATGTAAATGGGGGATATGGAAATGAGTGGAAATTGCGAATTAAATTCTATGTACAGATTTTTAAGGAAGCGGAAATAGAATATTTTCGACTATAAAAACTACCGTAGGTCTAGAGGGAGCTTGTAAATTTTAGCACTGGAGACAAAAATTTAGAAATTATTTTTGCATAATTTTAGATGATTATTCAGCCGCAGCGGCGGCAAAATATGGGCGTCGGGTTTTCTGGTCGTAATCAGCCAAAAAGGACTGCCCAGCGATGCGAGCTTTTTTGCTGAGGCCAGCATGCCTGAAAAATAATATTATAAAAGTATAATATTATACTTTAATCGCTTATTAAAAGTATATCTATCCATAAAACCCACTTGAAAGCATACTCCACAATAACCCTGCAAATATAGAGGTACTGTACTTCCGTCTGGATACTCTGGGCTCGTTGTCTGCGTAGCTCTCGTACTATCTAAAGTTTATTTTTTATTTTATGTTTTGAAGCTATTTACCTGATCAAAATCGACCATCTTTCCATGGCGTAATTGTTCGTAAGCAATGGCCAATGCCATCAAGCATCCAGTACGTCCGATTCCGGCCGAACAATGAATGACAGTACGGTAGCCGCGTACCTGGATCATTTTTAAAAACAATTTTTGGTGTCTTACTCGATCGAGCAATATCAATGGCTGTAAAAGCTGAGATTGCCGGGATGGTACCCCACGGTCTGGCCATGAATTCCAGCGAATCAACTTCACATGAAGAAGCGGAAGATCTTGCATTTGCCATTCTAAAATGCATTTACGTCCTGAGAGCCTGGCTTTGGAAATACCGTATTTTGGGTTGCGCTCGAGGGAGAGGTTGGTGGTGATGAATTCATCTTCGGTTTCTCCAAGGTTTTTGACAATTAGGGTTGGATATTCGAGAATGCTTGTCTCCTAAAAAATTTTTAAATCTTTAGTTTTGGTTTTTCTACCTGGTCCGGCCAATATAAAGCGCACTTCATCCGTCCTTCTTCGAGAGGGCTAAAAAATATTTATGGTTTTTTGAAATTAATTCAAATGCAATTTAACCAAATTTTTGAATATTTTGCTTACTTGCATAACATAATAATCCTCTCAGTCCTTTCTTGAAATACCATCCGCCAGAAATCTTGTGCAGTCTCTTTGGTGGGGCCCTGTAAGTAAAAATAATTTGTTAAAATTTAATTATTTTCGAAACCTGGGTGCAAATATAGTGATTTGGAGGAAGAATCGGGTCGCTGATACGATTTGCATGGATATAGTCGCTATGATGTTTTGTGTTAGGGAACCAAAGCTTCACACGAGTCGATTCTGTGCAGAAAACATCTGGAAAACCCATGCTATATAGAGAAAAATTTGTATTTACCAGAATATCGATTCTTTTCCATATTATTGTGAAAAGCTTCGCAGCTGGTAGAGGGAGAGAGCGAACCATCAATGCTAGTATATTCTAAAAATTTAAATTTTAGAGCTACAGATTTATCTGACCAGCTCGAACTCCGTCCACACCCTTCTCAGCCAGTTTCAAGACGAAATTCGATAGCACGTGAACGGATTCATGCGATTCATCGACCTAAAAAAACTTTTATATTTGTATAAAGCCTCCTAACCCTTTAAAAGATTATAATTTTTGCAAAACTAACAAAAGGATGGTAAAATGTCGGCTGCTGATACAATAACCCAATCTTTCGAAGTCTTGGCGAACGGACCCGGCCCTTATCTTCCTGATACAATAGCAATAGTGGCATAGTTAGAGGATAGCTGATTCGGGGTATATTTGTATGATGGGGGTAGAGGTGTCAGAATCTGTGCCAATCCAAATGGCTAGTCCCCCCTCTTCCGAGTGCACCGGGAAGAAGCTGCGGGAGGGACCGATTTCGGAGGACAGCGATACGCAAACAACCCCGTGACAATCACACTGTCTTCGTCTAGATGGGAGCCCTATTCACGGATGTTTAGATATTTTTTGGTCACTTGCTGATGTGGGAATGGCAATAAGGGGGAAGGGGGACAAGGTCCTTTTTGAGGATTCCACTCCAGCATTCCTCAGTCGTGTCCGATTTTGATGAGTTTTGTATCGATCGAAAGCTCTTGAAAAGCGGAGAAGATTTGAGCCTTCCGGTTCTCGAAGTTCCCGAAATTTAGCTAGATTTTTCGCTTCATGCAAAATTTACACTTTTATTAAAAACAACAAAATTTAGGCAGTTTAAACGACATATTTTTAAAATCAAATCAGAAACATCAAAAATTCTTCAGCTCCCCAAGAGCTTTCGCTTGATACCAAAATCGTTAAAATTGGACGCCTCTCCAGCCCGCTAGAGGGGATAATTTTTAGGACACCCGGTAGTGTCCCTTTGATAAAGCTCCGGAATTCACTCGCTGAAAAAAATTCAGAATTTCTCACTTTCTGTAGCTGCGACTCAATGGCCCGATTCTCCTTCTCCTCTTCCTCATCTTTCTTTGGCGGTGATGTAGACCCAGATGGGGATCTCTGAAAATCAAACATCAGCCTCCAAAATAAGCTCATTCACCCCTCCTAGTTTTACGAAAACGTGCAAATTCACGCTTTCTATTCTCAAAATCAACAAAATATCTCTAGGGGCCCAGAAGCCAACGTGGCCCAAATTTTTTAAGCGATGAGTCAGACTCCGTTTCTAAGATTTGGAAGTGTTCCCCCAGGAAAGGGCCGGCCGATTGTTTGCCTACTCTCCAAATCAGCACTAGAAAAACGGTCAAACAGAGGAAAGGGATTGGTCAGAGAAGTTGACGAAATTATACATCAAGTTCACTTAAAATTTTAAGGTTATTTAAAAAAAAATATATTAAAAAAAGATACAAACCTGTGGCTGGTGGACAATTGATTGAGTAGCTGAGGTTGATGCTCCTTGGATGTAGGCAGTCTGAGGAACAGGACGAGGCTAATTTTAATTTTTTTTCAAAACTTATAGAATTTTTACCTCGGGATTTGGTGGTGGGCGGTTATTTCCGTTGACATAGGCTGTTTGGGGAGCAGGACGTGGTGGAGCCTGAATTTTTAGATAGGTTTTTGAGCATGAAATAACCCAGTTTTACCCTTTAAAAATTTACTTACCGTTAATTGATTAAACAAACTCCGCACGATTCTTATCGGTGAAAATGACGATGATGAGGATGAGCCATGGTCCGTAGACATCGCTAAAATAGACAGAGCTATTTTGAATTGAGCCGCACTCCCCTCCAAGAACCACCAAAATCGGAAGAAAACAAGGAAAAATGAAGAGCCGGGCGTGAGGGATGGGATAAGCCTCTGGGAATCACGACGGTCCTTGAACCGGGGGCCATAATTCTATACGAAAACAACTTTAAATTTGCACGGGGAGTGGGGGATCACCGTTTTTCGCTCGCGATTCCAAGTATAGCCCTCGGAAAAGGGAAAAGGAACGGCGGAGCCGAAATTAATCCCGGCCGGAGATATTACGTTTTTGAAGTAAGGTGGGAAGTAATCCGAACAAGGGGATGTTTCTATGGAAAAGCTTGTAGGTATTAACGGGCGAAGAAAGGAATATAATCTGGAATTAATGAAAAATGTTGCGTGAGCTATTTTAGATTAGAAAATAGGTTTTTGGACAGAGATCCAGAATTTTCGCGCTTATTCGCTACTGGAAATAGAGCGAGAGAGAGAGAGAGACAGACAGAGAGAGATATGGATAGAGAGTACTGTAGCTGCCCAAAACCTGAATATAGAAAACGTCAGCCACTATGCTGAATGGAAGTAATTTATATGGAGCTTTTAGCCCTGATTTGTAGCTGGGTCACGCGACAGGGGCCCCTAGGGGCCATAAGTGGCCCTGGCCAGGTCCGCATGACGAAAGTAATTAACGTGATTGCTTTCAAACGATTTCCAACTATATACTGGTCTTACCTTCTGAATTTTGAGAATATTTTAGATTTTCTAGGGAGTTTTATAGCCTTACAACACTATGACTAACTCACCACCAGCAAATTAGGGCTTATATTTCTCAGATTTGACAAGGAGGGGAAGATAAGAAGATCAAATGGACAGCAAAGACCCTTAAAACCGGACTCACCGGGGGAGAAGCGGAAACGGGTCCCAAAATGAACCTTCGATTTTGAACCCAACGCCTCGTAAAACACGCTGTCACACACCCATAATTGCTCATTTCGAACGGGGTAGAATGGATGGAATGAGCGTGAGAGAATGAATGGGTGATTTGATGCGAAACCAGGGGAGAACCAGGGTTCGAAAACCGTTTCCGGGTGAGAATGTCTGGCTGCCGGGGCCTCGTCTCGTCCCCCATCGCTCCCAACCGAGCTTTTTTTCAAAATGGTGACCCTGCCCCTTTCCCATTGCTCGTTTTTGTCTCTCTCTCTCTCTCTCTCTCTCTCTCTCTCTCTCTCTCTCTCTCTCTCTCTCTCCCTCTATCTCGCTTTCTGTAGACCACGTGAACACCCAGATTGGGGATGAGTCATTGGGGGTTCTGGGCAGGTTGCCAAATTGACAAAAAGACCGTCTGAGCACAGTTTTTGGGTTTCGGCTGGTCATAAGAAAGGTTTGAGCAAGAACTAATGACGTCAGTTAGTAGCTAGTATTCATATTCGAAGTCTAAAAACCGTAAAAAATTTTTAAAATAAGAAATTCGAAAAATAACAGAAAATCACTGAAAAAGCATAGAAATTGATATAAAATAACTTCTAAACGCTGAAAAGCGCAACAATCAGTAGATGCTCAAAAACAACTCAAAAAAAATCAACTAGCGGACGATCCAAAATGTGATGTCCGGAAAGTGCAAGCCAAAGTATGAAACAATTCATCCCACTTCCCCCCACCACGTGCAGATTAATCATCACCTCCCCTTCGCCCCCCGCCCGCCCAATTTCCCAAGCCATAATACAAATATTTCTTGGATGAATCGCGGGGTCCGTTTTTTGTTGCGTCTCCCCCTTGCCTTCGCCCCCCAGGGGAATTAAAGTGCAACCCCCGAAAAAAAAGATGGCAGTGAGTTCTCGGGGGGACGCGCTGCCTGGGGCTATCAATGAACGCCTAAAAGGCTCAAAAAGTGGGAAGGCATGTTTGCAAAGTCAATACTTCAAATTCGAACCATATTCTGTAAAAAAAGAAGTTCTTTGGATATGTAAAATCGTAAAATCACAAAAATCAGAGGAAAAAGCAAGTAATTTGCCTTAAACAAATATGTTCCCAGTCGTTTTAACGCCCTTCTAGCCTGTAAATTCTTCTTAAACTCATTTCGAAACGAAATGCAAATATAAATTTATGTTAGAAAACAAAAAAAATCGCAAAACGTTGCTGCCGTATGCTATAAAATACAATTTTTTACATGTTCGTAAAAAACGCACTCATTTTGACGTGTAAAACTTAAAAATCGCAAAAATCAAAGCAAAACGGACGTAATTCGCCTTAAAAATGTACCCTCCCGGTCACTTTAAAACTATTTTTAGATCCAAAATATTTCAAAATCAATTTCGCAACGAAATTTCAAACCCGAAGTTTTTTTTTCAAAACAAAAATCCCTGAAATACACTTCCGCTGAGTTTTACACTTAAAATTACTAGGTAGCACGTGCAAAAACGGGTTCACTACGACTCTTATACGCCCTGAAAAGACCGGAGAGGGAGTGTGGATAGGCGCCCGGCGTAGCCCGGTGGTGCGTGTGGAGAGAGGGGGAAGAGAGGTTTTTCGGGGAAAAGGGGGGAGATCACAGGGTTCCCAGCATGAAATCTCGGCAACTTCGACAAGTTCAAAAAAAAGGATTTTATGGCAATTTTGGGGTTAATTAAAGGCTGGAAAGCATCTAATACAAATCAAAATATTTTCCTTGAAATTGGGTACGGTAATTTATCAAATGATAAAATTATCATAAAAACTAAAAGCTTAAATTTAGAGTAAAACATGCAAGGAAATCTACAAAAAAACTATTTCCTAACAAAAAATCGTATGGCCAGACGGGAAAGGTTTTTCACAGAACGAGTGGAACCCGAAAGCGCTGGGGCCAGGTGTTTCCGTTGGTCACACTCGATGGAACGGATCGACCCCGGAGAGACCCAAGAAAATTCGGAAATACTAGGCCAACCCAGAGGCCGCCAGACCGTAGAGATGGGCTAATCGGAAAACCACGAATGGGCATCGTCCCGTCCAGCTAAAAAATGGAAACCCAGTTCTTCTAGAAACTTATAAAAATTCAGACATCTCGAGCGAGTCCACAAAGAAAAGCTGTAGCAATCCAACTCACTAACGAAGCGATTTTCTAGTCTAAAACCCGCCCCATCTGAAAAACGTGCTAATGACTGACCCGTGATTTTCCTCATGGGAATTACATTCCGCCTGCCAGTGGCTGCTGCTGCTCAAAGCCTAATTTTTCTTTCCACCAATTTGCCCAGCCTTCCGGGGTACAAAATTAGAACCCAGAATAACGCCTTAATTTCGTATAGTATTTCCAATTGGGAGAACAAAGAAGCACCAGCAATCATGAACATTCTGTCGAGAATGCGTCAGCACAATAATAGGAAAAACGCACGAAGCACACACTAACCCGTAATAAGAGATTCTATTGCAAGCAAAGCGGCACATTTTTACCGTAAATACGCCTGGAAATCAAAATAAAGCATCTAAGGTCGGCCGATTTAGGGAATAAAAAGTCGTGAAAGGAGATGAACATGTTCCAAAAATCCAAAATTACCGGATTCGCTCGAGCCTTTTTACCGGTCTTTGGTAGCCTCAATAATTACAGACAGGAATCCAGCCGTCAGAACGAGATCTGTGCCTGAAACTCGCGGCTACCGTAAGCGCCATAAATCATTTTTAGGTCTCAATTTTTTCATAATTTTTTGCGCTTTGCCGTTCACCAACTCCCTGCCTGAGGCCTCTGATAACACTTTATTTGCACACACAAATCACCTATGATACTCTTTTTATCAAGATGTTGTGTAATGATAAGAATATTAGAGGGTGTTGACTATTCATTATTTGCGCCCTCTTACCCCTCGAATTTTTTAGGCTTGCTATGGGATCTGCTGGGCAAGTTACGCATCAAGTGTTCTCCTCCAGCTGGGCATCTGGCGCTGGGTATCCCATATCAGGGCCACTGTCCCCCTTGTTACGCAAGTTGGAGGTATAGCTGGACAGTTTATGGATTTCGTCGGGGTCCGATTTTGGGCTGAAGGATACTCAAGAGACAAAAAAATTTTTTAGAATTTATGTCGTACTGGCACTTGTTCGTTAGCGGGGGACCGGTAAACTCGTTAATTCATTTTAGAATATAACATATGATAGCGTTAGCAGAATATCGACAAAATAGCGAAAATGACGAAAACTGGCGTATAAAGGAATTTAGTGTTTTTTTCTATAAACTATAGACTGAAACTGGAGATTGAAAATCCAAAAAAATAACGAATATCGAAAAATCTGGGGCTATCTCCCCCCCGCTAATGAACCAGAACCCCGGGCTTTTCCTTCAAGCTTTTCGAACTCCCTCTTTTCGACCGCATAAAAACTCCAGTACTGCGTAGGACAACTCGGAATCCGACACCAAAATCTTAAGTTTCCAAAAACCGGGTTTTTTTCTGCAAGTTTCCTTGCCCATTTCAGTGTTTTTCTGAGTAGGATTAAGACATTACCCAGTCACACAACTTGATGCTTATACACCCCCATCCAAATGCACTTCCAGAAGTGTGCTGTCACGTGAAGTGTGTAATACAACGCCGATTTGCCACTTTTCCTGATCGATAGGGGGGATATGGCGCAAGACGACGAAGTGGAGATGGGGACTGTGGCCCAAAAGGGGGGAGGGTCCAACCAACAGTTCTTCACATCCAGGTCAACGCGCGCCAGACGCGTCTTCACTTCCTTTCGACTTACGTTTAGGGGGGTGGATGGGGGAATTTTATGAGGCAATAGCAGGAGGGGAAGATACCTTTGAGCTTACCGATTAGAGTACTACTTAATAAATCGATACCTGATAATATTTTGAATCTTAAATACGGTCGGTTTACCCCAGGTTACGGTATCTAAGATATTTTTCAGGTAAGAAACCGCTACGAACTTATATATTCGAATTTTTATTACCTTCTAAACACCCAGCTAACCTTAAGCAGAAACTAGCTCGCTAACGAGCTTACAACCACAACACCAAATGACCCCGTTCCCAACCCCCCCCGATAACGACCCAGTATATTAGTTTCGGGTTACTTTTTCGACTCTCAACTTGCCCTCCTCCCCCTCCCAGCCAGGCAATCAATTCATTCGTGGGTTTTTGGGAGTTTCCACCGGATTTATTGGTGCTTCGGCCCCAGGGCTAGCGAGCCGGCCGAATGGGCCTCCCCTCTAGACTCCGCCCCCCTTCCTCCTCCTCCTCCCCCCCTCCGGGGGCCCTAGGTCTCAATCCACAGATGTGTCTCACCTCAAGGGCTGACAATCACTTGGGGCTTACTTAAATTTGGATGATTTTTATTTATGGAAATTGGTGGTTTGCACGGATTTCTCCACGTCTTTTTGCCAGATTTTTCGTTTTTAAAGTTTTTATATTTGGCAGATTTTTTCCTATATCTATAGTCTCTTTAAAAACGTTTATATTATTTAGTTTTATTATTTAGTTTATATCCACGATTTTTTTTAGAAAACGGCACCCAGACGATCGGTCACCTTCGCCATGTCGGACGAAAAACCCAAAAAGGGTGCACCGTCTGGGTCGCTTCTCGTCACACTTGCCGTCATTCTAATCGTTTTAATCGGCCTTGCTGCCCTTGTATTTTTCCTTTTAACTGGAGCTGCACTTGGTTTTCGAGGGGATGAAGGTGAATTTAAAGGCTATTTTACAAAAATTTGTACCGCATTTTTTCAGTAGCAACTAACGAAACCCTGACTGGAGAAACAACCCCTCCTCTAATCGGCTCTATCAATTCTCGACCTGTCATTTCCAAGCCGGCATCATCTTCTGAAGAATTGGAAGAGTATACGACAAAGCGGATGTCTACTGTAGGTTTTAGAGCTTTTTTAAAAGTTAGAAATTAGCTAGATGAGTGGCTTGTCCTGGTTTTGTTTTCCCCTATGTTTGGATCTTACTCTAGACCCCAAGCACGTCAACAACCACCACTGGTGAAAAAGAAGAATTTGAAATCAAGAGTGTCGATTTGGACCCGGAAGCGGAAGTGGATGAGAAGAACGCTACCGATTCATCTGTAACACCAGTTACAGTACCGCCAAAAATTACCTATACTGCACAGGTAAAAAATAATTTATTATTTGTATAGTGTGTGAATCCTTTGTTTTATTTAAATATAATAATTCAAAGAGCTAGAAAATTTATGAGCATGAGCTAGAGGTCTTAGTTGTTTTTTTTAAAGATTCCAGTATTTTAGAGAATCAGAAGATTTTTAAAATGTTTATTTTTAGAACCAAGCCGCCATCGACCAATGCAATGCCCTCGAATCTGCCAACACCTGCCCGCCGATCCTCTTCAATCCGGATACCAGGTCAGCTCCCCAAAAGCTGTCAAAATTCATACACCTCAAAATTTAGGGGACCTTTTATTTTTTGGGGGCCCACCGAAAGGGCCAGGTGCCAGCGGTTGTGTAGCTTGTGTAAACCCACACAACCTCACTAGGGGGGATAGGGTTAGGGGCATTTTTTGGGTTGTGGAAAATAGGTAAAAACGAAAAAACAATGTCGATGCAAATCTACAAAAAGTCTAAAAAGCCAGAAATCGTTAAAAAATTTAGTTCATAAATTTCATAAACGCATACCTTGACCATACTTTAAAAAAATGGCATTTTTGTCGTGAAAAAAATCGATAAAATTCAAGTTATGCCCACTTTTCAACCTGTCACCACCCTTTTAAAACCGCGCTCCCCCCATTTTGACCGATGTTCCCAAACTATAGCCCCCTCTAGAGAAAATCTGATGTAATGGAAGGGTTGTAAAGGGCTACTGCAAGATTCCCTCTCTACCCCCTCTGTGGAGGCTGTCGACAAATTTTGATGCGCGACTCATAGCCTCGTCCTTTCGTACAAGAGGAAGGAGATGCATATGCGGAACAGATGTCCCCACCCCACAGCACACCCGAAACCTCCATCCGGTGCCCCCCATCCGGCCGCGGATTTGGCCTTTGACAAAAAAGTTGTGTGGAAATGGCACTAGGGGATGTGTTCTTCTTGGGTCAGGAAAGGGGTGGAAAATGTCCTAAAAAATCGTAATTAAAAATTTCCGCGAAAATCGGCGTTTTGAATTTGGATATTATGACCGAAAATCTAGAAAATACCTTAAAAATTTTTATGTATCATTTATCCCTTGAAATTCCAGACCTATCGATCAAATCCAAACCTCCTTCAAACCATTGCACTATAACCTCTCCCTCCTCGTCCGAAACGTCATTGCCGGCGAGCTAAGCGGAGCTCTGAGGCTTCAACTAGAAGCCCTAGAACCCACAAAAGATGTAAGGCTATAAAAAATATTAAAACAAGTTTTAAGCAGATTTTTAGCTAATTTAACCTATGTTTTAGATCCTCCTCCACGTCGGCGCCGGCTATCGCTCCCATAACGAAATGTTGACAACGGCCATCTCTTGCACATCCGGTGAGTCATCTCCAACCTAGTTCCACGTTCTAATCCACAACACATTTGTCAACCCTAGAGACCCCTCTGGGGGTTCTCTTATAGCCGAGTAGGATATCTTGGTGAGACACATGTTTGTCCAGAGGATAGATGGCCCCTTCCGTTATTCTCTTTTGTCTTTCTCGCAAGGGTGACGGTTGCCAATTTGTTCGGGGGACGGCGTGAGAAGTCGGGCCAACTTTGGCACAACTGTTCGAAGGTTGACCCCTATGTGATATGGGGCAGGAAGAGCAAGAGTAGGAGGGGGAGCATGGGCAGAGGCAAATAGTGTGTTCGTCTAGGAAAAATGGTGTGATTTACAAAGGAAATTTCGGAAATCTGAAAACTTTCAATTTGAGCTTCAGTATTTTAGCTCTTTTTCTCTCTCTCCCTCTTTCTCTCTCTCTCTCTCTCTCTCTCTCTCTCTCTCTCTCTCTGATACACCATCGATACCAACAGGTCACCCTCGATCTGGGACTCCAGTTTCTGTCCACCTCCCCCTCACCCCGTAGTGTGCCGGCTCCTCTTTGAGCCACACCCTTGGCCTCCCCACAAAAAGGAACCCCGCGCACAACTGCTCGCACCCTGGCCATCCATCTATCCCCTCCAATACACCTATCCACACCCTCCGGGATCCCGATGGATTGGCAAAAACTGAGCACGAGGGGTGAGACGCAGCTGCTGGGTTGGTGGAAATAGTGAAATCTGGAAAGTTATTTACTTTCAAGATCGAAAAATCCTCTAGAATTCCGGCCCCTATTTGAGCACCACCTCTGAGCCCCAGCTCTGAGCCCGACTTCAAACTAATAAACTCCCCCAAAGCTATATAGCCACAACCCATCCTCCCCAAAACCCAATTAGCCATACCATTAATGTGCCCACAACCCCTCCACCTCCAGCTGCTCGTGCTCCTCTCGAAAAGTTAGCCCTCCCCTCCCCTACCCGTAATATTTCGTACCAAATTCTCCATCCAAACTCGAGCTCCTTGATCCATACCAAGCGACAGCTAATTGAGATAGATGAGGACCGATGGACTGACTCATGTCCCCCATTTTTCCACCCTGGGACTCCCCCTCCCCCTGAGCAAGAGCTTGTTCCTTTGCCCTGAAAATCATCAACATCCCCTCCTTGGTCCCTTTCCACTCGTTTCAGGGCAGCTGTCCCCCATCAAGCTTCTTGAAAATCGCTCGTAAATTGGAGCTCCAGGGGGAGAATCCGACTTTTTTAAGACTTTGAGGAGATACGGAATTTCGAGAATGTGACAAATTTAAAAGGAGCATGAGTATTATTTTCAGGCAAATCGGTCTGCTTGAAAAATCTGTACCATGATGCTCGAAAGGGATTGATCGTGATCAGTCTAACGGAGGAGATCCCGGCTGGAGAAAGCCTGCGACTGGAAATTAATGATTTTTATGTCCAAAATGGTATGAAAAAAAATTGTTTTTGAAGCTTATGCTCATAATAGCTCGTGCTTTCTTTACGCAACGACAGGGATATGCCAAGGATCCTGAGATGATGGGGACTAAGATGGACGTGAAAAATCAGATGACATTCTTCCCATCGATTCCCGGCTACAAGGTGGAATTCACATAAAGAATGCTCTAATAAAAAGTTCAGGCTCCATTCTCACTCTGCATTAGCCATTCACCATCTCTTAATGTCAAATCGAATAGTCTGATCGACAAGCAGTCAACTGGAGAGGAAATGGTTGGTTTTTCGGTTTTTTACTGTTTCCGCTTCTTCTCAAACTTTTCTAGCTCTTACCTTTTAGGACCCACGAGTCCGCCACTTTGCTGTAAGCGCCTCAGATTTTTGAGCTCTAAACCACGCTTATCTTATCAATTTGTTTTCATTCACAAATTTGTGTGGCTATAACATTGCTTTTTCACATGGGAAATACAAAATATGCTCTAATTTTTTTTAGAAAACCTGCTTCCGGCAGACTCTTGGGATCTCGGCTCATCAGATTGCTTTTGTGGTTTCTACCAACGTAAGCTTTTTTTAATTTTTATTAAAATAGCTATATATCGGATTACAAATTATTTATCATGAATTTCCAGGCCCAATCCAAGATTTTCAACACGACAACCATTGATGGAGCCTATATTCCGGATATCGAGATTCTTTTCTCTCAAAATGAGCGTCTGATTGGCCGAATTGATACCAACTGGATTGTCCAGGAAACGGCTAAGGTATACAGAAATTAGAATTAAAATCAACGTTATTTTTTTAGACAATTGCTACCCTAACCCAATGGACCGGAGTCGAATACCCTCTCGAAAAATTAAGCATCGCCTCCGCTCCTATCATGCCGAATTCTGTAGCATCAGCTGGAGGCCTTGGAATGATGATTGTACCGGCTGCGTAAGTTTTCTTTATAATTTCCGTAATTCTCGATATTTTAGTGTCATTGAGCATGAGAAAAATCAACGTTATCATTCTCACTTCCTCCGCAATATTATTTCACAATGGATTGGCGGTATTGTCGGGCTCAAGGATCAAAACGAGATTTGCCTTCAGGTAAGCAGCAGCTTTCCGTTTAGTCATAAACCCTCTAAACTACCCCACAAATGCATAGCTTCACCTCTTGCTCAAAAGTCCATTATCCATCCCCCCCCTAATGACTCAGTCAGCTGTAGTCTCAATTTTTCAACTTTTTGTCTCATGGCCAAGGTTTTGAAGTGAGCAATAGCTAGCCAAATGAGCGGGACGCGTCACCTGCTGTGAGTGGCACTCCTTGCCCTCGGCATTAATATCCGGAACAGAGGGCCTTTGTGAGAGTGGGAGGGGGTAGGGGATGATATGGATATGGGTGCAATAGGGTAGGACTTCCTCTTGCCCCTCAATAATAAGCCATTTACACTATGGCCTCTCGCGCTCACTTGGGGGAGTGCGGCTCACTCGCATAATCCGCTTGTTTATGAGAGCCCTCGTAGGACCTGCACTCCCCGCATTCCGTAAATTTTCGTGTTCAACTTGGCGAGGGGGTTTCAGGGAGCCAAAGGAGGAGGAGGAGGAGGAGGAGGAAGTTGAGAATCTAAAAATGAGCATGAGAAATTTTCTATTGGTCTTTGCTAGTTAGCTCTGATCATCTACAGTTCTGGTAAAAGTTTCAGGAGGTAGAGAACGGGGTGGAGCGTTTAAATGAGCATGACTACATTTCCAGGAATCCCTCGTCGAATACCTCGAATCCAAACTCCATGAAGACCACAAAATCACCCTCGTCGTCAACCGAACCCGAGCCGAGAGCCTCTCTGATATCGAAAAAGTACGAAATACTACAATTTCCGCTTCACAACACCCAAATTTTAGGCGAAAGTCTTGGAATACATGCGCCCAGCTCGGATTCAGCGTGGTGATCACTGTGGAGCAAGAGGAAAGACGCTGTTCTACAGTCTTGATGAGACCTTTGGGCCCTCGACTGTTATCTCGATGATTAAGGTAAATAGCCTGAAAAAAGAAAAGAAAGAAAATGAATATCTTAGGAAATCTTCTCAAAATACTCCTTCTCGGTGGCTGGAATTCAAGAGTATGCTGATGCTCTCGAAGCTAGAACACGCTCAAAAACTGCTGGTAGGTTTTGAATATGATTAAAACTTTTTAACCTAACAATTTTAACTCCTTAAGCCATTTTAATGCCTTAATAGTCATTTAAACTATACAAAATTCAGGTCAACTCTTACGCCGTTGGTTTAACTCCACCACACCACCAACTGTTCTCCTGAAAGTTGATTCCAACAAGGTATACATTAACACTTTTTAAACCTTAAATTTAAACTTTTAAAGATCTCGGTTCAACAAAATGGTGATGCTTGGTCGCTACCTATCGAGATCGCCGGTTCTAATGGAATCCAGCTAATCGATATCACCGGAAATGACGTAAGTTCATGATTTTTACTTTAGTTATAAAATTTAGACAATCCCCTTCCAATCCACCGACTATGTCATTGCCGACCCAAAACGAAGGAGCGTCGCTTTTGTTGGATATGATGTAAAAATACTCTTCAATTTTAAATCCACTTTTTTTAGCTTGAATCCTACCTTCGATTAGTGCGTTGTTGGGACGATTCTCGATGCCCGTCTAGCAAGGATGACCTGAAAGGACTGTTCAAAGATTTCGGATACCTATTGCTGACCAAGCAGATTGAGGTGGGGCTCAAAATTCATGCTCTTACCTAAAAATTGAGCTCCAGGTTTCGAACGCTGCTGATGCTCCCCGATGGAGGCAATTCTTCCACTTCTTGCATTCTAGGGCTCTTGTTCAGGGTCATGCTAAATGTTGCGTGGCTTATGCTTTGAATGTAAGTAAAAATTTTGTATAGCAAATTTTATAAAATTTAATAAAATAGTCTTTAACCTAATTCAAATTTGTTCAGGACAAACACACGGTCGAAAGCGTCGATTGCTATCACTTTGTCGGCGACGTCTGCTCGAAAATCGATCTTTTAAGCAAGATGAGATCTTGAACTTTTTGATTTTGAACTCTACCAAATAAGACCATGATCTCATCCCTTGCCAATCCCTTTAAAATATCCTTTAAACCATAAAAAGCGTCATATCTTGTAATAATTTTTTGCTGAATATGTAAATCAACTCCCCTGAAACCCTTACCATAGTCCCATTCACTTCCAAATGGTCGCTAAATGTAAAAATAAGCCTTAATATTATTTTTTCGTTGTTTTTTGAGCTACAAAACTGGGTGCTGTCTATAGTTGCCTTAAGCCTTAATCGCTCACCGTGTGATCCATGTACTCCTCTTTTTTATTGTAAGATAAATATGTTTTATTGTTGAGGGGTAATGCGTCATAAAAACGTTGCTGACACTGCAAGTGGACACAGACAATAGCAAGTTTTCGGGGGTTGTTTTGAGTCTCCGTGCCGAATCTTCATACTATATTATTCGATTTGGATGATAATTCTAGCCATAATGCCGACAGACAAAATGCCGACATGCCAAAGAACCGATAGCGAAAATGCCGACACATTCTTGCATGGATTGGCGCGTTGGGATTTCGGTTTGTCGGCATTTAGGCTGGCGTGGTGTGCGATGTCAGGATTTTCGTTATCGGGATTTTTTTGTCGGTATTTTCGCCTGTCAGGTTTCTTTGTTGGCATTTTGCCTGTCGGCAGTTTGACGTGTTCAGATTTTTTGTCGGGATTCTGTCGTGTCGAAAATTTTCCATCTCGATCTCAAATTCCAATCATAAGCCCCAAATTTGTTCCTTAACCGCCAACCGCAAAAATTACGCAAAATCCAACCTCAAAAATTCCAATCATAAGCTCCAAATATTTTTTTTGCTTCAAAACGTGGCTGCCGATAAAGGGGACATTGATGATCTCACCGCAGTCCTTTTAGGACGAAGCCATTAATAAGCCGCAAAAGGATTGACACGTCATAATGTCTATATTGGCTTGAAATAGACACCAAGAAGAAGCTTCTCTAGATAAGGAATCTTGTGGCAAGGGGCTCGCCCTCCCATTTTCTAATCTTCGCCTTCTAGACAGTCGTGGGGACCGTTTTTCGACCACTAGCCCGTACAAATTTACGATCATCAAGGTCAACACTAACTTTTAAAGGACTGTATAGTTAAATTTATAGTAATTACACCAAAAATTGAGGATAAGCCAGAGATCTGTTTGAGCTTTAGGTTTGAGCAAATAAAAACCTGCCAACAGCTAACGAACTCTTTTTGATTAGATTAGATTCCAGTTTTTCAGTTCCAATTCCGTTCTTTTCGATTTTACAGTATTTTCTTAGTCTATTTCTATTTGTTTTTAGAAAATGCGCTTAGCATTTCTCCTCCTTGGCCTCCTAGCCATAGCGGCCACCGCACGAAAAACCAATTTTTACAAATATCAAAAACGAGCGGAAAATCCTGATGTAAGTGCCTACATTCGCATACTAAAACTTCTAAAATTTATTTAGAATAACTTGGCCGTCATTCCAAATTCCACCGAATACTGGTTCGAAGTCCCGATCGACCACTTTGCATATGGCTTCGGGGATACCTACAAAATGCGGTAGGTTTTTACCGAAAAACCGATACCCTAAATCGATAGGTATGAGGTGAACCTGGACAACTACAAGCCGGGTGGCCCGATCTTCTTCTATGTTGGGAATGAGGGCAAAATCGAGAGCTTCATGTCGGCTACGGTAGCTTGGGCTTTAAAAATTTTAAGCTCAAAAAATTGCAGGGTATTATGTGGGACATTGCCCCAATGTTCAACGCGGCTGTGATTTTTGCTGAGCATAGGTAAATAGTTTCATTAAAATATCACAAATTAATGAAATTTGGATACTACGGAAAATCGATGCCGTTTGGTCCGGACTCCTACAAGGTTTGAAATTTTCTAGCTTTTCTAGAGAAGTTTTTAGGATGTCTCCAAAATGGCGTATCTCACCTCGGAACAAGCCCTTGCGGACTATGCCCATTTGTTCTATTATATGAAAAATGGACAAAAACACGATGTAAGAATTTATACGCAAATTTATTTCAAAAAATTAAATTAGGATGGCTCCCCGACTTTTGATGTGAAGACCAAGGTCGTGCTCTTCGGTGGATCTTATGGTGGAATGCTGTCTGCCTGGTTCAGGATGAAATATCCGCATCTATCTGTTGGGTATGCTAATTTAAAACTTGGATGCTAAAATATGCTAATTTAGAGCCTGGGCCTCCTCCGCCCCGTTGAAATATTTCAATGGAGGTGGTGTTGATTGGGGAGCGTTTGATCTTGTCACCACCAGGACTTTCAAGGTTTTTCTATTTTTAAGCGCTAATTTTGAGCTCAGGATGCCGGCGCCAATTTCAATAATGTGAAGAATGGCTGGAACGCTATCCTGAAACTTTCTCAAACCGGTAATTCGAATCTTTTACGATCGATTTTAAAAAATTTTAGCCGACGGCCAAGACTACCTTAACAAACTCTTTAACGTCGCTAGCAATTCGACGATTAAGGATATTAATGGAGGTATGGGAAAGCTGAATCTAGATTTTTAAACTACTAAAATTAGGATGGAACCTGGTCTACTTTGTCCGGGAGGCAATTGAATATATGGCGATGACTGATTATCCCTATCCGACCAATTTCCTGGTCCCCATGCCTGGATTCCCAGTCAAGGTATCGAAAAATTAAGTCAGGCCTAATACCCAAATTTAAGGTAGCCGCAAAATATCTTGGAGGAGCGGATTCAAATGACGATAAGGCGCTGGTAGCTGCTCTTTTCAAGGTAAAACATACCGTATACCTAAAAATACTTTATTATTTTTAGGCCTCTATGGTTTACTACAACCAAGACAACAACGCTGATCCGACCTTCGTATCTTGTATCGATCCAGTACAATGTGGAGACCCTGGAACGGCCGGATTGGGAGATGCCCTTGGATGGCCGTGGCAGGTACTGTAGATACCTTATGGTTTGATGTAATGTAATTGTAGGAATGCACCGAAATTGTTGTCGAGATGTGTGCCAACAATCAGTCATTCTTCCTGGAAGATACCGGATGTACCACAAAGCCACTTCAAGTGTTGAAGGATTCGTGCAATCAAGTTTTTGGGAAGTATGTTAATGGCTAAAAATGCAAAATTAATGTACCATTTTAGTATGGGCTGGACTGAGAAGTTCTTCCGGGAGAACGGGGTTCGGGATTTGTATGGATTGACCCTTGTTGGGTATTACAACATGATCTTGACGTTGGTTAAAAATTTAGGCGCAATAATAACATAAGTTCAGGCAAGGTTACCTGGACCCGTGGAGCTCGGGTGGTTACAAGACTACCGACGCCGGTGTTGGACAACAGCAGGGAATTTATGTGGCTGAGATTCAGGGTATAGGATGTCCTTAATACCGTAATATACCTTATCTTAGGCTCCGCCCACCATCTTGATCTCCGAACACCAAATACCTGCGACGGAGAGCCGACTCATAATATGCGATATCAGGTATCAATTACCATATTAAATAAGTCAATTTTTAGGCGGTAAATATTATTAATTGCTGGCTGACGGATGGTTGTATCAGCCCACCGCTTCAACCCTTACCTGCATTGAATGATCTGACGAATGTCACATGCAAAGACTGGATTCAAGGATATCCATGGGGGCAGAATGGCACTGTTACCTTGCCACCGGTATCGTTCTATTATATTAGAGTGGAATTAAATTTCAGGGCACCGTAACCGGCAGTACCGTGACCCCAGTGCCAACAACATCTATGGTAAATTAAAATCGAAATTATTATAACGATTTTTAGGCCGTCACCAGCTTGCCTCTGATTTCCTTCATTTTCTACCTGCTCCGAGTTGTTCGGGCTATTTAAACCACTATATGTTTTTGAAATTATGTGCAATAAATAATTGCTTTTATATAGATTTCATGAATTTTTCATTTCTTGTACTAAAGAAGAGCACAAGGCTCCCCAGCCTCAAGCCACCTCATAAACCACATCTTACCCAGGAACGGGTACCGAGCAACATCCAGTTTGATTTGGATGTCTCTCTCCCATCCTCGGATCATTCGCCCCATCAATGCTAATCAGGCAGCCATATATCTACTTTATTCTATTTTTCTCTACTCGAGCTTTTGAAAATTATTTAGAAAATGATTTGGCTAAAGGTAGAAAAGAAGTTGAAACATTTTTATCTTTTTTTATAGTCTGCCATCCAATCGAACGCAACCTCGATATTCTGTTCATCCTCGATGGCTCAGGCTCAGTCTCAGGCTCCACATTTAGTACTCAAATAGAAATGCTGCGTCGCATTAGTATACCAGAACTTTTGAAAACCTAGATTCTTTTAGTACGTATGGTTGACATTGGCCCAAATGCCGCTCAGATAGCTGTCATGCAATATGCATCTTTTACAAGGCTAGAATTCCCATTTAATGCTTATCAGGTTTGGAACGGAAGTTTTTAGGATTTTTTTAAGAATGAAACTACTCTTATGAAAGCCATTTCAAAAATCCGGCACATGTCTGGTACTACCAAGACCGGAAAAGCTATAGAAAAAGCGTTACAAGTTTTTTCGGAATCTGGGTCCAGGAAGGTGCAAGAAGTTGCGCAGGTATTTCGAGATTCCGATACTTTAAGAAGCTGTCATTAGGTAGCTATCGTAGTTAGTGATGGTCACTCCCACGATAATCCAGTTCCGGCTTCCAGGAAGTTACGGAAAAATGGTAGTTATAAAAAAAATCCGGATATTCAAACATTTAGGAATTCTGCTAATGACCCTCGGGATCGGACAACATGTAAATGAGCAAGAATTGGTGGAAATGACTGGGGATAAAGATTTAGCATTTCAAGTAAGCGGAATGACGCTAATAAAACGAGATTTTAGGATGTACTTTCTACAGAATCGCTATCACAATTTACAAATCAATTTCGTCGTATAACAAAAGGAGAAAAGTGTGATTTTGCCAGAGGTTGTCTTGCTTAAAATAAGCTTACTATATTTTAGGAAAAGAAGGTTTTAATGTAGTTTGTAGCCCAGATCGTATTATCGTCGGAGCATCGCTGAAAAATCGATTTAGGTATAAGTTACGGTAAAATAAGCATTGTTCGAATTTTTAGAGGCCACATCTTTGTCGAAGACCATTTCCATGACCCAAATTGTCGTGCCAATTCTACAACTCAAGAAGTCGACCTCTCAATTGATTTGGCAAATTGTGGAATGATCGTGCAATATTCGGTTTTAACAAAATGTTTATTTTACAGAATATTTTCCTAGCTAGATCCGCCAGGGATCCTGTTCTCAACTCGTGTGATTCTGAAGCTGCATCCGAATTTTCGGACCAAGAAAGGTACAGTATCTAAAGCATTCTACACCTCAATTTTCGTAGATTTTTTGCTTGATGTAAACTGTTTCTACCCGGAAAATAATGGATTGATTGAGCAAAAGTTTCGAGGAACCGGTGATGATATAGGAATTGCCTCAAATTTTCTAGAGTAAGTGACCAAGCATTGATTACAGCTGTTTTTAGTATATCCTCGCCTTGTGAATATTATTTTACAACAGAACGTGAGGAATGTTCAAGTAAATGCGCAGAGCTTCACGACAACCTTGTACATCAATGGAAGTGCTCCACAGGTTTAAAGAGCTTGAAAAGTTTGTATAATTTTTTAGTATCACCTACAACAAAAATGCTCGTTCATTCGTGTTTTATATTTGATCCTTATTCTCAAAAATCGAAAATGATAATTGATAGCGATGGGTATGCTTAAATTTTGAAAATCTACGAAATTAGGTGCTCTACTGATCCATCCGTCATTTCCACCCCTAAATATTCCACTGGGCTATCAGCCAAAGCTGACGGGATGGTGATACAATTTCCTGGAGCTGAATATATACAGGTATCGATGGCTATCTATTATCTATGTTCCTTTAGGCTCGTTGCACAATATCATTTTGCACGGCAGATCAAAATAGCGATTGCTTTGACTTTCAGGTATATATTAAAATCTAAAAACTTTTTGGGTTTAGCAATTAAAATGCAACAAACGGAGGTCGAAGCGCCAGACAGGTACGTACAACGTTACAACAAATATGGATTGGTTTAGCACCGCTTAAGAAACTATCGTTTTCTGATCAGCCACTTGTAATTTTTGATGACGAAGACGAAGATCCTGTGCAGCAAGATATTTATCAAGATCCATTTCCTTTGTAAGATAGCGTTAAAATATCTTAAAATCATTCATAATCTAGCTTTAGGAATGACTCCGAGGCTGTCGCTTCTGCTTCCACAGATCCAGGTTTTCAAAATTTCCTTAAAAAGCACGTATTATTATTAAATTATTTAGGAACACGAGCCCCTGTTGCAGACCTAAAAATTACCGCGCAAAAAGTGGCCATAGTTCGGGATGAGGGCTTCAAACAGCGATTCCAGGAGGTTGTGTGGATTAAATATACAATTTCTAGGCTTTACGGGTCAGATCATTGGAGGGCGAGACTGAAAAGATAGTTACCGACAAACCTAAAGAGGCCCTATCACATCCAACTTTGATTCCTAACGTAAACTCCGAATTTTTGAAGCGTCTACCGTTTTCGCAAAATTTTAAGGTAATGTATCTTTTTTTAGTGTTTCTCTATTTTTAGATAACAACGAATCGAAACGGCCAATTAATTGGCGGGGCTGTAAGGGAAATATTTTCTGAAGCTGGTAAAGGAAATTAAATTCTTAATTCTATATTTTAGATATTTCCACCTCGACCTCAAAGCTTGTAGAAGTTACTACCAAGAAAACTGTATTTATACCATTTTTACATAGAGAAGTCGATAATAGTGTAAGTTTTTGGATATTGATTTTACTATGCTACTTAGAAAAGTGATGATATCGAAATTTCGGTTCTTGGTATTCCGCTAGAAACAGTGCCACAAGGAGAAAAACTTGATGGTAAGCCACTCCTCGAAAAATTGCCATTTTCCTAGAGCGGATTCTCGCCAAACTCTTCTCAACCCAAATCCTGGTCGAGAGCCCCCTACTCCGAATCGCCACCAAAAAACGCGTCCGAAAATCCACAAATTTCTGTCGTAATTGAAAGCTGGTGTTTTGTTGCCCAAATTTATTCGATTTTCCGACATAAAGTGAGGTGGGGAGACTCTTGAGCTTACAAATAATGTATAGAAATAATGGGATGCTAATTTTGAAAGCGAGAGAAAAAAAAAGAATAATTTTTGGATTCTAAGGGAGGGTTTTTATCAAAGAAAAAATGAAAGATAGATGAGGGACCTCACAGCAGAACACCGCCGCACCATGTATTTGGAGGCTATAAGGATGGCTCATCAAGATGACGATAATATTTCGGAGGGTAGAATAAACGGGATTGTTCAAATGATGGTATCAGTCAGTCGGGGCAATATGTATGGAATTACATACAATACAATACTAATGACAGTAAGGTATTGTAAGCACACCGGGCATTGGTTTCTGATTTCGTTTATTCGCGGTCGGGGAATGGGCCAGCCATCACCTTTCGGATGAAAGCTGAAAAGGTATATTTCAGGGGCTAGAGGTAGTTCAAATACCTTCGTAGTTGACCATGCCCTCTCCGTCTTCAGTTCCCTTCATGATCTCGTCAACCTGGTCCTTGTTCAGTCGCTCGCCAATGCCCAAAAGGACGTGTCTCAGCTCAGCGGCCATGATCTGGACAAAACACGGTATATAAGCTATCGATTTCTATACCTTTCCACACTCCTCCTTGTCGAACACCTTAAGTCCCTCATGGAAGTCGGCGAACGTTCCCTGCTCCTACAAAATTTCAACTTTTTTTAAACTTTTTTTTGGAACGCTTTCTTGACCTCCGAAAACCCCTAAACTTTTCCCAGAAAATACCGCTTTCCCCAGAGCTGTGGGTGGATAATGTGTGTGTGTTTGTGCGAGGGAAAAGCCGTGGCAGCTTCTTCCCCCCTTCACTGTTCTTGAGTGGGTCCCCCCTCCCCCTAGCTCTGCGAGAACCCATGACAGCATCCAGAAGACGCAACCACTGCCCCGGACCCCCTAGCAAAAAGAGCTTTGCTAGCTGCGTATTTATCTAGCTGATCCGGGCCTCTATCTCTAGCTTATCTCTAGGTCTATCTCTAACCGAAAGCCATTTTTCTTACCTTCTCCTTGGCCAACTGCTCGTAGATCGGAGCGAACTCCTCGAAGGTCAGTCGCTTCTCGCCGCGCTTCTTGTACTCCTTGCCGGCGGCCTGGAAAAGATTGAATAAAATTTGATTTTAAGTCATTTTAAATTGTCTAGAAAGGGGGATTTTCCAAATTTTTGCTGAAAGTTCTAGTGAAAAGAACAACCAGGCTTGAAAAGTCGATTCTCAATGCCACCAAAAGGTTGGGATCGATTTTTTTTGTGCTAAAATAAAAAGTTCTAGACAATTTTAATTAGTAAACTAGATTATTAAATTTGCTGCGAACTAGAAGCTAGGAGCAGTTCTTCAAAAGATCGCTTTAGGATTTTGTAAATGCCCAGAAAATTTAGATAAATTGAATTCGATTTGAATCAACTTGAAATAGGAGGCAAAATGTTGTGAGCCGGCAAAAATTTAGCAAAAACTGAGGACGTCTGACCTTGGTGACCATGGCGTTGGTGGGCTTGAGGCCGGCGGCGCGGACAACATCTCCGACCTGGGTGCCATCGATCTTGCCGTCGAGCTCCTCGTCGTAGAGGTTGAAGATCTCCTTGAGCTCGTCTGAAATGAAATTAAAACGTAATTAAAGTAATGCGTTAATAATACGCTATACTAAACCTCTACTAATTCACTAAATAGTTTGACCGATAAAAAGTATGGTTTTTGTCAAGTAAAGAAAAAGAGGAAGTTAAAAACTTTCTAAGAAAATTCGAAAAATTAAAAACACTCACCAGTCTTGATGGCCGGCATGTTGTCTAGGTGTTAAGTTGAGGTGGGCGGTGACTAAGGATAGAAATTAAAATGTTTTAGAATATTATGCATGGAGAAACAAAAAGGAGCAACACATCAAATTCCAATCTCAAAATAATCAAAGACAACCAAGAAATACCAACATGTAAATGAAGCTCCCCCCTCCCAGATCTGAGACGATGCCACTGGACGATGCGGTCGAAGCAGAAGAAGAAGGCAAAAAAAAAGAAGCAGAAGTAGAAGAGGAGGGGAAGGGCGGGAGTCTCGAGTTCGTCGACAAACAGAAACTGCCGAGTCTCGCCCCTCATCCACAAATCTCTCCCCCCTTTCCCTTCCTAAATCTACCAAAGAGAATCCCCTGAATGATCTGCGTGGACATCCTAACGCCTCCTTTGTCGATAGAGGCTAGGGTTTCGGCATTTTACACGTCAGGAGGAGCTATTGATTGGGAGGAGGTGGAGGTGGAGCAATTGAATGGAAGTTTTTGGATTTTTACAAAATGAGCCAGAGTGTGGGAGGGTGAGATAAAGGTTTAATCAAATCTGGCAAGAGGGGCAGTATATTAACGTTGTAAATGATCAGGTATTTATGCAGTAAGAGTTGCAAAAGTGGCTTCGCGCGCTAGAAAAGTTCTAGCTCATGCTCAGAACCCTATCTAAAAAGTCGCGAAGTAGTAGAAGCGTAAAAGTTAATTTTTAGTAAAACATTTAAATTTTCAAGATGCTAAAAAATAAGTTTGTGCAAATTTGGAAAATATCGGTATCAGCCAGCGAGTATAAACGATGTTGTAGTATGCCAAAAAGGTATGCAATTTTTTGAACGGATCGATCTACCGTAATCCAAAAAAAAGCGATCAAAACAGCCAAATTTTTCTGCTAGATAAAGCAAGCCGGAATCCGATTTTCTATACAAAGCCGCTAACAGTTTTTTACAGACTCCAGAACCTACAAAAAAAATTTGGAAATCAACATGCGATACAGTATCCGCTTCCAGTATGACGGCCAGTTGGATGTGAGGGGCCGGCATGGATAGCTGCCCCGAGAGAGGCATTCCGCGTGCTTCGGTAGCTCAATAGGGAGAGCATCGGACTCGAAAGCCGTAGGATGCGGGTTCGACCCCCGCCCGGAGCACTTGTTTTGCGGATTGGACCCGGAGCTAGTCCATGGCCATGGGACCCCGGAATTCCCAACTGGCCAAAAGCACAAAAATACCACCAAACCACAAGCATTAATGCCTGAAAAATGCCGACTGGCTGAGGATACGGTAGTGTTGCGGTGGGTGCAGCAGATAGGAGAAAAGAAGTGAGGGAGGGGAGGATAGAATCCGAGCGAAGGTCTCTAGGCAAGTGGAGGCCACCCCAGTAGTGGGCCACAAGATGGCTGGCTGGTTGGTTGGCTATGGCTAAGGAGGAGGGACCGACGGCTTCTGTTTGAGCTCTCAAGTCGTTGTAACACCCGGCTGCCCTCCTCGGCTTCTCCTCTCCTTCCGAATCTCGTCTGCCGCTGGCGCTTCTTCGCGTCAATCTCTTCAACAATCCCCCCTTTATCGAAATAAGTGCCAACGGGAGGGTGAGGAAAGGGGGAGGATGTGTTAGTTTGCAGGGTTGGTGAGGAAGTGGAAGTGTCTGGTCTTGGAGATAAAGACTGAAGCGAAGCGGATATTCTGAAATACGAGCGAGTTGTGTAAAAGTGAGGAGGGTGAAGTGGGACTCAGAGTTCAGTTTCCAATTTTTCCATAGAACATCTGCCGGCTGCCGGGATTGCCACTCTCCGAAAAATCGCAAAATCGATTAAGACCAGCTTTCCAAAAAAATATTTATTTTTCTTGCAGCTTTCAATCGATTTTAAACTTTATTTTGTGCAGGAATTTGCTCTGTTTTACTTTTCAGAAGGTCAGAAGAAAGAAGAGCCTCGCACAATCGACTCTGTGCGACAACCTCCAAAATCTTTGGTATAATTTTGTAACTTGGGCAGTTCTGATTAGCCCTTCTGAGGAAAGCTTTCCCAATTTTCTCTGCTAGTTCGCCTGTTTGGAGCATCGAGAAGCCGAGCTACTACCGACAATCCTGAAGCGGTATCGAATATCCAAGGCTTCAATTTGCAGTCATAGATGCGAACAATTTTCTCGGTAGTACGTAGACTCTTCGTGATTAGCACTTTTTATTTTTACACCACCATCCCATCACCCAGATTTTATCTCGATTTACCCCTAAATTTAGCCTTCGTTTTTCTGATCAATTAGCTGCGGGGGATGAGAATAGAGGATAGAGAAATAAAGGGGGTTCTTCTTTCCGAGAAGGAGGTCTCGGCAATGGCTAAACAAACGGTCGTGTGTGCTTCTTCCCGCCGGGGCTCTGCGTGGGTGATTTCGAGAAGCCGGTAGAGCTCTCTAATATCTCTCTCTTTCTCTCTCTCTCTCTCTCTCTCTCTCTCTCTCTCTCGCACAGGGGTCATATAGAAAAACGAGCGGTATGACGGATCTGGTTGTGGTGGGGGAACAAAGTTTGGCGGGAATTTGCACGAACTTTCATTCATTTTGTACGTTTTTTCTGATGCAAAATTTATTTAATAAGACATTTTAGCTTTTGACAAGTTGATCAATCACAACACACGAAATCTAAAGCAAAAAGAAACATTAATCAGTAATATAAAAATAGAAAACGTTGATTAGTATAAGAGACCATAAAAACCCGTCAGTTTTTCGAGCATCCAATTTAGAAAATCGTTTTTTTAGTTTTTCATCAAATTTTTAGCTGAAAAAAACCGATTTCCCGGGAGCGATGGATTGCGGGTAAAATTAAAATCGTATAACAAAAACATTTCCTAGCCATGGTATGAGCAATAGCTGTGATAGAGATGTTATAAAAGTATTTCTAAAGTAGCACTTCAGGTAAAAATTTTTCATTGCATATTTGAGACCAGAAAAAAAGATCTAAACGGCAGTAAAATTTAAAATTGGCAGGCAGTTTTGATTTTTCGGTTGTTGGAAAACTACGCGCGATGAAAATCGCCTTTGAATATTCGGGTGAGGGTTCTTTTGAATTGTTGATTGGCCATTGCATAGCAGAATGGATTGATTGGGGAATTCATATAGCAGAGGTAGTACGAGATCGAGTAGAGAAGTTTGAAAGAGGCATTCGCATCACAGCTCTTGCAGAAGCCGATTATCTGAAAAAAACGGGTTAGATTTTCGCTCCAATTTTTTAGAGTTGTTTCAAGTTTAGGTTTGGTTATTTTTCTATTTTTATTAAGAATTTAGTTTTTTATTAGTCAAAAACATTTTTTATGTTGGACTTTGGGTGTGGGAAACATGGGAAATGCGGGGGAAAAGGTGATGCCCGGGGACCACCCTATAGATTCGACCACCCTGAGAGGCCACCCAGAAGGGACCACCCCAATTTGCATATGTATTTTTAGGGGAGTTTTTGTGCCTAGAAAAATATATAAAATAATATCAATACAAATAAAATGAAATTCTTAATTTTTAGCACGTTTTGAAACGCTAAATTATATTTTATAAATTTTACGCCCTAGATGTCAGAGTAAAAACTTGGGATTTAAAAATTAACATACCAATAGCTTGTTTCTATAGTTTTCCTGCAATCAGACCATTACTATATCCTTTTCTCTCTCCGGCCCTACCGCCGAGATAGACACGGGGCTTTGAAGCCGGGCCCAAAACTCTCCGTAGACTTTCTGTTTCTTCTTTTCTCTCTCGATCCCCCTAATCTCTCTTCAGAAAGCATGCAGACCACCCACACTGCACACCTTTACAGTCCGCTCCTCCTCTCTACGGTCTCCCGGCTCTCAAAAACCTGACCCCCGGGATTCGTGGAAAAAGGGATTTCAGCAGGGTCCGAGTGCTCATAGTAATTTTTTAGGGCTGACGATTTTACAACTTGGTTTTATCAAAAAGCTCAGAAATAAAATCTTGCAAAAACTAATATATAAAAGATTTATAGCTTTGTAAAGTAATCCATACCGTAGCCAACAAGAAGAATGGCGTCCAAAATAACGTAAAAGCTCCGAGAATTACGGTAATTGTCCTCAGGGCTTTTCGTGCTCGATTCTCGCTTTTGGACTTGTAGTGATGGCCCTGAATTTAATAAATATAGTCGAACGAAATTTTAACAGCTACCTTCTTCTTCCTGACCGATCTAGACCTTACAGCAGATAACAACCGCCGCATCCGACTTCCGGTTGATTTGACGCTTTCAACCCTTGAGACGGCTATCAACGGCACAATTACCTAAATTAAAGAAGGATATTGACATCATAAAATCAATATTAGTAGTGATTTCAGGCTCTTTTAATACTTTAAATCAAGCTTTGTGCAAACCAAAAATTAGAAACGTAACCATACATGTGGTAGTATTCAATGCATAAAAAAAAGTTAATACTTTTAGGCAGAAAACCAAAAAGACAGTTTCTGATGAAATCCAAGACAGGTTAGATACTAATAGATAGTATAGAAAAGAAGAAATCAGACAGTTTGCTTCAATAACTCTACCTGATCTTCAGCATCTGTTCGTGGGGTATCCGAAAAAGTACCGAGAAGCATCGATCCACCCGACTGAAAGAAAAACACAAATAACCAAACTCTAACAAAACATACAACTAGCGATTCGAAGGCTCGACTAAATAAAGCTCATGCCAACGCATATCTATAATTCCTAGCAAAGCAAGGGGTACTTTAAAGCTTAGAGGTTTGAGCGGCAGGTACAAAAGCGGGTTAAGCGTAATTTATTAGCTTTTCTGAAAGTTTCTAGGTATACCGTAACAGTCCGCGATGGCTGGATGTCATTTTGATCCCGTTCGGTGCTCTCCCCGTTTCCGCTGTCTCGTTCTTCCTCTTTTTCTGTCTAAAAAGCACAATAATTTAAGGTGAGAACCAAAATACACTTACAAATATTGTCTCGACTTCACTAACATTCACTTCTGTCCTAATCACACTCCCATTTCTTCTCAAATCATCGGTCCCAACGAGTGATGATAGACTATCAGCATCGATAAAGGGAAACTGGAGGAACTGATTTTTTTTTGTCTACAAGAGTGATACCTTAACATCAGGTTTAAAATCTAGATTGGCTAGCGGCTCTACATCAGGATCGGAAGCTTCCGGGCTTACGCAAGGAGCTGTGCTTTCTCTTTCTAAACTAATTTTTAAAAGTTTAAGCTTAAACCAACCAATAACCGACGATAATTCCTGCCTATAAACATTTCGATAAGTCGGCGCACTCTTTTCACGATTCCCCTTGTCTGATCTGTCCGATCTAGAAAAAAAGTTAAGAATTTTTAGATACACTTACGCATATCCTGGATTGCTATATTCGGCCGAGGGTTTTTGCTGGATTATCGAAGTTGTAGAGACTCTAGCATGCTGTAAGTTGTTGCAATTGTTGCCCAGATGGTTTGTATCGAGCTGGAAAAATATTTTTAGGAAAAGTATGGTCGATTTACCGCCACTTTTTGCTGCTTATGATTAACGACGGGTGGTGCTGAGGACTTTTTATCGTTTGAAATCACGCTGGGTTTTGTGGATGGTCGTGAGGATCTTCTTGAATTTCTGAAAATCAACTAAATTCTGATATTTTGAGTTCAAACTGAGCAGTTCGAACAGCTCGATTTTTGCACTCAAATTTCCAAAAAAAATTTGTATTGTTGAGATTAAGGATATTTTTATATTTTCGTGCTGATCCCTTGCATCACCCAGTTTCTCACCACTCAAATTCTTCCCAGAAAATGTGTATTTTCGGGTGTAGAAGGAGGAGGAGGGTTTCGAAGGGTGGGAGCGGGGCGGGCGATGATTCAATTTTGGAGGCAAAATTTCGAACCTCACCCTCCCCTGGGGACTGGAGTCTTCTCGGGATCCTCTAGGAAAGATCATTCATCGGGTTGGCGAGCGGTTTTTTTGGGTTGAGCAGGAGTTCTGAGGGGAGTTGGAAAAATGTCGACACCAGACTGGTGCGAGGAGGATGAGGGATGGTTTTCGAGAAGGTGGAAAAGATACACTTTTTAGCGGGTGTGGGAAGGTGTCATATTTTGTTTTCACGTTTTTAAGGGAAAATCTAAGATGTAAATTTTAAGGGAAATTACATTTCTAGTTTTTAGAAAGCTCTTAACCCCCATAACTCTCGTGCTCCCTACTAGTGACCTTTTTCGTACTCCGCAACATCTTCCTCCTTCACCCTTCCAACCTAACCTACTCAACTCCCCGTACTCCTCCCCCCCTCCCTCCACCCCGTCTAAAGGAATGATGCGGATTGAGCATCAGAAGTATCCCTAAAAGCATCACCCTCCACCCCATGTCGCTTCCTTGATGTGCTGCTCACCCCCAACATAATCCAATCCACGACGTATGAGCTGTTTTCAGATAGAGAGATCTGAGCAGACCCCGGGAATGAGGTTATCCGGGTTAGGGGCAGGCTGTGGCTCCTCATCCGATGTCAGACATGTCTCCAGGGCCAGTGCTGATGGCCATGCCCTGGGGACCTGTGACACTGCCCTTACTCAAAAAAGAGGAGGAAGAGGAGCAAGAGAAGGGGGCCATAACCTTCTTGAGACTCTCGAGGAGGAAAGCATATTTGATGTGGGATTTGAGGGTATCAGATGCTATAGAAAGGAGCAAGAGAAAAATGAAACACATACCCTTTATTTATCGTCGATCTCAAACTATCCGAAGTATCTTGTGGGCTATCCGAGCTCGTCCGCCCCGCATCACTCGTTCTCAACGACAGAGTCTCAGGCCGTTGCGGCTTCCTCATCTGCGACAACAAAGCTAACCGCTTTGTTTTCTAAATTCAGACTTAAATTCGAGAGCTCGTGCTCCGAACCTGATCACTCTTATCGGCGAGCTTCTTGGCCGCACGATATATTCCCCAATACAAATAGAGCATGACAAATAGCGTACTCCAGTAATATGAGATGTACATCCCCATGTTAAGGTATGGGTCGGTCATGAACTAAAACAAATTACAAATTAAAATACGAAAATACCGGCACATAACATTCGTTTTCGGCCTGTATCCGCCCCTTTCCCGTGATCGCACCGTACCCGAAGATCGAGATTGTGAAGAGCGCGCAGGGGACCTAAAAACAAACATTAAATTTAGGTACCTAACGCTTAAAAAACTGAGCATGAGCTCAAAGTACCCACCACCCAAATGGCGACAATAATGAGCATGACCCGCTTAGGTGTCCGCCAATTCCGGTAGGTTGCCGGCATCTTCACTGAGCAATACCTAGACCAGCTTTTGAGCCTGTTTCCTAAAACCCTACCTATCCACCGTAATCCCGAGCACTGTGTAAATGGAAGCCAGGCATACGGTGTAGTCTATGGAGAGCCTGAAATTTATTCATTCATAGATCGGGCTCATTTCAGCCTGCTTCTCCGCCTTTTTTGGAAATCGTCAAAGCTTGAAGCGTTCAAAAAAATGGAGCTCCAGCTCCTCCTCTCCTTCTCATCCCTTTTGAGCACCAGCACCAACTACCCACCATAAATCGCATAGAAATGGGCCCCAGTTCCATTGGTCGTTGTTGAGGAAGAAGTACGTATACACTGGGATACCCTCCAAACCGATCACCTGAAAGAAGGAAGCTTATCGTTGTTTCGACGTTCTTCGACACTTTTCGACACTTTTCCCGCTTTTTCAGAGTTGTTTTTATGAACTGTTTGTGTATTCAGGGCAGGTAACCCGATCCGGCAGTCTGGTTTTGGCAAGCTATTTAAGGAAGAGTTTAAAAATTAAGTTTTTTTTGCCGCTTCGAGGGCTTTTTTTTGTGGTATTTAAGGATAGAGCAACGGCAACTGAACTTTTACAGCCTTATGATGCGGAACTTTAGCCATCGGAAAAGAGCTACGACCAATTAACCTCCCCAGAAACAAAACAAAAGCCGCTTTTCGACCTTTTCCGCCCCTATCTACTCTTTGACCCCTAGCAGGTTGAGAGTTGTGTGGCTCCGGAATTGAATGCCGAGCCCCACTCCGTGAAAAAAGGCAAAAGCTTCTTCACTCCAACCCTCTAGATGGCCCTCTCTCTCTCTCTCTCGCTTTCTCTCTCTCTCACTCTCTCTCTCCCTCCACCCCCTAAAATGTGCGCCCCCCTTTTAAAGCCGGGAATGGAGAAAAAGAGTGATGAATCTGTTTCTCCGGAACGGCTTCTGGGGAAGTGTTGTGTCCAAGAGGTTTTTTCGGGTGAGCAGGAGCTGCCCCTTGCCCTCCCTCCCCGACCCTTCATGCCTTCCTCCTTTTTCGAACTCCCCCTCCACACCACCATATGCAAATCACATATCATGAGAGAGAGCCAGAGAAAAAGCGAGAGACCGGAAGGAAGCGGTCGAGTTATTTGCGCAAGCAGAGCTGGGGCTCGTCCCTTCTGAAGGCTGCGTCTCCTCGCCTCGGCTTCTCGGCCTCCCCAAAACTTTCAGCGGACCGCCGACCGGAAAGAAATATTAGCCTCTGGAGACCTCGACAGGGAGGGGGGGGAGGCTGAAGCTGGAGGGAAGAGCCGTGTGAGGCCGGGGGGGGGTCTGGCTGCCCATTTCGAATGGAAAAAATGGAATCCGCCCGGAATAACGGGGCGTTTTGGGGGCATTCGGGGGAAGGTGAGAGGAGAAGGAACTCAAGTGGCGTCACGTAGTTAACTTTGGAATATTCCGGATACCTTTACAGTAGCCTAAAAAAGTTTGTGCTCAGTTGATAACCTTAATTTCAGCGTTATTTTCCCTAGAATTGATTTTTAAAATTTTTCATTACACTAATCCCAGTAACTAAATTCCCCCATCAAAATTCCCTTCCGGACTCCGGAAAACCCATCCGGCTTTCTCGTATTTTCATAGCCTTCTCCTTCTCCTCCTCCTTCAAGTGGTTGTCGGCAATCTATTCGCGGTCCAAAGTGGGCCAATAACTCCGGAGCTTCCCCCATTTTTTCATAGAAGACGATCGCGCCAAAGGCTTTTTGCCGCGGGGCCCCATTTGTGGATGGGAGCGTGGAGATGGGGCGATCGGATTAAGTGGCTCACGCGTTTTTTTTTTGAGGCTAGCCGCCTTTATTAGTTCTTTTTATTGAGAGGAGGAGAGAGGGTTGTTGGTAAATAAATGGTTCGGTTCAGGAGAGTGGGCCGGAAATACCGACAGACATCAGACAGAATCAGGAATGCCGTGATTCGGACATTGAAAATATCGACAGCTAAAATACCGACACAGAAGGTTTTGCTTTGTCGTGTCGGTATTCTGGGTTTCCGAAATCCAGCTGTCGGCATTCCGTCGGGATTCTAGCTGTCGGCATTTTTCTGTCGGTATTTTGCCTTCTCGGTATTGTCCGTGGAATTCCTTGAGCCTGCTACGCTCAAGATACTTTGTCCAAGTCTACAGCACTACACCCCCAAACGCCTCCCTGCTGCTGCTCCTCATCTGAAGCTCTAGCTGGCTGTCAACACGAGTCATATCTGATGCGTTCATCTCCTCTCTTCTGACGCCATCCATCCCCCTCTACCCCGCCGAAAGATCGCCAATAAAACCCCCCTGAATCACAAGCTCCCGCTCCCCAAACAAGAGAGAGAGCACGATTATGGGGAAGAGTGAGGCCGAGGGTATTTTTAGGAAAATATGTATAAAATACATCATACAAATCTCTGACCTGCATGACGATAGATTAATCTTAAAAAACCTTTTCAAAAATCCAAAGATCTTCTCCGGATTATCCGGTTACCGGCTTCCACACCTTTTACATTTCAATTCGTCATTTCTTTCCCTCCAAACCAACCATTTTGCAAAACCACTGGCCCCCCTCGAAACGGGCTGCGGGCTTAAAATGACTCCCCTCGCATATGCGAAAAACTTGCCAAGCGCCAAATGTGGCGGAAACTTTTTGAGCTTTGCCCTCCCGGATTTGCCTTTTTTGGAGTCGTGGAGCTGGAGAAGCTGTGGAAAAGCCGAGAATATACCTCACCACACCCCAATATTCGGGAACTCCATTTCCAACGCAACATGATTGGGAGAGACATAACGGCAAAAAGAGAGGGTTTTTCGGGGTAACGTAACTTACTCATCCTCCTCGCAACCCTAAGCTTTCCCCCCAGAGCTTCTACTTTTCCCAGACCTAGAAGAATAATACCAAAAGGGGGGCAAAGATAGGGCAACTCTTCCCTTTCTTTTCTTTCTTCTAAAGCCTCATGCATTCTGAATTTGGGAAGAAGAGGCGATAGTGTGGGTCTTTCAGGGGATTGGCTACCCATTTTTCTCACAATTTCCCACAGCCATATGAGGGGGGGATGGGGCTCAACTTGAATAAGAGCATGACGCCATGCTAAGGTTTAGCGGGAAAATTTAAGCACTACTTAAAAGTATAACACAAGCCCATACCATCCTTGCAAAAAAACCCAATCGATTACGCTATGTAAAAAACAGGTGAAATCAATATGCTAATTATATATGACGTCGTGCTCCTTTAAAAGCTTGCTAGGCTTATCAGCCTTGTTTTTCCTCCCTAACCAACCCCCCCCGAGCTAGACCCCCATCCCCCTATTTGTGGAGGAGATTTGAGAAAGAGTCTCCCTAAAGGCAAAAGTTGCCACAAGGGCCTCCCTGCTGCTTCTCCTCCCCCTCCTCCTCCTCCCTGGGCACCGGCCGTGTGGAGTTCAAGTCCCCGATGGGTCATTAGAGCTAGGCGACGGGCCGGGGGGGAGCTTGAGAGGGAGTGTTGGAGAATCAGAGATCGAGGGGAGGTGGAGGTTGGAGAAGGTGGTTGGAGAAGGCAATCCAGAAGCCCACCACGATGCATTCACTTGGGTTGGAACTTCTGACTAAATCCCCTGCCTAAAAATACGTTCCAGCCGGAGGAGAGGAGCAGGAGAATGGGTGGTCATATTTTTGGAGGTTGAGCTGTGGTTTGATGGTTTTAATGATGAACGTGATACCTTAAAGTTATAATCTAGAGGAGGCCGAGTTTTAAAGGGGGTGTGACACCTAAAAACACCAAAAATACGTTCAGGGCTGGGGCGGACCTATTTCTGGAGGGAGCACGCGCTTCAAAGGTGGTGTGACATCACGAATTTGCGTATCGGTCGTCTAAAGGGAATGCCAAAAACCTTTTTAAGGAAAGGTAGGATGAATGTTCGCGCTTTCGAAAGGTGCACGACCTTTTAAAGGGAGTGTGACGCCTAAAGCTTATCCCTATAACTTTGCAGACACTTTTACCCTTTCCACTCACCACCTCCACAAATTGGTTCTAGTAAACTCCCCCGCCAGCCACGAAAAGCCCATGCTCACCTCTCCCCCCGAAATAGTTGTGCCTCCCCCCTGTCCAGAGGGTGGCGCGGGAATAAAGGCTTTTGGCGGGTGCTTAGGAGCAATCGCATTGAAAGCTCCCGAATCTGCGGTGGGCCGTCCCCCCCCCTTCGGCCATTGCTTTTCTGGCCACCTCAAACTCAGCCCGTCTTTCTCGTGCTCTAAGGTAGTGTTGAGGTCTCTGGTGGGATATAGGAAGGTAGAGAAAAAAGGCCGTGCACTCGAAATAAGCATTTCTCTCCAATTAGAGGAGCCTCAGCTCTTGGGCTGAGTTTTTTGCGTTCGGGAGGACGCCTTAAGTTCCTCTTGCTCATTCTGAGTTTTCGGGGAGGAGGAGAGGCGGGGAAAAATTTCCTTTTTTGGAGAATGGTTGTTGGTGGATTTTAGGGGGGAATTGGAGGAATTTCGTGATTGGTGGGTAGTGGAAATTGGAGAAATTGGGTAGTGATGCGTGAAATTAAATAGTGTGAGAATTTATGGGGAGGGTTGGGAGGTACGGTAGCGACTTTTTCAAGACGTACAGGATTTTTAGACAACCTATTGATCCAAGGTCATCTTCAAGCTCATGCTCACGTATCGTTTGACTCCCGCTCAACCTCACAAAGTTCAAAATACACCTTTTTCTCCCGGGCCCAGTCCAAAAATTGCTTCCCATTCAACATGTTGAATGAGCACTCGTGTATGACTAGGTGTATGTGTATGTATGCAACGGATGTCCCATTCCTCATGCACACCCCTTCCCACAAGAGAGCGCCACCATAAAAAATTCAATTTTCACGCCTACGGGGACATCCGTCGGGTTGGGGGGGGGGGGCGATGCGTGGAAAGCCGCCGCAAATCCTACGCTTCAATTGCCCGTATAGTTATGGAAAAGTGGCGGGGAGGGGCATAGGGAAATATTGGGGTGCTTCTTTAGTCTTATCTTGTTTCTGTTTATGGAAATTGAGGGGTTCTGGTAATTCGGGATCCAGAAAATTCAGGAAAAAGCGGCATCCTGAGAAATCTAGATTCAAAATACGATATTATGTAAACTCGAAATTTTGAAAATCCTCAGACCGGAAAATTTGGGATTATGCAAATTCAAAATCTCGAAAATTCGCTACTATAGAAATGGGAACATTAAAGGGCCTCGCTTCAAAATTCGAGATTATGATCCGGATTAAAAAAAGTTTGAAATTATGCAAATTTGAAAATTCTGCAACGTCCAAACTACCTAAATTCGGTACTACGAAATTACGGAATTATGCTAATTCGAGAATTCCATCGTTTCTTTATACCTTAAATTGAAATCGGCTAGTTTTTGGACCCTGCAGCGCAAAAGAAGCAGTTCACCCCCCATCCCTAGGTAATCGAATCCCAGGCCAAAACACTGAAAGTAGCTGAAAGAAGGACTTCAATCCACCCGAAAAAAAAAGAAAGAGAGAGAGTAAAGGCACAACGAAGGTAGACTGGGAATAAAAAAAATGGGGTTGGTGTGAAGAACAGAATGGAATGAGTCAGATGCCTAGGCAGGCTGGAGCCGTTTTGCATTTCTATAACTTGACGTTGATTCAAAAAGGTTTGTTTTCAGGACAAGGGGATTAAAATGACTTGTTTTAGCTGACAGACCCCATTCGGAGACCTAATCTTTTGTCATGGAAAACGTGGTTGAACCCGGATTAGCCTTTTTAACGTAGAGATGTCATTTCTAGAAATTTTAGGATTTTTAGGATGCCTGGATCAAGCGTGAAAAAATGTAGATATCGTTAAAATGCGTAGATTTTCCTCAAAATAAAATATAACTCACCAGGTCCGAAATGGCCAGCGAAAAGATGAAATAGTTTGCCGGCTGGCGAATATTTTTGTCGATATAATAGGAGAGGAGGACGGCTAGATTGCCGACAACAGTGATGATTGAGAGGGCAGACATGGCCACGGCCCAGATCACGTATAGAACCATACTCATCACCTGGGCCCCCAATCAATCCGGGCCCTCCCGTCTACCTTTCCCGCATCTTCATGGGTTTAGGTGGGTGCTGGAAAAAATATGTTGAATACATAGAATAAAAATATTGAGAAACGGAGAGAGCGGAAAATCAAGAAAATACAAAAAATTTAGGATCTTATCCCAATTAAAAGGCCAAATAATTAATTTATATGCTCGTTTTTAACGAAAAAAATTCCAAAAATACCTACGCAAATGAGGGGTAGGTCAGTAAATTTCGATTTTTAAACCTAAAGATTAAAGGTACACAAAAAACTCCCCCCAAAAAGTGGGGCGGGGGGGGGGGGTTTGGGTCTCTCCCCCCCCCGCCCCCCCCCCTTCTTTTCCCCCCCCCCCCCCCCCCTCCCCCCCCCCCCCCGGGCTGGGGGGGCGGGGGGCCCCCGCGGGGGGGGGGGGGGGGGTTTGGCTTGCGCGGGGGGGGGCCCCCCCCCCCTCTCCCCTCCCGGCGGGCGGGGGGCGGGGCGGGCACCAAACGAAACAGAGGGGGCCTTAACTTAAAAATCAGGAGAATCGTAAAAATCGATGTTACAAAAATTCAGGGCATTTATGCAAATTAGGGGAAAGCACAACGTAGCCAAAAGCTCATTTTGAACTTCCCTATCCTTTAAAACCTGGCGATAAACTTTAGAAGCAACAGAACAGAAAAAGTTAGGCTACCAAAATCCAGAGCCACTTATGCAAATTAGGAGCTAAAACAAGAATAAGATCGATTCCATGACATCTAGATCCCTTAAAAACCAACGATTAACATCAGAATCCCAAGACCGACCACCCCGACGTCGTCTAGAAGAGCCTATGCTCCTCCTCCTCCAGATGCTGCTCCCCCATCCCCTCCTCCCCGACCTGAAGCCTTGAATGGGCGTGGCCGGCACCCATTTCACACACCCCTAGCCCACCCCCCTCCTCCTCCTCTTCCTCAAGCTCTTCTATCCCAGGAGCAGTATCTATCTCCTTCTCCTTCTCCTCTTGCTCCTTGAATACTCTAGAGGGATAGGAATCAAGACAAAAGGAGATCTCCACAAGTCAAACTCCTTCCTCCTCTCTTTCTCCCTCTCTCATCCTCGATCCGATGACGTTTAGATGTGCCACTGGGGACAAATATACATCTTGGAGTTGCGTCTCACACAAAAACCCATAAAACCAAGCCCTTAAACTGGCCAAAAAATCTGCAACACACCACCAAAAATTGCGGCTCAACGATTTGGCTATAGAGCCCAATTTGGGAGAAAATCGTAGCGGAGCGTACTCTGTTATTAAGTCCGACTCCTTTCTTTTCGCGACAAAACCCAAAATTGTGGACTGTTGCAATTTATAAGTATAGCTGCCCCCGAAAAGAGGCCGAAATTGAACAGAATTTTTCGAAAAAAAAACGGCCAGACGGAAGCGAAACTCGCGGCTACGTAGGCTCGAAAAAAACACAGAGGGCAGCATTTCACAAATCTGGACCCTCGGCTGAATTTGGGCATTGTTCTTTGGAAATGTTTCGGGGGGTAGAGGATTATTTAGGAGGTCAAAAAATGTTGGGGGATTATCTTGGGATTTAGGGGGGTATCGACTGAATGGAGCAAGAGCGAGGGTAGGGATATGAGGCTTAAAAACTGGTATGCAAATCAGGGAGTAAAGCCCTAAATGAAGAAAAATTTGTGAAAAATTTGCAATCGTGCGTATTTTCAGGGGAAAGTAATAAAAAATGGCAAAACTACGGTATCCTAAAAACAAAACCTAAATTATAGTCCAAAAAGTAAAATAAAAAAATCTCCGACATTTTCTAACGCTTTTATGAGCAATTTGGAGCATAAACTATTAAAAAGACAAAACTACAGTATTCTAAATTATCAACACAATTATATCCGAAAAATCGGTTTAAAAATTTTTGAAATTTAGGACGCTGTTACGACGATTTTTTGAGCATGAACTCTTCAAACTGACAAAACTACAGTATCAGGAAGAAATTAAACAATTTTTACCACCTAAAAAAACTCAATATAATCCTATAATACAGGGTGTCCCAAAAAAAATCGACCCCCCTCTAGCGGACCGCAGAAAGCTCGGATCGGAATGATTTTCACACCATTCGAAAGCCCTTCAAACGGTGAGAAAACAAGCGCCTTTGGTTTTCCAAAAAATTTTAGCCTTTGCTCGATATTCAATGATTTCTGTAAAAAGCGTAAAACCAGCATCGTCCTGTTTGCTTTAGCAAGCAATTAACATGCCGATTTTGCATAAAATCTGCAGTTTTCATCGATTTTGGCCCTAAATTTAATGAATTAAAATTCCCATATTGAAAAACGAAAAGTGCTTGTTTTCTCGCCTTTTCGAGTGCTTTCGATAGATACCTAAATCGTCAAAATCGGACATGACTGCGGCCCGCTAGAGGGGGGTCGATTTTTTTTGGGACACCCTGTATAACACAGACACAGCCAGACGCAAACTTTGCATGTGCCTCTTGCCTGAACCGTTATGACTTGTGAGAACCCCTCCCTCCCCATCCACCCGACCTTCTAATACCTTTTGCCCGTTAATCCGGCTCCCCTCGCTTCCCTCTTCTTCCTCCCCGGATTCTCATCCCCAAAAGGCGAGAATTACCCGAAAATAGATACTGGAGATACCAGAAAAATTATCAAAGAAATTGGAGCTGTTCCGCTTGCGTAGTGAGGTCAAAGCACACGGGAGAAGGAGGGAGAATCTTTGGACTATCGGAGATTGAGGTCGGAGAAGGAGGGAAAGATGATGGGGAAGGAAGCTGTTGCTCGATTTGAGGATCCGGGAGCGGAAGAAAACGACGTCATCTGGAAGAATCTGAAAAAAACTAACGATCTTGTAAGTATGGTTGATGCGTCGATACTCCTAAAATCTACACATCTGTCACTTGTGCGTTTCCCGCACAAAATTCACCGAATCTGCATATTTATAAAATTACAACAAATTGCCAAAAATCGGCAAAATCCATATTTTAAACTAACTAGCTTTTTAAAATGTTTGCCTCCAACGATTATTTCATAGCTTTTTCTTCCCAATTCAATCCATCTTTTTCAAGCTGCTTTAAACCTATATTTTACCTCTCGATTTCCTCTCTCTTTCATTTCCCTAAAAGCCCATATACCTCCTGATTACGGTCGCCATTCGGGAAGTAGATACCCTGCGGTGACAACGCGGCGCTCCTATCGACACTAGTACTCTGCGCTCTCTCCGTATCCATTGTTTTCAAATAGAATTGCCTCCTCCATTATGATTGTGCATGCAATGCCTTTCCATTCATGATTTTTATCGATATTTCGTGTTGGTTTTGCAAAGAAAATCGATAGTTCATGCAATTTCTGAACTTAAATCTGAAAAATTGCCGTTTTGGCCGAATTTTTAGCTTGTTTGCATCAAAGACAATTGGAATTGGATTCATTTATATTTTTATGTTTTCAAGTATTAAAACTAATAATATACTAATATTTCAGGTACTTGGCTCCTTCACAAAACCGTCAGAATTTTCTCGGACATCATGGTGAGTGAATTCTATCCAATTTTATTTAAAGTTCTCTTCCAGCTCGTGCTCCTCATCGGTGATCTCCACATCCCTCATCGTACCTATGCCATCCCTCCAAAATTCCGCAAACTCCTCGTCCCCAACAAAATGCAGCACGTCATCTCGACCGGGAATTTGTGCACCCGCGAGTTGTACGAGTATTTGAGGTATTATTTATTAGAATTTATCTAGTATTTTGTAGCTAATTATAGTTTTTAAGATCATGGTTTATATTTCAAAAACGTCCTTCTTCTGGTTTATTTCCTATAAAAACCCCTAATTAACCCACGTGCCTCCGCCTTTCCAAATTAAGTCACAATCACCATGGGAACGTGGGAGACTGGACTAACTCGACCTTATAAAGGCCCCAAAAAAATTTGTCATGGTTTTTTAGCTTTGGATCTATGGTTTTTAAAACCGAATTTTCAATGGAAGTTTCTATTGGCAATTAGAAAATCATTTTTAGATCCCTCGCCTCCGATGTACATGTGGTTCGCGGTGATTTCGACACGGACACAAAGTTGCCGGAAACCAAGGTTGGCTACAATTTTTTGCGCTAAATTTTCCTTTTTTAGGTAGTTACGGTGGGCAAATTCCGAATTGGAGTCTGTCATGGACATCAAATTGTGCCCTGGAATGATGAGAAGGTATGCAGTTTGTAAAATGTAACGAACTATACTTTTAATTTAGATCCTCGACCTCCTCGCCCGTCAGCTAGACGTTGATGTCCTTGTCACTGGCCATAGTCATGTGTGCTCGGTAATAACTTTTTTTTAGTTTTATTTATTGAATTTTAAGGCTCGCGAACGTGGCCACCGACTTTATATCGACCCCGGAAGTGCCACTGGAGCGTTTTCAATGATTAACGACGGGTATATCTGATTCTTAATGGTTGTATCGCTATTTTTAGACCCGTCTACCCTTCCTTCGTCTTGCTAGACGTCCAGCCCGAGCAGATTGTTTGCTATTTATACCGTTTGATCGAAGAACAGGTATAAAACTTTACGATTCTGGTTTTAATTGAATTTAAATGGATTTAAACAAAATTTATCCCGTTTTCTAGGTGAAAGTCGATCGAATAATCTTCAAAAAGAGCAAGGAGCTGGCCTAAAAACTTACTACAACTTACTTCCCTCGATGATGCCAGCAATATGCCGCTTTTCTTGCTTTGCAAAAGCTTTGCAATAATAATATTTATTTCCGCAAATTGTCAATTTTTTTTGTTGGAAAAACCGGTTTCTATTTGCATGTAAATACTGCCCACTTATCCACCCCGTCATTCCAGCTCCTTCTAACCCCAAATGCATATTATTGGTGTCTACAAGAAACGATTTTTCCGATATCTGCTGTGATACTAGACTATAAAGAATTAACACAAAATTCGAAATTTATTTTTGATTTTGGGTTTATAAAACCGAAAGCTACTGGAATTCCATTTAAAATAGCTATTCGAGAATTTGATAAAATTCACATATTTTTAGAAATGCAATTACTTTGGAGATTATTATTATTTGAAGCACTATCTATCGTTATTGCTGGTAAGTAATAGATTACGGTATGAGTTTAAACGTTTAGTGGCCCTCGATTTGCCAATATATTTACATTATTCGGATGTTGGGCCGAATCATCGGTCTCTGGAGAGAATTGTGGGTTTTTGTGGTAATTTTGCTGTTTCTCTCTCTATCTCTCGCTCTATCTCTCACTCTATCTCTCTCTTTCTCTCTCTGTCGACCAAAAAGAAAGTTTAGAGAACAAAACGCCAAATCTCCCGATTCAAACGTGACAGCGATGAGGGTGAATTCGACGGGGAAAGCTGGGATCTACCAGATAATATTCAAATTCAAAATGATACTGTGAGTTTAGAAACGTAAAATAAAACAAATTAATGACTTTTTCAGTTCGATCATGTCTATTACAAAGTGAACACATTGCTACGGGACGGAAAAGCCGTAAGAATTTTATCGAAGCTGCAAATTATGAAGATTCCAGGTCGATCAAAAATGGGTAGATGTTGAAAATATGCTCAAAACCCCGGGGGCAATCGGGAATGTAAGCCACGCGCTGTTAACTGGGACCCATCGAAGAGCTGTGGTTTGTAATACTCAGTGATACCTTAAAAATCGATACGTTTAGGGAATCCGGCTCCAATTCGAATTCCCATTCTACGGCCATATCATGAAAAACGTGACAATCGCTACGGGCGGGTTTTTGTATGTTGGAGATCAGACGCATAATTGGTTGGCTGCTACTCAGGTGGGTACGGTAGAGAAATACTGTATAAAACGTACTATTTTAGTATATCGCGCCTTTAATGGCAAATTTCAATACCCTACGAGAAGGGTCTGGGGTACTGTATGCTGATGATGGACAACGATTTGTATGTGAATGGCGTCAAGTACAACTTAGAGGTCAAGAAAGTGGTAGGTTAATTTTTGATGTAATTTTTAAAATTACGATTACAGTAGGCCCATTCACCTTCCAACTCCATCTACATAAAAATGGAAACATCACTTTCCTCTATAAAGACGTCCCCCTGGCAGTGGCCAATATTTCGGAAGATCACCACCCTGTTAAGCTCGGAATTTCCGATGCGTACCTCTTCCAGCATCCCCCAGAGGGCCCTAATAAGGATATAGGTTTTTACGATATAAAATCTAACAACTTTCAATATTTTAGAGCCCCCAAAAAGAGTAATCTACGAATACCATCGCATTGAAATCCCGGAATCCAACGTCGTTGCCCCAGCCTTAATCCAACTTGAAGCCAGCCCTAGTAAGTCTATCCTTAAAGTCGTATGTTTATACTTTTAGCATCATTACCCGGGGACTCTACCTAGCAAAATCTATCGTAAACAATTAGTCACTTTTTAAAAACCCCTGTGGCTTACTTTATCGTGCCCACGCATTATACTAGCTAGCACCTTTGATCTGCTGGGGGTTTTGGGGGAGTATAGCTAAAATTAAGTCGAATTTTAGCATGCCATCTCTTCAAAACATGCGCAGAATGCTCGAACGCAACAATACCCCATTTTAACTGCACTTGGTGCCACGCGAAGAAGGAGAATGGAGGGCCATTTTGTACGGATGAGGGAGGGTAGGTTAAATTTTAGAAAAAAAGAGAATATTGATCGATTTTTTTTACTTTTTCTTATTTGGGTTTTTAGAGTCCATAGAAAAAGGCAGCAATGGGTGGACAACAATTGTAAAGCACAGGGCCTGGCGGTCTATTGCGCCGAGGATGATAATAAGGAAGTTGTCGACCCGTAAGTTTTATAAAATTTTATAGAGTTTTGGCTGTGCAAAATTTGTAATTATAAATTTTCTCTATTTTCAGAAATGGTTCGGACGCCGTTTTAAATGACGGTGTTTTTCCACCGGTTCAAACTACAACGGCTGGCGTTGAGCCGAATCCAGAAGCGGATAAATGTAGGTTAACAAGCTAAAAAAATTTGAAAAACCCACAACAAGTTAAAAATCGAAATTTAGTAAATCCAAAAGGCTCTGGAGGTATCTCTACCCTTCTTATCGTCTGTATCTGCATCGTCATCTTTGTTTCCTGGCTGGGATATGCCTATTATAACCCCCACACGTCGAGTGGGCAGCTTTTAATAAAGGTATGTTTTTATTAAATTTATTTTGCTACTTTTTCACATTTTTAGTACCGCCCATCCCGCTGGCGAGCCCCAATGAGTCATGTTCGTTATTCAGCATCGGTCCATATGTAAATCAACTCGAAAATTGATTCAAATCTTTTCTTACGCAATTATACGAGTATTATGACAATCATTTCGTCTACAATGTGCTAGCTATTTTATCTATTCTGCCAAAATATACTTTGGTGGGTATTATGCTTTAATCGTTTGCTTATTGGGTCCAAAAACCCCTTTAATCATTAGAATATTCAATAACAGGTAGTTTCTAGTTCTTTGCCATTTTTTACTTTGATTTCAATCCATCCTTGCCACGTTTTATTAACAAAATCGAATATCTCGATGGTGCCATTTTGTGAAGGTATAATTATCGCTTCTGACGGCAGCTCTTTTGAAAGCCTTGATCTTTTCGTACAGCAACTACCAAAGAAGTATCTTTCTCTGGCTCTATCTACTCCCTCTCTCTTTCTCTCTCGCTCTCTCTCTCTTTACGCATAATTTCAAACTTTACCGAAATGTGATCCTCATTTCCCGGCTTCTAAGCTTTCAAAAAAAAAACAATCAAAAGTTCAACAAAACCCTAAATCATAATACTTTAAATTCCATTCAAAACTGTTTAATTTTCGCGACTTTGTGTCATTCTTATCTGTGGCATATTCCGGTTCAGGCACCGCCCCAGCCGAGCTTACCCCCTATAATTTGCATATTTCAGTGGAATCCTTCAGTTTTGTATTTTGTTTTGGCAATAAACTTTATTTTTTTGTCTTACTTATTTACACAAACGTTTTAGGCGACGGTGGAGGTGAATATTGAGGGGAGTACTGTGGTTGTCAGATTTCCGCCAAGATGGGCATTTGGGTCGAAACAATGCGAATCACCCGATGCTGTCCATTCCAAGGGTTTTGAGACAAGGATACCTTAAAAAAATGGAAAATTAAATTAGGGGCTACAAAGTACAAACCTGCTACAGATGCCGTGACAAAACAGGAAACTGATCCGGCGAAAAGAGCTCTTACAATCAGCTGAAAAACGGAAACGAGCGTAGAAGTATGAATGAAAAATTACCTTCGAAAAGACTCCTCTCCTCCACGGACACATACTACCCAAAATACCAAGTTGACTCCCGATTGTGGAAATATTAGAAAATCCGCAAAGCGCGTAAGTAGCGATCATTTGAGCACGAGCCTAGAGAGTATATACTTTTTTAAATAGATTTTACAATACCCCTTTCAACGTCCCCTCAGCCACCATTTCCTTCAACCTCTGATAAGCGATAAATTCGTTTAATACTGTTTTCATCCCCATCAACTCAGCGACTCGCAGACATTCTTGAACTTGTGTCTAAAACCAAGAGATTATGTTAATTTTGAGCACCACCTTTGCATCTGGAGCATCAGAAGCGCCCATCAAGTATGCGAGCGGGAAGAAGCAATAACCAAGTAATTTCTAAAAAGCACGATTTTAACTTGATTTTGTAACCAACATTAAAAGATAGGTCCGCAATCCCAATACAATCCCCAGCATACGCGACAGCTTCGTTCAAAAATGCAAGCAAAGCGATGTACACGATTAGATTCACGCCTAAAAATGTTGCATATAACTTTTTTTGTATTTCCCTACCAATATCCATAACCAGTCTCGAGCTGTGGCAAGCTGCTTCCGATACAAGTTGAAGTAGACTCTTTCCATCACTAAATTGACATAAAATCACGAAATTCAGTTTTTATTTACCTGCCCTTGAACTGGAAAGATCTGGCATCTTTTTGACGTGATTGTTGAATTTCTGGGTATACCAGTTTTGATATGGCAAGCGAAACTGAGGCATTCATTACGGTGGCTGAGAGGAGGTAAGCTGGTTGAGCCTAAAAATTTGCATAAAATCTATGGTGTAATTTCCATAATGAAAATAGATTATAAGAATAAGGCAAAAAACTACCCCAAATGAAATATAAGCAGAAAATAACGACCCCGCAATACAGGCAAATCCGGCTGTCATCACCGCATGAACCTCACTTTCTGTCATTGAAGCCAAGGCTGGCTCAATCAAAATGGCCGCTTCCGTCTAGATACCGTATTTTTGGTTTTAACAAAATTCTTACCTGTCCCAAAAAGATGCAAGCAGCCGCATTCAGACTCTCGGCAGCTGTCGTACCCACTGTATATTGCATAACAATCTGAACAACCACCTTCTTAACACAAAAAAGTTACATACTGCGATTTTTGACAAAATGAAACCAATAATCCCGAAATAATTCAAGATAGACACGACGGCCGCGAAGTAGATGATGATTTGCAAGCTCTAAAATTTGCATAAATAAAAAGTTAAAAAATGAGATGTTCTTACGGTATAGAGGAAGACCAGTCCCATGCCGCAGATATTTGGCGGGGCTGCAATGAACCCAAAATTGAAGGTAGTTCCGGCTTTCGTGAAGTCGAGAAAACCGACGACCTAATTTGCATCTTATATATTTTGGTAGTTTTTTGCTTACCTTTTTCGACAAATAACTTAAAGCTTCATGTCCAGGGCTCCACCTTAAGACAATAATCCCAACAGCAATTTGCAGCACAAAACCCCCAATAACCGGTCGCCATTTTATCTGAATTCAAAAATTAAATTTAATGAAATTCCAATACCTTTGCCGGATTTGCAGACACAATTACACATAGAATAATATACACCGGAATGGCCACCAACGATTTCAACCTCCCGTAATTCCCATCACTATCCAGCAAAAGCCATGCCAAAAACCCGACCGGTAAGAGGATGCTCAAGGCACTAAATTCAAATTTCAATACATCCGCATTTAAAACTTACACAGGAACCACAGCAAACCCCTTAATTTGATAGGAAAATAGCTTTTCGAATGCATCGGATATTGCCCCAAATAGCGCTTCTTTATGATCAGCAAATACGTAGCTCAACAATAGGTATATCCACGTTATATGGGCCAATCCCAAGATTACTATTGAGAATATTGCCCCTGAAATTTATGATACTAAATAAAAAGTGCATTTTTCTTACATTTAAAATCGTATAGTATTGAAAAAACTGTGTAGACGTGTAGGCCGATAAAGAATAAGACAGCTGCAGCAATGTAAATGTTTCTAAAATCTAGGTAATTGATTTAAGGATCTTATATACCTTTCAGAAACCTTTGGGAGCTTCATATTTGTGTAATTATTGTTACAAAAGCTGCTGCATTGTTTAGAAAACCTATTTGGATCTGGAAACAGAATTTTTAGGTGATATTTTGCATAGAAATGCAAGAAAATAAACAAAATAAATTTTTGGGATAGAATAATCAATGATCATGTTTGTATACGGCAAACTTTACCGCTTTTCATGCGCCTTTTCCCCTCAAAATTTCCCTTTTCTCTCGCTTTTTCGCTATATTTTTTCACCCCCACGCGAACCGGTTGCCTTTGAACACCGCCTAACGGCAAACGAAAAACCCCCGATCCCCTCTTATATACAATCCCCCAACCCTTGCCCCTGCTGAAAATCAAACTACGCATTTTCTAGAATGTCATTCATCAGTAATAAGCACCCCCTCACGTCACCACAAAAAGAAATCACCCGGAAAAGGGAATGCGAGGCAGCCAGTGCCGATTCGGGACCCTTTCCCATCGTGTCAAATCGGCTTATCTTGCACCAGCACATGGCCAACACTCAAAATCAGGGGCTAATTAATCTCTACTGAAAAATGGATAGAAAAGGGTGAGAAAGGGCATTGGAAGCTGGGGAAAGGAGGTCGAAGATTGGAATGTATAGTCAGCAAGTATGATGTTTTGCCAAATTGGGAGTTTAGGAAGGGCGTGGCTACCAGATCGGCTTGTCTTAGCTTTGGCTCGAGCTGGAGCTTGTAGCCCTCTTTCTGCTCTTTAAAATGCGCTACTAGACATTTTCATATGGGTTTTCTGCGTCGAGATCGAGCGGTTTGAAGTTGCGCTCGTGCTAGCAAATAATATGCACTTTTTGTGTATTTTTATGATTTATTTTTGAAACGACAAAACTAGAGAGATATGCCTTATTTTCGTTGATTCCGCGACCCTTCAAATGGCGCAACCTTGCATACGAAATCCGGATACATTTCAGCTCCCTGACTCTCGAAATTGATCCACCAACTCCCCTCCGGACATCTACCACAATCGGCTGGGAAGGAATTCATCTGAATTATGCAAATCAGGGTCATAGAAAGATTTTGAAATTACCAAAATTGTATTCGGCTCTCCACCATGGTAACAGGTATTGCCAGTATAATCCGCCGGGGTACCATCAATCCAAAAAGCGGTGCGATTTCCTGAATTTGCAAGGTTATCGAATGTCATTTTCTTATGCAAATTAACCTAATTTCAAATTTACTTTCAGAAAGCGATCCTCCCAATACTGTAGTACCCTGCACGTATCCGTAAACGATTTGTACACAGCTTTTCGAATAGGTTAGCACTAAAGCATTCAATTAAAAATATGGAAATTTGGCTAGTCACTTACGTTTTATGTAATCATTTTCCTTATCGCTATGAATCGACGCTAGATGGCCCCCAAAATTGGAGCAGTACTCTTCGCCACCCTCGAAAGTTTGGTTATAGCCGTGCTAAAATAACTATTATTTTTTATCTAAATTCAGCCTACATAGTAGCAGAAATCCGTCTCAGCATAGTAGGACCAACCGTTATAACAGCCTTACAAAAATTCGTATTATAAAAAAAATTGATTACTTTTGGTTTCCTCTACACAAATCCGGCCATGGGCTTCACTACAATCCACGGCATACCATTTGGAATCTGTGGAATCCATGATAGCGCAGTCACCATTTTTCGGCTCTTCTAAAAAATGATTAAATAAAATATAAATAAATTTATAAGCTTCCCTGGTCCCCAATTGACATATGACATATCACCACCAGCATACCAGCCCCAGTTATTGCCAGTTTTTTGTAGTCCCATGTAAATTTTTCCGCCATCTAAAATCTATGCAAAAAATTTCTGTCATTAAACTCACTATCCTTGGCCTGCTGAGACACAAAACCATTCTGAAATGCATTCTGAACAGCTACAGGCTGCCCAAAATTATCAACACAAGCCCGAACAGACGCTTCAAAGGGAAGTGCCTCACTCCTCACATCAACACAAGCATTGTATGCTGTCTGGTATTGACTTGGGACTGGACAGTTCTGAGCTTGCAGCCCCAGATATATTCCCGCAATCAACAATATTAGAAAATTCTGAAAATTCGGCATTTTCTCGGCAATTTGTAGCAAAGCCAGGAATCCAATCCATCGAAACCATCCCTAGGCCGATAAGCTTTATGCGAATTTGATGGGTTTTTGGTCAATGTTCAGACAAAAATTGACACAACGGACCAAGGAAACTGAAGCTTGTATTTAAAAAATAGGAGGCAATAAAATTTATTCAAGAGCGCAGATTCGTTGCTTTTGCTTGGTCAAAACCAACAGAAAATGTTTGAAGATCTTCCTGCTGATCCCATCCTAAAAATGTTTTTAATCGCAGAATAATTATTTTTTTAAGATTTAGCAAGGCCAATCTGCTAGAAAAATACAAGGACTTACGTTCGTAGACGGGACTGAATCGTTGCCGGCTTTCTCCTTATTCGAAAACAATAATTTTTCCTAAAACTTCTAGAGCTAATTGTTAATAGGACTTATAGTACCTATAGTTTTGTTAAAAAATTGTATGTCGCGTGATCAATTTCATTAATAAATTTTGGAAGGTTTTCTTGCTGATCCGCAGGGACGGCCCAGTAATTAACATTAATCATCGTCGTACCACGCAGTGCGACCCTTCTGAAATTTTTTTACGCAAAATGAAATATTAAAAATGTTAAACAACGTGAAGTTTCTAAAAAAAACAAACTTACGGTTGAACTATGTGGGAAGTGATTGGTGGTGTTAGAACTACTACTTGCGGTAAGTGGCTGAACAGCCGCCGCTTCGTCCTCATTATCCCAAAACAATGTTTTTTGCCTGAAACTTCTAGAGTTGAAGGTTAATAAGACCTAATATACCTATACTTTGTTTAATAAATTTTGTGTCGCTTAACCAATTTTTGAAAAGGTTTTGTTGCGCCTCCGGAGGGACGGCCAGTTATAAACATTAATCATCGCCGTACCACGCAGTGCGACCCTTCTGTAAATGTTTTTATAGAAAATAAATATTTTTAAAATTATTAAACAACGTGAAGCTGCTAGAATAAAATAGAACAAACTTACGGCTGGTCGCGGTGCTGCTTCGTGGCCGGCTCATTCTCATCATTCGAAAACAATAATTTTTACCTGAAATTTCTAGAGTTGAAAGTTAACGAAACCTAATATACCTATACTTTGTTTAATAAATTTTATGTCGCTTAATCCATTTTTCTAATCAATTTTTGAAAGGTTCCGTTGCGCTTCCGGAGGGACGGCCAATTATGAACATTAATCATCGTCGTACCACGGGTGTGGCCCTTCTATAAAGGTTTTAATAAAAAAATCAATATTAAAAAATATTTAACAAAGTTTGCTGCGAGAAAAAAATTAGAACAAACTAACGGCTGTACACATGGTCGAATCGGCGCCGGTTCGTCTTCCGAATCCGAAATCAATAACTTTCGCCTGAAACTTCTAGAGCTGAAAGGTAATAGGATCTAATTTACCTATAGTTGGCTTATCAAATTTTATGTCCTCCAGCACCGTTGATTCGTGGCTTATCCGCGCCAGTTTCCGCAAATTTCCTTTTTCCTCCAATGACCTGTTTAACACCGGATCCTCCGTCGGCTTCCACAAGAACATTCGCGGGATTTTCCATTATTATAGTATTTTCCAAGTTGGGCCTCCCTTCGGTTTCGATGAAAACTGAAATTAAGTAGATTTTGGTATAGCTGATGTTAGCTTGCCAGGTTCAGATAAATATATGGCATTTTTGTTTGGTGTTCGTCCGCAATCGTCCACATCTTCGTCCTCGACGGCGACGATTTTCGGTTGGAAGCCGGATCCTGATCCTAATTTTTCTTTTTCTTCTTCTTAAAAGAGTTTTCCTTTATTTTGACGCTTCCCAAAAGTTAATAGCGACTGGCATTAAAATATTACCTTATGAGTTCAAATAAACCTAGTAGTAAATATTATTATTTATCATTGCCGAATCTGAGTATCATAGCTTCTTTCGGACGTGCACTAAAATTAAGCTTATAAAATTTGCATACCAATAATTACCAATCTTTTTTAGACCTGGTTTGCTTCTCGGATTGCCTCAACAACAATCCAAACTTCAAAAATATTTAATGTCGCACCGAGTTTGCTGGAGGCTGAACATTGAATGTTTTTAAAAATTAAATTTTTACTTACCTTTCCAATAGATAAAAATTCATGATATGCTCCTGCTTTTCATTTTATAGTTTAAATTTTATGCTTTGACCAGAGCCTTGGCATGCATGGCTATTTATATAGCCATCAAAATTTGGTAAAATCACCCAAGTGAGACTGACACCTGAAAGCTGAAAGTATTGATTGTTAGGATCACATAATCAAAGGTAAAATAACTTATATAATAAAATATATGTCAATGTTCAAGGAACATTTATCTTATATTAATTAACTTCTTAATTGTAAGAAATTTATTTGATTCTAAAACCGTGGCATTCAATTTATATTTTTATTCCATCGAGGTTCCAATTTCAGCGTTCATTGTCAAGTAACTGTTCTAGGCCTTTGACTAAAAATTATTGGGTTAAGGGAAAAGAGTTTAGAAAGAGTGGAGCACGAAAAGTTGATGCTCAGAAATCAAGTAAAAACGATACCTCGATTTATTCAAGGTATCACGGCTGGATATCTGAAGCTTCTGCTGCATTGATCTCATTCGTTTTAGGCGTTGCTATAAAACGATTAATTAATTAGTTTATTCTTTATTGAGCTTAGTAAAAACCCACCTGATCTTGCGGAAGACGCAGTTCTTGAACTTGAACTCCAATTGTTGCTTATCCGCGCCAGTTTCCCCAAATCTCCTTTTTCCTCCAATGACCTGTTTAACACCGGATCCTCCGCGGGCTTCCACAAGAACGTCTTCGCGATTTCCCAATATCGTATTTTTAAAGTTGGGCTTTCCTTCGGTTTTGACGCCACCTGAAAGTTAGTAGGTATAGTTAATATTATCTTACCTGTAGCACCACACGGGTCGGCAAGTAGCTGGAACTTTTTTCCAGTTTCCCATAGATATTCTCAAAGGCAATCAAAAGCCTGATACAGTAGTCGGACGTGCACTAAAATAAAGCTTATCTAATTCGCATACCAATGATTACCAATATTTTCCCCCTTTGTGGATGCTGTGTATATTGATAAATGATGAGCATACAATCACTGCTGTTATCTAGCCACACCTCCTGCCCGGCTTCCTAAAACAGACATTTTAACAAACATAAAAAAATGAATTTTTCTGTCTTTTGTCCTACGTTAAAGGAAGTGCTGCTTGCAAAAAAATATTTAGCGCCTCATTAAGTTTTGCTCGAGGCTGAACATTGAATGTCTTTAAAAAGTAAAATTTGTACTTACTTTTCCACTAGCATAAAAATCGATAATCTTCTCCGTTTTACATATCTTCAATTTAACGTTTCGGCCAGAGCCTTAGCATTAATAGCTATTTATATAGCCATCAAAAATTGGTAGAACTACCCAAGTGAGGCTGACACCTGAAAGCTAAAAGTATTGATTGTTAAGATCAGAGAATCATAAGTCAAATAATTTATATAATAAAAAATATATTAATGTTCAAAGAACATTTATCTTAATTAACTTCTTAATCGTAAAAAATTTATTTGATTCCAAAACTGCGGTATTCCATTTATATGTATATTTTTCTTTTCATCGACGCTCCGATTACAGCAGTCGTTGTCCAATGTCTTTTCCAGTTGTTCGCCTAAAAATTACTGTATTTAATGAGAAAGTGGAGCACGAACAGATGATGCTCCGAAACTTAGTAAAAAAAGCTATACCTCGTTTTGTTCAGGAGATCACGGCTTGACGTCTGAAGCTTCTGCTGCATTTGCTCTTCCCTCGCTTTAGGTGTTGCTATAAACGGTTCATTTGAGTCTTTGTTGAGTTGAATAAAACTCACTTGAGTCTGTTGTTTCGCTGCTGGTGCTCCTCCACCTGCTCCTCCATCGAAGGCCTCAGATGTCGATGGCTTGTCGGAGGGTCTTCTCTTTTCGCAATGAGGTACAGTAATCGGAGGTGGTAGGTCACGTCACGGTAGGTCTAAAAACTATTGAATTATTCTAATCTCTTAGTTGCTAAATATTTCCACACAACCTTAAAATAATGATTTTAGACGCCGCCCCTCTCCCGCATTGGCTATCCCAAAGATGACCTTTAAACTGCCGGCATGCTCAATAACTTCCTCGGGGTTTTCCAATATAGTGAGAATTTTCAAAGTAGGGCTTCCCTTCGATTTTGACGCAACCTGAAAGTTAGTAGGTATAAGTTTCGTTAATATTATCCTACCAAACGCGCGTAACAGGCGGGTCGGAAAGTAGCTAGAATTTTTTTGTTTTCATAGTTTCCCATATACATTCACGAAGGCAATCTAAAAGCTTAATCGTAGTCCAACTTATTTATGCGTAATGCCCTTACCTTATTCATAAATGCAGTGAAACGGGATACTACGCTTTTCAAAATAGATAAGTTTGATTTCGCAAAATTGTGGTAAAACAACCATATCCCACAACAAAACAAAAGATCGCCGTTTCCTCGATTTTGACGCTTCCTGAAAGTTAATAGCGATTGGCCTTAAAAATATTACCTTAAGAGTTCAAATAAACATTGCAGCAAATATTTTCCTCTATCATTTCCAAATCTAAGGATTTTTCTGACTTTCTTGCTGACGAGCGCTAAAATACAGTTTATCTAATTTGCGTACCAATAATTACCAATATTTTCTAGAACTGTTCTGCTCCTCGAATTGCCACAGCAATCCATACTTTAAAAATTATTTAGTGCCTCATCGAGTTTCCCTCTAGGCTGAACATTGAATGTTTTTAAAAATCAAATTTTACTTACTTTTCCACTAAAAAATTGATGATCTTCTTTTTCTCCATTTTACATATCTTCAATTTAACGTTTCAGCCAGAGCCTTAGCATTAATGGCTATTTATATAGCCATCAAAATTGGTAGAACTACCCAAGTGAGGCTGACACCTGAAAGCTAAAAGTATTGATTGTTAAGATCAGAGAATCATAAGTCAAATAATTTATATAATAAAAAATATATTAATGTTCAAAGAACATTTATCTTAATTAACTTCTTAATCGTAAAAAATTTATTTGATTCAATTCAATTTCGTTCAATTTATATTTTGCTTTCCATCGAACTTCAAATTCCAGCCTGGTTGTTGCAACTGTTCTGCGGTCGCTTGACTAAAAATTACTGGACTTAAGAGGAAATGGAGTACAAACAGTTGATGCTCAGAAACTCGGTTAAAAAGATATACCTCAATTTATTCAAGATAAGACGGCCGGATCTCTGAGGCTTCCGATGCATTCGCTCTTCCCTCGCTTTAGCCGTTGCTATATTGCTTCTGCATTTTTGTCGTGTATAATGAAAACTCACTTGAATTTTCTGACGTTGATGTTCTTGTTCCTGAACCCCTTCAACTTGATGGTGATTTGGCCTACGTTGGGTTTCGGCGTTTCTATAAAACGGTAAAGTTTTGCTCCGGTGCTGGTGCTCCACCACCTGCTCCACCATCTCAAGGACCCAGACGTGGTACGCCCGCTGTAGGGTATTCTCTTTTCGCAATGATGTGCATCCTTTGTACATGGTGGCAAATAGCCCTAAAAATAGTATTATTCAGAGAGAAGTTCTTTTTTTTATTAAGTATGCTTTTGGTATGAAATACTCACTCTTCTTTTCTTCGAGCATCCGCCATCCTCAAACTTTGCCAATCACTAGCATTTATTCCCTTTTCTTAACTTCACGTCTCAGTAGGTCTAAATAGAATTAATTAAATTCTTGTGATTAAAACTAGATGCTAAATATTTCCAAAATAACCTTAAAACAATGATTTTTAGACTCCACCCCCCTTTGCCACATTGCCTATCCCAAATGTCGGCGAAAAGGAGATGACCTTTCCTTCCCCTACCTAGCGCTCTGCTTCTGGTTCTACCGTATCTCAATATACCAACCTACATTTCAAATTGGACCTGAGCTGTAGCTACAGAAAGTAAGACCGGCAATAGTCATGTTCGTCAACTACTGCTTATAAATGACCTAGAAATAAATAAAAACACGGAAAATTTGGCCTACTTTTTCATCTCTTAATTTTCTAAGCATAGACACCGTTGACGCCCATGGTCGCGCCATCCTCAAAATACCATGCTAAAATCAGATATATTTGATGTAAAAGTTTAACCACCCACCCAGATGCAGCATAAATTTGTAGAGGCGGAATTTGGTAGTACTTTTTTTAGCTGTGGTTACTGTTGCTGAACTTGGAGCCGATTTTGTAGTCAAAACCATGCAATTGAAAATCTTCATGTCCGAGATTAAAATCTGGTTCTTCTCCAGATTAGCACTAAAAATACCAAGAATAAATAGGAAGTTAAAAAATTTGGCTCACCTTTCCATTTCAAAATTCTCTATGAGGCAAGGAGCTCGAATTCATAAGTTAGATGGTCTGCGTCTACGGCGGTTGGACTAGGCGACATTAATGTACGCCGCGGCTCAATCCAATCCTCAAAATCCCGTTGCTAAAATCAGATATTTTTTGTAAAAATCTAACTACCCACGCATCGCAGCACAAAAGGTAGTGGAGCAATTCGGTTGTACTTGTTTTAGCTGTATTATTTTTCTCGAGCTTGCAGCCAGTTTTGCAGCCAAAATTTTTTTGCATTTCCAAGTCTTCGTCTCCCAGGTTTAAAATCTGTTCGCATTGTTCCCCAGATCAGCACTAAAAATACAAAGAATTTTTTGGGCTTAAAAGAGTCTCGCTGAGCTAAAAAAATTCGTGAATTCGGCTTACATTTTCATTACAAAATCCTGTAAGACGAAAAGTGATCGAATTCATCATGCTACGGAACTTGCTTCGTGCTACGTTAGAGTAGGCGACGGTTAAATAAAATCTTCTTTAATCTTATTTCAAGCTTCACATGTTATACTTGGCTAGAGCGGTAGTAGTATTAATGGCTAAAAAGTAGCTATTATAATTGGCAGAACTACACAAGCCAGACGGCTGCCTGAAATTTTCAAAATTAGATCCGGAAAATAGAAAATTAAAGGCCATATTTAGCGAAAATAAAAGATAAATACAGTAACTATCTACATTATGAAATATATAAGGCGTTTCAAGAGCAAAATTGCCCAGAAGTATCAAATAACAAGTTTCGACCTATCCGACCTATCTGACCTTTTCTTCCCCCTACCTAGCACCCCCTCGTCCTACTGTATCTCAACAGCTACAATTTCAACTTGGGTCAGAGCTGTAATAATGAAGAATAAATAATTGAAAAAAACATAATTTAACTTACTTTTCCATATTGACATTTTGCGGGGAGAAACAGCTCAAATCATAATTCTAAGGAACGGTTCCTGCTGTTGCGGTAGACGTCGGTGTGGTAGTTCAGGCCTAAATTTACATATAAATGAATAAAAAACGTAAATTTTGACTTACCTTTTGCATCATACCAAAGTTCCACGCATAGATGCAGTGATTAGTAGCGCGATCCTGCTAATAAAATCAGATATTTTTTTGCAAAAGTTAATCTACTCACCCAGATCTAGCAAAAATTTGTAGAGACAATATTTTGTTTTATTTTTAGACTTGATCCTTTTCGAAGTCGTTGCCGAATAGAGGCAGGCTGTAGCCATCATCATTTATTTCAAAATCTTGTGCAGCTTCGTTTAAAATTTGGTGCCATTCATCCCCAGATCAGCATCTGAAATACAAAGAATAAATATGGAGTTATAGAATTTGGCTCACCTTCCCATTACAAAATCCTGTGCATGTTCGAATTCTTGACGTTGTAAAGTCGTCTTCTTAAATCTTCTTAAATCTTCTTTCAATCTTCAAAGATTATACTTTGGCCAGAGCCGTAGTATTAATGGCTAGAAAGTAGCCATTGTAGTTGGAAGAACTACTCAAGAGAGACGGATGCCTGAAATTTTCCAAATTCAGTCTTAAAAATAGAAAATTAAAGGCCAGATTGAGCGAAAACAAAATATACATACAGTATCTATCTACATTATGCAATAACTACGGTGTTTCTAGAAAAAACTGGCCCGAAAGTATCAAATAACAAGTGTCGACCCATCCGACCCATCCTGACCTTTCGCCCCTCCCCTCCCAAATTTCTGGCCTACTGTACCAACTATCTGGCACATATGGCCTTAATCCGGTAGGTCAATGGCTAAAAACGACCACAAAATCTATACAATCTTCAGAATCCCAAAAAAAATGAGCCCGACTCCCCACAGAAGTGGATGACAAATATGGGGGCGGTGGATGATCAATTATTGACTGATCGTGCCGGGACCCGTTTGGAGTTGCATGGCGTCTTGTTTTCGAAGAGAGGGGAAAAGCCCCGGACCGCTTAGGGTAGTGAATATCATCTTTCAGACCCCCCACAAGGCCCGGCAAGATGTATGCAAATTTCGCTATTTTTACGAATTTTTGTGATTCTTTTTGGAAATTTCGATTTTTAAGGGGAAATTTACAGTTTATCGCGCTTAACTTTTTTTATTTTCAGACTGAAAAAACAGGCAAATTTCGTGATTTTGTTGGCTTTTTCAGTTTATTTGGAAGCAATTCTTACATCGAAAATAACGATTTATTCAACTTAAACATTGGCTTGTGTTGTCGCTATAGTGGTCGACACCAAAGGCGGGGCTTTGCAGACGAAATCGGAAAGTGTAGCATTTCCAGACCATCCGTCCATAGGCCACCTTAATTTTATTAAGTGAAATTTTATCGTATTTCTTTACCAGTCACCACCAAAACAAGGAGATGAGCACATTGTGGGGTAGGAACGGAGCTGAAAAAGTTTTTAAACATTCAACCTCGATATTTTCTCTACCATAATCATACTCGGGCTTGTTGAACTTTGGCAGACATTCCCCCTAAAATCATCTGGAGTCCCGTCCAGCCATGTCAATGTATCCTTGCCTTAATTTCAGCTTAAATTAGCTTTTTTGAACATTACTGGTATCCAAAAATCCCCCCAAAAATGTGGAGCCGATGTTGAAACCTCCGCATAGAACATCACAAGTTGCGCATGTATTTTCCCAAGTTAACTCTATAAATCTCTACTTTTCCGCTTAGCTACGCAATCATACGTTTCAGGAACTCATTCTCCTCCCAACTATGCACAGAAGCGAGGTGACCGCCATGCATTACACACAACGATTCCGCGGCGTCAAAGTAGGTGAAGCGACTGTGCTAAAAATATCTAGCATAATTAGATCTAAAAATCCTTACCCAATAGCACATGCCAGTCAAATTAAGGTAAACCCATTGGTCCAGGCAAGGAACTGTAGAATTTAATTTTTTATCCAACTTTTAATTGATTTGAATACCATCCTGATGCGGTGGCGTAGGTCCTGAAGGTCCTTGGGTTACGGTATAGACGTTATTAGTAGTTCCCGTAGCTCCAGTAGTAACTACAGCCTTGGTACTAGCGACTGTCGCCGTGGTAGGACCCAAAGATGGGGCAGGGGTTGTAGCGGCTATAAATTTAATTATTTAAGATTTAGTTAATTTTTAGATACCTGGATATAGACAAGAGTACGGTATCGATGTCTTACAATTCTCCATCCTCCATTTTTTAGTGTCAAATGAAATATAGGCACAGTCTTTGCCATCAGCTGGCTCGCCTTGATTTGTTGATAAATTTTTAATAGACTTTTAACCTGCATCCCAGTTCATATAGTCGGCTTTAGACCCATCGGTCCATCCAACAGCGTCACCATTTCTTTTCAACCCCAAAAATAGACTCCCGGTGATGGAATCTTAGAAATAACCTCGTTTTTTAGAGGTTCAAACTCACGATTTTGAGCCAACGCGACTAACATATCATTTTGAAACTTGTTATGTAGTGATATCTGATGTCCACCCTGTGTGGCCTCGCATACACTCTCAGCCAATGCAAATGGAAGCCCGTCACTATCGAAAGAAACACAACCGCCCCATAGATCAGAATAATCTGATCCGGTTGAGCATGGAGAGGCTTTAGCTTTTGTTAGGAATAAAATTAGAAAAAAGAAATAAGGGTGAATTGAGGGCATTTCCAGGCTTATCGGGAATGCAACTTGGTTTCTTGAAATGGGTGGAGTGGGGTCTTGGATAATTCGCGTTGGGGCGCGTAGTTATAATCCGATTAGATAAACTATAGATTTATGAGATAATTTTGGGTAATTAATAAGATGTAAAAGGACAAAAAATGTATTAAAAAGTTTATATAGGTGTACTGTGATTTTCAGGAAGTTTGGACAGAGCAGTTAGACCTAAAAACATCTGTTTTTACGCGGTTTTTCTCATTTTAAACTCCCTTTTTACGTTTTGTGATTGTTTCTTTGATATTAGTGTGTTTTGGACTAGACTTTTATATATCTTTATTTACCATCCCGACGCTCGAATGAACCCTTACTCGTCTACCAACCCCAACTTACCTACCTATACCCTGCCTCTACCACCGTATCCCCCCAAATACACCCCGTCCTTTCCCCCCTTTAACCATCAACTGAGCGCCATTACAAACGGTAACCGAATCTCCGCCGTTTGATGAAGCCAAAGAAACAAGCGAAAAATAAGGTATGTTAACGTATCCTGTAGCTTAACTTACCCGCTTAGAATCCACTATCACCCCCTCACATCCACCATTTCAACAACTGCCACCTCCCCCTCCCTACCAAGGTTCGGTTTTGGCGCCTAATATCAATCCTCCCATTAGCATCAGCAACAAGGAATGGCCAGCCCGATAAAAGAACATAAATCTGTCCATTCGATGGCTTCTCCCAATAAGAAACAATCCCCGAATAATGCTCAACGACAGAAGAAGGGATTTTTGAAACGGTTAAAGCAGGTTTGTGAGGCTTTCGAAACTCTAGAGCAAAAACCTTACACTAATACAAACCAGCCTTTATTTTTATTTTTTCAGAACTTTAAATTAAATCGCCCATTACCTCTACCAAATGCAAAGAAAAAGAAATTTCGTACGGAGGTCGAACTTCTGAGTAACGCCATGCGATCCCCGATTATTACGCCGAAAAAGGTATGTAAACCTTAAATATAGAGAAACTTTGAGGATGACATCACGTTAGTCAATCTAAAATGCAATTTTCAGAAAGGCTTCACACAAATCATATTGGCTTCTGATTTGCAAAAGTCGCCATTACGCAAAAACCATGCCCTATCGCCGACAAGAATTAAGGGAATGGTACGTTTTAAGCAATGTATGCTCTATTGAAAGCTTTAGAACTTCCTCGAAATCGACCTAAGCGACCAACCATCAACTAGTGGCGCTAATTTTTCACGTAGGAACTCCAGAAATTTGCATAAATTTGAACTTTTAGCTCGCCGTAGCAAACGAATCGAGTCTATCCCGGGTACATCTCGAGAATCGACCCCTGTAGATGCAATAGATACGGTAGATTTTATTAAATAATAAAATTGAAGAGTTTTAGAATGACCCAAACGGCCCGTCGATGGAAAATTCGAATCCCCCGTTTTGGAAAGTAGAAAGATTATCACCTGAATGGGATCGAGAAGAGGCTGATTGCTGCGATTTGAAATTTATCTCCACTTTGCATATCAAGCCTGAAAAAGAGGAGCGTAGGATTATTCGGGATGATTGCAAATGGAGAAAGGAGGAGATGTATCGCCAGAAGTTGTTGCGTAGACAAAGAAAGGTAATAAAATAATTAAGGTAACACTTAATGTAAATTTTTAGGAAAAAACACCATCGCCAGAACCAATCCCAAACTACGAAATACGGATTTGTAAAAAGCCAATGAACGCTCCAAAAGACCTCTATGAAGCAATAATGAAATCCCCTATAAAATCCCCTCTAAAATCAGACCAACCATCCACTTCCGCATCATCAGCCCCAATCACCTCTCAACCCCCCAAAACCTCCCCCCAGAAACCTCGCGCAAAATTCGCAAAACGTCTCAAACGACTTATAGGTACCACTAATAAGGGTAATAAAGGAAAGACACGGAATCGAAAGCTCAAATAAATAATTTGTCGGGTACTTAGGGTGTCATAATTTGTAAATTTGTAAATTATCCATTGTATGTGCTGTTCGTTGATAAATTTATTATGGAAGAGAGACCAACTCCTTAATAACTCAAATGCATCATAACAAAGTTAATATAAAAACAAGGAAAAATACAATAATAAAGCAAAGTTATATTGAGATCTCGAAGGCATCGGGCGACGTTTTAGGTGTATTATGACGTTTTTAGGGGCTGTCAGAGCGGGAACGGGAGCGAGCACTGAAATATTGAATTGTATAGATTTTTAGAATATTATTAACTATCAAATAATTCTATATAATAAAAATATATTATTTTAGGTATTTATTAACTTACTGTCTATGACGAGGTGGTGATGGGCTTTCCGAACGATGACGAGCTCCACGATCATCCCTGAAAATCGATCGTCGAATCAGAGTCTACGATGTTTAGAATTTTGTATGAATTTTATTAGTATAATTAAGTGTTACCTTCCACGATATCCACCTCCTCCTCCTCCTCCTCCTCCATAAGAAGGTCGTCCTCCATACCCACGATCCCGATCCCTGCCATAACTTCCACGATCCCTCCCATATCCTCGATCACGATCCCGTCCATAACTTCCACGATCATGTCCTCCTCGATCTCTCCTCTCATATCCTCGATCACTCCCCCTATCATTCCTCCCAAAGAACGCCGTCTTCTGCCCCATATACTGCCCAGGTGTTGGAGAATGAGCCCGCTTCGTCACAGAAAAATCGACGCGCAGCTCACGTCCATCCAACTAAACCAAAAAACTTATATAAAATAATTCTATCCTCTCATACCGTCACTTAGTAACGTTTTGCATATGTTCTTTAAGGCTTCTTTCTTTGTTTCTTTCATTTCCGTTTCCAGGCTACACCATGCTCACGAAGATTCTTCTGTTAATATATACCGAGGCTCCAGACATCTTCTCCCTCGCCTCCTTCGCGTCGTCAACATTTTTGAAATAGATGAAGCCAAATCCACGTGATTCGCCGGTCGGGCGATCGATCACGAGTTGGGCCTAAATTTAGAATTTTTGGCATTATTACGTGAAAATACCCTCTCGACCTTTCCAAAACGTTCAAACTCTTCGCGTAGAATATCTTCAGTAGTAGAGCGAGATAGGTTAAAGACACCCAGACATCTAAGAATAATAGAATTATGAGATGTCATGAATTTTTGCTTACTTGGATGGTTCTGGATTGTCCCTACTGGCTCCCGTAAATCCACTGCCACGACGATAACCACCATCACGAGAAGAACGATGTCTTGGAGAGGGAGATCTAAGAATTTTAGGTAATTTTTCTATACTCTTATTCCCTTACCGACTCGGGCTTTTCACCCTCCGCCGAACATCCGGGCTCGGGCTCCGGCTGTAAGCGTTCTAAATTGAAGAGTACATGCATGATGAGTTTCAACTCACCAAAGGAGACCCAGCATCGGAACGCGGCATTCTGGATACCTGGAAATTGTGAAAGTGGCTGAGATTTGGGAATAAAAAGGATGATATGAAGATGTTTGTTAAACCCGGGGGCGAGGTCTTTTGAACCGGGGGTACCGTAGGTCGACTGGGGCACGGGATAGGTGATGGGTCTTGGGAAAGAGAGCGAAAAGGGTTGATGAGTTTTGGAAGAACTAGGTGTAAATAACGTTAGACAAAAATTAGGCATAAATATTGGAGGTAGTGATTGGCTGGTGAGTGATGCTAGGATATTTTTTTTGAAAAATGCGGGACATCTGGTATGCAAAGGGGTGGCGTATAGGCATCTGGTGTGGGAGCCCCAGGGGTATGTTGGTTGTTAGGTCAACAGAAAGGGTCACATTAGGGTTTTGCACCCTGGTAATTTTTTAGAAATTTTTAAAACGTAGATGCCACATTAGTATCCTTAATATAGACGCTATCTTGATTTGGAAAATTTTGAGGATTAAGCAAAATTTATAGCTATAGCAACTTAATACCCATATTTTTAGCATTTTTGAGGTATAATCCATTTTTCAACATCCCCCTTCCTCCCAAAACCTTTGACCTATCCACACAAACATACCGATTCGACATCTCTGGTTTTTCCAGAAAAAGGTTTGTGGTTGTTCTTCCCGTGTATGGTGGAATGCAGGGCGCGGCGGCGACCCTCGATCACGGTTAAAAATGGCTGCTGTGAAATAGGGGGAAAAAGACGCGCGATGGGGAAGGGGGGTGAAGTGGGCGAATTAGTGTCGTTTGGGTGCCCCGAAGCAAATGGGATGGAATGTAAGGAATGTTAAGGTGTTGAAGAAGTTCGGCTGGGGGAGGGGGATTCCCCCATTTGGGGAGCAACAGGGTGCAGCTTTTTCTGCTTGCCGCTGGGGGGATTGGGATTGGCGTAATTATGCTTTTAGGGGGAGGATCTGAAGGGTGTGGCTTGAGACCAGGCCCGTACGGGAGCCGAGATTTCGGGGGGCACCCACCCAAAAAAAATTTGGCGACCTCCCCCCCGGTCGCCACTTTCAAAACATTCGAAAATAGCGACAATAACAGCGCCGCAGGCGAAAAAATTTAGAAAACCGCGTTGGCAACGCTTAAATTCGTGTGAAAACACATCGGAAACGGCGCACGCAAGCGAAATTTGTTCAGCAAAAATGGTGCACTAATGAAAACGAGCGCCGCAGGCAAAAAATTTTAGGAAAATGGGTTTTCTAGAAGTAAAAATGGTTTCGAAACAGTGATAAACAGCGCCGCAGGCAGAAAAATTTTTATGAAAAAAATCATAAGGGTCCCCCCTTATGAACTTTTCGGACCTTGCCCGATTTCGGGGGCACCGTGCCCCCGGTGTCCCCCTCGTACGGGCCTGCTTGAGACTAGCATGTAGCAAATGGGTTTCATAAAAAAAAGGAAATTCTTTATAGCATCACATTTATTTTTTAAGATATGGCAAGGGTTAAATTGAGTAAGTAATCACATATTTTTGCATAGCTCGTATGTTGCACCAAAAAACATGGAAAATTAGAACTTAAAAGTTTGGTTTTTGGTCGCTAGGTTCGACTTCGATTTCTCCATCATCGATTGAGCCGGTTTCCTGAAAATATCAAACTGAATTTAAACATATAAAATACTATGTCATTTTTCAAGTAAAACTTACATCATCATCAATCGGCTTTCCCAAAATCAACTCCCCATTTTCTCCGAATTGAATTTCGCGTAGTTTACTAGGTGTTGCAGATACTAAAACATTTAAATATTTGAAATCAATTTAGTGAAGTTTTTTACCAATCAATCCAGCCTGACCAGATGTCTCCTTTCCACTATTATCCATGATTATCTGGGCCAACATGTCTTTAGCCATGTCTTCTCCATCGAAAGAAGGTCGTGGTCGAATTGGAATGCCCTAAATTTGTATTAAATATCTAAATTCAAGAGATTTTTGAAGCTATTTTAAACTGTATTTGTGTTACAAACCGTTGATGGCCCCTGATTATGCTGCGATCGCCCGATTCGCAACGCCTCTTGAACCCGATTCATCAATTTCGTAGCCCACGTCATTTTCAGCTCGACTGGCCCTCCTTGCTCCACGAGAAGACCGGGAGCCTGAACCATTTTACCCATATGCTATTTACTTCTTAATCTACTTTTTCGAGAATAAACCTCCTTGCAATCGGCAGAGCTTGAGCGGCAGAGTTGTAAGAATGAGGGTTTCGTTGTTTCACCTAAAAATCGGATAAATTCATTTGTATTTTTTGATACCTTGACCATAAAATCAAGAAGATCATTGTCGAGCTGATCACCTAAATAAATAAAGTGCAAATTTATCTTAGTTCGCTTACCAACAAGCTTCGGACGACCTCGACCGCGGCCTCGTAAAAATCCGGGAGATCCGCTCGTGTGAGCCGGATTGTCTGGCATTTGCTAAAAGTACATAAGCTCATTTACATACAAAAATCTGCTTACCGGTTTTGCAACTGGCTTCACATTCCCTTGAGCATCCTTATTGGTATAATAAGTCGATATTGGAGGCGGGACACCAAATTTCTTGGCAGCAGCTACCCCTCCGTGTACCTAATTTGCATAGCGAAATTAGCATACGTGAAAAATACTTACTTTTGCATATTCACGGACTTGTTTTCGGCAGATACCATTCGGTTTCGGGCCAGCATATGTATTTTGCCGCGAAGAATTTGAGCTGGAGGGATAGGTCGACTACAGAAGTTTTTTACGAATTTCGCAGTAATTTGCATACCTCTATATAACGATTTAAATCAGAATGGCGTGTATCATCACAATCATCACAGGGACATGGCGGAATCGCAAGTGTATCGGTCATTTGTTTAATTTGATGTGAATAGGTGACGATTAGCCTCCGGAATTCTCGAATTCTCGCCTTAATGTAATCATTTAAAATCAAATTTGCATACCTTACCTCAATTTCCGGTCCTTGAGCTGAATTCAATCCCTGTAGTTGTTCTTGAATTTGTCCAAAAGCCATAAATAACCCGAGCGCATCTTCATTCCGCTTAAAAATACAATTAATCCTACTATATATAAAAAAATAGTGTTTGTGTGTGTGTGTGTGTGCGTGTGCCACTTTGCATGCAACTTCCGTCAGGGTGTCCGGAGGATATCTCAAGGGGGGGATGGGTTTTAGGCAGCGTATGATACGTCATTAGGTGCGTAATGAGACCGAGATGACTGCACGCATATCAGATTTTGCGAATTATGTTATTTTCGACATTAAAAATCAATGTGTGTTAAAAAATCGGGCAGGCCCTTTGTTAGGAATTAATTAGCATAAGCCGGAAGTGGCGTCGATCTATATAACGGCGGAAAGGGTGCATTTTTCATTATTTCTCATCGAAATTCGGCCGAATTATGCAATGTGCAGGATATCATGGGCTCAGACGGGGCCAGGGTTGAAAAGCCGCTTCGCGACTATGGAAATGGAAAAATCAACCCTGGTATGGAAAAATTAAATAACCTCTTCGTCCATTTGTAGCTTTTCGTAGAATTTGATTTAAATAATTACAGCCAAAAATTTTAGGGGATGTCAACAAGTGTGGATCGATAGCTTCTGTAGGGGGCAGGTGGGGGGAGGCTGGATGTAACGTATTTCAAACAGACGTAATAGGCGGGGCCGCGTGGAGTTTGTAGTTGAGCTGCTGTGCCAGTCTGGATACAAATCAGGAGGAGCGGTATTGATGGGGGAGATTATAGGAGAATGATACTAATATTGGAGGATACATTAAGGATAAAGATTATTAATTATCCCGGGAAAGCAAACTTAAAATTTTTTGGTTTTTTTAGGTTATAAATTGAGAATACTGTTAGATTTTGAGGGTACATTAAAAGCATATCATTGTTATTTAAGCGATTTTTGTCCACCTTGAACATGTTGACCCCAAAGTGCAACCCGAAAAAATGTGTACTGTGTCCAAATTGTTGTTTTTCTTCCGGGTTCACCCTCCCCACCGACCCCTGCTCCAGGATTTCAACGATAGATCACGCTCGAGATTTGTTGGAGGAGCAAGAGCCTCGCCCCAATTGCAGAACAAGACGAAGAAGAACATCTTTTTATCCGTCCCGATGTGGCCGCAGCTGACATTGAGCGATTTCGGATCGGTCACGGGGATGTTGAAGGGGGGGGGGGGGGGATATGGACGCTTATTGGGTGCGAATGGGGGGTATTTTCGGGTTGGCACAAGGTTGCGCATTCCGAGCGGGCTTTTCGGTTCGATTCGACGCCTTGGAAAAAAAAGGTTGGGTTATGAACGAGGGTTGATGATTGATGGGAGGCATTCGGGGGATGGGGCATCAGATTTTAAACGCCGGAATTCGGGATTGGAGCCGACTATGGGTTACGGTAGCCGGAATTTTGGTTTTAAAGCGACTGGGAAGACAAGATTCTGCATTTTTCAGACCCTAATTTATGGAAAATAATTTTTGAGCTAGTTGGGAATTCTGGGGTCCCATGGCCATGGCCTAGCTCCGGGTCCGATCCGCAAAACAAGTGCTCCGGGCGGGGGTCGAACCCGCATCCTACGGCTTTCGAGTCCGATGCTCTCCCTATTGAGCTACCGAAGCACGCGGAATGCCTCTCTCGGGGCAGCTATCCATGCCAGCCCCTCACATCCAACCAGCATCTAAAGTGAGGTTAAAGGGCGCGGGAAGTAAAAAATGGTCTAACCCAAAGCGAAGACTGCAGATTTTTGCCTTCTAGGTCCCTTTAAAACGTAACATCGTCCGGTTTATGATTTTTAGATTTTTTAAACTCAAATAAAGATTTTGAAAAATGCTTTAGAATGCGTTCCTAAAATTTTTTAGAAATTTTTAAAGACACTGGAAAGCCGAAATGTACCACCGCCACCTTGAAAATCCGTAGATTTTTGCCTTCACAAGTCCTTTAATCAGTAATTTCCCGTTTTTTTTGCGCTAGATCACACCATCTCTTCTTTTGCAAAACCCAAACCCTCCGTCCGCTCTCCCATTCTCTCGGTAGACACCAAGGCGTCAATCCGCCTCCCCCAGCCAATAAGCTCGCCTCTCACTCACATGATTAAACGATTAGCAACAGCCTCGAAAATTCCTCAAAATCCCTAGCAACTCTTTCTAGCGTTCGTTAAACCAATCTAGCCATCTGAGCAACGACTAGCACATTGGAAAGTTGCCGAAACCAGCCAGAAGTGTGCCTACTTTTTCCTGCCCCTTCCCTCAGAATTCTCGAGTACCATCGATCCAGCCGGAAAACCGTTTTTCGAAGGCCACCTTTCTATAATCTTTGGTTGGCATACGTGCTGAACCGGTTGATCTTGTTGGATGGATAGGTACATCCTAGGTACCGAAAATCCTTTTCAAGTGTTTTCCCAAATATAGTCCGGTTGTGGAGGCCATGGGCCGAGTTTCAAAGGTCAATTGTAGGAGACTGGAAAACCACGAAAAAAATGTTATTTTGAGGGTTGTGTTTTGGATACGATTTTTCTTAAAATACCGATTAATCGAGATTTCGGGGTTTTTCGCGAAAATCCACCCCTTCGAATTTTCTGGCGTTTCAGCCTGCGTCGTGGTGTTCCGATTTTTTCCGGATTTTCCAGGATTCCCGTAAGCGTCAATAGGTGTATACGTGGTACATAAACGCGCAGTTTAAGTCGAATTGAAGGCGCCTCAATTTTCATTGCAAACCCAAACTGGGATAGCCAACACCAGGGCTGTGAGCGGCGGCGGTCTTTGATTAACGAGCGTGACGAGCTGGAGACACAACGGTTCAGCCAACTCAATTGCTATCAGGTCGACCCAATGAGAACGAGGGGGTGGGTGGGGTTATGCGGGCTGTGTGTGGGGAGCACGAGCGCTCATTTTTAGATGTTGGCTGGGGGGTTTGGAATGTGGTGATGCTCGTCCGTCCTCTAGTTCCTCTAGAGACCGTCCATCTTTCTCTCTCCAAATTAGCCAGGGCGCGGCTTCTTGAGAACAACATTCAGACACGGTGGTGGCTGGGGGGAGCATGAGAGCATGAGGGGGCATGTTTCGATCGACACTTGGGTGTATTGAAGTGGAATCGAATTTTTGAGGAATTTATAGGGATTTGTTTATCTACACAAAAAATATACAACGTACAAATCATGAATTAAATAGTATAAAATTTAATGAAGAGCAGAAAAGCCAAAAAGCTACAATAATTGTGATAAATACATGACAAATATGTACAAGAAACCATTGCAAATTTTGTGGACAAAAATCAAGGAAATTGTATGTAAATTAAGCGTTCCTCAAAGGGAAAAACTTGTCCCGTACCTTATAATTTTTAAAGAAAAAAATTAAGCTTAATAGTACTGTAAAATTACCCAATATAGACCTGTTTTAGCTTTTTTAAAAATCGTACAACACCGTCAGGGACGTAGCCAGAAAAAAATTTCGGGGGGGGCCCCGAAAAAATTTTTCCAAAAAACTCAAAACAGTGCCCAAAAAAACAGCGCCGCAGGCAAAAATTTTTGAAAAAAAGGTTACATAGCTCTACAAATAGCCGTAAAAACGTGCAAAAATAGCGCCGCAGGCAGCAAAATTTTTGAGAAAATAAAAAACATAAGGGTCCCCCCTTATGAAATTTTCGGGCCCCGGCCGATTTCGGGGGGGGGCCCCGGGCCCCCGGGGCCTGTATTACGCTACGTCCCTGAACACCGTACTACCGACTACGTTACGATACGAATACATTCCGCCCCATCCCCCCTACAGGCCGGTTCCAGAAGGGTGGTTTTTGGTGTGCTGTGTAGGGGGATCGGGGAGGATATGAAAAGGGGATAGTGTTATCCAGTACCTATCCCCCTCGTAAAAAGAATCAATGATGTGGAAAATAACCCGTGATACCGAGATCCCCGTATGTGGATAGGACAATATTTGGAAAGAGCAGAAAAGAGAAGTGATACGGTGTGTAAAGGGCAAAAATCACCCCCGTCCAGGAGCTCGAGTTATTTACGAGCGGCTCGGAATCGGGCGCGAAACTCGATGGGCTTCGTGTTGATCTTCTTCATCAAACTAGAGATGTCATCCTTTGAAGGGCGAGTGATGGCGGGTTCTAAAGAATTTGGATGTTTTCAGGTTGTTTGGGAAGTTTTTTGACCTTGAAAACCACTTTTTCGCGACACTTGTTTCATTACCAAGATTCTCTCAAGATAACAAGTGGCTAGGAAATTCCGGAAAGAAACTCACTTGTGGCATCAACATCAACATGGTCAGTGTCTCGACACCGAATATTCTCGTAATAGGTAGCTTTGATGAAGGGCTTCATCAGACGCGGATTGTCGAGTTGAGTCTCAGCCAAAAGCTCGCAGAACCCTTGCTCTTGGAAGGTGACCGGCATGAAATAGTTGACGGATTTGCAGCGCTGCTTCTCAAGGCATTTCTGCACGCATTCGTCGTGATCTAAATATGCCAATTATTATACATCTTGAGGTATGGAAACTACCTTCAACATTTAGAGAGGCGATCATGGTGCCGAAGAAGACGTAATCAGGGATGGCATCGTATCGTAGGCCTTGGGGACAATCTGGAAAAATCAGATGAATTTTTGTCGCATTTGGGAAAATAAGTGGAACTCGTGCTCATTTCGGGGCTAGAGATGGAATGGGATCTTCACTAGAGAGGAGAACGAGCTCCGGTGCCTTCTAGTCTTTGTGAGAGGAAAAAATATGTTGTAAAATGTGTTATTGTCAGGTTTTTATAGGATTTGGAATGAGGCGAATGAGTCTAGACGGTGCAAATTTTAAAATTTTGTGTTTTAGATCCAGCCATGCTCAAAAAATTACAAAAATTTGGGATCCTATGAAAATATACAAATTGCCAGATTTGAAAACCTTAGATCCTTAAGAATTTTAAAACCGCTAAAAACTCACCAGTATCATCATAAGTAACATCATAGAAAGCTGGTGCTCGCGGCGGATTGAGATGAGCCCGAAGATCGCCCCACCACTCTGTTGTAGACAATACAACAGGTAGAATAGCATACATTACGGCAATATAACAGAAGCTCGACATTTGGACACGATACTGTGGACACAGTGCTTTGGGAAATGAGGATGGAGAATGAGTGCGACTCCTTGCCCAGCGACTCCTATTTCATTTCACTCCCTTCCCCCTTGCTATAGCCCCGCCCAGCTCTTTTCATTCCGTTTCTTTGCCTCTTCTCTTCCGTATCTTTCCATTTTCAACGCACACCACCACTCTCTCTCTCTCTCTCTCTCTCTCTCTCTCTCTCATTTCTCGACCTTTGACATAACAATCTACGTCAACCATTTCAGGTCTACCGGATTTGGCGAATCTTCAACGTGGAGCTTTGGTTAGCTCTGGCCAAACCGGGATAGAAAAATGTTTGTTTTCTCGGAAAAGGGGAGGGGGAGATGGTGATGGTGAGCATGAGTGATGGACTGAAACAGTGATCTGTTAGTTTGGAGGTGGGAGGGGGGGGAGTGAGAGGATAACAATAACAAAGGAAGTGGAGTCGAGATGTTGTCGGTATTATTGTCTAGACCGGCTCTGTCTCAAGCTCGAGCTATCATTATTTGCATACAGTATCGCAGTTTTGAGAGCTTCATTTAGAGCGTCTTAAGCTAACGACAGACGAAGCGTAGATAGTAAGCTCGTGGAATTTCATTAAAAATAGCGAATTTTTCGAAAATTTGAAATGGCTTTTAGTGATTCAATAATTTCTGTAGTAATGTTCTAGCTATTTAAGCTGAGGCTTAGGCTCACACTAAAGCTCATTCTGCCCGTTTTCCAGAGCGTTTTCTGATCGGCTGGGGTTGGCTCTCGCGCGCGGGGCGCGGTAATAAACGGCGCAACTGATCGGAGAGCCAAGGAACGAAATTCCTCGACTCATGGCCATCTCCAAAGCATTCCAAATGAATCACTTCCCCAATCCCGTCCACACCCAATCTCATATCTGACGTGTAGCTTCGAAAACAACGTACTAGAACTACTTTATTGCCCACTTCACCTAAGAAATCACAAATTATGCATAAGGCACGAATACTGTTGATAGAAAATAGATAAATACATCGAATAACCCGGAAATTTGTTCTTTGGCTGGTTTTGGGATGAACTTTTGATCTTTGAAGAAATTATAAATATTAAATGAGCGATTTACATCTAATATTTAATCTCCCAATGCGTCGGCTGCTCACAATCCTTCTTCCCATCCGGGCACATCCGATTAAACGTCGTTTGGAATGGGAATTTCAGAATCTCACGATCCTCTTGAATCCGGAAAGAAAACGTGGATACGTGAGAGCCAGTAAAATAACGAGCACGACTGCAGATAATCTGGAATTTAAGGACTTCACCTCTAAATTTATGTCTTAATACCTGGTGGATAATTGCTATTTCACCATCACTTAATTGATCATCTTCAAACGTGAATATCTCTCCTTTATCGCCCACGTATTCTAAAGTCAAATAAAATTTTTTTGTTGGCTTAATTCACTTACCTTTTAATCTGAAAATGTCTTCAATAGGTGCATCAGTTGATAGGAATATTTTAGTGAGATTTTCTTGTTTAAGCAACTTTTTAACCTATTTTTTTATAACGTTAATAAGGAGAACTTTTGTCTTACAATTTTTGCAGTCCCTTTAATGCTTGGTAGCTCATTTCCATGAGCTTTCACAAAATCTTTTCGTCTCCAATGTAGACAGATATAAGGGCCGCCCTGAAGAATTAATAGAAAAATTTTTTCACCCAAATTACCGTAGCTTCTCCCTGCTTCTCGTCCTCCCATTTCTCCGGAAGCACGGTGCCATCTTTTTCGTCTTCAGAATCAAGGTATTCTTTTCTAAGACGTAAGATCTTTGATTTGCAATTAGCAATTTGTCACCTATACTCGGCTGCAATTAGCATAAGATGAGGTGCGTATCTCATACATCTTCTGGCTTTCCAATAATTTACTCCCCCAAAATCATGATGCAAAATGGTCTCCCCACGATCGAGGAAGATTACTTTTCTAAAAATTTTATAGAGATATAAATTTTTAGATTCAAATGCTCACTCGTTTTTATAATCCTTTAAGATCATATTTGCTAAGATCGTGGAATCCCCTTGAAAAGACACGCATTCAAATTTATCGGCGTATATGTCTGGGTAGGAGAAGAACCAGCCACGCCTAAATTATCTTAAAAAAATTCGAATTATTTCCAAACCATTTTTTAGCCTCTGGATCCATCCTATAAAGCCTTCGACCATCCTCCAAACATTCTCTAAATTAAAAAAATTATTAAAAATAGTTGAACCTACCTTTTGTCCCATTTCATCTCGTAATGCTCGCCCCAGCCTTCTTTATAATGTTGTAGATAGACAACAAGGGGTAGGATGTCAGAACCGTGGACTAAATTTGCATGTAAAAGCACTGTAAATTTTTACCTTTTATAAACTCATCAAACTCCAGAACCGGCACAAATCTTGTCATGGCTTTCAGATCGAAAAAGGTAGACCAGGGTACTTTAACGGCTCGGTCTCCCCAGTGGTATAATCCTCCCCAAGGTGGGAGCACGAGCACGAAGTCTTCTCCTAAAACGTATTAAAGTTGTTTTAAATTAATGAAGTACCTTTTTCTCTCAATATTCGCACAGTATTTGTAATTCTTGAATGGACATCTCTTCTCAGGTTGAAGCCCTCTCCGGGGTTGACCTCATAGATTAAAAACCTACATTTCTAACTTTAATTTATGTGATTTTGTACCTTGTATTTTTATTATATACATCCTGGCGTACTGAATACTGTTGACTATCAAATTTTGAGATGGTCTCATCGTGTGCCGAGAGAAAGCCGATGTGCAGTGCAAGAAGTAGCCATAAATACATACCCGTGGCGAAAAGGCTAGGTTACGGTACCTAAAATATTAATTAACTTTTTGATTTTAGCTTTTAAATATAGCATGGTTAATAAGAAAAGACAGAGAATTAAAAGAGCGTTTTTAAACCACAAAAGAACACTTATGTTCTACGTTATAATTCCCAAAAATTTATTCCATACACCAAATTGCACACAGGGCACCGGGACGGCCCGGTAGGTAAAGCTCGAAAATGGTATTTGGTACTGCATAAAAATTATCGAATTTAGTAATAAAGTACCAAAAAACGCAAAAATGATATGCAAAATAAAACTCACAATCCAGAAAAATTACACAGAATCGGAATGTATCAAAAAAGGCTGCCGGAAAATCGGGAAATTTAGCGAAAAAGTCGAATTCTTTGGGAGGCGTGTGTTTTTCGAATCACAACTGAATTGTGGAAGACGTGACTAAATTGGAGGAGGTTGCTTTGGTAGATTGAATCGGAAAATGGTTTTTGGTACATAAAGGCAAAATAATTTACAAAATATGATGATTTACATACAAAAATCGTAAATAAAAAGCAAAAAAGTCCATCTAAATCAGGACTAGATACAAGATTTGGGTTTTAAAAAGTTGAAAAATTGTTTAATATGTATAAAAATGTGTAATATTTGTAAGATATGATTCGTCGTATGTGTGGAATCGGTGGAAGTGAATTGCCGGGGGGAATTTCATGGGAAATCGGGGCTGAAAAATGGGTGGGAATCGATCACAAATCAATATTAATTACCAATCGTGGGGTGCTGGGAATTCTCCCATAATTTTTCAAATTCCTAGCCTACCTCAAAAATTGTGTGCAGAAGATAAGACCCGAAACGGTGCGTAGAGTTCAAAAAATGGTTTAAGAATTGTGAAAATTTCAAAATTATGACCCTTTTAAAGAAGATCTTTCTTAAGGTATGAAATTAAAACCAAAATAAATGTAATTAGGTAGATTTTGAAGTTCTAAGCTAATATAAATTCTAGAAAAAACCTATGAAAAGAAGGAATTGAAGGAGCGGTGGGAATGAAAGGGTCATTGTCCCCCGAGGAAGGGGAGGCTTTTCCCTGCTTTTCCCCCTCACTCGTCCGAATGCTTAAGATGGAGGGGATTTTGGGGTGAAGGGTGGTGGGGAGGGAATGTGGCAGTTATTCGTATAGTCTCCAGGAGACACCGGGGTCCCCGCTTGACTCTCCGAATCGCCGTCACCGCTCGATAAATGGGAGAGCGCTGAAAAAAATTAGATTCGGCCGAAAATTACCAATTTTCTTACATTTAGTAGCTGGTTTTGGCTGAATGCCATGTTGCTCAATTGCCACAATAATTTTGTGCATCCAGGTTTTCATGTCATTTTGAGTATAACATGAGAAATAATGCGAGACAGGCCCTCGATGGATTCGAAAAACACTAAAATATTTCTAGATCCAAAAATTAGTAAATACTCACAATTTCTTGCTCGTTTTCAAATCTGTCGCATCAGTGACGGCACATCGAATTACGCTAATAACCAGATCCGCTTTTTTCGACTATAAAAATAACATAATTTTAGGGTACAAACTTACAAATTGGTTTGGATACACGTAAAGAAAAGGCGCTCGTAGTGCCATCCAGCATTTCGGCCATTTGTTAGTGCTCGATCCGCCCGACAGCGCCAGTTCTTCATGGGTTTTTCTGAAGTCAAAATAACCAAAAGGTAATAGAAAAGCCTACCTTCGCCGCAACCATCCTTCGAACGTTTTTCCTTGTAGTAAGGTGCATGGGGTATCACTGGCTGGAGGGCTGGCACCATCAAAGATAAATGGTGAGAGGAGGTGGGTTCGGCTTGATGGAGTAGCAGCAGGGCTAGGAAATACAGTTTTATGTACGAATTTTACTACTTACCTATGAAGGCTAGCAATGGAAGAGGACGAGGGTGAAGCTAGGACAGGTCCCTGGAGACCCCAACCCCATACAGAGTCATCGATCGTCTTCCGAACACTAGAAATTGGCGTGATACATTAAGTTTGCAGCAAAACCTCGGTGACTCCAAGCTTATAGCCGTAATCGCACTATCAGACATCGGGGCCCGATATCGCATCTCTCGAGTGGAAGTGGCCTCTCGAATTGGAGCACACCATTCTGGGTCGCTGGTTTTTGCAATTGGTATCCCTAGCGCAGCCACGTCGGGAGGAGGGATGACGTCAATTTTTGCAAATTCGGTAGGGCCTAAACAAGGTTTAAAATCTATAGAAAAATCCTACATTTGGTATTGAAGGGAAGTTGATCATCTACGATATCATCATCAACCGGGGTGACGAGTTGATTGTCCACAAATGAGCGTACGTAGCCGTCAGGTTGGTGACGCATGGTACGCGCGCGACGGATTACACCCCGGGCGCCGGCTAAAAAGGTTTTTGATAAAATTGAGGCCCATTTACACAATTTAGAAAGAGAGAAAAGGGATAAATATAAAATTACTTACCCTCGTGAATCGAGCTCGTCTTCAACAAGGCAATCAAGTCAAGATGTGTGTGATGTGTTGTCCTAACTGGGGGTGGGCTACCACCACACACCGTCGCTCTCCGTCGCATCATTAGCGTCCTAATAAAAAGCCCTTCAATGTGTGGAGCCCCAGAAATATACCGCTCAATTTGCCCCGCCTGCCCACCAGCACCATTTCGATTCTCTCCTTTTCGCATTTTCAGCAGAACGGTCTTGAAGGTGGATGATCTTCGCCGTTTTATCGGGGTTCGGGGTTCCATCTAAATTCGAATTTTTTAGGTTTTAAAATTTTAGCGATAGTTTCAATAAAAAATTAAACTACCTCAGGCAAAAATTTCGGCTCCTCCTCCTCGGCGTCAACAGCAACAGTAGAAACAAGACTCCCGGGTGCCATACTTGTTAGTAGGCGTAGAGCTTTTGGCTGTAATTTTTGTGATTTATATAGATTTTTAAGCGTAGGAGTGAGTCATAAAAGCCTGCAAAAAGTCATGCTCCAAATTCCAGAGCCATATTGCCTTTGGCGCTCCCCGGGGGAATCGGCGAAAATTGAGGTTGAATGGGATCGGGGGGTCGGGGTGCTAAGCAAATATTCCTTTCTGGCTTTGGCCGGGAGAATGGCAACAAAATCCGGGTCTGGAATTTTAGAAAAAAGGCGAGAGAATGACTTTTTTTATTTCTACAATTAGATGAACGTTTTAGTGGTATCACCCGACTAAAGCTTACCTTTGGCTGATCCCGGACTCGAAACAATGAAGCCAGAGTCGGAACGAACGAGACAGGAATCTTCCGTAACAATAACACGAGCTCAGTGCGATGCTCAATATCTTGTAGCAGTTTAGCGACTCCCTCCAATTCCCATCCGACTACAGTCTCATCACCGATCGCCAGGATCTCATCCCCGGCGTCGGCATTATCGCATAAATCCGCCGGTGAGCCCACCTGGCAAAAGCTTTTAGATGAGATTGCCCTTGAGGACAGAGTATCTCTCTCTCTATCTCTCTCTCTCTCTCACTCTCTCAAAACATCACTAATTACTCTGGAAAACCCCACCTTGATCTCAGAGATAATGTGCCGACCTCGAAATGTGGAAATCAGATTAAAGCCCTAAACAAAAGCATTTGGATCGGGGAGCATGACTTACCCAAGGAGTATCAACTTTTCGTCTCCGTATCGTGATCTTTCTCGAGCTATTTGTATGAACCATAAAAAAGTCATCACAATCTTTGATAATCCAATCACAATTGTTTTGGAGATCAATGGCTTTCTGCATTAAAATATAGACGCTAACACCTAAGGCTTACGGTAATAATCTTCTCGCTATTTGTAAATATTTCCTTTGGAGCGACATTTGTCATTGACATAATGGCCAGTACAGCATCGAGGACTCGTCTCCGAAAGTCGATAAAGGTGACGCTAGCGTCGAACGGGGCCCTGGAATTAGAATTTTTTAGGAATCTCCAACTGTTCCAAACCTGTCCAACCAAAATACAAGTTTTCTAGAGGTTTCTACGAGGTGAGAGACAACTTTCGAGATTTCGTTGATGAGGACGACGATCGGAAATTGAATAATTTGCATAAAAAATAATTTCCATACCTCCATTCTAGCTTTTGCTCGTTCTTTAGCCCGATGTGCTGCTTCCATCTCATTCACGAGATGCAAAGCAGCTACTCGAACGCTTAATGCTAATAACTGGAGGTTTTCGTCGGACATCTCGTAGCACTAAACATTTAAAAATATGTCTCTACCTTTGAAAACTTACATTCTGATTTAAGAGTTGTATAGCTTGACACAAAACTCGACGCGGGCCAAGTTGATTTAACTAAAAATTGAAATAGGAATACAAAAATTTTTTTTACTTACCCCTATCCGTGTAAGAAAATCATCATCAACAATCAGCAGCTGCTTTCCGCTTGTGATATTTTCAGCTATGGTGGCGAAAAATGGGCGCAGATCTTCTTCGCAAACTCCTAAATCTATTTTTATAGGCAATTTCGGTAATTTTACCTTTAATCCAGGCTAAACACTGATCCGCATCCCATTCCTCCACAAAATATTGGAACGAAAAATTTTCCAGCGATGAGTTTTGCGTGAAATTGGGCGGAGTATTGGCATTGCGGCGTGTTGTTGCCTAAAAATCATGAAACCACGACATTTTTAAGGCTTAGAAGTATTTTATTAATTCTATTTTGCTTACATTATCCTTTAGGTCGATCCTCTGCATGGATGGACCTGGAAAAAGTCAATAAATTTGCATATATAGAGGTGGAAAGTGGAGTGTGAAATGTGAAGGGGGTGGAGAGATTTGACTGGCTGGGGTGAGGTGAGGGGTATTTGGATATGCATCGTTGGTTGCGTATGGGTGAATAATTCTATGGTCTCGAGTCTTTTTATAGAGGAGTTTAAATAAAGCTTAAAAGTTCAAAAATATGGTAAATATTGCAAAACGGCTATTAACGTTTAAAAAAAGTAAATTTGAAGCGTAAAACCTGTATGTTAATCATTTTTACCTAATTTTTGTAGACTTCTTGCAAAATTAGCATTTGAATACAGCATTTTAGAGTTTATTAGATTATTCCAATGCTTAGTATATAGGAATTTCGAGTGCAAAAAAGCCAACCGGATTAACAACGCCCACCTAGCAGGCTTCACTTTTTAATTAGCCAAAAATCGGAGGGGAGCGACGACTATAAATATAGATTTTTTTAAAAAAATCCCCACATATCCGCCCGGCTCAATAAAAGTGGAGCTTGAGCTGTGAGTCTGTGTGAGAGGGGGGAATGATGATGGGGAGGTAACGAGGTTCAGCTGGGGGGAACAGCCATAAATATATGCGGGGGGACCTTGGGCACAAATCGGGCCGGATTAACCGGGAGGAGGCAAAGCAGAGCAGGGGTAGGAAGGGATATTGGGGGTCGATGTTTCTAGCTAGAGAATGTTTATACACGCACGTTATTACAAAATATGATAAATCACGTTTTCCAACGCGTAAGGCCTGTAAATGTGAGGAATTAAGGGTTTATCTTACTTTAAAAACTATTTTAACTAAATATAGTCCTAACTTTATCTTATCGCTATGAAGTTTAGCATACAAAATTCAGGACCACCTTAAAGTAAACCATAAATTGGAGATTAACGTAATATTATACCTCTAACGTTGCATATATAAAACTTTTAAATTTGGACCGGAAACCGCAATGAATTATTACTTTTAAACAGACTTAGACTATTATAACATTAAAACGAAGCGAAATTGGTATGCTATAAACTACAAGTATTCCAATACATAGTTTTATTACTGAATCCAACTAGTTTACATGAACGGGGTTTTTATATGAGTGTAAAACTTTAACAAATGACCACGAAAGCTAAAATAACAGCTGATTTTCTTAAAAGCCGTATTGTCAATTTGTTAAACTAATAATCTAGCATTTTATTAGCTTTTGAAACTTTTTAATCGAGCGAACAAACTTTTTTGGCGAGTGATGGATATGAAAAGCCTCCACGGCACTCCTATCAACAACGCCCACCCCGCGCCCACCACAAATCCTTATGGCTCACTGCATATCAGGCATCTCGTTGCAAAATGGGTGTAATAGGGGGATTATAATGGGAAAAGGTTTGTTGCTTATAAAATACATTAAATAATCCAAAAGAAGGAGGAAAACTATCTTAATTAACCAGAATTTCAAAAATATGACGAATACAAGCTGAAATATAAAAATTCTGCGAGAAAAATAACATTTTGCTTTCAATAGGCTTTAGTAGAGATTTTTAAACAAAGCTCGAAGCTTTATATGTTAGAAAATTTATCGACAAACGAAAAAACAAAACATAAAAACGGTTTTGTAGTGATCGCTTCCCGAAAGGAGGTGAATCATGTTTTATAAACATTACGGGCAAAAGAATGTCTAAAAATACGCGTTTTCTGACGGAAAAGCGTGACATGTTAGCAACTGCTTTAAAAACCTTAAATAGCTTTAAAATTACGAACTCCCACTCTACATACTTTATCGCCTCCCTGAAACAAAGCAAGCCTCGTTAAAAGCCTACAAAACAAAAGTAAAAGTCATTTTTTCCTTCAGAAGCCGGAAAAGCATAAAATTACCTCCACACTCCTCCTTCTCCTCCCTGGTCGACCTTATTAATACACGCCCACTTTTCCCCCCTTTTTCCTCGTCTCCCGCGTGTGATGGTGTCATTTTCCTCATCTACTGATGCCCCCCATATTCTTGCGCCCTTTTCGTGCCCGTACTCTTTCAACCCCCTTTCCACCATAAGGTCGGGCCCTTTCAGAAGAAGAAGAAGGGCTGAGGCTGAGCCTTGGGGAGGAGGAGATCGTTAATTTCCTGACGGGTAATTGAATGGGCGTTCGTTTGGGGGGTTGGGCTTCCACACACACAGACAGACAGAGAATTGGACACAGACACCAGCTACAGCTACATTGGGGTGTAGTGAAATGAAATGGGTTAGGGGGAGAAGGAGCTTGCGCTATTTGGGGTTGGGAATGAATTAATGAAACTTGGGTGATTCGATAATTTTGGCTGCTGTGGTGCAAGAGTCATTAAGTGTGACGCAATCTGAACGCTGACCCTAACACGCTAAAAATTTCCTGAAAATTCCAAATTCACTTAGAAAGGCGGTACTGTAAGAGCTATGTTTTTCCTAATAGATACTAAAAACGGCTGGATTACGGTAGAATTTGCAAAATGGGTTACGGTGGTTTTTCTTTGCAAGGAATTATGCAGATCAATTAATTTTGGAACCGATAACTATTGGCCAGCTTTTTGAGTATATTGATTTTTAATGAATATCTACAGTACTTTCATTCCCGTTATGCTGGCGATGAACGTCATCATGAACAAGAGTAGCTCACGATTCAGGTAAGTTTAATAGCAACACATTTCTGGGCAGCTAGTTTAAACTATAGATTTTTCATGAATACCTACAATATGCTACGCTCCACATTTCGCAAATGAACATCATCATGAGCAAGCACAGCTCAAGCTCACGATTTTAGGGCCAATAGCTTTCTGACCATCTATGTTGATGCATAGCTTTTTGAATGCATTTCTACAGTCATTCCATATTTTTTGAGATGACCGTCATCTTGAGCAAGGGCAACTGAACCCCTTGCCGTTGTTTAACATCTTCTAAATGACATAGATATTCTACAGTATCTCCTAAGCTATCCCTCCATCTCCCACCCTTCCTCTTAACAATACCCAGCCGGTTTTAATACATATGTTTTCCACCAGGGTATCGATTGCCGTTGTTTTGCGTGTGAAGAGGGCCTCCTCCTCCTCCTCTCTTCCCATCGGCCCTTTTTGAGGACGGGCCTTCTCCCCTCTTCTTCTTCTGCTGCTGCTCCTGGCTGGCCCTCCCCCTGCTTATCGACCCAAAGCTTTCCCTTTCTCGTCTCGAATCCCTCTAAAGGCAACTCGTGGCCCTCCCCACCACCCAACAACTAGCCATCTAAAGGGCCCGGGGCCGCAACATGCGAGATGGTCAAGCTCACCGAATCAATCGTCTATATTCGCACCAAGGCCAGCGTCGAGAATGTTAAGAAATTGAATTTGTGGTAGGTTGTGTAATATTTTTTTAAGGATCTGGTTTTTCTGTGCCTTTAATTGGATTAAAACTATCGTTTTTGACAAAAAAATTAGTTGCTGTTTTTAAACGTGTATTTTGGATGAGAATGGATTTTTGGACTAGTATTTTTCGGGAGTACCAGCTTAAGGGCCTCTGAATTTTATAGAACAGATATTTAATTAGATTATTAAGCAAATCAAGCTAAAAAACACTAAAAGTCGAGGTAAATCTAGGCTAGGCATAAGAATACTACGCACATGATTTTTTCTTCTTGGATAAACATATTTCTTTTGCCCTGATTCCCGAAAAATTGAGCCAATTTTTTCCTGAATTACCCTTGTTATTTTTCCAATATCAGATCATAAAAAAATACCATATTTTCATGATAATTCTAGAGGAAATTTAGTCTCTAGTCCAGTTCCTACTCCTAAAGAAGAACCCCTTCCCCCGCCAAACCCAATCATAAATCCAATTGCCGCAAATGAAATTTTCTAGGGGATGCGACATCGACAACATTGAAATATGTGCCCAGATGAAGAAGCTCGAGATTTTGTCTTTGAGGTATTTAAGGAATCTGGAATCTGAAATCAGAATTTAGCAACAACAAAATCTCGACGCTAACCCCGCTCAAGAATTGCGAGAATTTGACGGAGCTGTACTTGAGAAAGAATGATATTGACGAGTTTTCGGAATTGGAGAATTTGCTAGGACTGAAGAAATTGACAGTGTTATGGATTGATGATAATCCTTGTACGGCACATGGGGATCATCGATTACGGGTGGGTCATTTTAAGGGGACCAGCATGTCTGGATTTATATGGATTTTGTCGCTCTGGCGATACGCAACGCGTCGGCTGGCTTTTAAATCGCGTAATCGATTACACTACCTTTTTGAAGACTAGCGGCGTGCGTTTTGCGTGTTGCGTCGCATACCCAATCCACAGCCAGTTTGCCTTACCAATCCCTTTAAAACCCACAAAACTAAATTTTTTAGATTATCCGATTACTACCCCAAATTACACGACTCGATGATAAGCGTAAGTAGCAAAACGTAGTTTAAAATTACCTATGACTCCAGCTGTGACAATGGAGGAAAAACGGGCGGCGTCTCCTTCTTCAGAATGGGGTCCCCCCTCACGCCTCTCATCCCGACACCCATCAACAGCAACACTAACTGATCAGCCGATTTCATACGGTAATTGGTTATATCTTTTAGCTGGTGGCTTCATGTTATTTTTTAGGAAAAGCCATCGTGGATACAATGCTCCCCTGCCAAATGCCCTCTTATGGATCGATAAACGACTTGAGTGCTATGAGCCAATCAATGTACCACCAACCCTCCAGAAACTCTTATATTGACCCGATGACCCAGTCCGTAAGCCATTGTTTGTAGTAGTTATGCGTACTTTCTGGTGTTTAGATGCACCCAATGATGTCTCAAAATATGATGCATAATGCTGGGATGAGCCAATCCTTCCATCCAATGATGATGGATCAAGAGGAGACGGAGCTGGAGGAAGAGGGAGAATGGGCGGATTTTAAGTGAGTGGGACTCAAAAATTGGAAAACGATATAATTCAATTTTCATGTGGGTTTTTTAGTCTGGAGGAAGAGCGGCCAAGGAGTATTGAGGGTATATCGACTCGATTATCGCAGCAAAGATTAGATGGGTCGCACTCGGCAAGGTAAATCGAACTTGACAGAAAATAATTTTGTATATTTCTAGAGATTACCGTGGCTCGGGCACAATGCCAATGTCAATGTCCCTCTATCGAAGGAGCATGAGCATGCCGCGAAGGAGAACAGAGCGAACAACGTCAACAAGCCCAGCAAGGGTAGGGATTAAATCTAAAAAATCTAGACTCATTTTATTTTTTTTTCCAAAATTCCCCTACCCTCAATAATTCAGGAGCAACGTCATCAAAAATTAATGGCCGCCATCCGGGTCCTTTTGGATGAATTGGATATGGATGGGCTACGCTCGGTAATGCCACTTTACATAGCGTAATCGGTGATTTTTTATTTAGGTAATTGACGAGGCGCAGAAACGGTTGAAAAAGCAGCGATAATTCCATATCCATGCTCAGCGTCCCTCTGTTAATAGCATACCTTTGTAGTTTGAATTCTAGCCCAATTCGTAAAAATGTTTATTTTTGCCTTGTTCATACTGTAAGTTCCACCCTTTATCCTTGGTCTCAATGCTTTTTGTGATCGGTCAAGTGATCTCTGTACTCCCTTTGGCCTTTTCTAGCGGAAAATTTATAGCTTAGTTTTCAAAAATACGTTTTTATCCTTTTTTACATCGAACAATCCCAGCCCAGGTGTATTTTCCCCTTAACAATTTGTCTCATCAACCCGATGCTTCGCTTAAAAGGTGCGGTAACTGTTGCAAATTTTCGGTACATTTTGCCAAGACGCGGTGTGTATGTGTTTGTTTTGTGCTTTCGTTTTTGCCCTTGGAATTGAATAAACAATTGTTTTATTAAATTAACAAAAACGTAAAATTATTGAAACTCGTTAAAATAGTCGCTGGCCTTCTTCAAAAGTTTGGCGTAGGAATTTTACCTAAATACTGTAGTTTAAAGGGTTGTAGAAAACCCACAGCAGTCGTGCCATCCCTAATCATCGAGGAAATTCGATTTAATAGATTCCAAGAGGCATCATTTCTACCGTAACTCGGGTTAAGGGCCGAGGGGTCGGGTTTGGAGAATAGAAGCTTTCTAAAAAAATATTTACATTTTAGGCTTATTTTAATGATTTAATATAATCTATACTGTTTTTTCGACAATAATAAAGTTAGAAAATTCACTTATTTTAATCTTAAAAGTTTTTATACCGATTATTACGCAAATCCAGTCCCTCCTTCTGCCGTAGCGATTTTGCTAGAATCGAAGCCAGCTGGTCCTTCCCCACACGCACATCCGATGCATCATCCGACGATAAAGCGGCCAACACTTCCGAAAGACCCCTCTACAAGCCCCAATTTGAATCTAATTTCGTTGACTAAAATCCCATGCAGAAATAAACAATATTTATTATTATTATTATTAGTAACAACTAAATATGTACATGCAATGAACAAAAATAACCAAATCAACCAAATATCTTCCCCGGATCCCCTCCCGTTAGTGCATCAAATAGTTTACTCTTCCTGTTCGGGAATAATGGATTATAAAATGGGTCCTGCATCTTAAATGGAGCATTTATTGGAGCAGGAGCATCAATAGTTTTAGCTGGGGCAGCCTCTGGCAGCTTGCCAATTTCAATAGGTTTCTTCGTAGTAAAAAGGCTCATAATTGGGCTAGGGGTAAATGGATTTGAGACCGGAAATGGTTTGTTTAATTCATTTAAAATAGGGTTAGGTTTCAAGGGATTGAACATGTCTAACAAAGGATTGTCAGGTATGGCAGGTGTTTGTGCTGGTGGGGGTTGGGGGGTGGGGAGTGCTGGGTTTTCTAGAAGTGACTGAAATCCGCGTGGGCTTAGAAAATCAGGAACAGGTTGCAGCTTGAAGGCATCTGGGATTTGGAAAGCTTGACGTCGGGTGCGGGTGTGGCGTCGATCGAGTAGATCGAAGAGTTTGTCGATCACCTCGGGGTCGAATAGTTTTGGGGGCGAGCGGCGGATATCGGGGGTTTCGGCGGGGCGTTGTGGGGGGATGGTGCCGGCTGTGAAACCGGGGAGGAACATGCCAAGGGACCTTTAAAAATATAATTTAAAAATTAATAAAGCTTTTTTTATACCTTTCAAGTAAAGATTTTGGGGCAGTAGTGGTTGGAGCGGCCGTGGTAGTGGTTGTCGGAATTAAAGTAATGCCGGCCATTTCCTAATTTTTATAGTTTGTAGTTTTGTTAAGCCTACATACCTTAGAAATCGTGTCCAACTGTCGCTGCCAGGGCTCCCAATATGGCTGCAAAAGTTGTTCCATTAAAGATGGGGCTGGAGTTGTCGTAGTTGTGGGTCTTTGCAACTTTTCAATAAGGTCAAAAAGTCCCTAAATTTAACTAACTAAAAGCGTTAATTCTTAAGCTTACCTTTGAGTTAGAAAATGGAGAAGCATCTCTTTCTTGTTGAATCTTAAAATGTTAAAGTTATTTTTTGTATCGACGTAGCTAACGGCAGCCAAATCCCGAGGGCAATTTGTAAAACAGGTTATAGGGGATGGGTGGTGATAGGGGCAGAGGCCGAAATCCCGTTCCTTCACGGCTTTTTATGAGCCCCTGGGGGGATCTCGTAGGAAAGAATAACTGCTGCCCGCGGGGGATCCTCAATTTTCACATCGTTTAACGGGGTTATTATAAGGTCCGTTGCGGGGGAACCGGTTTTGTGAAACGGGCGACCGGCATAAACCGTTAAAAAACATAAGGAGTAATTTAAAAGGGATGGAGACATCAAAAAACTTTGCCAAAATCGCTAGAAAAGAGAAAGCTACTCCCACAACACCAAATTAGGTTTCTTAAAATTAAAATTTAGAATATATTTCCGATTTTTCTATATATTTTGCCACTAACCTTCTCAGCATAAGCCTTTGCTTTTGCATTCTGTTGCATCACATCGTACATCTGGATAAATGGCGACATAATTGGATCCAAAATATTTTGAGCATCAACGTCAGTCACTTCTATTTTTCGAGATATTACGGTATTTCGGGAAAAATTACCATTTCCCTTTGGTGGCCCATCATAGGAAGCAATTCGTATCCCATCGATCTGCCCGCCTTGTTGCTCTTTATTTGCTAAAAAATTATTTTATGCTAATCTTGTATGCAAATTAGACAGTTAGAACAAACCAAAAAACGGTCGCTGCCTTTGTGAATATACTGTAGTAATGCATAATAGCAATACAGTACGATAAAGATATGACATTACAGTAGCCCTCAATGCCCTTCAAAAGATCTGCCGATGGATGCAAATCCCAGGTATCCTCGTCGAGACGTGTGAGAATGAAGTGCGGAATGGCTGAAGATCCCGAGGGTGTTGTTGAATGGATAGATAGACAGATAGAGAGACAGACAGACAGTTAGCTAGATAGAGACACACACGGGTGATTGCATTGCATTGCCGTGAAAGCCAGATCTTCTCTCTCTGGATGCCCCGGCTGGCTGACCTCATGACCGGTCTTCTTCTTTTGCTTCTCAACAACGAGGAGCGACCATGGGAGGGCCGTTAGCGGCTTCTGGATTGTTGTGAATGGCAGCTTCGGCCAGTTTTTAGGAGCTGAATTCAGGAATCTGGAATTAAAAATGGTGAAAAGTGGGGTGAAATCGCCTCTGAAGTCAGTACGATGTCACGCGTGGATGCAGCCGCCGGCACGCGGTGTCTCTCTATCGTCTCTCTCTCTCTCTATCTTGCTCTCTCTCTCCCTCTCCATCAAGAAATTTAACCTCAATTCTGATATGCCGAATTCATTGCGAGAAAGGCTCAATCCAGACAAAGAAATCCTCGGGTCCGTGTGTCATGCAACGCAATCGATACTTTAGTGATATCGAGTTCCATACTACTAATACTACATTGTTAAGACCCACAAACGGCCTATCGGCGGTCTCTCTCTTTTTTTATGTTTACCCGATGGGAACCCGGATCGAGGACTGAGACCCCGTGAAGGAAGAGCCATGGCCCCTTTGGGTCCCAAGGGTGGCAACTGGCTCCTTCGTCCACCGATCGGACAGTTGTCCCTTAAGAAGTGAGAGAGAGAGAAAGAGAGAGAGAGAGAGAATCTGTGATCCTTAAAGGCTTCTGTCATAAGACTTGGCTAGCTTTTGGCGTGTCTTTCCCCCTTCTCTTTCTCTCTATCTGTTGTTGGTTGGGGCCAACTGCCCGGGTGCAACTCATTACCTAGAGATTCTCGGACCGTTTGACCCCTTGGTAGCAATGCTTATGGTGGTTGGTATGACGTTGTAGTTTTACGCATATCAATTTATGTGGTTATGGATTTTCAAGAGCTTTACCATTTTATAAAGAAACTAACAACTTTTTGGCGAAAAAGCAAAAGTTTTCCATGTCCAGGATCCGAACTTGGACCCTGAACTTGAAAGACCTAAACACTAACCACTAGACCACAACCTTAAAACCTTTCTTCTGTCGCTTTTTATAAACATACAATAATTTTCGTAGTTTAATTACTTTTCGAAGAATGTTCGCGTTTTTAGGGCACTACAAACTTTTTTATGAAAAAGCAAAACAGTTCCGCGCTCAGGACTCAAACCAGGACCCTCAGCTCGAGAGACAAACGCACTAGCCACTAGACCACACCACTACAAACTTTATTATAGCCAGTTTTAGATAACCACATTGAATTGATCTTTTTTATCGATTTTTCTGTGGCCACAACCCGGAACCCCCAAAATTACTGATTACCACGATCACAAATCCGCAAGACGCGGCCCCCCAAAAGCCCCGTGTGATCAGTCCTCGTTGGGGTTGGGGGCCCATGTTTTCACACTTTAAACTTGTGCCGCCGTTCCCCACAGCCAGTCATCAACCCATTTCCCCCTTTTCCTCTTGCAAGCACGGGTCTCGGATGGATTTGATCCGGTATGTAGCGTATTTCGGAGGACGATGATTTGTCAGCTGTTTTCAAAAGCTTCTATAGGGCTTAACGTTTTTTCAATTTTTAAGGACATTTGATTATTTGTTTTTAATTGCTTGTATTTTTCTTATTGAATGCCAAGATTTTAGCCCTTAAAAATCGATGGAGCCATGGTCATAAATATATTTCTACTGCTATTGGCCACAGGTATCGATTGATTTTTTAATCGACGATTTAACCACTATTTTTAGGGGCCTTAGCCGATCGTAAAGGCTGTTACGATGAATGTAATGACCTTGATGACACCTTAAAATATGAAGAATGCCTTACACTATGTAAAAAACGGCCTTCAAAAAGTATCGTCGAAACGAATTGTGAGTCTTCCACTTTTTGCCTGGATTTCCTTTAGATTACCCAGCCCCTCCCGTCAATGTAACGATCAAAACGGAAGTAGTGATTCTGGAAGACGGCAAAATTCTGGAAACTACAGTGCATTGGGATTCGATTCCGGGTACTGTATTTTTAACTCGGATTTCAATTATTTTTAGATAATGAAAGAACGGGATATTACCTCCGATACACTGCCGTCGATCAAAAATGCCAGCAGGATTTTTCGGGTTATTTTACGAATACCATTCCAAAGGTAATTTTGGGCGGGATCTAGAATTGTCAATTTTGATTTTTAGACAGCAAAATCGCACACAATCCCTGTGCTTCTCGACGATGCTAGTGAAAGGGCATTGGCGATAGAACACGATTGCCAGTACAAATTGGAGGTACTGTAACTACAGTAGTCGTTCGAAAAATCATTTAAGATGCGTTCTCGGCCAAATCCATCTGGGGACAAGCTATTTACTGTCGTCTTGTTTTATCGGGTGCCGAATTGTATTGGGAAATATTGCGCTTGTACTGGTAAGTAAAGAAATTTGGTATAACGGGACAGGCACAGGAAAACTGTAATAATTTAATATTTCAGATGGAGCTGTCCCTTTGCCGGAGAACGTAACTGCCGAACATGTCTCTCAAGGAGTCTACGTTAAATGGAACTTTTTCCCGAGTTTAGACAGAAAATACAAATTCCACATTACACTGTATGAACGGTAGGTGTATACGGTACTCGCTCTTTAATCGGTAATTTAGCTTCTACCCTCCGTTTGTATTCAAAGATCCGACTTCATTCAAATATAAAATTGTGCATGGGGCGGAATATAGTTTGGAGTCGAAGGAGGTACAGTTTTTTTTAAATCTTTAAAGTATAAAAATTTAGAAACAAACCGCTTACGACGTTGTACTACCTTTTCAACTACCGTCAAATCAGGAATACAAGGTTTGGATTTAAAAAACGTAATTAGTCGATAAATTTAGATAACGATTTTTGCCCAAGACGACCAGTACTGTCATAACGAAGATACGCACGTCGAATTCCGATCTAAAAATGTAAATTTTAGAAGCTTACGGTTTTTTATGGCATTTTTTAGCATACAACTCTCAAGCCAATTACTACCGAATCCACGCCTCTACCAACCACACAAGAAACTACTGAATCCACGACAAATTCTACAGTTCCGGTCTTGATTCCGGTATGTATAAAAAAATAATATTTGATGCCGTAAGCTTTTAGGTAATCGACCCAAACACCTCTGTCATCCTAAGAGACCATTTTGTCATCTCCCACGCCTGGGTGCTGAGCTTTATTTGTAAGTCTTGACCCCAGATTTTATAGAATTTTAGTAGCCATCTTTCTCTTCATATCGTTGCCGTTATTTGTGGCCTGGATATGCTTCCGGAACCGGGCGAAGAAGCGGCAAAAGTTGAGTAGATTACGTCCACAGTGGTCGTTGTCGCATTCAAGGTGAAATTTGATTTTTGTAGTTTGTAGCCTAACTTTCAAGGCATTCAATCCTGGAGACAAATATCCTGTATCGGCGGCCGATCGAGTTTCGGCAGCCGATAAAGGAGGAGGATTGGGTGATACAACGAGAAGATATTTCGAGTGGAAGTGTTATTGGTAAGGCTTAAAAAATTAGGTTTTTATAGCATTATTTAGGAGAAGGAGCTTTTGGCCTTGTTTGTAAAGGATCTATGCGTGGTCCGAGAGGAGTACCAGTTCGAGTTGCGATTAAACAATTGAAGGTAATGTTGAACCATTAGTCAACTTTATATAAAAAATTATTTAGGTAAACGCTGTAGATGAGGAGCGTCAAGAATTTGAGCGCGAACTGGATATGATGAAGCATGTAAGCTTAAAATTCAAAAATATTTCTTAATACCTATTTTCTAGGTCGGCCGCCACCCAAACATCGTGACCATGTACGGTTACTGTAGAGAAGGAGAAGCCCCATGTATGGTTATGGAATACGTACCATTTGGAGATTTAAAGCATTATTTGCAGAGCTTGAGAAAACAGGTGGGTATCGGTTCTTCAACCTTAAAATCTTACTAGCTATCCCTCGCCGTCTCCACCCTCAAATCCTCCCTCCGAATTGACGATGTCACCTGCCATCCAATAAATGCCGTCTCTATGACCGATTCGGTGATGTCGAAAAATGAGGACCATGTTGAGCTGCAATATGAGCTCGACCCAACGGAATTGCAATCTTTTGCCTGCCAAGTGGCTGCTGGAATGGTATGCAAATAGGTAGAACTCAAAAATTTGCAAAATTATAGGCTCACCTTGAATCTCTGGGTGTTACCCATCGCGATCTAGCCGCTAGGAATATTCTAGTTGGTGAGAATAAGCAATTAAAGGTATGGAAATTGGTTTAAAGCGCTTATATAGCTAAATTTAGATCAGTGATTTTGGGATGTCCCGTCAGGGCGTGTACGTTAAAGTATCGAAGGGTGTAATCCCGCTACGATGGTTGAGTATTGAAGCTATTAAAGACAATGTATATTCGACAAAAAGTGATGTTTGGGTAAGTACGCTTTGGACTACAGTGCACCCCTCGTATTAAGGCGTACGGTGTCGTCCTTTGGGAAATCTGTACCCTGGGTGGATTCCCTTACGCTACAATTTCCGATAAAGATTTGCTACAGTATCTAGCTGAAGGACAACGATTGGAAAAACCAATGAGTTGCAGTGATGAAATGTAAGGGTAAATTACTGTAGAAATTTCATTTTTTAGATATTCGTTGATGGTATCATGCTGGCGTACAATCCCCACGGAACGCCCCTCATTTGCATGTCTGGCCGATCGACTAGGTGCGATCCATGCACCATACGTCGAATTTCTCCCTCATGCCAAACTCCCACCGCAAGGTGATGTAAATCCGCTGATATCTAAATTTTCCTTTTCAGCCCCATCCACCCAAAACTCCAAGTAAAAATGAAAAGTACCAACGATTCGATGTGGTTCTGTGATTAATTTTTTGTGTCTTTTTAATCCATAATTTTCAAGTTTTTTAACTTTGATCAGTACAAACCGCGCCTATCGACACTTTTCCTACGTGTATAATTTTTTCTAGGCAATCAAAAAGAATCAAAATATATTTTTCACCTTATTGACGTTTGATCTCCATATACGCGGTGTTTTGTTTTGTATATTTTAAAAAATGTGTATCGAAATGTATTTTTAAATAAATTTATTGTGCTCAACAGCAAAGGACCGCTCAGCGGGATTTAAGCTCAAGAAACATATAGGAAAATAAATAGAATGGGGAGATTTGAAAACTGGAAGAAATCCGTTATTAGAATCAAAAAATTTTCAAAAATCTCCAGTTTTCACAAATACATAAAAAATGCTTTTGAAAGCACTACAGTAACACAAAAAAACACAGAGAAATTCGTTGAAATTGTACAAAGAAAATAAACGAAGTAAAAGACATTGAACCCATTGTGGATACCGTATTGCAGACCGGAGCAAAAGGCTGTGGTATAGGGAAAAATCGGGAATTCAAGGGGGAAATACGCGCTATGGTTTTTTGAGTGGCTATGTGGGGTTTCTACCAGTGATTTTCAAGTGGCTACACGTTTTGTTGGGGGTTGGAAAGGGGAATTATGTGCTAAAATTACATCTCTCTTTCTCAACGTATCTTTGTACTACGCTCCTATGTACAGGGCGGTGCCAGAATTATGCTTATAGCAACGGAAAGTATCGGAAAAAACGTTATAAGTGAACGTTAAGTGAATTTTCAATTGGATACACGTGGGGTATGGTAATTCCGGGGGAATACAAAATGCAATAGGGCGGGGTCGGTCACAGGATATAACAGAACATTTGATAACAGGGTTTTGGTGTGGGAATGGAGGGGTTTTGAAAGACAATGGGTGGTTTTAAGGCCAAAAAAACAATGTAAGCAAGGAAAAATAAATATTGGCGTCTCACAGGAGCATGACTTACTTCGGGATCACTTCAGTTTTCCAGGAGTGGTAGAGATTGTAGAGGAAGCCGAGCTTTTGCTGAAGGGCCGGCCCTTCGGTGGCTTCAAGGACTTCCGAGAGCAGGTTGAGCGTCTTTCGGACCTCGCCTTTACGATCGGTAATCTGGAAATAGGGATTTAAATACCGTAATCTAATAGCAAGCTGTAGGCTTCAATTTGTAGCTAGCAAAAACTAAAATTCTAATTATATACTTACATCAAAATCAGCGTACAACGCCGGTTTGGGGCGCAGAATTGGCTGTGGGGCGACGATCGTCGGCAGATGCATGTTTTCCAGATTCGTTTCCGGAGCGATAATCAGCGGCTTTGTCTCAACGATCGGGTCAGAGCTCTGAAAATAATAATAAATTTATATATAAATCGATTATACAAAAATTAAACCTGAAAACTTACAAGCTGCGTATTCTCGATGGACCCTCCCATACTCGTTGGTGTCGGCTCAGCTGGTGGTGGGATCAACGGGGCCATGAGACCATGAGTCGGCTGCTGCATCATAGCATATTGATGCTGCAGGCTGAGCATTGTGCTCTAAAAGTTCATATTAAATTTGTTCGCCTCTAGATGATCGTACCATGAGAGCATTCTGCTGATAGGCATTCTGCAACAAGTTGGTCGTGTTGACAAACGGCCGCTGAGGAGCCGGCGAGTTGAGATACGATGGTGTCGGGATCGAAGCGGTAGTGGGCGGCGGGAGCAAGAGGTTTTCCTTTTGCTGCTGCACAAGCATGGCGGCGAGGTTTTGACTGCCCATCTAAAATAGAGAATTTAGTACGTCACTAGGAGCGTCGCGGAATGTATGCTTGAGGAAGAGTTTGAAAACTTACGAAGGCCGCCAGGTTAGCTGACGGGAAGTTGGACAACGAGCTCAACGGGGTCAGGGAGGTTCCAACAGACGGAAGTGAAGGTAGAGGAGGGAGGCTCTGAGGCGTCATCGGAGCCGCACTGCTAGTGGCCGTCGAGTTCGAAGTAGCTGTGGATTTTGTAGAGCTTGCTGGGGACTGCTTCATCTCCTCCTTCTTGTGCTTGGGGGTTGGTGCCGGGGAAACTGCTAGAAAATTCAGAATTAATTTTTATGAAATTGGGTATCCAGATTTTCTTGTTTTTTTTTTGTTTTAATTATTTTAATTTGTGTTATTTTTAGATTAAATTAAACCGAAATGTCGACATTTAATACCAACCTTCTGGTGACCGCTTCGCCTTCTTCGCCACTGGCCCCTCATTAAGATCATGTCCAGTGTGTTCCTCATGCAACGTGGTCACCTTGAGCACCTTCTCGTTGAAATTATAGTTGAGCCTGAGCATGGCTTTGCACCCGCACGGCAGATAGTTCTGGTTGGGCCGCTTGCCGACGCCTGAAAACAAAGACCGTATTTTCAGCCCAGGCACCCAATCACACGGTTTTTACCCTAGGGCAGCTGGGGTAGTGAGGGGGAGTCGCCAATTTGAGCGTCACCCGGAAGGGGAGTCGTGCTCCTTTTCGGGAGGACCAAGGGGAAGGGGACAGATGGTACTTCAAAGGAATGAGAACAGAAGGCAAAGGAGATGTGGTGGTTTTAAGAAACCGTTGATTTTCAGTGGGTAGTTTAGTCAGTCCTTAGGGTGGTGAGTTCGAGGTCATTTTTCGAGAGGAGGTCGTGCTCAAGTGACACCATTTTGGGGGGTATGATTGGCGGGCAATTATTGTGTTGTTTTTGCGTGTTCTTACGGGAGGGGAGGGTGGTAGAAAAAAGCGCTAGTGGGGACCTTATGGGCACAGGTGTGGGCAATTTGTGGTTGGGGGGTAACATCTCAATCGAGAGAGGGATACTGTAGCGGGCTCAGCAAACGTTCTAGTGAGGTATCTAACCCTATTAAACGTATCTATCGATCCAGATTCAAAATCTCATCCCCTCATATCGAATTATACAGCCCCCATGGCCAATTACGCGACAGCTAACCCCCTCATATAACTCATCGCTGGTGCTCCGAAGAACCCCCGAGGGCTCGACAGGCCCTAAACGTCTGGCGTCCATCAAAATGTGGGTAGCAGGGCCTAAGGCAAGGGGAAGAACATCTGCCCCGCAAGCCTCAACACCGCTGCGGGACCCATAATTTGCATGTCCAGCCGGGGATTGAGCAGCGCTTCGAAATCTGTCAGCATGGCCCCACTGTTTTGGGGGCCCACGTGGAAGGAGGAGAGGTGGAAAAAAGAGCCACCTGCATTTTATGGGAATCTGGTGGGAATGATGGACTAAATGGAAGTATGGCTACAGTACCCTAGGGTTTTACATATTGATTTTTTAGTGTGTCAGGATTTAAACTCTGGAAAAACCTATTTTGTGTAGAATTTTGCGCTTATTTCGAATATAGATGTGGGATTTTTTAATTCAAAATACTAGAAAGTTATGAACATTTTTGACCGAGTTGCCGTCTATTTGTTTCCTGATTTAAATCGTTCATAACTTTTGAAAACCGTCACTCTAGGGAATTTTGTAACGATTTTCAAAATCAGCGCAAAATTCTGCACAGGATAGGCCTGGTCTGACCTTGAAATTCGCTAAAAATTAATTTCTGTAAGCCAAGTCCAAACTCACACACTTGGATTTAAAGCACCTAAGCTATAAAAATTTTCACATCCTCTCTAATCCTCTCATTTAGCGTGAGCCTTATAAAGATGTCGCCCCATCGGCGTCTCCCCAGATAAGAGCCAGGTTGGGGAAGGAGGATTGGCGGTGACATAAAAAGACCAACTGTTGCCTCATCGCCTCATCGCCAGGCCCTTCCCTTCCAGCCTCTCCCGATGGGCCAGATGCCCATCCTAGAGCCCCAATACCACATCCAACCCCTATCCCCTTGGATCGATGACCCTATACCCAAAAAGAAGATCCCTAGGGCCAGCTATCCCCAAAAAAAGTTTATGACCACCCTGTTTATGGTCAGAGCAGTTAGATGACGCTACGGCTAGTGATATTCAAATAAGCAAAACTACCGTACCTCGCATCCTTGGCTGTCCATAGTGGGCACAGTGGAAGACGATGTAGCGGTATTTGAACTTCTCGTTAACGTGGCCGTCCGGCTCGCGAAGTGTCTCGCTGCTGGCTGTCCGGAACGGGTGATGGTAGACGGCTTTCCACAGGTCGAACGCGTACTCGAATTCCTAAAAAATAGAAAAATATAGAAAATTTCCAATTTTGTAAAAATTTAGAAAAGATATAAGCTAATTTTACCTTGAAGCTGTTAAATTTCGCTTCCTGAGAAATCGTTGGTGTTTGCTGGGTGTCGACGCTGAGCTCGGTTTCCGCTTTTATCTGGCTGATCGGCTTAGTTTCTACAAAAATTGGGGTAAGTAATTTGGAAGAGAGGGGGATTACCATTTTCCTCAATTGGGGAGGGGGCACTGCTGTTGCCGCTGTCTGTGTGTTCATCTCCAGAGATCACATCAATGTCCTCATCAGCATGGTCGTTTTCTTCAACTGTTGTGTGGGAGGATGAGGTCTGAAATGATATTTTAAGTTGTTTATACAACTGTTATTGTCATTATTACTTCGCTATAGACGTCCAAATCGTGAAAAAATGATTTTAAAACTGTGATTGCCATTATTACTTGGCTATATACCTAAAAACTTGCTTAAATTTGTCATATAATTGTCATCGTCATTTTTATGCCTTTAGAGACACTAAAATCGCATTCCCTCCCACTTTCTCACCCCATTAACAACCCCATCATTTCGTCCCCCTCGCTGCGGGTGGCGCCCATAAATTCACACCCATATTATTTCCCAGATTTCCATGCCAAACCCATTGACAGTCTGCCAGTAATGGTGACGGACAGATTGTTGATCACATTCCCCCATCCCCGAGAGCGAGAAAGCGCTGGCATCTGCGCGCAGCGGGGGCCAAAATCTGGGTCATCCCGCCTGGCCCTCTCCCCCAAAGAAGACCTATCTGTTGCGCGAGAGTCCCGGGGGGAAGGGGAGGGGGAGGAGCAGCCGTTCGCCCTCCCCAAAATCGAGCCCCAATTATCGGATTAAAATTGTGGCTTTGAAATTGTAGATGATGCGGGGAATGGCGAGGGGAGAGGGGATTACAAAAAAAGGATTTTTGAGTCATGGATTTTGGGAGCAGATTTATGTTCTCAAGCCGATAAGCCTGGGGGATTTCCGTTGGGCAATTCTAATATTGGAAAAGGTATAAAAAATACTGTATATTGATCGGTTTTAAAGGGAATAGAAGAGCGAAAATCTGATTTTAAACTCGAAAAACCTACGTGTGCATCATTGCTGCTGCTCGATTCGGGGCTGTGCCCGTACACGAACGGCTTCACGTCGATGTGGAGCGCACCGGTGTTCTGCGTGTAGACGCCCTGCGTCGGAAAAGCCGCGTCAAGTTGAGAGACGGCCGACATATCGTTCTGTAAAAAAAATAAAACCTAGATTTTGCTTGATAAAAAGAGGCACTGAAATCAAGAAAGGAAGGTATGATATTTTAAATAAAAAGCTATAAATCTTTAACTAATTTGCATATAAGTTATGAATTTTGCATACATGGCATATCCGGCTGGGGTCAAGGAAAATGGGCGCGAACGCCGTGGGGCGGGTGGATCTGGCCAGGAAGGGGCCAGCTCTCTGGGGGGAGAGGGGGCTGTTGGAGGGAGGGTGCAGACGACAAAGGCGGTTTCTGGTATCCGGGAGCATTAAGGGGAGTTTTCAAAGGAGAGTAAGGAGGGAATGATAGGGAATTTGCAGATGTGGGTGCAGAAACTGGCGGATTAGCAGATGAAAAGCTGAGTTTAAAAATTTGAAGTTTTCGGGAAGTTGAAGAATTCAAAAAACCTTGGAGTATGGTAATTTTATATATAATATAAGGTTACAAAAACACTAAGTTAATCAGGACGGTATTCGCTTGGTTTTGACATAGACAAAGGTATTAAAATGTGGGTATTACGGGCTTGAGTGAAAAAACTACAGTAATCTGAAAGCTACGGTACTAAAGGATACCCTAAGATAATCTATACCTTAAAAACAGTACTAAAGAATTTATCTAAGTATAACAAGTATTAAGACGTATCAAACCATACCCCTAAACACTATGACGTGATGTGTGTTAGGGTATGTGGGGTAGTGGGGCTAGGGGCTAGGCTGGCCTGGGGGTCAGAGGTAGAAGGAAGAGGAGACTCGGGAGCTGTCGGCATGCCCATCGGGGGTCTTAGAACGAGAGAGTAAAGAGACAGAGAGAGAGGGGGAGGGGCTGTATTGAGAGTACGGTATGACAGAAGCGAGAGAGAGAGAGGGTGAAAGGGGGAGGGATGGACATTGCGGGACCCCGGCCTCGGCTGCCTCCCATCCCCTTACGCAATTGCACCACACCCCCCCCGCCCTGTGGGCCCTATGCCAAAAATGGGGGTGCTGTAGGCCCGGGTGGTGATAGGGGAGCAGCGTCGGGTCATATGCAATGGAAAATAAAAGTTGGGAAATGTCGAAAATACACACAAAATCCAGATGGAGAAACAAACATTCTGAAGCGATAGGATTTCTGAATTCTTAAGACGAAAAATGGACAGCAAAATACAAAAGTGGAGATCAATATGAAAAACCAGGCAAAAACAACTTTTAGAATCAATTTATAATCCAAATCCCCTAAAATAAATAAGAAAAGTGCTACGAGTCCCAGAAAAAGATCTAATGTGTTAATTGCAAATTAGGCCGAAAACAACCTTCAAAATTACCTTAAAAATTTGAATTTCCTGAAATAATTCGGAAAAACTGCTAAAAAATCCAGGAATAAACCTCGAATCGCCAGACCCACCCCCCTGTCTGCCCCGCTATCAAGATGCCAGCATTTGAATATTTATAGCCAGAGGGCACCCGCACTTGCAGATGTATCGGATCACCGCCGGTACGATAAGGACACAGCGCTGGTTGATCGAGGATGATAAGGAAAATCGAAGGGGAAATTCGGAAATCGAAAAGGTTGGAAGATGTTTTTATGGTATGCAAATTTAGGATGGAAAAAGCGCTAGAAAGGTCAAACGACTCGGATCTGAAGGTGTTCTGGAAAACTGGACCTTGGAAAACCGGATCGGTTGGGGGAAATATTGTGGATTGCGCAATGAAGCCGGAAAAGGCCTGAAAATAAACAAGCTAGACCGGACTTAAATTTCGTCAGGCTAGGCTATAAGGAATAGAATTCGTCATTCGGAATAATCTTTAGAAAAATACTAAAGATTCGTTAGTATCTAAATAAGGTTTACATCGCTAAAAAATACGGCTCAAAGTTCAAAGATCAAAAATTCCGGAAGCGATGACCACTACAAAAATCTCACTGACCACCACTTCAAAACAAAAACACTTCCATTCAAGTTAATATATAAAATATCGAAGGTAATAAACTAGTATATAACGTTCTGCTACTGCCCATCTATACCAGAGTGGAAAACCTGGGAGATGTGGATGCGGAAGGGACGAGCTTGTCGAAGAAGAAGAGGGAAGAGAGGTCTCGTCATGGGGCAGCCGGGTGGGGGGACCGGTCCGTCGGGAGTGCTCGCTGGACACTGCCGAGACTAGAACCTGTTCCTCTTCTTCTTCTTCTACTCCCTTCCTTTTGGCTGCCTCCTATTCGACGACCCTGTTCCCCTCGCTGTCCCCCAATTGCGTCCCGTTCGGCTCATGGAGCCCGCGCCAGAAGCGCCCGTTGCGCGCCTTCGAGATGCTATACTCCCCGCCCACTTCGGGAAGACGTTCGGGAGACGAAAATAGGAACATGGGGTTGTTCATCTTTGGGCTTAGGCAGGGGTGGAAGGAATTTAGGACCCGGACTAGGCGTTTTGTGTTGACAACGACATCAAGGAGTTCAGGTGAAAAATCGGAAAAAGATCTGAAAAAATGGCAATGACGTATTAAACCGGAAATTTATACCTTTTCAGAAGGGTAAATCGAAAAGGCTTCCTACTGCTATAAAAACTGGACCAAACTACCCCCAAGCGAAAGTCATAACCGTACTACAACTGTACATCTACTCGCCCACACAACTGTCTCTCTCACCCCACCCACTACCACCCCAAATTATGAAAACCAGCCCACTTCTCCCCTCAACTTCTCCTTCTTTCTCCCCCACACGTATAGAGACAAAACTGATTTTGCCAGCCCTAATTCCAGTCCCCCTTCCATTGCCCCCTCCCCCTGAGGATATGAAAGTCCGGAAAAACGGCCAGCCGGTGTAGGAGAAATGTAGATGGTTCTCGAGATTGTGGAAAATAGAAGGGGCCCGAAAGGGGGACCGAAACTTTCGATTTCTGAAACAGACGAGGAAAGCCATTTAGCACATATATCCAAAAAAACCCACATGGTAAACCACCCCAAACTTGGCGGCGCGGAAGCGGAGGAAAACGGAGGGCCGCAGACACCAGCCCGAACGGCCAAACCGAGAAGACTTTCGCGAGCGAACAAAAGAACGGGTGTAGCAACACTTGGCCCAGACCGGCTACACAAAAAAATCGCGGGTTCGGGTTAGGGCTGCAGGACGCCTTGGCGAGCAAAAACGGTTTGGTCAAAACCCCAACGGGCCTCAGCACTGACCAAGTTGGAGGGTTCGAGCCATAGCTGCACCACGAGCTTCCCGGAAACGCAGGCACGCCGTAACGAGAGGAAAAGGCACGTTAAGTATCTTCCACAGGAATTATTTAGATTTGTCGTTCAAAAACCATGACTGAATATGGAATAAATCCTACGTAAAACAGACCGGCGGCCAAATAGCCAACACTAAGAAAGAACCCCCGCCTGCCCACCCAGGAGGGGAGTTGGGCGGCCCCCCCGCCCCAGCCCAGGAAAAGGATCTGCATTCGGGATCGCGAACAAGTTCGGGACTGCGGGTGGGGAAAGTGAAGTGAAAAAGTGGTTGGATTGAAATATGGCGGTCGGGATTTGGGTCGAAGAGCTTGAAAATTTGCCCGACTTGAGCTGATGATCCTAACATCTAGACTTGCCTTCCAAGTCCCTTTAAAAAGTCATATTTCTCCAGAAAAGCTTGATACAAGATCTTTCTCGCCTCTCCCAATGCCATAACTCAAAACCCACCCCAGCATCCCCTAGCTAGCTACCAGTTCCCCAATCAAGTCTCGCGAGATAATGTATCCCCATGCCTAAAAGTTGGGAAAATGGCTGTGCAAGGAAAGGGGAGGGTGTTATTGTTTGATAGGGCTGGGGCGAAGGGATTCGAGAGGGACAGCTCGAGCGGGACGAGAAGAAGACGAGGAAGAAACGGGTCTGCGGTCACCATTCCTAGCCAAGCGAACAGCCAAAGCCAGCGCGGTGCTGCGCGCGGGGCCGGGGCTCTCTCCGCGTGTTCCGCGCTTTCTTTCCGCGCTCCCGGAAGGACATGCGGGAAGGGGGGGGACACGACGTGCGGAAGAGGGGGAAGGAAGGTGGGGGGAAGCGGTGTGGCCAAGGCGCGGTGTTGGGACTAACCAACAGTTCTCGCAAATATATCAAACCGATAGGGGAGGGGGATGGGACATTTAAGGTATTTCCGGTTTTTAAAATTTTTTTAATTTTTAGGGAGATACAAGAGTTTTATCTGTTGCTTGAATTGGTATTTTAATCGTAGTTTTTCTTGTATGTTACTTGCCGTTTTCAAGAAATGCGCTTTTGTTATAACGATGATTTAAAAGGAAATTATAGCTTTCTAGAAAAGACTAAATATCAAGAACAGTTTTAAGAAACTAAATAAAACGTCAATCGCGGATTTTCTCGCTTTTTCAAGGGCGTTCCAACCGACCAGCGGATACTTGTTTCCGAGACGATGCATACTTTTTTCGATACCTAGGGTAAGGTAGTACGCTACATCACAAACTACACCTTATCGTAATCCATAAAACCTCAGGCTCACCTTTTTCTATTCTTGCTTCCCCTCCATCTCAATCAGCACCAGCTGGGGGATGTGTGTACTGGTATCTACTCTCTTGGGTGTGTTGCCGTATGTCTCGACCGGCTGCTCGTTGTTTCGTGGCTGGAGCCAGAGGCGGGGGGTCATTGCGCAACGGTATGCCCCAAGCAGTCGACCTGGCCACTCTCGGTCTCTCTATCTAGCTCGCTCTCTCGCATTCCCGCGATAAGGGAATGGTGCCCTGAGGGGGCTATGGTTATTGATTCTCATGCATCTGACTGGCAAACTTGATCCAGGGACTCATGGCAGATTGGGGCTAGGGAGTGGCAGGTAGGGGTTGAGCAAGGAATCTGGGCGCGAAAAACTAGCAAGAGTATTTTAAAAGGGCCTAGACGTTAAAGAATGCCGAAATCTCTGTAAAAAAATCAAGAAATGCTAAGCTTCAAAATTAAGCCTTTAATTTGGAATTTTACTATCAAAAATTACCAAAGATGCGGATTCATGCGATATCTGCGTGCTACTTGCAGTTTTCAACCTGAAAAGTGTTTTTTTTTCCGAAAACGTGATATCGTGCGAGACATAAGAAGGCTTGAAAAATGTAATTCGATGGCTTTTTCTTTTCGGGAGCTTGCAAATCGAGTAAAAATTGTTCCGATCTGACCTACCTCTGAACTGCTAGAAGAAGTGCTTTTTCGAGACGTCCAGAATTCGGTTTACCTTCGACTTGAAAAGACGGTACGGTAGCGGGCTGTAATTTCGGAGCCTTTAGTACTAGTGTGATAACTAATCTTCTGATCTCTGCTACCCCTTCAAACGCTACCGAAACTAACACCAGACTCCTCTGCCTCCCCCTCACACCCCAACCAGCAGCTACCCACCCACCCGGCTCCTCAAAAAACATCAAAGACATTTCTTTGCCTCAAGAGGGTTTAGTCTGTTCACCGACCTATGCCTAATCGATAAATAGACACTATAGACAGCGGGACTGACCCACCCGGTGTTGGGTCTCCACTCTCCTTCAATGGGTATTGGGACGCAAGATTGCCCTCGGCTATGACGATTGTCTTTTCTTGGGTCTGGCGAGGCCCCGGGCAACATACAATCACTTTTAGGGGGGATGGATCTATACCGACCAGTCGTTTCGGATAGAGGTTGAGTTTAGGTGGGATGGGAAGGGGTCCGAATAGAAAAGGGATGAAGAGAATTGAATTTTACAAAAAGGGCTGCCTATTAGAAGCGCGGATATCATATTTGTCTCAATGGGCATAATCCCCACTTTTAAAAGCCTTGAATTTTTGTATATCGTATTCTGTAAATCTCGAATTTCAAAATGTCGGTTTTTACAAAAGCCCAAAAATTTTGTAGGCTAAGCCAAATTTAAGAGCTCCGGATAAATGCATCCAACCTTGAAAACCTCAGAATTTTAATTTTTCGGAACCTATTTCCGGGATTTTTTTTCGAGAAATCATGGTTTTTCATGTGCGTCACAGTAATACTCTGATTCACATTTATTTAAACGTAGCTCCCGCATCCATTTTTGGTACATGAAAAACTAACAATGGACCCTGGACGTCGAGCGCTGTATGTAATGCACAACCAACTCGATGTAAATCGTGCGCCAGAAGACCTGAAAAGGATAAGAAAACTGAAATCCAAAGCTATAAAAAGAAGAACAAAAAAAGACTAACCAAATAAATTCTTCCAAACAGCATCACCTAACGGCAATGTAGCTTCGATAACATATCTCCAACTTGATACCCTGCAAAAAATAGCAAATTTCGTATCGTAATCGGATGCAAAATTACCGTTTACTCCTGCATATCCCTAAATTCTGCCGACACGTCGACGCTACCGTGATAACAGCCCAGGATGGAGAGTCTAGTAATTCGACCTAAATTGCTTTATTTTGCATAGAGACCTGATAACTACCTTTTGCTGTCGTATCCATAACCCAAATAAATCGACTCTTTTCCGTTTACTTGCATTCGAATTTAAAAATAATCCAAGCGAGGAACTAATTCCAGGAATCAAACATATCCTCGAAACCTCAGAAATTGCCTGCATCGCTAATCGAGCGATCTCACCATCTTAAAAACGTACGTACATACTCGAGGCTTTACCTGCACTTGTTAAGCTCGCGTAATCGCTTGAATATTCTAATGTCGCCTCATAATTATCCGAAATATACCCCCGTAGCTGAAACAATAATTTCGAATTCATAATTAACCCACTTTTTCGGCTTGTGGCTTCTTCAAATCGACAAAATCTATTGCTTGAGCCCTCGGCTCCAATAGACATCTCAAAAAATTATGTCGACGACCAGAAGGTAGGGATTCTGGTAAATACAATAAATATGGGCCTAGAGCGGCCACCAGTTGCACACCGTCGATGTGCAGCTTCCTAAAGGGGTTTTAACAAGCCAGCTAATCTATTAAAAGGAACCTCGTAAAATCTGTTATTGCAACTGCACAATCTCGATGTTCGATCTTCGAAGGATCTTCTGGGGACCCGCATAGCGTATACTGAAAATCGGATCAATTGAGTCACTTCAGTGCCAGAATTCGAGCGATTCTCATTAAGATTTTCGGATTCAACAAGACAAACCAGATCAGAATTAAGCTGGAGAAAAAGTCTGGAAGGAAAAGAGAGACGAAAGAGAGGCGAGAGACACCGTGTACTGTATGCCGCGCCTTCGCCTTGCATCCTAATGGCTTCAGAGGCCGATTTTGCGCGTTTTCTCTAGGATGATCGATTCTTCCAAAAATTTTCAGAATCAGCGTATACAAAACCACATCCAAATTCAGCTTGAGAAAATTCTGGAAACAGACAGAGACGATAGCGAGCTTAGAGGCATCGAGAAGTAAATAGCACGCGCGCGTCACATCGTCACAGGCCAATTCGACCTCAATTTCTTTACATCGAGTCATTCTCATTATTATTTTCGGAGTAAGCATACAAAATTAAGCTTGAGAAAAATTTTGGAAGAATACGGAGACGAGAGAGAGGCAATATACGTCGAACAAAGTAAACAGCATTCACGCGTAATATCTAATGATTTTTGAAAGCTAGATAGGGCTTCAAACCGATTGGTTCAAGCGTTTAGACCATTTTCGCCCTTGACTCACTAACGCCAAAAATTTTGTTTTGAAAACGGAGGCTTGCTTTTTAATTATCGGGCTTTTTTCTTAATTAAAAGATTGCCACAGCCGCTTTGCCGCAGGCAAACGATAGCAGCTGTTAGCCATTGAAAAATTGAAGCCCACAAAACAATGTTGCTTTTGATTCTCTCACTCTTGAATATTTTAAGAACAGTCCCTTTCAAAGGCTTCTCTCCCGAAGTTGTAATATTCTGCGGAGGACTCTCCCCCAGGGGAAAGCCGTTTTTTTTCGGGATCATCCCCCTACCCCCACAGTGAAAAAGGGTCTGTGCCGGGGCGCATCGTATCTTTTTGTGTGAAAAGGGCGTTGTGTTCTGGTCGTTCATGAATTCTAGGCCGGTCCCTCGCTATGACTGGCTGACTCTTTGGGAAAGCGGCCCCCGTTCGTTCCCTTTCCTTCCTAGCCACAGGCAGAGTGGTGCCCCAGCCAGCACATTTGCCTCCACATTTTTTTGCAATGTTCGCCCCGTTCTCGCAGCACTCGCCTCCCATCTTCTCGACTCGGCGGGCCCGCACAGCACACGCTAGAAAAAAACGCCTCGCGCCCCGAGACGCCTTGCGAGACCACACACGACGCGGCGCCGTCAGGACCCCCGCTTCTCTTTTCTCTAGCTCTTTCCATCTCTCCATCCATGGGGTACCGGTGGAGCCCCTTCCGGAGAGATCGATGTGCGAAAATCCCCGCTCCTCTACGTGAAAGCCTTCCTATGCAAATAGAACGGAGCGGCTAGACCACCGCCGCTTGTTTTTCATGGTCTGGCTTTTTGGGGTTGAGCAGCTGCACTCATGCTAGGCAAAAAAGGTTTGGAAAATGGGGTAGAGCAAAAGTCGAGGAGGTGTTGATATTAGAAAAAGGGGGATGACGAACCTGGGTGGTGGTGGGTGAGAGTTGGCGTCGGGTTTCGAGGCCAAGTGGGTACTTTTGGTAGATGCTTCTTTCTAAGGAGGTGACGGCGGTAGGTGAGCGGGTGTGGAGAAATAGTTGGGCGCTTGGCTGAAGGTATCGGACTCTTAAGTACGTATTTCCCATCCCTACCTTTCCATCAGCAGGTTCTGCATCTCCACAACACAACAACACCCCCTGTGTCCGTACACGACTTCCACTTCTCGTCACCGGATGCCACATCCGCTCCAACAACAGACATGCCTGCCCTTGATGCCAAAAATGTCCTGCTGCCCTACATCACGGTTTCATCTTTTCTCGATTTATCTCACAAACCGTAATGGCAATTCCAACACGGCACACAATACCACGAACACCGTCTCCACCCGTTGCCCGGTGCCCTATTTTGTGCCACCCAGGCTACTCGCCCAATAATACCAGATAACAAACCTTTAGGTTTAAGACAACGGCTTTTTGCGATAGCCAGAAATGGTTCGCCAGGGCCACCTTCGCGGTAGATAACAGCTAGAAATGGAATGATCACGAAAAATGGGGAATGCAAGTTCAAAGTTTTTGTCATTTTCTCCAACTCACCGCGTTTATAAATTTAGGGTCGAAATGATAGAGCCGTATTGATGTTCCATCATTTGAAAGGCACAATAAAGCATATCGTAGAGAGAATGAACGCCTAGCTGTGGTTAATGGCGTAAGGACATCTAGACTTGGAGCAACTCTTCCCAGACAAGCACCCATTGTATCTGGCAGTATACCAGCTTTTCCTAGCTTCCTCTACTCAATAATTGGCATCTAGGCCTCTAGAACAATCCATCAACGCGCGTGGGTGGTGTTTTTTGCTGGCTTTGCAGCTCCTTTTATGCTTCTCGATCTTATTCTGCATTTTGAATACACATATTTCACAAAACCCTTTATTAAGATCCAACAAAAACACTAATAACAATTTATACAGCTTAAAAACAAGGCTAATGGCGTGGACTGCACACTCGAAAGAGGGGGGGGGGGGGAACAACAATTAAGCAAAAATTTAAAGAATTTAATTTCCAAATTTCGTGGGGGACTTTAAGATATATAGATAAAATCCAATTTGGCAGCAAAAAAGTGGGCCGCGACCGAATGCGCGAAAGGCTAGTTAAAATCTAGAACAGAAAGCAACAAACGATCCAAAAAAGGGTAGGGAAACGCAGCCAGGCGTCTCGCCCCAACAAACAGGGTAGTAATAATAAAAAAAAAGGGCTATAACAAGGTGGGGGTGGGGGGTACTTTACATTGCAGACTTAGTGCTGCGGCAAGGGGACAAAACGGTAAAGGTAGAGCCTATAGTCCTTGGAGGCTAGAGCTACAGAATGATCATCGAGAAGAGCCACGTCGAAGCATTGCGCGTGTTTGACCTTGCTTTCGAGGGCTCCGACGAGGGTACCATCCTGAAAATTGAAAGTTATTACATTTTTAAGGTTTATATAACCGGATAAAGATACAAAAATAGTTTTCAGCAACCTAAAACTACCCGTAAATCCTATTGGCACAATCGATGCTGTAGCCATTAGACACCCGAGCCACATCGCCCAAGGATTATGTTTCAACAGCCCCCCACTCTTCCCCTCGGGACCCACCGCACTACCCAGACAAAACTTGGACCCACCGGGTGGAAGATGGTCAGGTTGAAGTTGTTGTGGTTGTCGGCCACCACAACGTCACCGCTCGAGTTGATGCCGACGCCAATCGGGTAGTTTGTGATCCCTTCTCCACCGATTGAGCGCAGGAAGACACCTTCGTACGAGAAGACCTAAATTAATTGATTAGCATAAGCTTTGTGCTGGAAATTTACCTTGACGCAGTGAGCGCGGTTGTCCGAGATCAAGATCTCGTTCTTCTCGTTGGTGCAAACGCCGTTGGGGAACTCAAGGTGGCGAGAGCAACTGAACTTGCCGAGGATGTTGCCGAACATGTCGAAGATGATGACGCGCATCACCTAAAAGTAGATCAAAGTTAGAGAAATAGTTGCATACCTTGCATTCAACCACAATAATCCTCCCCTTGCTGTCGACGCAGACACCACGCGGGTGCTGGAGGATGTTGGCGCCGAACTTGCGCAAGAATTGCCCGTATTGGTTGTAGACCTGAAAGATATTAGTGTAAATGCAGAAATCAGATTTTTTACCTGAATCTGGTGAGTGGGTGAGCGTTCCGTGACCACGAAATCACCCGTTTTCTTGTTGACAGCAACACTAGAATGAATCGAATTATATATGCAAATCTTTGACTCTCATACCGGTTGGGGTAGAGCAACTGCCCGTCGCGCTTGCCGCATTCTCCGAATTGGAACTTGAAGCGCCCTTCCTTGTCGAAGACCTGGATGCGGTGGTTGTTGGTGTCAGCCACGATGATGTCGTTCTGGGCATTGACAGCAACACCGGACGGCTCGGTGAATTGGCCTTCCATGACGCCAAACTCTCCGAACTTGCAATGGTAGACCATCTTCATGCGCTTCATGCCCGAGCGTTGACTGAAAGTGATGTTTTAATTATCTTCTGGTTGAGATGCTACTTACCGCAAGTAGGCTGCACTGTCCTTGTCAACATCAGCAAGGTCAGGTCCCTCAACGACACCGAGGCTCGGCTCGAGGGCAGATGACCACTTTGGGTATTGGTTGGGGATGCTCTGAAAAATTTAATTTTGTTGACTTTCTTAACTTTTATAGTCTAATTTAGAACTTTTCTAATTCTAAAACTTTTCTTTTCTAAGTCTAAATTTTCCTCACCTCGCTGAACGGAGCGAACGGGTTTGGTCCCTCGTTCTCATTCTCGGCATCAAGATGGCTGAGCGAAGCATTGGCACGCATGATCGAACTCGGATTGTCGAGGTTCGAGATGTACCCATTGGTCGGGGCCGAAGATCCAAGCGACGGCAAACTGTTCTGCATCGCCAACATCGAAGGGTTCCCGTGAAGCCCGATCGGCATGAATCCGGCCGGATACGAGGAAGGAGTCTGCTCCAAGTTGACTGATGGCGGACGTCCCATTCCCGACGACAACGTCGAGGGCAAGGAACTCGGAATCGAGGTCGCAACCGATGACGGAATATTGGGCCCAGCCCCGTGAGACCAAGTCGGCTTCCTGACGGCCAAATTCTCTCCGATATACTGTCTGGTTTGAAGAGGGTCGACCGGCAACACCTCAGCATCCAGCGGAGTCTTCAGAATGTTCAGGTTGTCCGGATTGTAGACTAGGAACAAACGGAGACGGGTATCCAGCAGTTGCTTGAACACCAGAATCTCGGATGGGCTGGCGAACTTGAAGAGACGCTGGCAGAACTCGAGTGTCTGATCGACACGATGCATGATATCCTGCATTCCCTTGTCGACACGCTCGATATCTCCCTTCTTCTCGGCATAGACGCTGTCCAGATGGTCATGGAGAGCGGCCCGGCGCTCCTCGAGCACAGCGTGGATCTTCTTCACGTTGCCATCGACGGCCTCCTTCGCGGTTTGGAGATCATAGAGGAGGTTCTGGTTGGCGTTGTCGATGTCCTTGTGGAAATCGGAGAAGCGGGCCTGCTTGGAGAGGACGGCCTTGTAGAGGACATTGATGTCTTCGAGTTGTTGATCAACAACCTGAAAATGAGGGTTGGGATGATGGTTTTAGGAAATTGAGGTTTACCTTCTCGATTTCCTCAACATTGTGGAAGGGTCCGTTGTGTTGTTGATGTACACACTCGACACAGACAGCCACATCACACCTGCAGCAGAAGTGGGTGATCGCGGTTTGCTTGTGCGTTGGGCACAGCGTCATCCCACTAAAAATTGAGCGTAAGGTTGTGAAGACAGTGATTACCTGGTCTTCTGGAGTGTGAGTCCAGGCGGGGTGACATTGCCGTTCATCATCCCGTTCCGCGGAGCATGATACCCGTTCGGGGCGGCCAGCGCCTCGACTTGATGCCCGGCAAAGCAATGCATGATGGTGTGGGCGGTGGTGCAGTTCTCGCACAGGAAGTGCGAGCAATCCTTGCAGAAATGGTTGGCGTTGGCGCCGTTCTTGCATCCGGTGCACCCAACGGTCTGCATCGGCTTCCCATTCTGCAGCTCCGGCTCGTTCTGCTCTAGCAGAAACTAAAAATTTGGAAATTATACTTAATTTAAGTTTTTCCGCATTACCTGCTCGTTTGGAGAGTCGGAGAGGATTGGCGATGAAGATGGACTCTGCCCGAACACCATATACCCGTTCTAAAAATTGCAATTTTTCGTTTTCTTTTTTTACACTCACCGCTTCAGGCACCATAATCGGCCCGTCCTTATGGAGTTTACCAAAGTCGAAGAAGCTGTCGATACGGTAGTCCTCACTGATCCCGTCAACTCCATTCGGCACCTTCGTGGTCATGCCGTACTGAAATGGCGCAAAATATTAATCGGATGACCAACTCCCCGGACAGGGCGGGCGCAACAAATAAAAACGAGCTGACCGCCACCACCCCGCATTTTTTTCAATTCGCCACCGTCATCACAGACCGAGAGAACGGCTATGGGGGGCAATCGATGCGAATGTGTGGGATAGAATAAATGACCGGCTGAAAAGAGGGGGAAAGACCGGCTAGAAGACGTTTTTCATATCCGCCCACGTAAATTGCCCACGTACGAGAATAGGGGAGGTATGGAATTGGAAATTGCAAGGTGTGGGCCGGTTCCATGCCTTTCCGCAAATGTTTTTGGAACCAAAGTTATAGCACCGGGTGGAAAGAGTTGCAAAAATAAAATCGGGAACGGGAAGTAAGACCGAGGCGCCGCTGCCGGAAACAAACCGCCTCACCCCCCAACAACACGAGCGAAAAATGGGGAACACCGGGAAATTTTAGCTAGCGAGAAGCCTTTTTTGCGGCTCACATCTATCGGTCAAAGTGGTGGACCGAGGGCCGCGGGAGGGGAGAATGAGAGAAAAATGAGCCCGAGATGCTATGTCTAGATAGCGATAGAGCGGGGAGCGAACGCGGTAAAAACGAACCCTGGAATTGCAGGCGAGGGGCGCTGAATAAAAGCGCCAAATTGGAATATGGTGTAGTGCGGCGCGGGGAGTAGTGGGTGTATTTTGACGACGACGAAGAAGAGGAAGAGCTAGGAGGGCGATAAGCGGTTGCGCGAGCGAGGGGGGAGTGGGGTGGGTGGCTGAGTAAGGGCGGGGCGCTGCGGGAGGGCGCGTGACACCCCTGCGGGGACGAGACGGGTCGCAGCACGGCCGGACACGTCACACATACAAACATACATACATACACATCCCACACACACACATATGTATTTGTGCAAATTTTCGTGCCCCCAGCGGCTGGCTGGAGTGGCTCGGGGGGAAGAGCGGAAACATGTGTGCCAAAGTGGAAATGTCCGGAAATGGGAGACGAGCGCATCAAAAAGGGGCGGGTTCTTTGGGTTTTTGTTTTGACTATCGAGTGGATGGCGGACTAGATTGGGCCCGATTTTGAGTAGTCATCACAAAGAGGGCATCCCAGATTTTAGGGTCAGATAAATCGCGACGAATCAGCGCCGCCGGTTTTTCGGGGGGTCAAAGGGTACAAGTTTATCGCCGATCGAATCAGTGGCAATTTGAATGTGTCTAGAAAATGGTAGTTTCGTCTGGAAAACATCAACATCCATAGAGTCTAGCTGGCCTAAAACCCTGAAGAAATTTCAAGAATATCTCACCCCCTAGTGACTGGCCTTATCGCTTGCCACCTCACCCCGTCACGAAATTTCATTGCCACACACAAGAAAAAGTCCTAAACCCCTTATAGACGCCTAAAAACACTGTAGCTAACTGTCAAACCAAAATCTACACGAGATTCGAATCTCCACTGGCCCCAGGCACCGGCCCTCCCCCCTATAACCCAACAGAATTAAACATCTGCCGCGCCAGCCATCCACCTAGCCACACCGCTTTGAAGGGCGGAATAAAATTAACCCCATTAACGACGGAACGGCCCCCCAGAAATATAGGGTCATGAATCTGAAGTGCTACCGTACAGGGAGAGGAGATATCCCGCTGAACAGACCCGCTTTCAGGGCGGCTACTGTAATTGCCGTGGTGGCGGACTACAAGGATTGAGAGGTCCCGGCAAAAAAAACGGCGGGTCAGCATTTCAGAGCAGGGGGAGAGTCAAAACGGAGGGGAAAATGCAAAAAGATAAGGTTGTGGGAACGAGTTTGAAATTATTTATTAGCCTAAAAACTCTAGAGAACCGCTTCAAAAATAGCGACCTCAAAAACTGGGTCAATTTGTGAGAACTGACAGTCACCGTGTGAACACCTCAAAAAAAAAGATCTTATCCCCCACTCCTACAGCCGACGACTCCTCTCTTTTCCAGAGGGCGCAGGTAGTCCTGGAAAACGGGCGGAGCCGGGGGTGAGCACGAGATGTCCCGGTGTGTGTCCGCCGGACTACGGACTGGCTGACCGCGTCCAGCCAACCAACCGTCCAGCCTGGTGGCTCTCCTCCTCCCCTCTGGCCGCCGCCGCCTCACATCAGCCATTTGGAGCGCGAATCGTCGCACAGCGTGTCACGGAGTTCGCGCGAAATGGTCAAGGACATTCTAGCTAGTGCCCATTTGCGCCAACTAGCCCCGCGCGCGCTCGAACTGCCTCTCCCCCCTACAATGTGCTCGCCTTAGGGGGGTGTATTGAAAGGGAGTTCCGCTTCTTTTGGGGGTAGTTGTTAACGTTACTATCTGCTAGAGTCAGTTTTTAGGAGTCCTGGAAAATTTTTAGAAGGTTTTTTAGCTAACTGTATGACGCGGCTAGTTCTCCGGAAGATGCCCCTCTGAAAAAGTCAAACTAAATCTTCAAAATTCGCATCAACTTTCCAAAACCCCCATTACCACCTAACCACAAGTGTGAATATCCCATCCATCCCCTCAATCCACACAAAAACCCACACCCACCCGTACTAGGCGGGAAACGTCCCCTCTAGCCTTGAAAAACAGTCCCACCCCCCAGCTCAGCCTCTGGATTTCAAGACACGACTCCTCCTCCAACTCAACCACCACCTCCTCCTCTGCTGCACTACTTTAAAGGTCAGCCTTGAGCCTGGGCGCAGTAAATCCGAAGTGCTTTTTTGGAAGGTACAGCCGACGCCGCCGCAGCCAGCACCCCCCAGCAATTTGCGCCCCTTTAAAGTCCGGTGGTGCTTGCCCGATACCCTGACACCAAAAATGCCGCGGCGGTGAAAAAGAATTGATGCCCTAAGAGGAGGTATGGTAGGTTTTATATTTAGAAAGATTGTATAGTGCTGAAGAGAGCGGGTTCATGAATAAATTTAATAAATTCAAAAGTATTGCAGGTCCGCAAATTTACATAGTTTTTGAAATATTCCCCCTCCTAAAATAGGTCTGCCTACGCCTAGTTCTGCAAAAATTCCACTAAAGGAATGGGAATTCGGTCACCAAAATAAATCGGAAAAAAATCGATCGAAAATCCTAAGAAAATTGTTTTGGAAAATAAACGAATACGATTCCCAGGTTTCAGCGCAAAATGTTTTCTTCCACATTGCCGCTTTAAAAAAGAAAAGGCAGAGTGAATCAGAGTGTAGAGGGAAATGTCTCTGCGTGTGTCGCCCTTTCGAGCATTCAACCACCAGCTCGGCCCACCAAAGGCCGCTTAGAAATGTTAAAAAGTGGCGAAGGGGAATGCGGGAAAACTGGTTTTTGGCTATAAATGGTGCCTGGGGGGTCTATGCTTAAGGTACGCATGAATAACCTTTAAAAATACTATAAAACTGCCAAATCTTTCGATCATCTTAAGCCTTAGAAAATTCCTGAGTTTCTCGCTTTTAAGGTATTTCTATGCTAGTTTTAACAATCTTTGAGACGAATTACTTGATTATAAATATAGTAATACAAGATAAACATTACGTTAGCTCTCAAATAATTTTTAAAGCCAAATAACTCAAGGAGAAGTAAAATGGGCCTAAAAATTCGGTATTTATTGCTCTAAATCGCTAAAAATAGCTATAAATGCAGAAAAAATTGGGATTTCAGGCTAAATTAGACAAACGTCTAAATATTCGTAAAAAATCCGTGAAGAGTGGCCGGTGGTGAACCGGTAGGACCACGTGTGACCACCCAGCGCCGCAGTGCGCCAGAGGGGGAAGGGGGAGAGCAGGATCGATAGGGGCGGGCAAAAGAAGAGAGAGGAAGAGAGAGAGACGAGGGTTTAGGGAATGGACGAATGGAAAGGATGCAAAGATCTCAAAGCAGCAGAGAATTTGTCGAAAGGACGATCAAAGGGAAAGACCTCGAAGAAAAGAAGCCCCCAACAACCACAACCTCCTCTCCTTCTCCCTCTATCTGCTGACGAGGAGGTGGAGTCAATGCCTTTTGCTCTACTGAACGGAAAAGCCTTCCCCGCACTTCGTCTCGCCGTTCCCGTTTGAGGTTTTTTGTGTTCGGCACAAAACCATTCGGTCCCGGGCGGAATAGCCGTCGGAATGGCCCGGAGAACATAGCGGGGAGAACTGCTCCCGACAAAATGCGGCGAACCTCAATTTTCGGGTTATTGGAATGCATGGGGAGAAGGAGCAAGAGCTGGGGAATTAGACTGATGCGCATACCAGAACACAATACCCACAAATTCCCATGATTCGTACGAATGGCAAAAACTCTCTCTCCCAACGTGCGGCGATTAGTAATGCACCCCCCGATATTCCCAGACGGCTACCCCGACTGCGGGAAATCGAAATAAAAAGGGGTACAGTAGCCCAGAGGGGGGCACGGGTTGATTACTCCTATAGATCACTTGGCGTCATTGAGGAAAATGAGCGTTCCTGGGGAAATCTCTCTTCCTCTCTATTGCCGGAAATTGCTAGCTATTCATCCGTTCATGGATTTGCTACCAGAGTGGTAGTGGGGGGATATCCGCTCCCATAATAACAGCCTACAACCCGGAAATTAGTAATTTCCGCACACTTGTTCTCTGGGGTATATCTACGGGGACTACCTGCTTATTACCATCATGGAGGAATAATCCCAATTGTTTATCCCCCTCTTAAAATGTACCAAAACGCCCCGATCCCGATCCATTGTCCATCCCCCCAAAGGGCTCTCGTAAATGACATTTCCAGAAGAAAAATGGCTGCTCGGTTCCAGGGGGGCAAGATTAATCATCTCCCAATTCTCCGCCCCAAGGGGGGAATAGCTCGGCACGGTTGCCCCCCCTCCCGTGAGAGCCGCGGAATAAAAAGAGACATACATACCTGAAAATCGGTCGCGTAGTCGTCGCCGGAAGCTCCTCCAAGAAGGCGCATTCCTGAAATGGAGGAAATATAACATCTAGGCTTTTTGCAGCAAAGGCCGAAAATTTCAGAACTATGGGCAATTGTGGTCTGAGAGACCGCCACGACAGCATTTGACTATCTTTACATTCTTGTTTTTTTCGTGGTTCGAGGCGGGGGGAGGGTCGAGATTGCTCAGCTCGTGTAGGGCTTCTCTTATCGCCGCTGCTAGTGCGGCGATTTTTCAGGGAAGTTGGTTGGGGCGTCTTGTGATAGGCTAACGTCAGGGGGAAGTGTGTGTTTGTATGTGAGAGTGAGGGGGGTACGGACTGGGGTCGTGGGGTTGGCCATTAGAATGCTTGCTGTGTGGCTAATCCCATTGGGTAGGAGCAGGGTGGTGGGGGTAGAAGATCTCTAGGGGGAGATGGTGTGGCGGGTTTGAGGGATGGCTTGGGATAAATGGTCTTAGCCAAGTGGTGCCAGATTTCATCTTTTGGTGCCTGGGTTGGGGTGGAGGAACGTCTTGAATAATAATCCTATGGCCCGAGGGTAGGGTGAGTAGGGTTTAAAAAGTGTGTTTTAGCCCATCAACCTAGGTACAATCCACACTCAAATCGAAGGTCACACCCCGGCATGTGTTTACGACCCGGATCTGTCAAAAACCTGTTCCCCAGATCCGGAGCCCATTCCCAAACCATCCATAAGAGGCCCCTAACACCCAGGATATGGTTTTCACCCCCATCCCCCTGACAGACGATATGTGTAGCCGGGTGGCTCTGGTTTAGGTCTCCACTGAAGTGCCGGGTTTGGAGGGGACGAAAAGGTTGATGGCCGTGCACCCCGGCACTCGCGCCACCACCACCACCACCAACTGGCCTATTCTACTCCTCTTGCCTGGACGTCTGCCAAACGTCGGCCTAACGGGACGCCAGGTGGCGATGGTCAAGGCAGCGCGCAATAGCGGGGGGCACAGGTCAAACATAGGGACCCATATACATACAGACTTGTGCTGACCTCTAACCCCACAAGGCTCCCCCACTGAAAAGCCTTCCTCTAGAGCACTGTGTTCCTAAAGTGGCACCTACTAGTACACCACCTAGGACCTAGGTGTGAAGACCGCTGGGTGTTAATACATCCCCACGGGGAATCTTTGTCTACATCCCCGATCACACCTACCCAGCGGTGTTGGTGGAAAGCTGTAGTTGTTGTAGTGGGTATATTTGTTCTCGGGGTCAATGGAAGGGTAGGAGCGGGTGGTGCCGCTCTTTATTTGGTCTTAGCGGGATGGGGCCCCGGCGGGGCGAGGGGACCAAAAATCAACCACTTCCGATGCAATGGTGCCACGTGAAAAGCGTACTTTAAAACTGGGTTTGAGGACTAGATTGCTAGATTTACATTACGTTTTCACAAGTAGCCGTGTAACTTTGTTTTTTTTTCATAATCCCACTCATCCCCCTGACTCAATGCATTATAGAAAGCTAACAATAATCCCCATTTAGTAGGTCTGGAGGCACTTTCGTGGCTGCTCTCAGACCCTAATCCCCTTCAGCTGTTGATTTTCTAGGCCTATACCATTGCGCGACTGGCTGGGGTGGGTGGGGGAAGGGGAAGTTGTTGGGGTGAGGGAGCGGGAAAACTCTTTGCATTGCTTTCTTCTTTAACCGGTCCCTATAACTAGTCCAATTTTGCGTGACTGACAGTGGCAGGGAAGGGGAGGGCAATGGGAATTGAGGGGAACCGTCGTTTTGGCATGGTTAAAAAGGAAAAGTAGGGTTTTCGTTTATTCTAAAGTCCGAAAATTCCACCTCTAGCTACTCGTCGTCACGCTCCACTGACCATCTCCCCCCCTCCCACTCTCCCACCCATCCGCCCGACGACCAACCGGTGGACCGGGTGGCACATCCCAAAAAATATATAATCGTTGTTGTGTGTGTCTGTCTGTCTCTTTCCCCCCTCTCTGGACATTTCCCCTCCAAGTTGACCGGGAGCGGGGGGCCATCCGCCCCGGAAAAATGTTGGGGCGCATGCAAAAACGGCCAGCGGCCCCCCTTGCGCGCCACTGGGACGGGCAGTTTTTGCGTGGCGCCGCGTGCTGTGGCCGAGGCTTGTGAAAAATGGGGAGGAAACGGGGAAGAGACCCATTGGAAGAGAAAACGAGAGAAAGGGGGGCTAAAGCGGGCCGTCTTTTTATTCCTCAAGCATTCGTCGAGGCGGGAGACGACGGGGGGAAGGCATTGGCTGAATGAACTTATGTCGGAGGCCTTGGATACATCGCGGGGGCGCGGAAGCGGGAGGAGACGGAATACTATGTAGAATTCGGGGGGCTTCAAAAAAATCAGAAAAAGACAGAACCAACAAAATGCATAGCTACACTCGACCCCCTTATCTTTCCCACCCTGTTTTTTCTGCCATACCTAGCTGTCATTAGATACCCAATATCACCACATGTACACTACAATTCAGCTTTTCAGAGAACAAAAATTCTAATTTTTACCTGAAGTTCCTGCTGCTAGCAAAGCGCGAAACGTTGGAAGGGGGGAAAAGACGTTGGAACACGTTTTCTGGAAAACCAGACCAGCTGCCCTCGTGATTTTCGAGAGTGAACTAGCTGTTTCCCCCGGCCACCGCCCCGCACAGCGTAGTCTTGTTTTTCAAGCAACGAGGCCCCAAACATCAGCCTCGCCAGCCCAACCCCCCACTAACACCAAATACCAAGATCAACCTTTGACCGGATCCGGCCCCCTCAAGCTGATACCCGGGGTATAACTAGTGTTTACCAACCGAACTTAGGGCTCCGGCTTACCACCACCGACGCGAGTGATAAAATGATAGTGGTATTTAGCTAGCTTTCTGCTTTTCCAAAGCCATACTCAACTAATCGGCAAGTAACTTTTTTCGTGCATGACATTGCCGAAGTGTGCGGCGGCCCCGGTTGAACAACAAACAACAATCCAGCATAGGGGGATTGCAGCGTGTCTAGCCATCCCCTTCCCCCCAAAAAGCAGCTTGTTTTCCGCGTTCTACTTGTTTTCGCCTCGGGGCCTTCCCCCTTCGGCCCGTCCACTCACTTCCTGAGGATGGGCGGTGGCTCGCTCCTAATACAAATTATTTTATACGGAAGTGGGGGGAAGATTGGAAAAGCGAGGTGGCAAATACACTAAAAATATGTTTTTCATTTTTTTCAGCCAGAAAGCGTCCATTTTACTATTTTTAGATGTACGCACTATGTGCGATTACTCTCGAAAAGCGACACGTTGCCTCGCAGTGATTGGCAGATGTTTTCTAGCCCCCCAAAAAAGCTTTTCCTGATCTAACAAGCCCGAAATGAATCACCCAACATTCCCAGCTTCTCTCGATACCCCAAAAAAACCCTTGAAAGTACATCCTCCCACCGGACTACCCGGTTTTACGACGTGTCTGTTGTGGTCTAAACTGTACCACGACACACTTTAAGCAGTCTCTGCCCACAACCCCCGCGCGCCGCTCGGATGAAAGGGACAATTATTTTTTACGATCTAGACCACACGCGGGGCGAACGGGGAAGCGCAGAGGGCGCGTGGCACTTTGAGGCTGCTACGAGCAAGGGGGGAAGAGCTGTCGTAATGGCAGCCGACGGGAAGCCGTTGTTTTTCACCCTCCTATGCCCGATTCATTCCCCTCCATCGACCAGATATGATCTTTCCAGTCGTCCCATTGTGTCTTGGATTGTGAGGGGGAAAAGACGCTGCGGGGGGCGCGCCCGGGGGGTGTGTATTAGGGTATATACGGATTTGAGACCCCGACATGCGAGTGACAGAGCCGGGGAGGAGAAAATTGAGTGCGAGAAAGTGGGGCGCAATCGGATTTGCTCATGGTTTCCTTTTTCGGCCATTATTGGATGGAAGGGGAAGTGGATATTCAAATTTTGACACCATAAATCACTAAATGATTCCAAAGTAAAGTAAGTAACCTATTTTTGCTTGAGCTCGAAACAACCCCTACCGCAGCCGGCTTAAACATCACCAAATGACACTCCCAGCCATAAACACCAAAATCCCCCGCTGTGAAAAGTGCACAACCAGCTTTTTGACGTCCCCGCAGTCAATTACCGTAGCCAAGCTCCGATATGTCGTAAAAACCCGGCGATCAGGGCCACTTTTAAGTGGCGCCTGTTACAAATGCAAAAAGCGGACGATGGTTCGCGGGAGAAGGGAAATCGCGCAAAAAACGAAATCGTAAAATGGAGGCATTTCTGTTGGGATGAAATGGCTCTCTCTCCTAGTCCCAATGTATATATTTATTTCTTGGGATGGGAGTCCGAATGACCTGGCGGGCGCTTCTAAACAAAAATATTGGTTCAGAAAAACAGGTGTCGTTTTGAAATTGTGGGTGGGTTTCTTAGGCCCGCTCAGAGTACCGTATTTACCGCATGTCGCCCTACAATTTACACAGCTCTACGCAAAAGTAATTTGGCCTCATTGCCAGCAACCACCCCCCACGAAACAATTATGCTGATTGCCAAATTGCCGTAATTACTGCCCTCCGCTCCCCCTCCTCCCATACCTCCATTTTCCAAACCACGTGCGTATGGACGCGCTAAAATCTGTACGAATCTTGGGGCAAAGGCGGGCGCGCGCAAAAAATTGCAAAGAACCAGTTCTCCCCCGGCCCGAAATCCGGTAATTAGGCGTGGCGCGTGTTTTCGCGGGGGAATGGGGGCGAAAGTTACGGCCATTTCCGGGGAATGGCTGTATCAAAACAGGGTGAAATTAGGAGCGAAAATCGTAGCTTCAAGGACCTTGGAAGGCGGGAATCTTCGATGGAATTGGAATGGGGTGTGCTAGCAAGATTGTGACTACTAAAAAATCCGAGGCGTGCCTTGGGGATCGTGTCGCACAGATGGCCGCGCGCGTCTTTTTGATCGCGCGCCCCGAAAAAGACCCCAGGTGCAAGCCAGCTGCAGCGGCTGTTGATCACCAAGGAAAAACGAACAGACTCTGTTTGCACAACTTCAAAAAATAGCCCCTAATGTTTTTGACAGTTTTTCGATAATCATCCGCGGTGTATCGTTTGATCGAGTACCCAGACCCCAGACGTATGCCCCGGGGGCTAATTATATGCAAATTCGGCGACCTGCCACCCACTGGGACAATAGAGCATCAAATGGGAAGAGACTCACGCTGTGCCTCCGCCTCCTGATCGTCAAATATGAACGTCAACTCGCCAGGGTAGATCGGATCCGGGAATAATATGGTTGGAGAGGGTGAACACCCGGAAGACGATCTCTCCACGCTCATTGCAGCCCGGTTCAAGACGATGGCGGCCGGATGGTGCCTAGCTGAAAATGTATCTTATTAAATTCTCCAAAAATTAGAATGAAAACACAAATGGAAAAGTTTTTAGGAAATTGCCGCCAGTTTTTTGCCCCGTATCTCGTACATGGAATTTTAATTGCCCGCCTGTCTCATAGCCACCAAAAAAAGTATAGCGCTCGAAACTCTGAGTTATTCTACGCGCCACTGAGACCAAAAACTTTTTGATTAGCCATACTGACTGACCACCCAGCCCTCCTCAACCGGTTCCCAAGCACGGCCCTCAAAAACCGATAAGAATCTGCTGCTGCAGAAAAAAATGGAGGGAAAGTCAATGTAGGCCGAGTGGCGCCCTCGTTTTCTGGCATTAGGCAAAAAAAGTGGGGTGTTCTCTAGAAAGCCCAAAGTAATCCAGGCAACTGGCCCGGAGCAACAGATCCCGGAAAAGACGAGCATTGTTTATGGTAATTTGATCTAAAGCCGTTCGAGGCTGGGGGTTGGAAGTAGTGTGCAATGCTCATAAACTATATTTTGATCCTCAGGGATCAAAATATTAAAAAGGGTGTTATCAATGATTTTTAACGGAGGTGAAAGATTGAACTAGAAAATAGGAAGTATGGACTGCCGGGATGGATTGTTGTTTTGTGCAGGCAACGGCGGGGGCATGGAGTTCCACTCTTGTGTCTCGCCCAAGAGGGCGAAAGTGACACAGGGGGCCGAGTTTGTGAGGGCGAGATAAGAGGGCCTGATGGCACACATGTTAACGGGGGCGAGAAGCCATTTGGGCCACCTATCCCAAAGTCCCTCAACCCACCCACAGCTTAAGCCTGCTCTCAAAAACACACGCAAACGCTAGGTTGACCCTGGTACACCGGAAGTTCTTAATATTCCCGGAAATTTTTTTTTAGAAAATGGTAGTTTAGAGCTGATTACGGATTTTCGAATCTAGAAACAGGCTGCAGAAAACGGGCCATATTTTCTGGAGTCCTACATTATCTTAAAGTGCATTAAATTTGTCACCTTCAATTCCGATACCCCGAAAATTCACGCACTGTGTGGAAATTTGTAGGCCAAGAGAGCGCGCAAGCAAAAAGGGCGACGCGCGAATGAAAAGCCCGACGAAATGTAGATGTTTGCTGTTTTTGGTTACCCGAAAAATGGAGAGAGAGAGAGAGAGAGAGAGAGAGAGAGAGAGAGAGAGAAAACACACAGCCAGGCGAGGAGATGGGAAAGCTACCGTATACTACGAAAAAGGTTTATGGGGGAGGGAGCAAAATAGGTTTATTTCGAAGGTATCGTAAGTTACTTGATTCTTTTCGGTATAAAATTTAATCGAGAAAAAGAGAGACGAAGCGTAGCAACAAGAAAATGACGTGGTATCCAGAGAAATTTAAAAAAGAAAAATAAGTACATTAAAAAGTGACTTTCCAACGCTATCATACAAAATCAAGGATGCATTGAGGAAGTATCCAACCCTCCAGAGACCCAGGCGTGGGCCTCAAGGGTCGAGCCATGGCACCCCACACCCACGATGCAGCCACACAAACAAACGCATAGGCAGTCATGTGGTGTGTGTATGTGTGTGTATGCTGTGGGCATAGATGAGAGGAAGAGAGTGAGTTCTCTGCCCGATTGGCCCCCACGCCACTCCCCCGACCACACGCCAAAATGGGGGCCCTTAGGGCCCACCAAGGGCCCTGGCTGGCCCACCTAGATTTGGGGCATAAGGCCAATTCAAAGCGACGGGGGAAAAGGGGGCCTACATTGCGATGAAGGTCTAGACCAATATTTTGAAGTGTGTGTCCGAGAAAATTTACGAAAAAGGAGTCTGGCCACTGCAGAAAAAATTCAAGATGCCTAGGCAAACCGCGTCCCTTTCCCTATGTGATGTCATTTTAATTAAGGTCGCTGATTCCCGCCCATTGGATAGATTTGGGGCCCCTTAATTATCCGTTGGCGCGGGCCGATGGGAAGTTGTTTTTGTCGAAAACTTTTCCTGGGCCCCCGGATCTGAGCCTCCGCTATCTAATATCTAGCTTCCGGGTGGAAAAACGCGCACAAACACACGTTGAAAGTACAGAGCCCCCTGGATGACGTCTAAATTTACTTAGAGCCCAAAAAACATACATACAAGGAACCAAAACCTATTTCAACTACATAACATTCCCCCTTCGAAAAAGGCCATCCACCGGAAAGGCCCCGTCCGTCTCGACCGTGACGGCTCTGTGATTCAGGCGCGCTTCGCTCTGATTCATCGCATCCGGACAATTGGCTCGCAGATTGGAGGGAACCGAGGCCAATGAATGAATACAACAAGGCTATACACCATCCACCCCTCTACGACGCTAATGGCTCGCCCCTTTGCCCACATACCACTCTTTTCAGGTTGCGATTAACTTGATTTGACGCATCTCACCCCTTGTCGCGCATCTTATCAACAAAATTAGCGAGCGATCTTGGTTGCGGGGATTTAGGGCAAACCGTTACCGTACTATGAACCCACACAAGATTCTACAATTTCCAGAGAAGTTTCCTGAACACCACAAAACCCGCAAAGTTTACCCGTTCCAAGGTGTAATAATGGCGCACTTGAAAGCGTAGAACGCAGAGAATGGGTGTGGAGGCGCTGCCCGGGCTATCCCAAGGAAATTCAAAGCCCGTTTTTTGCGCTAACCATGTGTTTGTTGGAGGCCAAGCCAGCAGCGTCAAGGGAGAACAGCCCCCCCCCCCCTCCTGCCGTTGCCCCCCGATGCTGGAGCGAAGAGTCAACATTTCTCGAGTTAGCCTGGAAAAAAAGAAGGTGGGTGCCGAGGTGAGGAACCCGCGTGTGAGAGCCAGTCAAACGCTCTACCCGGCAGCGTTCAAAAAACAACATCTCGCAAACTGCCATTACAGCTTACAGAGCCCGCCGGGGGAAAGGGGGAAATGCTTTTTTGGGCATTTGAGAGGCGAGAGAGAAACTGGGATGAATCGGGTTTTTCCGTCCAATTTTAAGCAGTATGCAGTGCATTTGAATGAGGTACTTGGGTGACTGGAATTGAGCAGAGATTGGCAGCGAGATAAGAGAATGAGAGCAATCGGGAAACCATGGTTTTCAAGGAACAATCAGCATAAAAATTGTAAACCGTACACTCTGTATTCAAAAACGTATCCTTAAAATCCTGGTATCTCTTTGTCATTCTCCGAGTGCAGTTCAAAATTCAACGCGTTTTACACAATTTTTTCAATATATGATTTATTGAGCTTTCACACTCTGTTGACTTAGCCGTGGTATTGCTTGGTAACCAATAATTCCCGAGCGCAAAAAATTTCCTGCAAAATATGTAATCTGAAAAACGAAGCATGTCGACTAAAACAAAAAACTTAAAAATTCAAAAATTTTGCTTCGTTTTTCATGGCAAGCATGGCAAGCACTGATGTACAAGGAATGGCATATAAGGAATGGTCATCGTGAGTCGCAAACCCGATTGTTTCGGACTCATTTTTTCTGAATCCAGCTATTTTGAGCTCGAACTTAGCGGCCAAATATGTGAGTAATTTTAAAATTTGAAATTTACTAATCTACTTGTAAAAAAATACCTATCCTAAAATAATTAATGCCTAGTTTCTTGAATACCGACAACCTGAGGTGCCACCAACCGCGTGAAACGTGTCTTTTTAAGCAGCTGGCGAGAGCCTTTAGCGGCTTTCTTTTGCTTCTTGACCCGCTCGATGAGGTCGTGGCCGCGATGAGTGACCCCATCAACTTGGTCCATCTTGTTCAACAGCGATTCGAGGTCTCCTTTTCGAATCGGCTTCACCGAAATATCACGCACGGCTCGGAATTGACCGCAATTATTCACGTGCTCGTTTTCCAATCGCAAATAATTCCACACGAATCGCCGGAATATTTCGAGTGGAGCGGTGATGCACATCAGCAAGTCGGTCTCCAGTGTCCACGCTTCGCCCAATGATACATTGAGCACCCAAGAAAGACGAAGCACGAAATCTTGGAGAATGGCGAGATAGTAATACCATTTCGATCCATAGATCATTTCTTCACGCAGCAATGGAGCCTCTTTTGGGGCTCGAGGATCGATCAGACCCCAATCCATAAACACATCCCAAAGGAATGTATAGGTGAATGAGAAGATGTATGAGGCAATCCAGATATAGAAGAAGATGCTCGTTTCATTGGGATTTGACTTCTCTGCCCATTTATTCAAGGCTCCGCAGGCCACTGTTAGATATGTGGTTGCGTATTTGCCCGCGTTGACCAAATGGGGGTGAACGTGCTTTGTGTCTCGATAACGGCGTAGACATTGCATAAAACGCACCGTGGCAGGGATAATAGCCACCAGGGACCGAATACCTGATGCCGACATGCACATGTCCTTCCCTGTGCCCGCATCGACATACCCCCAAGGAATTGCAGCTCCCGTTGTGGCGTTCACTGTTCTCACGTCCATCCAACCGTTAGAATAATCCACTTCAGTGGTATAGAAGCAGATAAAGTATTGGAAGTCTTGAAAAGCGGTTGTCAAAGAATTCATCTGATCTCCCAGCCAGAAATCGGTGAATGTCACGAAGTGGAAGGGTGCTGAGAAACAGTTGAAGCAATGGCGAAGCAGCCAGAATCGACTGTTACGGTGGAATACAGAATCTGGCTTGCTGAACGGGTTGAACATCATCACGCAAATGATGGACATCAATACTAGCGGGGGTAGGAATGGTGGAATTCTCAATAGATGAGCGTAGATGTACGCTAGAGCCGCGCTTGCCCAAAGGACCATCATGAAAGCAGCAATTTGCATCAAATCTTGATATGTTAAATGGTGTCGGGGATCAACTTCAAAGATTAGTACATGGTTGACTCCCGCTTTTGCCCAACCATACATATTGACACCGCAAAGAAAGATCAGAATGAATAGCAGCAGTGGACCTCGGAATAGACGGACCGCCACCCATTTAGGTTCATTGTCTCTAGGTGGTGAAGCCGCTAGAGACAATATAATCCCAATAATCAGGATAGTTGCTGCTCCCATGAATAATCCAAGTGAAAAGGTAGTCGATGAAGACTGCTTCTCTGACAGCGGGGGCACTTTCAACCTTTTCATTCCAGCCTGACGATCACCACCTTCCAAATCGTTGATTACATTTGTCTCGACAGAATTGATCAAGGTCTCGATCTCACGGTTTAAGAAGAAACCGCTCTTCTCGACCTTGTTGATGCGCCATTGCAGTCCAGCCTCGTTCATCGTCAGCTTATCGTGCTTCTTTAGAATTTTGCGGAAGCCGGTGGCATTTAATTGTTGATAGTTCTGGACGAGCACCAGACTCAAGTAGAATTCAGAAAAGGCTAGCTTGAGTTGTTGCCCTGTTTTCGCTCGTTCTTTTTGCAATTTATCTCCAGTCAATCGATTCCTTATTCCGCTTTTTAGGTCGCCACTTCCGCCCATTTCTTTGAATTGGTTAAGCTCACTTTGGAGCTCATGAATCTTTCCTTGGGCTTCAGCAATTTTCTGGGAGAAGAATAGGTTGATTTTGGTTAGCTCCTTCTCGCATTCGTTGAAAAATTTCTCATCTATTTGTGACATATATGCTTCACGGCTTTCATCATCTGTGGGCATCTCCATCATGAATTGATAGAGCATATCCTTTAGGCGCTCATATTCGATATACTGCTTCCGCCATTCCGGCGTCAGATGGCTGACCAGCTGCTCGCCGAACTTCATCTGTAAGAGTGTTTTAAGAGGCATAATATGTTATTCAAAGCCATACGCGCTACAATTTCGGTAATCTGAGCAATTACTACAATCGAAAATTGTCTGTAAAGTAACGGGCTAGCTATCTAGGTCTGTTATAAGTCAAGTAGCTGCTTTCTACGTTTAGTTTGGTGTAACCTACCTTAGCAAAGGAGCGAAGTCGGCTTTAAGCCCCCAAAACGCAATGAAGTAACTATAAATGCGATTGTTATATGACTGGTTCTTTCATTCCTACCTCAAAACGACGATCCGGTTGAGTAACGGGCTGGATCTAGCGCCACAGCCTATAAATAATGATTATTTTACTAAGATTATTTAAATTTTTAATAAATAGGCGAAAGCCGGCTGGCAACAACGCCTGAAATTTTTTCAGGACCAAGTATTAGCTAATCTACATATGCGGAGAGCTCAAAGCTTCAGGGTGTCGATAGGAGTGGCGTGTAGCCCTTGCTCACAGCTGGCTCTCTCATCTTTGTTTCGCTTTTTCTGTTCCTTTTTCTGTTTTATCCCTTTTTTTAAAATTTTCCTTTCGTCTTCATTTCATGTCTCTCTTTTTAACTTCTTCGTTTTTCTTTTCACAAGTTTTCATGCGCCGCATGCATTCATTTTACCACTTTTTCCAGGGATGCGCTTGCTGACAACACTTCTCTACCTGATCTGCTCATCAGTTGCTGTCCTACAAACGGGTCTACAACTAAAGATCGACGAATTTTTCGAAGCGCCGGGTCACACCAACAACTGGGCTGTGCTTGTTTGTACTAGCAGGTGTGTTTTTTTTAATTTTTTAACAATGTTTCACTACTTTTTCCATTTTTTATATAATGAGTTTTTGTTTAGGTTCTGGTTCAACTACCGTCACGTTTCAAATGTGCTGTCGCTATACCACTCGATCAAGAGGCTCGGCATCCCGGATTCTAACATTATCGTGATGCTGGCTGAGGATGTTCCGTGTAATCCCAGAAATCCGAAGCCAGGTTGGGAGTTCTAAAGAGATTTTTTACATTGCCTTTTCCAGGAACGTGCTTCAACGCGCCGGGCGGCCTCAACCTCTACGATTGGAACATTGAAGTTGACTATCGCGGGAATGAAGTGACCGTGGAGAATTTTATCCGCGTCCTCACCGGGCGACACGTCGAAAGTGAACCACGATCCCGCCGTATGCTTAGTGATCATCAAAGTAATGTCTTGGTCAGTTTTAAAAGTTGTCTTTTAGTTTATTTTTCTGTAGGTGTATCTGACCGGGCATGGCGGCGATAGTTTCCTGAAGTTCCAAGATGCTCAAGAGTTGACGAACTTTGACTTGGGCCAAACGGTTCAAGCAATGTTTGAAGACAATAGGTAAACTTGTTACAACATTTCTTCTATGTTTCTGCTTCAGGTATCACGAGATGTTCGTCATTGCCGATACTTGCCGAAGTGAATCCATGTACGAATACATCACAGCCCCGCGTGTCCTATCCACAAGTTCATCGTTAACGCACGAGGAGAGCTATTCGTACGATCTCGACTATGACGTTGGCGTTTTTGTCATTGACAGGTATTACTTTCAGATTTTGGCTCAGGATCTTTTTAGATACACGCATTTCACCCTCGACTTCATGAACTCGCAAGTGCAAGGCCTGAACTCATCCGCTTCGATGCAACAATACTTGGACTCCTGTCCGAAAAGCCAGTGTTTGAGTACCGTCGGCGTCAAGCAGGTAATATTTTCCCCGCCTGCTTAATTGTTTTGATCAGGATAATTACGACAAAGATCCAACGCGTGTTCGTGTCACCGACTTCTTCGGCTCTGCCCGTATTCTCAGCTTCTTCAACGAGGAGATCGACTTGGAAAGCGATTGGTAGACTGCCGTATTTTTAAATTCAGTCGTCCATTTAACAGACTGTCCGAATATTTTCTTTATTGGCCCTCGCGGTATATACAATGCGTTCTTGTATAGTGTTGCTCCATGCCCGAACTCTTTTCTGAATATTCGGGCGGCTTGTGCCATGGTTTTTGCTTAGCCTCACTAGCACGCGTCCCTCAAACTTGTGATAATTTTACTACTTGCTCGCTTTAATATGATAATACGGGTGCTTGGTTTGATAAATGATTTTGGATGAGAAAAGCGGATCCGCTAAACTTCCTAGGTACCGCAAGAAGTGGAAACTATTAAAAATTATGGAATTTTTGGCTGGAGAAGTTGGCATGCGAAAAACAATGTGAATGAATATGGAAACCTCCAATGAAGGTTTCATTTCGATTACTTTAACAATTTTTCGCAACTTGATCGCGCGGTTCAAAGCTTTTCTGCGAAACACCCAACCCAACACCATTATCGTGCAGTTAACGGCGTAAATTGAATGGGCCTGGTCCAGAAACCCCACTTTCTGCCTTTCTAAATTCAGCGACAGCCCACATGCGATGCATATCCCCTCCTATCACTCGGTCATCGTCAATATTAACTTTATTTTGTCGACGATATTCAACATTCTGTTGCTCCTGCTGATTTTCCTGAAAACGCGGCCGGCCCTGAAAGTCTACTCACGTTTCCTGGCAAGCTTCGCGATTTTTAATATTATTTTCCCTACGCTTTGCCTTCTGACAGTGCCGGTAAGAAGTCTGGAAAACCAATTACCACATCCAAGGTAATATTTTCACATGGATACGGTTTCTTCATGTTCTGCACCTCGTCGCTGGTATCTGAAAGTGAATTGGCGTCAAGTATGCTTAAATTAGTATAATATAATTGCAGTATTTGTTTTAGTTATCGGGTTGTTGATATATGCATCTGCCTTTGCACAAGCCCTTACTTTATTATGCTTTCATTTCATATATCGCTTTTCTTTGCTTTGCGCGTAAGCGACGAAAGAGTTCACGAGGTCCAATTTAGACGCGAATTCTTTGAACACTTAAATAAAGCTCGAAAATATCTTTATCTTGGAGCCTTTTATTGTTTTATGGTGTGTGGATATACCGGAAATATTTATGTGAATCTAAAGGATAACCCAAGTGTTATCCGGGAATTTGAAAATCCGGTTAGAGAAGAATTTGATGGCGATGTCGCGCAGATTAGTTCTTTGGGTTGTGTGTATTTTGTAAGTTTTAAACATCCTTTGATTTTGTTCTTGTCAGGTAATTGAAAACGGCGCCGAAACCCCAAATTGGCAATCCATTATTGGCCTTTGTGGATGTATGGCTTTCACTTATGGAAGTTTCGTAGTTATCGCATATTGCGGAACGAAAATAGATCGAACACTACAAGCTGCCTCTTCAATGAGCGCTAAAACAAGGAAAATGCAGATGAATTTATTTCGAGCATTGCTAGTTCAGGTATTCCTGCCATCCCTTAAAATTTTGCCTAGACGTTTATCCCTGTACTTTTCGAGTACGGCCCCTCTGGAGTCGTACTTTTACTTCCAATCATCAATGCATCGGTTGACACCACATTTGTCACAATATCTTTTGGATTTTACAATTTTATAGAGCCAATAGCGATGATATATTTTGTCAACGACTATCGGAAAGGATTTTTGCAAATGGTAGATATCAGTTTTTCACGATTTTCTTCCTCTTTCAGATGTTTTGTGGACTACCTAGGTGGTTTGGTGGTCCAAGCGTTGAACCCAGTTCATTTGGGTCGAGCGATCCGGAAACGATGGTAAACCGGCGGATTTGCATCATCAATATTTTAGGGAGCTCCCACTCAGCTTGTTCGCGCTCAATCGGTACCGCAGTTCAGTGGCCTCAACACGAAACCGGTCCGAAAAATATCGAAGCCTACTCGGAGATGACGAAATAAAGTGCGGAATTGGGACCCCGATCTTGCATTACATTGGACCTTGAGCTCGTGCAAATCAGCGTAAATGGCTTTCCGCCGTTCGCAATACGTAATTAGTTTGTGGCCTCTATGACTGAAGTCTCCGTAATACTGTAGATTTGGAAGGAATTTAGTTACATTTATTCAGTCAAACACTGACATTTGGCAACTGGTCCATTGCATCTGGGAAATCCCCAATATTCCCTTTGAGACTCCGACGATGGAAAGTGGCTTTCTGCTGTTTCGGCACCCGTTTGGTTTCTAGTGGTGGAACTAACACCTCAATTGGAGTCGGCTCTAGCTGAAAACATTACGTAAGAAGATTGCTTATAGCTGCCCTACTCTATCTTGCCGCTTCTCATTCGGCACCAACAACCTCTTCTCCTCCTTTTTCTTGCTGACCTGCATAATCCACGCGATCTTGGCCCTTCGTGCTTTTTTCCTAGATTTTAGGTTTTTTTGCAGAATCCTAGGTCCTACCTTCGCCGCACTTCCTTGGGCACATCTCCCTTTTCAACCAAATAACTACCAACGAATCGTTTCTAAAAATTATGTGATTTTACTCTGGTTCCAAACCCGTCGAGCCGCGACTCGAATAGTGGCAGGAACAGTAGGAATAACGCTTTGAATTACATATTTAAGTAAGAACACGCCGTTCTGGAAGATGATCACAATTAGCAGGCGATCCTGCACGTCACATTGCAGAATCGGCAACATCGATTGGGTTTTATTGCCGAAGAAGTGCTTGCAGAATTCGGACGTGAAAGCAACTAAAAAATACGTCACATATCGTCCTCCATTACCAATCAGCGCATTTGTAAAAACCGCTACATATTGAATGAATGTAATTATAGGCAACCAAATGCCGATACCACTTGTCACAACGGGAATTGGTCGGCGATTAAACCTAGAAGGGATATTTCAATTCGTAATTTAACTCAAACCAGATCAATCGACTTGCATCTACACGAAGATCAACAAGTCCAATTATCAAACCAATTAATGGAGACAATGGGAATAATGCGGCAAACATCTAAAAAAATCTTTAAAATAAAATGATGTCGTTACCATTGTCGTTCCGAACAGCAAAACCTTTTCGTTGAACTCCCAAAGTGTAAATTTCCCGGCAGATGGTTTCAGCCATTCTCTTACAAGTACGTTTGTCGAATCCTAGAAGTTCTGATTTCCTTACTAAGTTTTCCAACACCTTCTCCATCAAAATATCTTCGATTGACTCGTGTTTGTTGTACCAAGTTGAGGTACGGTAGAGATGCATGAAGTATCTAGACTTTGGTGCTGATGCCTAGGTTTAGATAAGCTTACGGCCAGCAAACGTCTTTGAAGAATTTTGGGAAGGGCTTGATGAGCATGTGGGTAATAAGTTGGAGTGCCAAGAGGGATCCACAAGTCCCTTCTGCGCACGTATCTTTGTAATCGGTTCCGAGACCGAAGAGGCCATTTGGTTGTAGGGACTAAAAGCGTTTTTGCCTAATTTTTGAGTCCCTTGCAATAATTTCCCTGATTTTGCAGGCCATATTTTTCATGAGCTGTAATGTTTGCAGCTGCCTGACCCAGACCCGCAAAATTCGATTCAAGCTAATTTTGGGTCCAGGTGCTATGCAATCACGACCCGGTGATAAACCCTGTTTTGAAATTGCCTAGCAACAAAACTAGACCCAAGTCCTGTTTGGTAACTCACGTAAGCTTCGGGGCGGAAGAAGGCGATATAAAACAATGACGTGTAATTGTTGACGAAGGAGAAGGCGAAAATTTTGATGATCAACGCGTTGCTGTGTTCCGAAGCCGTACGATGGTTTTCTGAAATGAATACTTCTTACTAGAGGATTTTTAAAGTATCTTTTACCCCATCGATTTAATTTTTGGGCTATGGTGTTGTAGATTTGGCCCAGGATCATTGTAGATATCTAAAAAGTATTTATCTCCTACAGGATATCTAGATACCGTATTTAAAACTGATGGCAACCATGCTGACATTAATGAGCAAACCAATGTTGACTAAAATACCTTAGCTATATTTTTGATTATTAAACCAACCTCTTTCCCGCATTCAAAAGCACTAATCGCCCACAGTTTGTATACCAATACCATCAGCACGGAGAGCACGACCACGCACATGCAAATTAAAACTACCAGCACCGAGATGGCTAGCTAAAAGTTTTTTTATACAAATGCGGCTTCAAATTTGCCTTTAAAAATCGTTGCAGTTGTGGATAAAACCATTCCGGCTCTCCGGTCACTGGATCCTAAATTTCAGCGAAATTTTGCATAAAAAGATCGCTTTACGATGTCAATTCTGGTTCCCACGAATTCGGGTCGATCTGGCTCGGTTTCAGTATAGGTTTCGCAGTCCCATTCATAATTTAAAACCGAATTATTTCTTCGCCAGATTTGGTAGAAAACAGAACCTAGCAATGTATATGAAATTTGCATACGATCGACAAACCCCATAAAGAGATAAACGCCGCGAAAAATGGGTTCAACTCGTTGTCGAAGGACTTCATAAACCAGTTCGAGATTGTGGAGAAAAAGTGCTTTGCTCTAAAAAAATATCTAGAAAAAAATTGCAAACGTACCCGTCCCGAAATTTGCATGTAGTGCCATCAAGCTCTGATAAATACCCTGACGAATTGGAGATTTGGCAAATTTCGTAGGGACTTTCGGATATGCTGAAAAGAATGTGGACATCATGATCGTTTTTACCTTTTTATCAACCCATAAATAAAGCTCATCAACCCGATAATCGTAGCAACCCAAAGTACAGTTAGAAAAGTGCCCTGCCACGCGAAATAAAATGCAATTTGTTCACCGAAGTAATCGCGGATACGGTTTAGTGGCTGGAACTTTGTCCATCGGCTCCAGTCCTGAAAGGTAAAATTGTTGATGAAGAACGAAATAGCTGTTTTACCTTAGCCAATTTCTTTCGAGGATCTTCTTCAAGTTCAGAAAGCATTTGTAGATACCCAACAACATTTCTGTTTTTCATCTCTCGGAAATAGGGTTCTTCCTGTAATTGACTAGAGGATCTAGAGGAAATAGATCAAACCTCTGATGGTTCGTGTAAAATATAAGCATCTTCATAAGCTCCACTCATAATTAAATATAGTAAACCTTTGCGCTACAAAGAAACCATATTTAAGATGAAGTAGACATACCGTAAGCGGTTGCTCTCCTAAGATCGTTTCCGACAAAGAGAAGGAGCTGCTTTCAACGCTATGCTTTTTCTGAGTCATTTCCGTCTGAGTTAATCCATTTAATTGGGTACTTATATCGATTTCTTTCAAAATCTACAACCAAATTTCAGGGAAAAAAAATCAATATTACCTGATGGGTCAGCAAAGATCTTTGGCTAGAGTTGAAAAATTTGGTATGATCGTCATAGTTTACAAAGTGTTCGGCATATTTTCGATTGAACGGTGCGCTAATGAAACGGGCTAAAAAAACAAATAAAAATGGTAACAATGAAAGAGTAAAGTTACTCTTATCGTCGGTGATGAAAACATGTGAAAGTGAGATGCAACAAGTTGGCTCGGTTGGTTCGATGGGGCACTAGGAAAATCATAAAATGTTTTTTTGGACTTTACGTTTTTCAAGGCAAATGACATATTTCGCTTCTCAGCCTCCCGACATAATCTTGGAAATGGAGCCGAGACCAGGGTAAATTTAACACTTCCGGATTGTTCGTGAGAGACGATAAGACCCTCACGTCGGATTGCCTAGGCACGTAGGAAGCCATATCAAAGTTAAGCTTACATTTTCAAAAAGATTTCGATATTTCTGGTGCTCAACGTCAGTACTTCGTGAAACCAGAACATAGTCGACTAAATGTATCTTCAAATCACTGTAAAGATCTTACCAGCTAGTCGAAACGGAAAATATGGATAATCCTGATGCACCATCACGAGCCCAACCGCCGAATTTTCATAGCAAAGTCTCTCGGATCAATTTATACTTCGGGTCTTCTGAGTGGACAGGTGCAATCGACCACCACAAATCTTCGTTAACAATTTGGACTGACGGATTCGAGGTGGAAAAGCGTCAATATAGCGTACGCTCTAGAATAGCGTCAACTATTTCTAGAGACTTGTTTGTAAACTTTTTCGCACGTATAAGCTAGAAGGCGTCAAGTATAGTGTGGGGTGAGGTAGAGGGAACCCGGGAAACGGCCCCTGACTTTTCTTGGCCACCGGCCCTTAATTGCCCCGAACTGCTTGGGCAGCAGGTACGCAGAGAAAAACGGGTTGGGTCGGAAAGGGAAAATAAGGTTTGAGGAAGTGGAAAGGGAAATTTCTAGGAGGAAAACGATACAGTATCTAACTGAAAGAATACGGTATAAGGTTTTTACGCAGTTAGGCGTATCATGTTACCAAGTTTAATTCAGTTTTTATCCGATTTACACAAGTTTTGAAGCTGACTTCAAGCTTTCCGTGGTTACCTTTTTCTCGTTTGCCACAATCGATTCAACCGTAACCTTCTCCCTATCAGCACTCCCGCTTTTTTATTCTAGAAGCCCCTCACCCCTACCAGGTTACTGTGGCAACCACTAATCTAGTAGTAGTGTTCCCATCCCTCCCAATACCCCACACAACCCCAACCGTATAGTCATACTCGATACGAATCTTTACGTAAACAGCCCCAAAACAAGGGTAGCATGGGCTTTTTCTACCCCCCTTTTTCTGCGCACCCTCTTTTTTGTGAAGTTCCCCCTCGCGCCCCCATACTGTTTCCCCCCCTGCATTTCCAATGAGCATCAATCCTGCATCCCTTGATCGATTGAGTCATTTTGGCCAGACGGCTTGGTTGCGATCCGTTCCAACTTACAGATGTTTTTTTCCGGTTTCGAGTTCTTGAAAACTGAAATATCACATAACAAAACTTTCTAAAATTAAAATCAATCATATTTTAGGCTCGCCTAAACTTGGTTGATTCTACCAACAAATGGCTTCTTGAAAATGCCATTGAAATGACCGATGATTTTGGATAATCGAAGAGCAATGCTGTTACTGGTTTCAACTGATATCGCAATACCCTCAACAACGCCAAGGCGGATTTTACAAACATTTTTTGTAAGTTTGGAGTCGAGTTCCCGGAAATTACTGTATTTTTAGAAAGACGATATTTTGGTAATGAACTACAATACATTTTGAATGGATTAAATATTTTGAGGAAAAAATTAGAGGCCACGCCAGATAGTGAGTTATTTTCAACAAAATTGGCAGGAAGTGCTCTCACAATTTTCAATTTTTAAAGACTTTATAACTTTATGTTCATGTTGAGTTCAAGCGCACATTTTCTAGCCCACGGAGCTGGATAGACTAGGGATAATGGCTCATTTTTGTTATATCGAAATTTGATTAATTACCGCTGCGGCTACCGAACTTAATTGTTGTAAGTTTTTTTTAATTTTTCAGTAATTATACTGTATTACATGTTGGTTTCTTAAGAAAGCCGCCACCGGGAGTAGGTCAATACAGCGAAATCACTTCATCGTTCATCGGAGGGTATTTTAAAAGATTCTAACTCGAATTATACATTTTTCAGATTCTCAACACCTTGAAGTCTTGGAAGTGAAGATGATGATAAAAATCCAAGGAAATGGCTAAAAAGGACACCAATAACACTGTTAATAAAGTTATTTAACAAAATTGTGGTTGTAATTACAGCGCACCGACAAAAACCTGATCCATTCTATCTAAAGCTTACAATCTTCATATTCGATTTTACTCTCTTGCTCTCTTTGTCAGTAAGTGTGCACTTAAAGCTTGAACCACTTGAAGACAGCTGTTAGAAAAACTAGATGAAGAGAAGGCACACTCTAGAGATGTTCACAGGCGCCCCGTGTAGCCCTACCATGCGACATCTGGCCGACAAACAAGCTGAAAAACATCTGTCTCAATCTCGAAAAACATTGCTCTTTTGTCCCAAAGGCCATTCTTTCGACATTGAGCACCTGGCAGATGTGATATACATATTGTTCTATTCAACCTCTTCTATAATTCACCCATTATACTTCATAAACACTAATATTTCAGATTAAGCAGCTTATGTAAAAAAGCCAGCTTGCTGCGACAAAAATGGACGACACTGAAGTCCAAGTAGAACCGGTGCAACAAAACAACTCTAGTAAAACGAGTTTTAAATAGTCATTGAGCATCGAAAATTCAGAAAAATATGTGGTCGTCATGGCGCTGCTCTTCGTTAATTTATTAAATTATATGGATCGGTAAGACAATATCAAACCACGTTAACAAACTTTATTTCAGCTTTACGATAGCCGGAATTCTCTCCGAATTACAAGCCTATTTTGATATGAACGATAAAGAAGCGGGGATGCTGCAGGTTGGAACGATATTACGATTTAAAAAAAGCTAATTTCAATTCAAGACTGTCTTCATCGTTTTCTACATGTTTTGTGCGCCGCTCTGCGGATACCTGGGTGATCGCTACAACCGGAAGTTGATCATGATTTCTGGGTTGATAATCTGGATCCTGGCCGTTTTGTCGAGTAGTTTTGTGACAAAGAATGTAAGTTAAGTCAGATCCATCAAAACCAAGAAATTTAGCACTATTGGGTGTTCCTATTCCTTCGCGGAGTCGTCGGAATTGGAGAAGCCTCCTATTCTACAGTAGCACCAACAATAATCGCCGATATTTTCACCGGAAGTGCTCGCTCGACAGTGTTGATGATCTTCTACTTTGCTGTTCCGGTTGGAAGGTAATATATAAAGAGTTGTGATTTTTAAGATAATTTTAGTGGTATGGGCTACATCGGTGGAGCCTATGTCTCACTTTGGCTAGGCGGTTGGCAGTGGGGAATTCGATTCACACCGGTTCTTGGTAAGTTCATGACCATCATCAGCTAATTACAACTTTCTTAGGCTTCTTCTGCCTCCTGCTCCTCATCTTCTGTGTCGAAGAGCCAGCCCGAGGTGCTGCTGATCACGCCCACCTTGCCACCAGCTCTGTCAAGGAAGATATGAAGTATCTCTGGTCCATGTAAGGATTTTAAGCTAAACAAAACAAAAATGCATTTCAGCAAGACCTTCCGTCTTAACACTATCGCATTTACATGCGTCGTTTTCGCAGTAGGTGCCCTATCCTGGTGGACACCGACCCTAATCTCTCATGCCTATGCTATACAACATGGTATTGATGTTGTGCCTCCAAGTGAGAAGGCCAGGTTTGGGCATTCCAAACTATAAAATCAAGGGTTTTTTCAGTGTCTCCCTCGTTTTTGGCCTTATCACATGTTGTGCCGGAATCGTTGGTGTTGTCGTTGGTTCTACCGTAGCCCAGGTAAGCTGAAAAATGAATTAATTTCGACGGATTTAGGCCTGGAGAGAAGGTCGTTGGGGCTTCAAGGCCACTCACACCGCCGATACTTTTGTCTGCGCTACCGGAAGCCTGCTTGCGATGCCTTTCCTCTATATCTGTCTGGTTACCGCAGCTCATCACATTACTACGGCTTGGGTAATTTGCATGCGATAACTATACTATAATATGTTATTTTAGGTCCTAATGTTCTTCGGTGTCACTTGTATGTGTCTGAACTGGTCCGTTAATATGGATATGCTTATGGTAAGGAATTTATCGTCACCTTTTAAGGTTCCATTACAGTACACGGTCGTTGCCAATCGCCGCGCTACCGCTACAGCCATACAAACCCTTCTTTCTCATCTTCTTGGAGATGCGACATCCCCATATGTTATTGGAAATATTAGTGATATGTTAAGAGGTAAAGACAATGATATAAAAGTTAATAAAAATCTTTAAGGGGATTCTACAACCCAAATCGATGCCTTCTTTGCGCTGCAAAAAGCGTTGTTCATCACTGCATTTGTTTTGGTCGCTTCTGGAGGGTTCTATCTCTGGGCTTCGTTTTATATTGTGGATGATCATCATAGGGCTAAGGAGGCTATGGGTGGTAAGTTTTTAGGAACTCTTTACGACAGTTTTTTGCTATACGAAAATTATTTTATCTGTAAAATGATTTCTAGTAACTGACGAATGGGCTGAAGATGCGGATGACGTCGAAACGCTAATCCGTGATGTTCGCCACCATAACAGTGATGAATAAGCCATATCCTTTCTTGTAAGGATTTTTTCTGCATTTTTCTCTATCTGCCATGTGCTCAAACCCCCCAAAACATTTTTGATTTTTCAGCGGGTACAAATTGTCTGTGGTCGGTTCAAAGTGAGAGATAAAACTTTATATCCGGTTGCACATAAAACTGTCTGGCACGAGGAGGATCATCCGAGCAATAAAGCAAATAATAACGTGAAAGCCACGCAGTGAGAGAATCGGGGCGTGTTGGGCAAGTTCAGAAACATATTATGGATTTCAATACCTAGTTGAAGTTCTTAATTCTTGGCAAGCTCGACAGGCTTTGAAAATTACAATAGCAAATAGTAATTAAAATAAGCGAGAATAAATTAACAAGGCAGTGTATGGATCAAGAGAAGGCAAGGAATAAACGTTCGTTTTAGATTTAATTAGAAAAAACAGTGAATTAAACAGTGATGACTCAATTAATTGAGATCCCTGGTGGCCCAGCTGACGGGCACCCAGCTCGGGTACGTCTCAAATTTATGTATGAGACGCGTGAGGGCCGCGAATGAGGTCTCCAGGTTGGAATTGACGATGCGCGCATCGAAGATGTGACCGAGTTGGCGGTCGAGTTGGTCGGAGGTAGTGATTATCTTGAAAAAAGGCTATAAAGTAATTTTTAGAAATTTACTTGATCAATTTCTCCCTCGCTGAAGCCTCTAGGACCTGTACAAGCTGCTGAAACCGATCCAGAAGCTGCGGAAGTTGCCCTTGACCAACGAGAACGAAGCGCTGCTCTTGTTTTCTGAAAAAATGGCTTTATATATAATTTTTCTACAAGATTCATACCGTAAACGTCTCCTTATCCGGCGCCTGCACAAAAATCACAACCGGCATAAAATCCTTGGCCCTCAACGTCCTCAACGCCAACGGATGGGGCGTGAGAAGCGGGGTCCCCGTCTGCCCGGCTCGTTTCACCGACGAGATGGCCGTCCCGTAGTAATTACCTCTGAAAATGGGCGCGTCCTATGTGGGGGGCTAATGGAGGCGGCCATTACCGGAATTCCCCAAATTCCAGCATCTCGCCACGTTGTATCATTGCTTCTAACTCGGGTCGTGTTACGAAATAATAGTCGACGCCTTGTTGTTCGTTAGGTCTGGAATTAAAAAAATCTTTGTAGTGTTAATAGGATGGTAGTGTAAGTTCTAGTATCAAACTTTACCTAGGCTGTCTAGACGTGTGAGGGACGGCTGTCGAAAATTTATCCGGAAATGCTAATGTTAGTCGACGTCTCAGCTCATTTCTACCAACACCAGACGCACCAATTAGGACTAAAAAACTATATTATTAACCGCAAGACTGCTACCATACCAATAGGCCGAATCTGGCCCTCCTTCGGCCTCAATCGTATCACCGACTCGTATCGAAGCTCGCCCTCATTCTGCAAAAGTATACATCGATACCAAGGGGGGGAATTGGGTAAATTGTCGGTTTCCCTCACCCCTCCCTACCTAGATGCCCCCCGAACGAAGCCAATTAGCCGACAGCCTCCGTGCCCAGGATAAATTTGAGCTGTTTTTGTCGGCATTCTACCCCCCCCCCCCCCCCCCCTTTTCCATCAATAATGTTGATTTATAAATGTTTTGTATACCTCAAGTCGTGTTGTCGGTGTGCGGGAGAGGGTGGATCCCCGATTGACCCCATGTGCAGCCTTTTCAACCAACAGAGATTCCGAGGGGATTATACCGACTCGCGATGATGTTCCGGCGCTCCCTGGAAACACCGCACTTCGGATTAGCGCCGAGATTCAATTGGGAATTTTTGATTAAAAAATGGCGGTTTTGGGGTTGGGGTTGGGTTTGAAATCTTACCGTGGTGTCTTCTTTCTTCGTTTGCTAGGCTGCCCGGGCCAAGGTTTCTGAAAAATTAGGGCTATTAAAGGTATGCACCGAATTTTTGCCATAATGCTGACAGATAAAATGCCGAAAATGCAAAATGCCGACGGAGGTAATGTCGATAGTAGAAAAAGCGGAGGGTTGAATGCGATTTCCTTGTAATTGGCTCTTTTTCATGTCAGGTTTTTTGGCTGTCGGTATTATAAATGTCGGGATTCTCCATTTAGAGATTTTTGCTTTCCGGATTTTTGCCTTCGGGATTTTTACTGTCGTTATTTTGCCATTGTTGCATATTTTAATACGTCAAAATTCCTTAATTTAAACAACTTACTTAGCTTGCCACCACAAATTATCACTGCATACAAGTATCTCCAAAATATCCCCTCGACCAAACGATAAAGATGCTTCCGGACATGGATGCATCGAATCCGTCCTCCCATCGTAGTCAAACTAACAAAAACATGGTATCGGATTAATTCGTCCCTTACCATAGCCCTCAAATGGAGCCCTGTAGTCACATCCGTATCTTCTTTCTGCTCCCCCGGGATTAGTTTAAAAGTGACCGAGCTGGCGCCTTTCCTCTCCAACAGTCTAAAAAGATTTTTTGAGCGCAATTTGCCGCTGTTTACCCTAGAATTTCTCGTGGTTCCAAACCATCTACCCTGACGCCATTCACTTCTAATAATCGATCTCCTTCCTAAAAATTGAGTCATATAACTTAGAAATGCTTTAAATTACCAATATACATCCTGTCCGTTCTGCCACACTACCAGCTATTACCCTAGCTATTGTTACAGCACCATTTTCGTCACTTTTTATTGTAGCACCAAGTGGCTCGTCTCTTCGTAACTATATTTCATATTTAACTTGATCATTTAACCCTCCAAACTTACAATTTTTACAATTTTTACTGCCAACCCATCATCGTCATCGACTTCGAAAGGAATATCAGGCAAACTAGGGTAATACTGAGAACCGCCGATTGTATCCGAGGCCGCTATTAATTCCTAAATTTGGTTATATCTTTGTGTTAAGTATCTGTACCTTTATATGAGGTTTATTTAGTAGATTTGCCAAAACTGTTGCCGAACTAGGGCCCGCTTCGCAGCAATGGCAGATCTCTTCGAGTTGTTCTTTGAGATTTGAAGATCTAAAACTTTAAATTAAGAAATATTTAGTACACAGAAGTCTTTATCTGCTTATTTTGCATATCCCTATTCATTTTCTCTTACCTAACATCAGACAATGAAGAAAGTATTAATTGATGTAAATCCGATGCCGTTTCTTCTGTTAGGTGCCCGTGATTTCCAGATCTAAAAATAGCGTTTTTTACAAAAATTTCTCACTTAAATTAAGCTAGTTTTAATAAAACTATTATGTTTAAAAACAAACCGATGCGCTGCCTCTGAATTTTGTTCAGTAATCGCGCCGAGTAGCTCCTCTAGCGCACGCAGCCAACCCTCGAAGTCGGCATGCATCAGATGGGCTAAAAAAATTGGAGATAATTGTTTAGAGTTGTAGTTTTGATTAGAATCCACAAATTTAATGTTGGAATTATAAAGTTTAAAAAATCAAGGAAATATAGGGAAATTGCTAGCTGCAAAGTGCTTGCAAGCGTTCGTTGTAAACCAATTAGCACATGTAAATAGGTGGGGAAACTGGCTGGAGGTGATAAGGGATTCGTGACATTTGGACGGGTTTTATGTTTTTTTTTGTGTTAATTAGAAGAAAAGTAGCAATAAAAATAAGAATTACGCTATTAAAAACTTTTTAGAAAACTAAAGCTGATTCCGGTGCAATATTTTTCACTACAAGCATCAAAATTTGCATCCAATCCCCTGCCCCAAATTTACCCTTCCAAATCCCACTTTCTCCAAATCCTCAAACGCCTCCTCCCCAAATTTCTATTTCCAGCAAATCCCCCCCAAAAAAAAATGCTAATCGAATCCAAAATCCCCGGCACCAAATCGCTGTCTGTCCACTACAAAACTAATCAAATTAGGGCATCCCCCCGTTAACACGCCGGGATCACCCAAAAGGGGGTGACTGCCCCGGCAGATTAGTGGGCGAAACGGGAGGGAAAAGCGAGGGGGGAACCCCCGTCCCTCTCTTGTTGCACCGGATGCAGGAATTACCCCTCAAAGTTTAAATCCCTTTAGCTGCGGCGCGTGTGGTGCGTCGCGTATTCCCAGTGTGTGTGCCGCTCTCTCTGTCTCTCTCTGTGTTCCTCGGATATGGGAATGTTGCCCTCCTCACCCCCTCGATCCCTTCCCCCCCTTCAGAACCCTCTACCACCCCTTTCAGTCGCCCCCCTCAAAGCATCTGTGCGATTAATTACGACTCGTATTTCGTGGCCTTTTACCCTCTTCCAACCTTGTTCCCACGATTTTTCAATTTCTGAAGGGAACCGCACGGGTGGCCGGGGTTTTTTTACTGAATTGCTCACCCTCGGGTTTCTCATGTTGCGCCCCTCGGGTAATTGACCGGATGCAACAATGAATCGGAAAATAGAGTAGAAGGGGGATTTTTGAATGGAAAAGGGGTTGAGGATGCAAATTAGGTTCTAGAGAAGAATCTATGATTATTAAAGAAGAGAATAGATAGAAAATCTGTAAACAAATTAGGTTCCGGAAAATATTGACATTTAGCAATCAATAACGTATATTAAATTGTGCAATTAATCCTAGAATTGATAGGTAGCTTTGCTAGAATGCCAAATCATCAATTATTATATGAACAACGCGTTGTTTTCGCTCTATAAACCAAGGAAATCCAGTAATTCAGTAATTTCCATTTCAGGAAGATTTTTTATACATCTACATAATTTATATATGAAATTACAACAAAAAAATCTATCCAGGGTAGGCGGGCGATGCAAACAAGAGATGCGCCGACCACATCCGCCTCCTCCCTCGGTCTACGGCCACGATGTGCCGAGGCCGTCAAAAAGGTGAGTGTGACAGGCCCGTCATTACGTACTCTAACGTACTTATGAGCCCCCAGGATATTAGTAGTCAAAGAGTAGGTCAGGTGTATCCTGAGGGGATTCATCAAAACAAACTTCAACTTTTGAGAATTACTAGGGTATTTTAAGGTAAATTCCATGAAATTTTACAGTTAAATCGATGCTTCGAATCGATACTAAAAATCTGAGCACGAGAAATAATGCGAAAAGCATTTCAACAAAAAATGCAATGCCTTTCCTAGGCGGGTTCGTCATCGGGTCACGCATCATGTGAGTCACTCAACAGCGTTCCCTCCTATGATACCTATGTGAGGGTATATTCAGCCGAAGAAACATCTTGTGTTAGCGAGGAGGAGAAGGAGGTATGTTTCTACTTCCGCTTTTCTCCGCTTCTCCTTCCCCACCACGTCTTCAATCATCAACGAACACAAATCCCTGCTCCTCCTCTTTTCCGCTTTTCGCCTCCCTTTCCCTTCCCCCTCAGAAACCGATTCATTTCCAGGAAAACAATCGGGTAGCAGCCAAGAAGCCACCCAACGTAGCTGTCGAGAAACCGACGTTTGGTGCGTTGATTTGCATATTTTAATTTGAATTGACCTCGCCATTAATATGTAAATTCAGCGCCTTCAAAAGTGACGGATCGCAAAACGCGGCACACGCTCTCCCCCGCCTCACCGGCCCCATCGCACAGCACGCCGACGCTCAGTGCTAACACCAGAATCAAGCAGTCCACCAGCATGCAATTTCGTCGGTTTTTGAGACGGTTTTTGAGCTTGACGAGCTTTTCAAGCTTTTTTGTTTGATTGATGCACAGAACCACGTCCGTGGGCGCGCATTTCGTGGCTAATCCCACAAAAAGAATGATGGCCGTTTTTATGCGGGTTTTGGGGCGTGGGGATGCTGTGCTGGGGGCTTGATTTTAGTAGTTGGATTGGGAGAGCAAAGCAGAAAAGCTGGTTTTTGGGATATTTGAGGGTTAAAACACGAGCAGGAGTTTCTAATTAGCATTCGGACTTAGCATGGGCGGAGTTTAAGCGAAAGCGTTTTTGCAGGCAGAATATGTTAGGTAACTTATGGTCTTTTTCAAAAATTTTTAAGATGTTTACACAGGTTTTCAAGCTCACGTTTTTAACCATACAACTTAAAAAGCCTGGTAACTTTTTATGTAGAGCTGCTTTGCATTTTTGAAACTAGATTCGGAATCCGCGAAAAATTCTGCACAAGCCTTTATAGACCTAATTCACAACAATCTTTTTAGCCGTCCTCCAATCACCTCGCGGAACCCCAGGAACCGGCAGACTGATGAACCATGCAATCCCCCATGTTTGGACGCGTCGCTCAGGGATCAACTTCAAAGATATCACCTGCTCATTCTGCCGTCGTCCCCTCGGCTCCCTCTATCATGCCTATGAAAAGTGCCGCAGTTGCAGGTAGAACCATCCAACTTATCCCCCTCAAACCATCCAATCTCTCTCTCTCTCTCTCTCTCTCTCTCTCTCTCTCTATCTAATTCAATCCCAATATGGGTACCGCCTGTTAATGAAGGACTAGAATAACTGTGCACTGGCAGGTGCAAACCGTTAGGGTGTGCCAAAGGACCACGGTCTTGTTCACAGAGTCATATATAGTGCGAAAATAATTGCAAGTCGTACAAAAGGGGATGGAAAAGATTTGGGTGGCCTGAAAATAGTGTTGCTTTTGGAGGAAGTATAGAAGGTAGAGGATAAAAATAGAATTAGGATCAAAAGGTACAGGAAAGAAGGCGGAAACGTATTCTTTATGCAAATTAGGGTTGTTTTTGAAGGGACTATAGAGAGTAGAAAATAAAAATGACATTCCGACCTTAGAAAAAAAAAATAAAACCTGGTTCTCTATGTAAATTAGCATCGTTTTAACAGAAGATAACCTTTTAAATTCGCATAAAAGTTGTGAAAAGCTAGAAATCAAATTCCATTGCACATTGGTGTTTTGCGAGGGAAAATATAACAAGTAGAAGATAGCATAAATAAAAATAAAACTATCATAAAAATAGCATAAAACTATCAAAAAATTGACATAGCGCTAATTCCATATGTAAATTTAGATGGCGAGTCCACACTCATTGCAAGCCACGCGTCGGCGACTACTGCGGACTTACAGCCGATCACCTGCGAGCCGTTCTCGATGAAATGGTACAAAGAAGCAATCAGGTAATCATTACCTACAATATGCAAATTACCCTCGTTTCCAGGACTCCTGGTTCGGCGCCAAGAACTCGTTACCCCTCCCCATGTCAAAATCAATGCATTCGGACACGGCATTCCAATACCCAGATACCTCTATCGGTGATTCATCCTCATCTACGAATAGTTCAGCCCCGTCTACCCCGGCGATGATGAGTATGGGATACCTTTTCATTCAAATCTATATCTATTTTAGACCTAGCCCAACCGTCTCCATACCTCAGCACTCTCCCTTCGCGAACGTTGGAACGGAAGTTCACATTTCCGGACTCGGTACCGGAACTGCCAGATATTGTACTGGCTGAATCAGCGTAAGGATTAAAATTAAAATATCAGAAAACACGCGGAAGTAATAAGAATTCAATAATTCATAAAATTTAGGGACGAAAAATCGAGCAACTCCCTCCCCGTGGAAAGCGAAGACTCTCAAACAACGGTGCAAGAAAGTAGCAACACTGCCCAGGCCTCACCCTCAATAGATGGCGACGATACGGCTGTGAGTTCCGTCTAGCCACCACCATCTCCACCCAAAAAAGATCATTATCTCAGTACCCATGTTTTTATTACAGATCCCGTTCGCGGCGTCGGATGGCTCGAGAATGAGCCATACTTGGGATAGAAATCGATGGAATATGTCCACAATTCGAGGACAATCGACTGGGTCTTCGTGGACTGATGTCACGATTCCGCTTCAGAATATTGAATTCAGGAAGGGGGAGAGGACATTGATTGGGAAAGGAAGGTTTGGAGAGGTATGGATTAACGCAGGACATTCTAAACATATTAAAATTAGGTACGACGCGGAAATTACTTTGGAGATGTAGCTGTAAAGTTCCTAAATATGGAGCATGTGGATGAAATGAAACGACTAGAAGAATTTAAAAAGGAAGTAGCCAATTTTAAGGTACGATTTGAATTTCTGTAAAAAACTAATTTAATGTATTTTAGAGCGTCCGTCACGACAATATCGTCATGTTTATGGGCTTTTGCTTTGACGAGCATTCGTTAGGAATCGTGACCGGATTGTGCAAGTAGGAAGAGCAACGGAATTCAAAAATTCTGTTTCTAGGGGTCGATCGTTATACAGTATCCTCTACGAGCAACCTGCAGAGCCGAGCATTGATTTTAATACGACAATTAACATAGCACTTCAGATTTGTCAGGTAATTAAGTGAAAATACATTAAAAATATGATTTAGGCGGTATCGTATCTTCATACGAAGAAAATCGTACATCGCGATCTGCGGACCAAAAATATTTTTGTGGAGGGTAGATCGAGAATTCTTGTAACGGATATTGGGTTGATAAGTATGCAGAGGATGAGCTATCCACCAAGGTATACATTAACATTAAAATATACTAACATTTAATTCAGAAAATTTGGAATCCTCACCCCTTCCTACTGGCTACCGTATCTGGCTCCTGAATTAATTCGCGAAATTTCCGGAGATTATCGAGAATTGTCATTTTCTGAGCAAAGCGACGTATTTGCATTTGGGTAAGTAATAATAACTTTAAAAATAAAATAACATGATTTTAAGAACAATTTGGTTCGAGCTGGTGAAGGGGAAAATCCCGTGGAAGGGCTACCACCCAGATCTTATCGTGTGGAGGGTGGGCAACGGATGCAAGCCGCCACTCGAGCAGATCGTCCCCACCAATGACCTTGCGGTATTTAAAAATTTATTTAACCATATTTAAATTTAGGAAATTCTCTGTCGATGCTGGAAGTTCAATCCCTTCGATAGGCCGTCATTTCCGGAGATTGTTGGGCAGTTACAGGCGATTCCGAAGGTCACCTTTGAACGCAGTCCCTCCCACCCTGGGCTCCGCAGTTTTGAGAGTATTATTTAATTGTTTTAAATTGTTATCAGTAATTACGGTATTTTTTGTTTTGTTGACCAAATCTATCACCCAAAAAAATTAGAAATAGCTAGAAACATTTCAATTTTACGAATTTCCAAAGCAAAAAACGCAATAAAACTTATTCCCCCTGATTTGCTACTGTATAATTCATAAATCCGGGCTTTTTTGATTTGTATTGTCCCTATTTTGCATATTTGCATATTCCTCCCCTTCCCGTCCTCCCTGTACGCAGCCCCCCGCATGCAAATTCCCCATTAATTTTTTACCCCTGCCGCTGACCAACTCCTCATTTTCTGAAGGTTTTTTTTGTATTTTATTTATTCTGGTTGTGGAAATAATCGGGCTAACCCCAAAAAAATGCTACCAAATTCCCCCCTCCTTTCAATCCTCACTCCAAAGGTTGTGTCTAGTTTTTGTTTTTCTAAATTTTCTACATTTTTGTGGCTATTTTTGTCCGGTCGATCTCCCCTTACATTTTTAAACTTTTTAAAACTTCCCCCAATTATCCCCGCGCGACGAGACTGTCTGTGATAATTGTTTGTTTAAGGAAATAAAAAGGTTTATTTGATTTTATTAAATTACATAAAATTATAAATTTAATAAAGGCACAATTTTACGGGGTTCATAGGGCATTCGACATGTTGGGCATTTTGGAGAGTCCATTGTACCGGTTTCCTAAATAAATTTAAATTGGCTTACAATTAGTTTTACTTAGATAAATTTAAATCTGCTAATTAATTTAGTGATTTAATAAACAAATTACCTGCAAACAATCCCAACAAAATATGTGTCCACAAGGAGCTGCAGCTGGTAAAGAATTTTCCAAGCATATCGAGCAGTTAATAGTGTTTAGCTAAATTTTCCATATAGCTGTTTCTAAGCGTTTTTACCTTGCTATCTTCCACTTCCGGTGTTTTTATATCCACCACCTTTATCGCGGGCTTTTCTGGTATCATATGATAAGTTTTATAGACAAAAGTGCTGAGGCACTGCGCGAGGGTGACAAACCCAAAAATACGATACAATTTGAGGATCTAAATTACTATATAATTTGATGTAATTTTTACATACCTGTGTATCCGTCTGAGGACTTGTGGATAAAAATCTTATCCCAGCCCATCGTCTTGATAAGGTATAATAAGCCCCAAATATGTAAAATATCGCCAAATGGGTGCGGTCGAGGGTAGAGGCAAGTTGTGAACTAAAAACTTCTGAAAAAAATCGAATTTTTCTTACTATGCATGTCCAGCTCCCCGTAATACAGTCCGAAATGTTGAAACAGGTCTAGAAGCACTTCGTATAAATTGTTGATAGTAGGACCAGCAGAGTGGAATGAGGACTGAAACGGAATTGAGCAGCTCGGCTTGAAATTACCATGTGAGATCATAAAAATCAGCTTCGACCCGGGACTGGGGATATATTTCAGATCGGAATCCGATTGGATTAAATGTAAATACTCATCACCAACGGTTTGTACGTCTAAAATTAATTGAATTAGAAAAATTTGGTTTTAAAACCTGCTAAAACGGTCTGTAAGTAGTACAAAAACGTTGCTAAGTGATCCGGAAGTGCTGCTAGGTTGCCCAGGTTTCGTCGAAAAAGGAGGATGACCTAAAATGATTCTATGCTAGTCCGAAAATCCAATAAATATATACCTTTTCAATATCAGATGACAATCGACGAATTTCTTCTTCATCCCGCCCTTGTGCTCGGATTATTTCCCATTTTTCGGCAACATAACGTTGACCAGACATTAGAAAAAAAATGTTGCGAGGTCTTTTTGGCGGAGAGTTTGGTGGTGGCTGGGTAATTATTCTTATCATACAACCGAGAAACAATTGATAACCATACGTTACACTATTGGGTTCTCTCACGAGGGAAGAGGAGCGGGAAGGGATGGGGTTTGAAAAGGGAGAAATTGAGAGTTTCTGTATGTTGCAGGGACCGCGCATTAAGGAAAAGTTAAGCAGAAAATTGTTAAATTACATGAAATACCCTATAATTTTTAGATTTTGAAAATTCAGGCAAAAATTCAAGAAATTGTTATAATTTAAGGTGCTACAGTATCAGATGCGGTATTTTCTAAGCTCCAAAATTACCATATGTACTTATGTTAATTCCAAGCATTTCTCAACACCACCAAACACCAACCACATGATCCACCATGTGTTTTTTCAAACCCAATGGCCCTCCAAGTTTAATACATACAGTTATTCTTAGAATCCAATATCAAGATCAGACATTCACACAAGCCACCGCGAGATTCTCACAAGACGGAAGCTTATTTGGTTTATTTAAACTAAAAAAAAACTTTAAAACTTTTTTCTGATTCCCAAGATTCCTCGGTTCTATGGAATTACAAGAAAAATGCAGCGCTACAGGAAAATATGTGATAAATGAGGCGCCGAGGAAGACGTCGCAGGGATCGGGTAAATTTTTGTACTTTGGTTTTTGCAAAAAAAAACAGAGCTTTAAAAAGCTAAATTGTTTCCTGCTCTCTGATCTTCCACTTTCTGATCTGAAGCCACGGACTGTGTGGGAGGGTAGTGAAAAGCGTCGTGCCAAAGGCCATGTGACACCTCGACGACATTGTGGGAGGGAGATCAACTTATCCAGTCCGATTCGTGATTTCCAAGAGTCATCACCGCTTTTCATTGACACCCTCGAGGCAATCGATGAGGCTCGGTTCATTCGTTCCTTTTTGAGCTCGAGCTCTTGCTCAGATTTTGATGTTAATGCTCATTTTACAGGCCGTCCCTTTTTGCTTTAAGTTAAAAACCTAACTTTTGCTTCAAACACCCCATAAAATTTTTTTTATGGAGTTATATGACGCTAATTAACCCCCTATGATTGTTGTTTTCTATAGTTTAAGCCTAAATCCTTAATTCTACATCAAATGCCACCATTTAACAAGAATTGCTTGTAGTTCAACGATGACCAACCTCCCCTATTTTGACTGAGCCCCCATTATGCAATTCCTTCGAAGAGACAAGGGCCAGCGAATCATAGTGTCATCGAAAAACACACACAATGCTTTCGAGACCAAAAGAAGACCCCCCTTCTTTCAATGATGGTAGCCGGCCATCAATCAACGGATCTTGGACGAAAAACGATGGCGATACGGGGCGGGCGAAGAACTGTCGATCTCAGGAAGGGCAGCGTGCAGCCAAATAGTCTTCATCCCAATCTCGCGATGGGGCCAATGAGGCGCAGAAGCCTCCCTGTTAATCCGAGACCATTTGTTATTGGACGGCACGAAGAGGAGGGTGATCGCTATGATGATGATAGAAGATCATTTGCTGCAGGTTGTTGCTGTATTTTGAGGTTTAGGGGTAGACGCTCCGCTCCCTGTGACGGCATTTCCAACCTCTTTAAAAGCCATACAATTAACCTTTTGTGACTCATTTCACCTCTCATACCTCGCTCCTTAATTCTCGGACTCAACCTCTTACTCTGATTCACCCATTGTCTCCCTACGGCAGTGATACTCCCTCCCGACCTCTATATTTTTCGTAAAACCCTCCGGATCTACCGCCTCAAGGAGCACAACCCGTTTCGCACTAGAGACAGTCGATCTCTCTCTCTCTCTCTCTCTCTCTCTCTCTCTCTCTCGGATTATCATATCACGTGTCCGGGGGTCATTTGCATGTCCGTAAAGGAGTGGTGCTCCCCTTTCTCGTACGCTTTCTCCGGGCTCATTCTCGTGGATATTCGGGTATATTGATCCTTTTGTCGTGGGCTTGGTGTATGTTGATATGGAAGAAAACGGTTTGATTTAGTTTACTGTATTTTTGTCCTTTACAGTAACCCAGCAATCTTACTAAAACCAATACCTAAAGAATAAAATTACTTTAAAATTCGGTAAATAGATAAATTTTCAGGAACCCCCACCGCTAGCACACAAAATATGAACGGTGGTGTCCGTGGATTAAAGCGATTGGCCAGTAAGTTTTTGAAAATGGGAAAATTAACGTGATTATAATCTCCAGGTACGATAAGTAGAAACTTTGGAGGCCAGAAAAATTTTGAACGCCGAAAACAGCTGCATGAAGTTGAAGAAAAGGTACTTAGCATCTTCCTACTGTATTTCAGCGATTTTAGAGACGTTTCTTTCTATTCAAAGTGCGATGGCAAATTGGTCTACTTGCCATGCTGGGCTTTATGATTGCATTTGGCATCAGGTAAGGATTTTGGAAAAATTTTCATTTAATGAATTTAGAAGCAACTTTGGTGTCGCCAAAAAGCGAATGACTAGCAATTTCACAGATGCTAATGGATTGGTGCATGTAGGGTTTTTGTTAAATTTGAAAAATCGTGTTTTAAAGGTAAAAGAATTTTCTTGGACTTCGGCCGAGTTGGGGATGATGGAGTCCTCGTTTTTCTATGGCTACGCTGTTTCCCAGATTCCGGCTGGGATGTTGGCTGCTAAATTTGCTCCTAATAAGTGTGTAACTAGTTTTATTGGCTTCTCTGAAATCTGAAGGATATTATGGCATTCTATATTAAAATTTAGATTGCTTGGATATGGTGTTTTACTCGCTGGTGTACTGAACGTCCTGACGGCGGTGGCTCTCAGCTACCATCCCCTTTCCGACGTTTTGGTAATGATCTGCCAAGTTGTGCAGGGGATGGCTTTGGTAAGTTAAATATTTTATAAAATTATGTTTATATATTAAAAACAAATTAATTGAAATAAATTTTTAGGGTGTCTGCTACCCAGCCATGCATGGTGTCTGGCGCCACTGGGCTCCTCCACTCGATCGATCTCGATTGGCCACCACCACATTTACTGGTAAGAAAAAAATCGATACCAATGCCCCCAAATTCATTGTTTTCTATTTTATTTAGTCACCAACAAAAATAGAAAAAGAGGAAGTGAAGCTGATCATTGAAATACCAGAATAAAATCACAGAAACTACAAACTACAAAATTTTAGGTGCCTACTTTGGTGTGATGATCGGACTCCCAGCTACGGCTCAACTGGTATCGCATGATCATTGGAGTACACCTTTTTATGTTTTTGGTAAATCTAAAATTTAACTAATTTTTATATGTCATTTTCAGGTGTTTTGGGAGTAGTCTGGGCCCTGGTTTGGCTATCCCTATCCGCTAGTACCCCATCGGAACATTTTTACATCAGCGAGGATGAGAAAAATTTTATTGTGGATCGAGTTGGTCAAGTGACCTTGTCGAACATGACGGTATTTTCTTTATTTAAATTTGCAATTTGCATTTTTTAGCTCTCTACAATCCCTTGGGGCCAAATATTAAAATCCCTGCCTGTTTGGGCAATTATTGTCTGCAACTTCTGCCGCTCTTGGACCTTTTTTATGCTAATGAACAATATGGTGACCTATATGAAAGATGTACTGTCGTATGATATCGGAAAAGTAAGTAAAAACTCTAAAGTATTTAAATATTTTATTAAATTAGGCGGGTGTTATCGCGATGTGCCCCCAGGTGTTGATGATCATCACCGTATTGTCGTCCGGGCAGATTAGTGACTATTTACGGTAATTAAAAAAATAGTAAAGAACGTCTTTATGGAATTTTTTCAGTGCGTCGGGTCGTATGAGCACTGAAAAAGTGCGGAAACTATTTAATACGCTTGGTAAGAAATCTTTAAAAATGGTATGCTATTTATTTTAGGATTTGGCGGAGAGGCCCTATTCCTCTTGGTCCTGTCTTTTTCTAATGAAAGTGCTATCGTTATTCCGAGCTTGATAGCTTGTGCCGGTTTTGGAGGAATCAGCATTTCTGGTATGACGTCGATCCTTAATTAAACTAACTTATAACAATTTAGGCTTTAACGTCAACCACTTTGACATCGCTCCCCGTTACGCTGCCATTCTAATGGGATTTTCAAATGGTATTGGAGCTCTAGCCGGAGCTGGAAGTTTGATCACGAGTCCCTTGACCTTAAATGTGAATTCTATATCTTGAAAATTATATCCTAAAATCCATTCAGAACCCCGCCGGCTGGAAATATTGTTTCCTACTAGCCTGCGTCGTCGATATTTTCGGAATCATCTTCTTCCTCCTCTTTGCTGAGGGTGAAGTCCAAGATTGGGCCAAGGAGCAAGAACCCGAGATCTCGACCCAAGAGATTGTGCGCAGGATTTGTAAGTATTTATCGGCTTTCTAAACTAACAGTTTAATATTTGTACTAACCACGTCTTTTTTTAGCTCGTGCGTTCGAGACGCACTTCAGTATTTTCGAAAAGTTTGGAACAAATCCGCACTGGAATTTGAAGAGGTTAAGGGAAAATTTCTTTTTTTTCCCGACTTTCTCTGTCTTGTTTTGATTTTTGGGCTTGTTCTGATTCAAAAAAAATTAGCTTTAAGTTGAAAAACGACTATTTTTCAGCCACCATCGTCCGTCAAATGTCCACTCGACTATCTTTGAGGAGCAAGAACCAGGAACCCCGTAAAGTGAGTGTTTTGGGGAAATCATTTCCGGCTCTGGATGTGCTAAAGTTCGGCCAAAAGATACAGATTTATAGTTTTCTCCCGACCTGGCAAAGAATGAGAGAAAGGGATCAGGCAAAAAAATTGATAAATCTACCCAAAACGTGCAAATACTGATTTTTAATTCCAGGAAGAAAGCACATTCGGTATGTCGATGGACACGGGTCTAGCGGCACTGCGAAACCGAACTACCGTACTCCCAAGCCCCACAAATAGTGCCGGGCCGGCCCCCGTAGCTGGCCGGGGTCTTCGAGCTCTACAAGGAATTGACAATCGCGGATTTGCAGCCACAATTGGGGCCCTGGGAGGTATCTCAGAGTCTCCTGAGGGTACCCCACCTCCCTCACCTCCTCCTTCCCCTCCCCCTACCCCTCTTACTTATAAGTCAACCTCCCCTCGACCACATTCAATTCGAAGCTTATCACCTTAATTTAGAAAATTTAATTCCAATTTCTACTCCTTAATTTATTTATGGTTTTTTGTACTTTTTATTATTTCATAATCATTCCACCCGGCCACACATTGTGCATTGATATGATCCTTTCCCACCTTGTGCGTGTATTTTCGATTTTTTGGTTTCTTTCCCCCATTCCCCAAACGTCATTTCATTCCTTTTTCTCTGTTTTCCGAGAAATGCCACTCTCCCTTTATTTTCTTCTAAATTCCCTCCGGTATTCGTCATTTCGTTGAAATGCGCGTCTAGTCTGGCAATTTGTGCGGATGTTGCTGGCCGTTTTTAGGGGCCGCCCGGAAATCGGGCGTGTATATTTTTATTTGTGTGATTTTCGGTGGCTTCAGGTTCAGCATGTTTTATGGAAATAAATGATTGGAATATTTGGGGGGAGTGAGAGAGCGAGAGATAGAGCGAGAAAGAGAGACAAGGAGAGAGAAAGAGAAAATTCCATAGAGCAATTTTTAGGTGTTTTCAAGTATCTTTTTCTCAGCGGTTAACCATTCCTCTCCAACACGCAACACCTAACCCCTCCCCCAACCTCTGGAATTTGTGAGCACGAGCGGAAACAGCTGACTAGAACAGACTAGACGGTGCAGGGTTACACAATCTAGGGGTGACCGGGATAGATGGGAAGAGACGTGTGCCAAGACATTCCAATGACAGGCCCATTCAAATTGACTGGGTGGATGAGATGAGGTAGAGTTCACGCTCACGTCGAGCACGTTCTACGGCTGATGGCTCGTCGGCTTCGTCGTAGGGGGTTTGTTCGGCTTCACTCTAGAAGGTGATTGTCAGTCGAGCATGAGCTTAGAATTGGCTTGGGCTTAGGCTTAGGCTTAGGCTCTGCTTACACTTAGCTTAGGCTTGTTAGGCTTATGCTTAAAAGTAAACCTCTTGCTCCCTAATAAACTGGCTCACCTCAAAAAGTGATGGTAACGGGCTCTCCGAATCATCCACAGACCCAGGAATCTCGCGCTCAATCACCTGCACAGAATCTCGCCCCTCTTCGGCGTTTCTTTCTGAAAAAAACCCGATTTTTTAAGGTTACAAAAACTTACGTAAGTTTACAGTAACAGTAGTACACTCTGGCTGGCAAGACAATCTCATCTGCTGCCCCAATTGCTCGACTATTTCCACTAATCGCTCGTTTTTCTCGCGCTCTTCTTTTAGTAACCTAAATGGATAAAAAATATAGCTTAAAAATGCAAAATACCGTGTAGCAAGAGCTCTTACTATTTCTTCGTCTCGTAGGGAACGTTTTCCTTCTTCTATTACCTAAATAAAAAGCATAATGAGAATCTCACGGTCTATAATTCCTACCTGAAGAAGTCGCCCGTTCTCCGCTTCTAACGCTAATCGCCAAGAAGCTTCTCGGTCTTTTCTTTTCACTAAAAATCAGGAATTGCAAAGAATTCTGGTTAATTCAAACCTCCGAAGCCTCTATTCGCAATCCGATGATCATGATCGTTCAATTCAAATTTCGTTCGATAAGAAATTGCTAGTTTGATGTCTACAACAAATTTTGCAACATAGATTTTCGAGGAACCTTTAGCCAATGCATTCCTGGCAATCTCATCAAAATGCGCAAAGGTATATTTCTCCTTACTGCTACTAACATACAGTATATGACGCCCATTTTCTTTTGGGCCGGCCTAAAATGAAATTACATTTGAATCAAATTAGGAATTAACTTACAATAGCTGTCGCAGCTTTATCAAGCGTAAATTCTTTTCTGCAGTTTGGTTTGTGGACGGGCCAGAGGTTGATTACCTAAATAATTTTAGATATTTTGAAACGATCAATTTTACCCCGGGAGCTACAGTAATCCAGGCGGCTTTCCAGCCTTGGTGTTTTTTGATAAGTGAACAGGTTCCGCCACGTTTTCGGTAGAGGATGAAATCCTGAAAAAATAGGGTTTTTTGAGGATTGGTTATGGGCTTTGGGTTCACTAGTCCTTTAAAAGGCTACTAAAACTTTTCTATATTTTTTAAAGCTTTTTGACAAGCTTGAAAGGGCAGTAAAGATTTGTTTACTCTCCTTTTTCCCTAAAAACACTGACTGCACTAATCCTCTAAAACACGTTTCCGCATTTTTGTAGGTTCTTTCTGGTTTTCGAATGGATGTAGAGGGGCCTTAAATAGGCGTAATTTTATTTTTCCTAGAAAACCCTGCCTTCACCAACCCTTTAAAACAATCCCAAGAATTTCTCCCATTTCACGCCGGCTTTCAAATTGAATGGGAGGACGTCAAAAAGCGGAAAGAATCAAAAAAAAGTGACTGTTGAGGGTAGGCGTCGCGCGGCAAATATTTGTGCCTTTCATTATGTGGCCACCCCGGTCACAACCCCCCGCGCCCCTTCAATTCAAAAGCTGAAAAATCAAGCTAGCGCGCCGGCTAGATAATATGGTAAACAAATAGGATTATACGCGTGGTGCGAGCTAGAAAAATGGTAAAGTGTACTTAAAAATTTTGGAAAAGGCAAAAAATGCTGTCACCATCCCTTTAAACACAAAATATCTCCAAAATCTTACCTTTCTAATAATCTGTGCTATCAAGCGCTCATAAAGCCTCTGAACGGCCAGCTCAAGCTCCCCATTTGCTAGGAATAACGTCTAAATCTCTAGAATTATCGTTAGTACTTTACTTACCTCAATAAACGTTAATAACTCTCGAAAATTTATACAATCCGAATCGAAATAAAATTGTCTATAATAATTTTTAACGTAAATTTCACATTTTTTTACTGGCTAGTCGTAGGTCGATCACAAGCTCTTTGCAATTCGGATAGAATAAAATAGGCTTGGGCTGGCGAGAGGGTACCTTAAAAATCGTAAGCTTAAGCGGAAACATCTTTTTTCAAACCTGATGGGCATAGATCGGCAAAATAAGAAAATACCCTGAACAACTGCTGTAGCGTCGGATCGTTCAGAGGATCTATTGAGCGCTGGCTACCCATTTCTGAATGAAAAATGGGGAAGTGGATCGAATATCAAGGCGAAAAACGAGAACGTGAAGTTGTTATTTAGTCGGCAGGGGAGTCTTGGATTCGTCATACGGTCTCCGGGGGGTGAAATCCGGAAAATAATTGCTTGGAAACGGAAGGGGGTGAAGTCAGAAGAAGGGGGGATGGGAAAATCGGAATGAGTGACGGGGGCTTAGGGAGGGATCTTTTGGCTTATCAGATTTATCAAGGGTTGAAAAAATTGTCTGAGCTCTGTTCGGGGGAGCGTAGCGTAGTCAAAGCCTTCTGGAAAATGCCGGAAAGTTTTAAGCTGTATTGGAAAAATGTGAAAATTGGATAAAAACGACGAAATTCTGGCTTCGGGCGCACGAAAAAGCGCCTTCGTTTTAGGTGGCGCGTAGCGTAGTCATACCAGCCCGGAAGGCCTCAGAGATTAAAATATCCTTAAATGCAATACCACAATCCCATAAACCAATTATTTGTTGCAAAATCAAAAATTGGCGAAGGTTGGAGGTCGAAAAGCCGCTTGCCAGGCGGAGGTGTCGAAGGCTGTGGCCAGGGCGGTACCCGGTGGATGGAGGAGGACAGCTGCTGCAGGAAAAAAAGGGGAGGATGGAAAAGTCAGAGGCCAAATGGGAAAAGAAGTGGAAGGGAAGGGCCATGACTGGGTGCATGTGATCCGATGGGGCCGATCTTTGCCTCGAGGGGGGGCTTCGTCGTCCATCTGGGTCTTGCAATCGACCTAAATCATTGGCAGCTGTTTTTTGGAGCACGTGGAGGAAAACAAGGTGATTTGGGGGGAGGTTGATAAAGTTGTGAAGGGCTTAGGCTTAGGCGTAGGCTTGGCTTAGGCTCAGGCTTAGGCTTAGGCGTAGGCTTGGCTTAGGCTTTGGATTTGGCTTTGGGTTAGGCTTAGGCTTAGGCTTAGAGATAAATTTCTATCCATAAGTACCTCCTATCTCACCGTAAAGTCCTAAAAACCCCCTTACCCTCTGAAAGTGACAACCCTACGTCGTACCAACCCCCCTGCCAAACACAGCCCCCCCCCCCCCTTATATTTTCCACCCAACTTCCTAAACACAAAAGCCTTCTTTCAACCTTCCTTGCAGCCTTTCTATTCTCTTGCTTCCCGCCCCCCCATTTCCCGGCATCGGGACTCAATCTTCATGCGAAACCAATGGCCCATCTCGCAATGGCCCATCGCCCCTCCCTTCCACGCAGATTAATCGAATCCACAGCCTTAGCCACCACCTGCTGCTCCTGCAGAAAAATAGGGGAAAATCGGAAAAAAGACAAAGGGAGACACAAAGCATCCAACACCAGACGCATGCGTGTTTCTGGTTTTAATATGCTATAAACCCTGAGAATCCTGCTGTTTCGTCAAAATAATACTCTGAAATGCTTGTTTTGCATTTAAATGCAAATTGGAGAGTGTAGAATCGCCAAAACAATAAACGAAAACCAGTGAAAATCAGGAAAACAGGCAAAGATGGACGTGAAGCATGTTTTATTGCTTTTTAAACCCTGAGAATTGTCCTTTTCATGCAATTCAACCCCTGAGAAAACCTCAATTTGATAAAGCATTTATCAAAGTGGCACACAAAGACATACAATATATAAATACGATATTCCAGGATTCAGGTACCCATAAAATGTGGGCGCATCCCCCACAATCAAATCGAAAAACTATGCATACCCAAGAGAAAAATATCTTTTTTTGGAAAGTAGAAAAGGAAAGCAACGGGTTTGTCAGACTGGCCCCTAAAATCACAAAAATCGGTTGGATTTTGAGTATTTAAAATTACACAAATTAAAATTACGATAATCAAGCGTCTAAAAATTGACTTTACATAATGGCGAGTTACAGAAACAGCACCAGAGATGTGGTATGTCGTTGGAAATGGAAATGCAAGAGTAGGAAGGTATCGGAAATTAAAGAAAAATAAAAATTAGATAGGAAAGCAGCGGCTAGAAAATGTTGTGTATTTTATATCACAGCGCTTGCACACATCACGCATTGCTTGGTTCGAAAGGGGTTGTTTTGGTCTAGCTAGAAGCTTACACGGCACGGCAGGGGGCAGGAGGGCAGCGCCTGAAAACATAATTGTATTATTTTGTCGTTTTTATAAAAATAAATACTTTTAAAAATCTATAAAACTTACAAAAAATGGTTCGTAATTTTCTCGTCAGCAATTAGCAGGTTAGCGAAAAGTCGCTGGGACTAAAAAATTCGCATAAATATTTTTTTGGGAAATTTTTAAGCTACCAGTCGGAAAATCTTCATCCGGAATCGGAAACTTCGCCAACCCGTTTGACGGCATGAAATCAAGATGGGTATTTGGGATCTGGCGATCAATAATCCGGATTGGAGGGGCCTGAATTTATTTATTTAGGACTTTTAGACGCGCTTTACCTCCAATCGTTCCGTTTCCGGTGTAGCAATCGTCGTTTGAGCGGTTTGGGTGGACGCGTTGTCTTTTTCAATCTTAAAAAAATTATAAAAATGTTTAAGCAAATTAATTTTTACCGCAATATCTAGCGTACGGCAAGAAGATCGAGGTAACGAAGCTGGAGACCAGGAATCTTTCTTCTCAGCGCTGGTAGGATCGGTTGAAGAACTACGCTAAAAACAGCTTTTTAAGTATTATAATTAGCATAACGAGATTCATGTTAACTTTTACATACCGTAATCGGCGAATAGGATTTCGGGGCCCGCTTCTCATTACTGGAGCGCCAGTTGGGGCCCTCATTATTATTCCGGACAAACACCGGTGAAACCCCGGCCACTTTTTGCTGGTCGAAGACGTTTCGTCTTCTGGTGGCTACCTAAATAATTGGCATTCACAAAAATAGCTCTAGCACACCTCGTGAACTTTTATGATTTCAATCGGGTTGGCTGCTTTGCGCTGTAAAAAAGACAGCTCGGAGTTGCTGGCTCGTTTGAGGTCTTCGACGCTAAAAAATTGGATTACGGTGCTTTAAAAATCGATTCCGATAAATAAAAAATCTATTAAGATACCTATAATGAGCCTGACTCTTCTCATAACGCTCACACTCATCCAACCATTGATTGACGCGCACGAATCGAGGTACTAAATTTTTAAAACTTAATTTGAAGTATTCTTCTTCATAAAATTTCATTGTCTATTAGTAAGTAGCGAAAAAGCGTATTTTTAGTGTATTTTTTTCTTCCGCCGCCCGAAAGGTAACTCACGCTTTGATTCGGTGGCTGAATCAGCGGTATTTGCCTGGTTTTTCCGGAACAAAACGAACAGACAATTACCCATCCTGCAATGAATGCATTTGATGAGAATGATTTTGAATGAAGAGAGGTAATGAAAAAAGTACTGTAAAAACACAAAAAATACAAGATATATCAAATACAAAAAACTTCAGTTATACATTTCAGCAAAAAATTAGGATTTTTTTGTAATTCTTGTAACGTTAAAAGATAAGTTATCCTGGTTTGTTTAAATAAAATCCAAAAAGTTACATATATACCTAATAATCGGCAAAGCATGATTTTCTGATTTTTTAGTGCATTTTCTGAATATAAAGAATCAACTACCGTACCCAACCTACGACGACAATCTATACAAATTAATAAAGGCAAATTTCAGCAATTCCTGATAGACAAATAATTTTCTCTTTATTCATAAATTACGGTATCCAAAAATGCCTCATTTCCCCTGGGGGAAATGAGAAAAATGGAATTCGAAACAGATATCCCGTGAATAGTCACAGCCACGCAGACAATTTTAGGTAGATTCGAATGAGGGGTGAAAATATGGCGGTTTTGGTGCGGGCAATGGAAAGGAAGGGGGGGGGGGGTGAGATAGGCTTCGTAATGGGCTTTCCGGCTATTTTTAGAGGAGGCTGAATTCGGTGAAAATGAGGAGGAGAAGGGGCGCTGAATTAGCTCTATGGCTGATGGAATGGGATTCACGTCTGGAGGCTCGGGAGAAAGAGGGGCAAAATGTCACAACTGATCGCCAAAATCCGTTGGTAAACAGAAGCCTTTCGGACTACCGGGCCAAACAGATGAATACTGTTCTAAGGATTTGAGTGCCGGGGGAATGGGCGTGGCCGGGGTGGGGTTGCAGGGTTGGAAATGACTGCTTTAAATGTTTCAACTTTCACAAAAAATGAAAAACAACAAATTTCAAGAGGATTTTTCGGGGGCTGCATTTCCCCTTGCAAAGATCAAGGTTTAGATAAAGCCTCGGCACGTCAAGCACAACCTTGAAACCCCAAAAAATCGCCAACTGCAAGCAGAAGCCGGCACACCGCTCCACGCAATTTGCTGCCCCAGAAAAACTGATAAAGGTTGGGAGTGAAAACAACACGAGGGAGGGTAGGCGATATCGGGATCGAAGAGCGGATTGGATATGATGGATTGGGGTGGGGGATCGATCATACTATTTTTCGGGTTTTGTCTGGTACGGATCTTTAAGAAAAATGGGGGCTATCGGCAATTGGAAGCAAAAAAAGCCCTGTTCTCGGTTTAGAAATTATTTCTGAACGGTGAATCAGCGGGCAGCAAATTAAAAACATTAAACATAAAAGACGGGGTGTCAAAGTCGATTCCTCAGTCCCAGACAGATCAAAAATATTACACTAGAGGTTAGGGGTCTGGAAAAGCCGTCGGAATTTTTATAAAAACCGCTAGAAAACATCAAAAAAAGAGCAAGAAGAGTCTAGAAAAATTCTTCTTTAGAGGTCAAAACCAAAAAATAATCCACTGAGGTCTAGAAGTTATAAATGTGGAGATAATTCTCTCTAGAAAGAAGAATCTAGAAAGTCCAAAAAATCAAGGAAACTCCAAAAAATCCCAAAATCTTATTTAGCGTACGCAAACCAGAATCCCCCGGCTTTTCCCACCACCAAAATGGGGCTGGTCGACCTTCTAAGGAGGCGAAATTGGAGTATTGGATGGATGGGAAAGGAGCAAGAGAGAGAGAAGGAGAACGAGACGAGACGTTCGCATGAACATAAATCGGGGGCAATGTTCTCAAGAGGCGGCAAAAGGCATAAGTAGTGGAGGGGAGGGGAAGGGAGGGGGGAGAAAGACGGATGCGGCTGGCAGGGATTGTAAAGGAATGGAATGGGACAGCTGCTCCAAGCATGAACTGCCATACATCAATTATATCAATGAGGAAGGCGGCTAAAAACACTCAAACATACACATCATTTGGTGGACGGGAGGGGAGGGGGAGCAGGAGCTTTTGGTCAGTTTTGTAAGGTGAGTAGGAGCGCTTGAGGTCTGAGAAAGCTGGATATATGACGTCAGGCAATTTTCTCGCTTGTCTAGACTACCAGCTATAAGATATTGGTGTGTAACCGTTCCTTAAAATTTAGGTTTAGTTTGGTTTTGCTGCGAAAATTGTAATTATAGGTATAATCGGTTTAAAATGTTAAGTTATGTAATTTTCAGAACTAATCAAACTATAGAACTTCCGGGTCTGCTTGCTGTCACCCTCCCTTTAAAAGCCAATTTCCATCGGTTTTAGAAATCTAAAATCTCAATTGAGATACGTGAGATGCGCGACAACGAGAGCTTTGACTGGGAAAAACCGTTCAGATGACGTCAAGTAATCTTTATGCCGTATAGAGTACAAATTTCAGCATTTTCTTCTTGTCACGCCCCCTTTAAAAACCACTTTCCTTCGGTATAGAAGCGGAAATCAAAAATTTGCATCTACAATATTTTTAGAACTCGGTTTAAAAACACTTTTTAAGGGCCCAAGCTATTTAAAAATCCCTGCAGCTTCTCGCTCACAAAATAAATAAAATCCCTTCTAAGCCCGCGCGGAATTCAAAGAACCGCTGCGGGACGCTGAGGCAAAACAGAGGCCCAATTAGATCGTTGCCCCCCAAATTGCGATCGTCCCCCCTCCCTGCCGCCCTCTGCGGCTGGATTCTAGGAAATGGGCAGGTGGCCCGCGGGTCCCAAGAATTTGGGGCCACCTTTTTCAGATTGAAAAATGCGATGCCGATCATTTCTGACGGGGGTATGGTATTTTCGGGATTGGTTCGGATGATCTGGACACTGGAGGTAAAGGGATAATCCAAAAATGCAATATTAAACGTCGGAGGGCCTGAGATCCAAATGTCACAAAAATTCGGGGAAAATGTAAGTGATTGGAACGAGGTGGAGGCGAAGAAAATGATGACAGTTCCCGGACGGGGGAGTTCCATCGATTATCGGACCCCGCTGACAAAAGCAGGTTGCCGCTAGGGAGTCAGCCTTGAGGGGGGAGATGCAAAGTGACAGCCGGCTTCTTCTAGCTGGGAAAAACTTTTGGCGCTAGTTTTATGGGTTAAAAACATCAAAATCGAATAAATTCCATAAACTTTAAACATTGTTAGGAAATTCTAAGATTTTTGAAGGCCTTTAAAAATCTAAAAAAATGTTGAGGCTATCAATTTAGGCTTAGAAAGATCATATACATATATCAGCGAGTTGATGACATTAAACTTGTCTAGACCCCAAAAAAATAGTCAGAAAGATTTTTATGGTTTCGGAAGCCCTCCAAAATCATCAAAAATGTTTTGATGTAAATACCAAAATCTAGACCTAATTCAAATCCAATAACCAACCTAAAATTCCAAACACCTGCACACCCCCAAAAGCCCCGATAGATACAGACAATCGACTCGTCCAAAAACTGGGCGTGGCAACGAAGACAAAAAGGTTCAAGTTGGACCAGCTGGCCGGAAAGGTCCCCTCTACCCCAACCCCCGTACAGCTGCGCGTATTTTTCACTCGCAACCAAAATCCCTGGCTGGTCGTAACCGGGCCGAAATCCGAAACCCTAGGCCTCGCGATCGTCACACACACACAACGCCCTTGCGGTTAACCTTGAGAGATGGGCTGGAGAAGAACATTGACACTTTTTATAAGCATCGCCTATAGAAGAGAAGGATTGTGAGAACGAGAATTGACAGCATCTGGTCTTAAATTCGACTTAGGCTTGGGCTTAACCTTGGGCTTGGGTTAGGCTTAGGCGTAGGCGTAGGCTTAGACTTAGGCTTAGGCTAATTATCGTATATGATTTCGAGTATGAGGAGCAAGAACATTGGCAGCTTTTGTAAGCATCGACCTATAGAAAAAGGATTCTGAGAACGAGCGTTGTCAGCATCCTAGGAATCTACGCATCCCGATGATTCCCGGGACTCGAATTCCAAGAAAAGTCCTCGGATTTCACAGGAAATGCATTCTATTTGAAGCACAGATTAGGCGAAAATGACGCCTCCGGGGGAGGATTAACCGGGCATCCGGGTTTTAGTCAGCGCGGACTTATCGGAGGTTGGCCTTTATGGTCAGAAAAAATAGAATGCAAGAAACCAGGGGCAAAAATAGAAACATTGACAAAATATGGACAATGTCAAAAACATCTTATAAGGCTTCAAAGTATAGCTAATTCAATAAAATCTCAATAATTTATTTTTTTGCCTTTAAAGATAAGCTAAAAAATAGCAAATCTATTAAAATATGTGGATTCTCGTAACTTATGATGCTGAAACAATTAAAATATGCAAATTTAAGCATTATTCCAATGCGATGAATGATAGAAAAAAACAATAACCATCTAAAATTTTAATCCACTAGCCATCTTAATAACTAAAAATTGGAAAACTATCAAATTCTAGAGGTTTAGACACGTTTTCGGTACCAAAACCACAAAAAATATGCAAATTTAGCACGATTCACGAGAATGATGTTTTGACTAACACAAACTCAGAGAATTGGCCGCGGACCCGAAAAAAGATGATAAATATGCAAATCCGAGGGCCTGGGAGCCAAATTGCATGCAAATCTTTTAAATCGATGGCATGAAAGTTGTGGGTTTCGGGGGGTGTAAAATGGACAGATCAGCTTTCGAAGGGTGGGCATGCCTGGAGGGGATGCGCAGAATGCCGTTGTAATGCAAATGCCGAATGGGCAGACAGATACCCGGGATGGGTGGGGAGGATGGCCTCTCTCTCTCGCTCTCTCTCTCTCTCTCTCTCTCTCTCTCCTCTCTCTCTCTCTCTCTCTTACCCCTCAAATGTTGTTGGGTATTCCCCGATACCCATCCTGTCCGCGCGTCAATTGGTGCACAGCGTGGTTGTCTGGGGGGGATGGTGGCCACCATCGAGATGTTTATTGTCCACACATATGCACTCAAATATTGATCCTAGACTTTGCGGGGGAAGGGGTCGAAGGATAGATAGACCACACCAATGATTTTCTCCGCCCTCACGACAATTTCTGGTCAATTGAATTTGAATGGGGGGTTTTGGTGGGGCCGGCGGGAACCGGAATTTGTAGGAAGTAGGGGGAATTGTATAGGAAAACAAAATTTTAATGGAATTTTAATTTAGCGCTTCACAAGCGCTCAATTGTAACAATTTTTTAGCAGGATTTTTGCATGTTAAGTAGTGCAAAAGTTTTCTAAATTTTCGACTTTGGATAGATGGCATTTCTAAAGACTTTTCCATTAGCTCTAAAAAGTCTAATGAATTTTTAAACGTGTTCTCCTTTAAATTACTGAATTATGCTTTTTATTCAAGCAGTAAAAACGAAAAGGGAATTTTTATACGCATGAAATTGATCCTTCGCGAGCTCAGCTACCATCTCGGAATACCGTTGTTTTTTCGGAGCGAGTGGCGATCTGTTTTGTGACTGACACCTCTTTTCACCCCATCTCTCTGTCTCCATCTCCATCTCTCTCCCTCTCTCTCTCTCTCTCTCTCTCTCTCTCTCTCTCCCCAATGGCCCCGAGGCCACTTTGAGACTTGTCGTAAAAGCCCGGGTATTTCTGTGGTGGCCTTGTGACCTTCTTTTCAGCTGGCTTTTTGTCAGTAGCAGGGGGCCGAAAAACCGGTGGTGTTGGTTGGTAGTGAGAGAGAGCGAGATAGAGAGAGAGCGAGAGAGAGAGAGTAGCCAATAGTCGGTCAGTCACTCTCATCGAGGTCCGGCTGGATAATTCGATTCGATGAATACCGGTCAGCGGTCGGTCGGATTTAGCTTTTCGCCCGGGAGGATAGAAGCCAAAAAAATACCGGTTTTGTGGGAAAATTTGAGAGTGGATTCGGGAGGATACGATCTGAATTTCCACAATTTTTGCATAATTTTGCAACTTCCACCCTGCAAATCGAGACCCCCGGTGTCGACTCATTGTTGTGATGACTCAGGAGACTCAGGGTGCTTTTTCCCGGAATTCCAGGAGAGGCTTCCGGAAGCCAGGAAGCCTTTATAAGGAGGCATAAGGAGGTATTTTCCTTTTTTGGTATCGGGATTTGGCAGCCAGCGACCAGCAGGGGGTTGAAACGCCCTTTTCAACCCTGGTTTCTCATAATTTTCGTTTCCCATAAACTCATCACTCATAAATTCCATATCTCATCAACTTCTCATAAACTCGTTTTACATAAATTTCGTTTTACATGAATTTCATTTGTCGTAAATTTAATTTCTCATAACTTGTCGGGCTGTTTAATCCGGGGTTTTTTCTAAAAAGTGCAATGACTGCGGAATCAACTTTAAAAGGCCGTCCCCCAGTCACCCGCCAATTTTGGCCGGCGGCAACTTTGACGCTCATTTAAACCCCGAAATGAACTTTATAACATTCCAAATAGTGCCACCCTACCAGGGTTGTTCATTTTCGGTCCGGTCCGCGTCCGTCCGGCCCGGGACGCGGACCCGTCCCGTCCGCGCAATTTGCATAGAAAAATGCGGACGGGCTCGGACGGGTCCCGGACGGGCAGGACGGACGCAGTGCGGGCTGGGGCGTCCGCGCGTCCGCAATGCAAATTACCGGAAGCACATGCAAAGTGATTGCAAGCAAATTAACATCTTAGACCGATTTTTCCCTTTTCCTAATTTACATAGATGCTTTCCTTGGACAAGAACGCGAAAAACGGTCATTTCATCAATTATCATGCAAGCTTTGGCTACCCGCGCTTTGCATAGCGGGCTCGGCTACTTCCTGCGTCCGAGCCCGTCCGGCCCGTCCCGGACCGGTCCCAGCCCGTCCGCTCTGCCGGAGCAAATTATTCGGACGCGGACGGGTCCGGGCCCGCGTCCGTCCGAGCCCGTCCGTGAACAACCCTGCACCCTACTAATCCAATCATGCTCTTTCAGATATCATAAAAACACGGTCGAAAAACTGTGACAAGCCTTGTTCGGATCTCTGGCAAACTTATTTATTAGAAACGAGTTTATGAGAAACGAAATTTATGAGTAATGGTTTAATGGAAATGTTTTTATGAGAAATGCTGTTCCCCCACTGCCAACATTGCATTTTTCCATGAAGTTTTGTGAATAGAAAAAAGGTTTTCTTTTTTCTGTATTCGCATTGATTTCGGGATTTCCCATCTGTAATTATCATCGTTTTACTTGCTACAATAATTCTTTGGTTTTAGGAATGGTCAAGGTTATCGTTCGGCTTGTCGACGGAGAAAATGTCATTTTACGCCGCAGACAGATCGAGTTGGATCCACAGGTTTTTACTTTTATCGTTGATAATCCTATCATATCCTATTTTATATATATATACCGCAGGACCGCAGGCCCAATGACAGTAGTAACGTCAGTAGCTAGCGCCGCAGACCAATTTTGCAACCTCTAGATGCGCATGGTTCCTAAAAGGGCAGCGAAGCGGTTATAGATAAACCAGCGTCCAATACACGCTTCGCGGGCCTTGGGCGCTGAAGTGCTGCCTCGCATGAGAAATTTGCCTTCCCGATAGCTCGGGTCCTTCGGACCGCCCCCCCCCCCCGCCCGACCACACGCGCGCGTGCACTTGCAAGAATGAGGAAAATTGTATCTTTCCACGTTATGCAAATTAGCCCCAGGAACCCCAAAAATAAGTAAAACGGGCTTTAGCTTTGTAAGCTTGTATTTTATCGAGATTCTGAAAACGCCATTGGGAAGAGGAGGGCCGATTCCTACAAGTCACGGAGAATTAGAGCATTTTATGCACGGGAAGGCCCTCAAATCGGGTCTCGAAAGTGACATCCACACACACACACACAGAGATACACCCGAAAATTAGATAAAGTAGGATAGTGTGTGCATTTGCCTGCAACTTCAGGAATTACATGAATTATAAATTTACACCGGAACTGAGGTAGCTTTTATCAAGGGCCAGCGGGGATGACCTTAATTGGTTTAGGGATTTGGGAAGAATAATGGAAATTACAGTTTGTCATCGGTGCCAGCCGGGCTCAGGGGTGAAAAGCCGCGCAGCGGCTTTGCAACCCTGGTGGTTGATAATAATTCATTTCATGTTAATTTCAGATTTTTATCGCGGACCTGGAGAAGGAGATTGAGAGTCTGACGGCTATTCAATCTAAGTTTCAAGACGTGACATTTCGGGGTGTTCCGCTATCACCCGACTCTTTACATCCTCTCGAATCGATCAAGAATTTGGAAGAAATTGTTGTCGTACGTTGAAGTTTTATCTTTAGAATTTGCTGTATATTGTTTATATATATATATATATATACAGCTCGCAACAATACAAAGGCCGACAGCCAATCAGACAATTCTTATTAGACAGCTAGTGTATTCCATAATCGAAACAAACCAATACTTTGCACCATTTTGACATCCCATTTTTTAGAAACACACTTATCTGGATAGATGGCGTAAATACCTCGATGCTTCAAAGATTGTGGAGGATCTGAGGATGCCAAAGGACAAGCGAACGTTAAATGCGCATGAGGGAATCGGATTGTCAGAAATTCTGCACGCTTCCGGATTTTTCATGGGTTATACCACTTATTTTGAGAAGTGGAATGCGACTATCGGCGGCATGATGCGGTTTGTTAGTTAATCCAAACCTTTTGAGCGAAAATTCATAAAATAGGAATTTTCATATTTCAGATACGTCGACAGAACGGAAGATATTTTAAAAGAAGCCGCTACAACATTTTTTTCGAAGATGTATCCAAATTCTAACATCGCCTTTAAGGACAAAGAAGGCGGTACCCGGATTGGAATCGTGGTAGTGGTCACTTGCCACGATGAAACAACGAATTACTATATGAAAACTTATCATCATGCCGGAACTTCGCTTCCGGTGCAAAGCGCAGGAAAGGGATACCCGCCAGATCTACGCGAAATGTTCGCATATAGACTTCTCGAACTTATTGGAGTTGGGCCTGCTGTAGTCTTCCCATTCTCTACTGCATCGACGTACATTCACTACATTGCGACTAAAGAGGTCAACGAATTCACAGAGCTGCACAAAATTGAAGATCTGAATCTCCAAAAAAAAATCGTTGTGGAGGTAGTACATTTTGAACCATTCTTTAATTAAAACACTTTTGAAGCAGTGAATTTGTTGAAATAAAACCGATTTCAGGCTTTCCTGCTCCAACTTATCCTTGGAATACGCGACTTGAATGAAGGAAACATTGGTTCAAACATGAAGAAAACCCTATCTATTGTTGATTTCTGCGTTCCAGGTAACCATTACTTTAAAACTGACAGAATACTTTCTGACTTCCAGTCGAAAAGCCATATCGATGGAGTAGGAAAAGCCCACCAAATTTTATTTGAAACTGGACACGAAGAAAGAATGAAAATTGCAAATGATGCCCTGCCCCATTGGTCTCTGATAAATAGCATGACAAGCGATATTATTGATGTGGAGAAAGTCGAATTGCGAGGACGCGGAATAAAGTGCGGGAATGCGACCACGGACGTCGACAGTTATCTCCGAGACATCCAAACAAGTTATGCCTCGATATGTTTAGCTTTTAAATAGCCGTTTTTCATGCTTATGGTTTTGCTGCGATTTGATTAATCTTTATAATAAAATTTATTACCTTGGCATCAAGTAGACATACAACCATAGGGATCGCTGATAACTGGTTTGGCCTCTAGATAAAAAAGGAAATTATAATCTAAACTTCAAGATACTAAAGCGAACTAGAAATAAATTGCTCAACAATGAGCTACAGTGTGGAAAGTAAAATAGTATGGCCTGTTTCGACCCATGTCCAAGACAGACAGGCAAATTACGCTGGGGTCGGGTCATCCTCAGTTGGAATCCCTAGCGGAAATTAAATAATAAAATTTAAATATTAAAAGTGAATTTTGTAAAGGAAAAGTATAAAGGATAAAAACTTGTTTGTGAAGAGGAAATCTAGCCGCGGGCCCGCTGTTTTGACTTCCCGGGGCGGTTGAGACGGACGGACGGACGAGAGAGAGAGAATGAGTGGGCAACACGGGACAGCAGCGCCGCGGTTCATTGCGCGCGCGCGCCGTTGCCATTGCGCGAACGGGCCGGTACCGGCCCGTTCGCGCGTTGCCCGCGGTGCGCGCGCGCATTGACCGCGGCTGGCACGGCCCAGGACGGGCCGTGCGCGGCGGGAGCGCGCGCCGCGCACGGCTGGACCGCGCGCCGTGCACGCAAGGAACCGCGCATGGATGCCTTTACTATTAATATATCCTTACTTTTCCTTGTATTCGGTGCATTTAATCGAAATTAGATACACCTTGCTCCACCAATAGTTTATCATACAATAATCGACCAGGAACTTGAATGAAATCACAATACGCGATAAGATAACAGTAGACACAGAAAAATGAAGAGTATGGATGAACAAATGATACAAACATAAGAAAAACCACGGGTTGTTCACAAATGACAGATAATAATTTAAAGTTTGCTTTTTACATTTTCTTGGTCCCTGAACATCGACGGCAGTGGTGCGCGTCGTCGAATAGCACACATCGGGCCCGACTGCGTACAGACTCCGAACATAACCCTAAAGAATAGATATAAGTAGATTAAACTCTACTTACAAGTAGCACTGCAGATTCAGCGGGTAGGTTCGTTGAGCAACGGCACACATGAGCGAAAAGAAGCGCACTAATTTGAAAAGTTAATTAACTTTAGCAAAAAAACCAACCAAAAGTAGGACGTCTGCTTTGCATATCAAGGTGGCGCGTGTCGTGCAACTTGATTTTTCACAAGTATTTACCCATGCCGTCAAGCAAAATCTAAGAAAAATTGATGAAAAGATGACGATCGATACCTCCTTCTTCTTTTGATGGTCGGTCTTCAGTTTCCTATGCGCGGGTATTGTCGGCAGCAGGAAGCAGCTCGCGTCTCGCAGCCTGTCTTCCGGAAAACAACGGTCTGCTAAAAAAAACATAGAAAGCCAAGACTTGAGGTGTCACCGGCACAGGGAAGACCTATTTTCCTTAGGAAAACTCCTATTGAATCCATATTGAAAGCGACGCCACCCAGACCATGAGCTTTTTCATAAGGAAAAAATAGATAGGAACCTTGTGCCGGTGACAACTAAGCAAGAAACACTGACCAGTATTATCCCAGCTAACACAAGTTGACCAGTATTGACGGCAGATGTGAAAATTCGTCGCACTCGTTGCCCATCATCTCGGCGGCACCTTCGAGGCGGTTGCCTAAAAAGCTTTTAGTAAAATAACTTGATAAAAAGGCTAGTGGTGAAAAGCATAGAGCAGCGTTGGGCTGGCGGCTTGAATCCCGTCGACGTGACTGGCGCATCAGAACAGGATACCAAACCTAAATTTGAACTTAGAAAACCTAGAATGAACGATACCTTTTCCGCAAGAAGTCTTTCATTCAGCACCTTCCTGAATTGGGTTCGACATCCAGACTTTTTTATCTAAAAGGCATGCAATAACAATGAAACAATTCGAAACGAGTTGAGGATACAAAAGAGGAACGAGGTTCTCAGGCAAATTACGAACGGGATTAAGCTATGAAAGTAGTTAGTAATCGCAGGCCTTAACAGATTTCGATAAAAAGTTTAGTAAACGGCGAGGTAATAATTATTTTTCTCTGAACTATGGAGTTTTTTTAAACTTGTGGATTTCGCCATGAAATCGCGAAATTCTCCGTGCGGTACTTCCAACACCTATCGACGTCACGGCGAAAACGCGGCGCGCGCGCGCATTGACCGCGCACGGGAGGGGCCCGGCTGCCCGGTCAATCCGCGCGCGGCATTGGCACGGCGGGTCCGCGGCCACGGCGCGCGCACGGCGGAGTCGCGGCCCGTGCACGGCGAGCCCACGGGCCGCGCGGACATGCCGCGGCGCTGTTGTCCCGTGAAGGAGCGGAAAGGGTAGAGAATAAGGTGACGTAATTAGTTTTCCGGGGAGAAAAGGTAAGGAAAAGCAAAGCTTAACGGGCCTCAACAGCGATGGTTTTCGTGAAAAAGCAAAAGATGCTTGCACCGGACGGGGATCGAACCAGCCGATCGACTCACAGTCCGTCGTGCTATCCAGTATCCAGTAGCACCGCCTTTCGTTACGCGGCCCTCCTATGTACTCCACTGTGGGGTGTCGGCACCCTGCAACGAGCCGCAACCCCAGCAGCTGGGTACCCCAGCTAGTGTTGGGCAATTTTCTCGGTCCGGTTTTAGTCCGGTTTTGGTCCGAATTTCGGGTCTGGAACCGGCCGGCCCGAAATTCGAGTTTTCGAGTAGGGTTTCGGATGTGTTCCGATTGTTCCGGATAGGTTTCCGGATAGGCTTGCGGATCCGGCAGAGCAGCGGAAAATAGCCAATGAACCTCCAGCGGAGCCTGGAAACCTATCCGGAACATTCGGAGACTTAGGACAACCAAATCTTCATTACATCTTGTAAAGTAAAACCGGGCTGACCCGGATTTCGGGCCGGCCTGGTCTTCGGCTCTGCTTGCAGTGGGAGCTTTCCATTTTTAATTCAACAAACTCACACATTATTTACAACTTCTGGTTTATACAATAAAAATTCACACATTATTTAAAAAAATTCCTTAATAGTTTCTTGTTTACCCTGTAAAATTCAATCTGGAAATTCTGCACCGATAGGCCATTCATTGTTGTGGTGACTCAGGGTGTCGAGAACCCAAAAGAGAAAAAGAGACACACCTCAGCTGTCAGTGGGGGAAAAGAAAGGAAGACCCCGTCCATTCTGTGCGCGCGGCCCTCAATCGGATCGATCAGCCAGACAACCAACCCCAGAGCCATTTCTCGTATTTGGATCATGTTGTCTCTACCATCTCTCTATCCTCTCGTCGCCATTAATCCCAATTCTCATCTTTCCCTCTTTTTTCTTTTCTGACCTTCATTGGGGTCTCTCTTCACTGCCCATTCTCTTGTTTTCGAGCCCCACCCCCCACTAATTGTCAGGATCGGGTTTCCGGTTTCTTTGTTTTTGCTTAAAAATTGAAAAGAAACAATCCAAAATTTTCTAGGTAACTCCAATTTGGCGATGGACCTATATAAGACGCTCAAACGGCAGATATCCGGGAGTGTTGGAGATGTAAGTCTACTTAAAGTTACTCTAAAAGCTAGGACTTTATGATCAAGCCTTAATTATAGTCATGACCCTACGAATTATATTGCGTAATTGATTACACCTTATTTATTGTAGGGCCAATCCACATCCGGCGCCAAATATGGAGGAGGATCGGGAAAAACATGGATTCACCCGCCAGGTATGAACATAAGGAATTATGCTAATTTTAGCTATAACATTTAGATGTACTCTTAAACGGAAGAGTAGAATATACAGTCCGTATGCTGGGCTCTCGTGAAGTGCCAAAAGCAAAAGGAACAGACACAATTCGGGATGCTATCCATGCCATTCGATTCCAGAGACAAGTTAGAGCTATATTTCCAGATCAAAACTTTTGGTTTGAGGTGAAAGAGGGTGAAACTGGCCATGCTCAACGTGAGAAATTACAGCGGGTTGATTTGCAGGTAAAATACTTCTTAAAAATAAATTTACATTTTTAGATAAACGTCGAAGGCCTTATCATTGTTGATTCCAAGACAAAAATGGTACTCTATCGCTATCCACTACAGAGAATTTCCTTTTGTGCTGATGACAAGCAGGTACGCAAAATTTTTAAGGTAGACGGATTTGTTTTTAGGACAAACGCGTTTTCTCCTTCATCGCAAAAGCCGAAGATAGCAACCGACACGATTGCTTTGTCTTCATGGCCGAAAAAGTCGCCGAACAAATCACTCTTACTGTCGGAGAAGCCTTTGATTTGGCATACAAGGTAATTTGCATAAGAAACCATACAATAGAAGACGTTTAGCGCTTCATGGACAAAAATCGGATCAATTTGGAGAACCAAAAGAGCGTTCTCTTGCTCAAAAAACGTATTGTCGATTTGGAAGAGGAAAACCAGGCACTGACTCGTTTGCTGGAGTCTTTTAAGAAGCAGAATCAGGCGCTGATGCAGGTAGCGTCAAAAACTGAATTTGAATGTTATATTTAGGGTCAGTCTCCCGGAACTCCGATCCGTTTCGACGCTCCTCCAGCTCTTCCTACTACCCCAATGCCTCGTTCTCCACCCACCTTGCCAAGCAAGGAGAAAAATGCTGCTGCTCCGGCTGTACCGCCAAAGCCTGCGAATATGGGGAACGAGTATGGTACGTAGATTTTAAAGCGCTTTTTATAATTTTTCCATTTTAGGGCCGGCTCCAAAAGCCACGTTACCTGATAATGAGGTGAACTTCATGGACCTACTTGAGTCGAGCTTTGTCGCGACCCCAGCTGTGCAGCCAGTAGCTGCTCCAGTTCCTGTAACGCCTCCAACGAGGTCAGAATCGTCTCCACCTCCATCCTTGGCCCCTCCACCACCAATCGTCCCGAGACGAAAAGATTTGCCTTCACTTCCACAACCATCTACTTCAGCAGCTCCTCAGCCTGAGGTATGTAAATTTGGCAAGATAATCCTTACTCTTATAATTCTAGGTCGGCCGTCGTCTCGATGCTCTAAATTTCAATAAAATGGAGGACATCTTTGACGATAGTTTTGACCCTCGTGGAATCGCTAAAAAGGAGGAGAAAAAGAATGGTATGCAAATTTCCTAGCTTCCAAAGTTAGCACCTTCAAGACGATCCATTCGGTGATCAATTCTTCAATGATTGTATCGAAACGGCGACTAAAGCCGAGAAACAGACGGCTGCTGATATTGAGAAGATGATATCGCAAGTTGACCAGCGGTAAGATTCAATTTCAGACTCCAATTTGACTCATAAAATTTAGTCTTGCGGAGATGAACAGCGGATTCGGGGAGGGCCAACTTGAAGTTGGTGATACCGGTGATGCTCTCCAGGATATCGACGCTGAGAGCGAATACTCCGTTCCTGGACTGTTGTCGGTAATTTCAACATGATAATTGCTTATATATAACTATTAATTTAGAAACGCACTAACGGTGATGCCAGCAAATAACTAAAAAAATTCCTAAAATTCCATTCAAAAGTGCCTGAATATTGCCTTGTCATAATTATAATATATACACGTATCAACCTGTGAAATTTGATGTGATTACTTGTGATTTTTCAAAAGAATATTTCCATAATACTATATTCCTTTTTATCGCTTGATTTTTTATATAAATTTTATCCAGCAAGCTTGAATATTGCCAAAACTAGAACCAGGAATATCTCAAGAGCAACACGGATTATTGATCGAAATTATGAATATTTTGAGGGGGAAGGCACAAAGCTGAACAGCGGGAGGGGATACCAAAATCGACAAAAATGACAAATCACAAATTTTCTGCAAAATAACAGGGTATCGACGGCATCACAGCAATTTTGGGGGTCATAACGGGCATCGCAAAAGGGCAAGGAGTGATTTGAATAATAATTTTTGTAAGAAATACTATCGTAGCACCTGGGCCAAAACTTTCATGTCATTAATGCAGGTTTTTGGTGAAATTTTCCGGGAAAATTCCACGGACACCGTCTTGATTCTCGCCGATAAGCCAGCCGTCGTCAAGCTGGTCGGTTTCGAAGGAATCGAGCACCTGTATTAGCATAAAGTAATGGATTTCCATATATGGTTCATACCTTAATTTTCTCGCCCGCCACAAATGCTAATTCATCAGTGTCTTGAGGTTCGTATTTGTGTGTTGACTCGACGACGCGCAGAACCTTAATAACACTTTAAATGATACAAAAATAGTATACCTTTCGCTCTCGACCCAATCCAAGATCCTCCTCATCATCCGATTCATCAAATGGATTATTCGGATCCTTTTCTCGTTTCGGCTTCTTCTGCTTGTCCTCACTCCTCGGAGAAGCGGTTGGGGGAGGAGCAGCATTTAGTTTCTGGGCCGAGATATATTTGATCCCTAGTTAAGTACACTCACCGGATACACCTTATTCTGGATCGGCTCCTCAACCTCCGACTCCTCCTTTGTTTCCTTACTATCTTTTGTGCTCTTTGACTTTTCGCTGATGGCGGAGGTGATGCTTTGACGCTAAAAAATTGATAAATAATCGCTAATTTCCAATCACTTACAGTAGAATCTCCATTTCTTTCCAATGACGCACTTGGAGATGGGGAGCGTCGCTCAATCGAAGGGGTGGCGAGCTTCTAGGCTAGTTTTTTCGTTAACACTTCACATACATGATTTTCGCTTGGAGACTCGATTCTACTCGGCGGTCTGGCAACGCGTAGGCTATCCATTGATTCGCCCAGCTCGTCCAGGATGGTAATCATTTGTTTGTGATGCTGAAACCAATGTATCTTACGATGTAATGTATACTAAAATACCTTTGCGCATTCAGTTTGTTGCGAAGCTTGTGCGTTGAAAAGGCTTTGAAGGGTATCAACAATAAAAGTGATTCGACTGTCAAAAGTGGCCGGAAGAATCTAGAAATATTAATTTTTCAACTATCACCCAGCAAATTACCTCCAACAATTCCCCATTAATCTCCTTATACATCTGCTCGGCTTGTTGAAGCTCGGTCAAAGCCTTTGCGACTTTCGGATCAGACTCCTTTTTGCTGCCCTCTTTCAAAGAATTATAGCCATTCCGGGCATGGTCGTAGTCAACAAGTTTTCGACCGCGCTTTTCCACCTAAAAAATTGCATTAATTTAGATTTTACTGCATTTCTCATTACCTTCTTTTTGAGCTCGGCAAATTGCTGTACGTACTGCCCCACAGATCCGACCATATCCTCGCAAACTTGTTTTTCTAGGTTATCGCCTTCCCAATCGATTGACTAAAAATTATAGATTTTTGTAGCGAGTTTTCTATAGACAAACCTGGCTAACAGACGTCAAATTGGCCTTATTTGGCCATTCATCCTCATAAACCTCTCTGACCGAGTCCCGCAACGCCTTCTCAGCCTTGTTCAGCTCCTTTAGAGCGACGGAATACGCCTAAATACGTCAAATTTTTAAGAATAAAACATTTTCTAATACCTTAAAGTCCTTATGTAGCCGCTCACAAGCTTTCGATTGTTTTTGAAGGTTGTTTGCGTAGAAATCGAATGTTTCATCTTGGGTTGCTTTGTTCCGGCCGAGTCCTTCGAGTAGCTGAAATAATTTGGCTTTTGTAAATTGAATATGCAAATTTTAGAGTCTTTATCGTTATTTGATCGATTTTCTACCTTCTCTTTCGTCCTGGCCGTCGTTTTCTTAATGTGTTTGTTGAAAAAGTCGGTCATGGCTGTGGAGGGTGGTAAATACCTTTAAAAGTAAAATTTATGGATATCAGATGATATCAAAAATCTGAGATACGATATCTGAGATATTTGAAGGGCAGGAAAATCGGTGAGAAAAAGCTTTCAATGAAAGAGTCGGCTGGCTATCAGGAATCTTTGAGAGATGCCGGATGTGAGCTGGCTCTCACCGTTGCTTTTTTATTGTGACCTAAATCTTTGGAGATCGAACGTTTATCGGGGTGTTAATAGGCAACAAATGGAATTTATGAGGCTTTTTCAGCACTTTATAACAACCCAAAATCCTTTTCTATAGTTTTAAAGCGTACTTAACGCCAAAACTCAAAAATAAACACCCGTAGACCGCCAATTGGGTCAAAACATCCATGTTTTTAGGGGAGTGAGAGTCTGTGTGGAACGATAGGCGGAATGGCCTGTGCGAGGGGGGGAATGGGTGCCTTTTAGAATGCGGGCAAATATGATTGGAAGGGGCAACGGGGGGCAGGAGGGATTCGTCAGCGCTTGCGAAAAGGCTTCCACCTGGCCCGGGCCAAGGGATGCGGCATTTTGGCGGGCTTCTTTCAACTTTTGGCATCGAATTGGGGATTCAGAATTGGAAAGCGAGGCGTCAAGAAAAGAATAAGAATGAGGTTGGTGGTGAGATTGTTCAAAAACGGCTTTTTGTGGTTATTTTTGCCAAAAATAAAGCCTGATTCATGTAAATGATTCTTAAGATGTTTAAGCAATGAATAACTAACATTTATACACTTGTTTTTTTCGATAAAATGTCGAATTGTAGATTTAAAACTGGAAATCACATGTTAAAATAAATAAAAATGCGATTGAGGCGAAGTGGTTAAAATCCGGGTTTTTTGTGTTTTTTTTTGCCAATAATTCTTTTCAAATGATCGTTAATAAAAGCCTAAAAGTAATCTAAACTTTATAGTTCGTAGTAAAGCTGTGAAATACATGGATAAATACAACAAAATAGATTAAATGACCGAAAAGTCCTAGTCTTTCTAATTTAAGCTAATGAAAAATTATACGATACATGCTACGGATTTTTACAATGAAAAAAATATAATAAGGAATTTTAAAATGTAAAAATTACGATCTAAAACTACGAAACAGTTTAATGTTCTTTGACTGATGGCCTAGCCCGCCCCGGCCGAAGTGCCCTTTGATTGATATCGCATCAGCCCCGAGCACCGGATGTTTCCAAACATTCCTTTTCCATAAATACGTAAATAAACCCAATAAAACCAACATCCTACTATATATAAAAAAATAGTGTTTGTGTGTGTGTGTGTGTATATTTGCATGCACTTCCGTTTGGATGTTCCGCACCTACAGCCTCAGGGAAGCATTTTTTCGGTAGGGAAGAAACGTCATAGGGTAAAGAAGGAGCTGGAATCGACTGCACACACAGAAAATCTTCGAAAAATTGCTATTTTCGCTATTAAAATTAGGTTTTTGTAAAAATCTTGGCTTGCCTCTTTGTTAGGGAAAAATTAGCATACGCCGGAAGTGGAAATGGCTTATAAAAAGGAAGGTAGGGGTGGTTTTCATTTTTTGGTCATCGTTTTTCGGCAAGAATTATGCAAATTTTCATAAATCCTAGACGGGGCCAGGGTTGAAAAGCCGCGAAGCGGTTTTTCAACCCTGGTATCAATAAAAATAGGTAAGTGTAAACACGACAGTAAATTGATCGATTGGATTTGTTGGGAGGGTAGGTAGCGCGCAAATTTCATGGATTCAGCCATGCATGATGGCGGATTAGGGGTCACGATTTCAGTGTTGCGTGTTTTTTAGGGGGGTTGGGATGGTTGGGGGAATCGAATAGGGAGGACGGGGGTGTTGGAGGAGGATGAGCCAGGCTACAAACTACGCTCCAGGAGGTTTCCGGACTCCGAATGGTCTTTTGGAAGGACCATGAAATCCTTTAAAAAAGTTAAAAATTGTAAAAACAATCGTATTACGTTAAATCGTCAGCTTAAGAAACCCAGAAAACTATATATAGTCAAAATTATATATTTAATATATCTTAACCTCCAAAAATCAATCAATAACCGCCCTATAACCACCCGAAAATAGCCGATGGGCCTATCTGGAAGGGCCGAGCAATGAGTGCTAGGCGATGGAGGGGGTATGGATGTGTGAGGGGAGAAGAGAGAAAGAGTTGTGTAGTGGAGTGGCCCCCCTCTTTTGTATCCGTTCTCTCTCAAATACTCTCCAACCATCCCCCCCAATCTCTCTAACGGTCTCCATATCTCTCGTCCCGGATCACCTCTCTACGCTCGCTCTCAAGCCTACGCCCATCACTTGCAAACGAAACGGTGATTTGACACCAATGAGCTTGAGGCTAACTTTGGGGGAGGAGCACGAAAAATGAGCAGCAGCTATTTTTAGGAGAGAGAGAGAAAGAGGGAGAGAGAGAGAGAGAGAGAGAGAGAGAGAGAGACAAACAGCGCCTACGTTTTTGGCCCTCAAATGGTCCTCTAAAACCCTCTGAAACATCCCAAACTCCATGAAAGTTAAATGACCCCTGCGAGCACGAGCTCAAAAGCAAAAAAGCAGCACAATCTTCACTTCAGCGCTACTTTAAAATTGTCACAAATAATCAAGGATGACTCTCAAAACCAAAATCGAACTGAACCAACGTCTGACTACCCCACTTCCGACTCATCAAAATGTTGTCTGATACGTGAGAGAGAAAGGGAGCGAGGGAGAGAGAGAGAGAGAGAGAGAGAGAGAGAGAGAGGAGAGTGAGAGAGATAGGAGAGATTGAGAGAGAGAGAGGGAGACCGGAAACACTGATGCAGTCACTCAACAAATATACGTATCAAATGGAAACCCCCTAAGCTTATGAAAGTTTCCTGCTACTCGTTGAAATACGACGGGGAGGATGATTTCTCTAGCTAGCGAATCTAGAGAGGGGAACATCGTCAACTATATGTTGTGACTGGGTGTCGTCCCGGCAATACGTTGACTCACCCGTTTGCCCCCCAAAATATTTGCATTGCGGATTTTTGGCTATTTTTAGGAGTAAAAATAAGGACAGAATTACTCGCACAGAAGCGCTGCCGTTAATACATAAATCCATAAAAAATTTGGTTTTTAAAGGGATGGTGACACCGCATAATTGTTTTTTACTGTTGCGATAGGATTTAATAATTTTCTGTTTCCTTGTTGCTCAATTCCATTAACTAGTTCTTGTTTTAGGTAAAAATGACGGACTAATTAAAAATGACGTACAGTTGTAGGCCGCACATTAATGAATGGAGGTCGATTCCCAGATGTAGCCTCACCTCCAGACAGATGTCCCGAGACATTTATCCAACGTTTGATAAAAAAGACACTATATAAGACGAGGTGTCCTAAAACCTTCATTCAACCTTCCCCTTAAAGCGTCATGCAAATTTTACGATTTGCGCCCCTTATATTTTTCTTCATACAAGCTGCTGAGCAATTGGAGGAATTGCCAAGCTTCTATGATGGTTTTTACTATGCTCCATGGGGAAGGGCTTCGTAAGTCGTTTAGAATTCTGACCCCAAATAGATAATTTATCTGACTAAAATTGCTGTTTATCTATTTATTTTTAAATTATTTTGTTTTTAGAATACTCGAAGAGGCGGTTTGCGGCAACGCGCAGGTCGATTTCAAACAAGACAATAGCGCTACGAAATCTATCCTGGCGGAATGTAAGGCTGATACAGGTAGTCTACAACTTCTAAAACAAATTTAATTATGTGTTACAGAACCAGTGACGGACGATATTACGATTGTCGAATTCGGAAACACTTCAATCCTCTATGGATCAAATCATTTGGAGGGATGGTGGGCGCTGTACAGTCTTCGAGCGGAGCATCCTGAGCTCGTCTCCGCTACATTTGATGAAGCAATTTCGGAGCAGTAAGTGTTGCTCCTTACTAATTCTGCTTGCTTTTTGACCCGGCTCAATTCATTCACAAATCACTCTATAGATTGCATGCCGGTCGACAGGCAAAAAGTGCGATGGAACAAAGAATAGCTACAATGAAAAGAGCGTTGACATCCGGACCCGCCAACTTGCGGGAAAATCAGTGGCTGATACCAGACGTAAGGATTTTCTTACATTCGCTGTCATTACAGATCATTTCAGAAATTGCAATCAGCCCGTTCGAGCGACCATTTCAATATTACACCAATGGCATGCCTGGAGAATTCTATTCAATTTCGGGTCTGTCGTCATGGTCGGAGACAGTATGGCCAACTTGTCCCGGTACTATTCATTTGCTTTTCTGGAATTCCGTTCAGCTACTTCATAAGGGATGGTTCGAGGATGACGTTTACAAGTGGATTGATGCTCCTCTACAATTATACGTTTGGGATGAGTCCGGACCCCGATGGATAAATGTCAAGCTTTGCAAGAACGATGTAAGTTTTATTAAAAGTAGCCATAAAACCCAGAACGGTTTTATCTATTTTCACTTTACAGAAAGCGACCAATGAATGGCGGTGCGAAAAAGACAATGACTCGAAGTTCGTGTTTCCCCGATTGGAAGGAGGTGCCGTCAAAGAGATCGCTGCTAGGGCTCTAGATTTCACATTTATCCGTCACGCAGGGGATACACACGTCTTCGCAACCAACATTAGGGTAAGGATTTTTGGGAAGAGCCCTCTTAATTTGTCTAATTTCTAGAAAGTGCGCCTGAACGATGAGGTTGTCGAATTGAATACAAAGATCTTTGCATACGAACTGCGCGTTGGGGACAAAGTACAAGTCGGCTCAAAATATATTGAAATCATGGCAGATCCGTTCAACCCAGACGTAAGTGCTTCTCATCTTTGGGTTTCGTCACGCAAAAAAAGCATAATTATGACGTTTTCAGGTGGATCCTGTGGTTCTCACCCGGCGTCATCTAATCATGATGGCACTTGCTGGCGGCACGGGGATTGGTATTTTCATCATCATCGGCCTGTTGGTATTCATCTGGCGGCGCGTTCGAGCTTTCCGCGGACGATCGCGGGCCCTGCCACGTGTTTAGTCACTTTCACTTAATTTTTTATGAGAACCAGTGCATAAACTTCACTAGAACTTGTCGAAAACCAAGCACAGTGCACAGCGGAACCCTCGACATAAATCTGGCCACAAAACAACCTGGTCGTACAGAATTCAGATGCGGATCTGACCCCAATTTCCCCAGATCTAATTCTGCAGAAAAGGCCATTTCTAGGCCGTTATTTGAACCAAGAATCGAGCATTAATAACAAAAACTATCGATCTTTGAAAACCCGCTCATTATTGAATATAGGTCGATTCCCAGATGCAGCCGCGCCTCCAGGATAAGGTCGATGCTATATAAAGCAAATAATTTCAAAGTTTTGATTCATTATTCCTCAAAAAAACGCTATGCGAATCTTACACCTTTCGCTGCTAATATTTTGCCTTATACGGAATTCTGAGCAGTCAATGTTGCTATCCGGTATGGAAGGCAATCCTGATGTCTATCTGGAGTCGCTTGGGCCCGGCATGTAGGTCATATTCATTTGTCGATTTTATCAAATTATAACCCTCTAATTTCCCTTTAGAATGATCGAAGAATTTTTATGCGGAGATGTGCAGGTGGATTTCGATGTGAAAAAAATAAACTATTGGGCGTTAAGCGCATTGCATATGTGCAAGGTGAACGCGGGTAGGATATCTAACTTTATGAATTTACACATAATTATAGACCTGACAACACATGCGATTAACATCAAGACTATTGTCGACTTTGCTAACGTCTCGAGCTGGGACGGTACAGAACTCTGGCGAGACAGCGGATATACAGTTTGGCAGGTCATCAATTCACAGCCCCTGTACCCAGATTGGCCTTACTGGATGCTACCAATCGTAAGTATTATGCTTCAACCACATTCTTTGTCGAAAACCATCTAGATACAACTAGATTGTGGTATATAAAACACTTTAGGAACTGTTGGACAGTCATCCGGTATCATTTACCGAGGATTTATACAATATTACAACCCTGTCTTGTCAGCCGAACGCTATCCAGTTTCGCATCTGTCGTCGAGAAAACGAAGTAAACGGCACTCTGGTGCAGGTATTTTCACAAAAATTGCCAACAATTCGGTTTAGCCATTGCATAAGGGATGGTTCGATGATGACCTTTACAAATGGATTGAGATTCCGCTTCAACTACAGATTCTGGGGACGAAAGGCAATCGTTGGACGGCGGTCAAACGTTTTATGAAGAGCGTAAGTTTTTTTGGTAGGCATACATGGACAAAATTTGCAGATAGTGACCAATCAATGGTTGTGCAAAAAAGATAACGCATCAAAGTTGATGTTTCCCGGATTGGAAGGAGGCGTCGTCAAGGAAGTGGATGCTAATGCTGCAGATTTCACTTATATTCGTGGCGCCCATAACCTGTACGTCATCGCAACCAAGCTAAAGGCAAGGACAGAACGTCAGTCGTGTTGAAAATTAAGGCTGTTTTAGAACGTAACCGTAAATAATGAAGTCATGGAATTGGACTCGCCGATATTTGCATACTACGTGGACCCTGGAGACAGCGTCAAGGTCGGCTCAAAATATATTGGGATCGTGGATGATCGTGTTGAGCAAAAGGTAAGTATTTTAAATGTCCGAAAAAAATGAAATTACAACAACAACTTTATTTTACTTCTCTGCTACTTTACTGTTAGGTGGATTCCGCTTACCTCACTTCACGTGAAAAGACGTTGGTGGGAATTGCATCCGGCGGCACGCTAGGTGCCCTTGCCGTTATCGGCTTGTTGTTACTCGCCTGTCTGAAGCTGCGTGCTAAAATTTTGCGAAAAAGCGTACAGCCCGAGAAGCCTGTCGAATTACTTCTAATTAACCCTTTTTCTGTAAGAACCTCCAAATAAAAGCTGTTTACCACCCATTTCACAAAATCACAGCATCAGAAAATAGGTATATTAAAACTATTGCATCCTACAGACTTCAGATTGTGTTCGTATTTTCAAGGCGCACGAAAGAACCCACATCAGAATTCGAGCTGAAATTTTTTCTTTGAAAGTTGTGAGAGACAAGAGGGAGATAGAGGCGTTACACTTCGAGCAAAGCATCATGCGCCCTTTGGAAGGTTGCTAGCCTAGCCACGGGGAGCCGGGGGTTGCTCGGGGTCTTCAACTCGGGGAAAGTTGCGAAAAATACAGTAAGCTAACTGGGACCACTTCTCCTATGGTCACTTTCACCCAATTGCTGCCACACGCAACGGCACATCGACCGTTTTTTATGAGAAATTGGTCCAGTCGCGATGGGGGGATTTCAGGATGGCAGCCACCCCAAACTAGCGATGCGACGCGAAGATTGCTGCTCGAGATGGCATCCCGGATAGGCACATTGGCACTCACTATTCACATATGTTCCTTCAGAAAATTCATGTAAAATCGGTTCTTTACTTTCTACCGTTACGTAAGATTGTATCAAAACGTGCATATCTACAGTCCGAGAGCTTTAAACTACAAAAGCCTCTAAAGCCTAAAATCAACTTCTCCGGCCAACCTTGGCATTCTTTGACCGAAGCTGTTGCTCCCTGCCAAAATGCCTCCCTCTTCTTATTCGTGGAAAAGCTTCCGTGTCCATTCCTTTCCTTTTTACCATCCCCTCTGTCCATCTCTCTGTCCATCTTTCTTCGCTTTACACAACCCGCGCATTGTCTCAACCCACCCCGAGACCCCCATCGGCACATTCGAAATTTTACCTGGCCGAGACAGCCCATTTCTCTCACAACCTGAAACCACGAAACCCTGGGGAATATTGTCACGCCTCAACGCTGGTTAATTTGATGTACATTTAATGAACTTTCTTTGTATTTGACTAGAAACCGATTGCGATAAGTTTTTGAGCTTTGGAAGGTCTTGAAAAGCTGTGGATCTACTCGATTATGATAGATTTATCTTTTTTTAGACGGGCTTTAAAGGGATAGAACGATTCTCTCTATTGCTACATCTTTGGCAATCCTGTAAACACTTGAATAATCTACTTATTCTGGGCAAAAACATCCTTCCTACTCCATTTATTGCCTTCCCCAGAAATGACTCAACGCAAATTCCCCCAAATCTGATTTTTGGCGCGTTCTTCGACTCCTTGCTGCACTCGTTTTTGGCTCAAGTGGGAACCTCGGTCCAATGGACGAAATTCTTGAACGGATTTGCCCGAGCGCCGAGTGGTCTAGGGAAAGACTGTTCTTTTTCGTCGAGTTACCGCCACACCCAATGAAACTACCCGTGTTTTAGTCTCTAGCCGACTTTCCGAACTGCAAAAGGAATTTTTGGCGCGTCGATATGCATCATTAAACATTCCCCCTACACCTATAACCCCTTACCTCCGCCTTTTTGTATTGAATTCCGGACGGTGGAACCTTTTTTGAGTACACCCGTTCCCAGCCAGACGTCGACCCCTAACCTTAAAAGCAAAAGCCATGCACGGAGGGCGGGTTGTGTACCAGCAGCATCCACCAACCACAAAGACCTTGACTTCCCCCTACCCCATTGAGTACGAGGCTATACTAGTGACGAATTCCGGAAAAGTCTCGAGGTTGGGGCGGCAGCCGATCCGGGATCCGGTTTGCCCGATTCACCCTGGGGGGCCGTGCCCTCGAGATGGAAATAATTTCGCTTTCTGGGTGAGGACAAGGCTGGCTGAGAGGCCGCAACCTATATATTGGGTTACTAGTTAGAATGAGGCCAAGTTTGTAAGGAAAATTAGTTATTAATTTATTTTATTACTTTCTTGAATTTCACGATGTTTTCCTATAATTTGAAACCTATAAAACTTTAAACCGTTTAGTTTTTTTTTAAATTTTTCGAAAGTTGAAGATGACGCTTAAAAAAATCTTTTCTCGATTTTTCTATACCTCGGCAACTTTCCAAACCTCAATCCTCTACCTCCACTATCGAATCATCTCCACCACAGGTCAGCTTCTCCACCCCCTGCCACTCAAAATTTAATCAAAAACCCACACCCTCCCCCCTATACACCGGGTCAACCGCAGTGATGGCTCTTTGTAGGGGTCTGCCTGTGTGCTTTTTCCGCATTTCGACGTCAAATTCTCGGCTTGTCGACCCCTAGTCAGTTCGCACTACAAAAGGTCGAAGAAAGTTTTGCGCGCCTCTCGGGGGGAGCACGACCCCACCCCCGATAGTAGACAGACAGATCGAGACTGGCTTTTCGTTGTGGTGGACGATCAGTGGGTGTGTGTGGGCAGATGCATGGGGGAGATCAGTTCCGGTGTTCTGGGTATTGGCATGGAATTTTTGTCGCTTTCCCTGGGGGCTTTAGCTTTAGCTGGCCATTTTTGACCTTTAGAAATCTTAGTAGGATTTTTTGGGGGGCAAAATCCATAACCATGCCTTTCCAGCGCCTTTAACCGTCGATCCCAAATAAAAATCCCATGCTCACATTCCATTCCCAGCTGCACGTTGTATCCCACCCTCCTTTATCGCCACTCCCTCTACCTCCAACTCCCAAAAATTTCGTCACTCTGGAAGATTCCAATCCTATTTTCCTGTGGCTGGCGACTACAAATTACCTAGGCAAGGCTAGGATCGAGCGAGCCGGTGCTCGGCTACAGAGATTTCTCCCCAGCCGATTTTTGAGGAAACGGTCCGAGAGAAGCGCCATTGTTCGCGGCTTGGCACCCCGGCTCTCACAGCTGGGTGGAGCACGAGGATAGGGAGGAAGAGGGGGGCTTTCACTTGGCTTAGTCAAGATCAGACAGTTTTTATAAGGGGGAGGGTGCTGGAATTGATGGGTGGCAGATGATATGTGAGTGTTTGTACGTTGGCGGGTGAGAGTTTGTTGTGTTATTTGGCATGTTTGACAGTATGGCAGGGGGTGTTCCGTTTTAGTGTGATAAATCCTTGGGGGAGCTTTAAAAACGGGAGAAACGGAGCAGAAAAGATGCGTCTAGATGCAAATGACGTCTTGGCATTTCCGGCTGTTTTTTTGACCTCTCTACCAGGTGGTCGGGCCTGGGGGAGAAAGAAAAAGCAGGTCTGAGCCCAGCCATCTGGCACGCTTGTTGTGATGGCCGAAAAATGGGAATGGCGATATGGAACCTGTTTATTCTAATTTTAGAGCAGGATTGTTTTGGTTTTCGGTAAATTATAGCTGTCGGGGTTTTCATTAATTTTGATTTCCAGTGTTTTCAGTGTCGATATTTCCGCCACATAGTCTCGACCCTCCCACCCCCAAATCAATGTTGTATGGCTAGCCGTGGACGGTGATCAGCGCAATCGAACGGAGTCCGATCCGATGCTGGCATGCTCCTTCTCCCCCATGTCGGCGTGTGTGTCGTCCTTTTGGCTTCACCTTCCTTCGTTCCCCTCCTCTTATTCCTTCTTTTCCAACCCTTTGCCTTCACCCTTTCCAACAACTCCTAGAGGGTGGAACCCCTGCCCCATTGATTCTATCACCACCGGCGCCCGGGGGGCGTCCCGGCGCGTTGGCTTCTCTGGGTATCGTGTTGGGGGGTACCTTGTTATTTCGAGTCGAGTCGATGGTAGGTCGGGAGTAACCGTTTATTAAAAACTTGATTTGCATACCGGTTTTACAAGATTTTCATTTTTCAGTACTTTTGTAATCATCGCTAGCAGTTATTCCAATTCAATTGACATTATTTATGCTAAATGAATTTTTCTACGATTTTTAGCATCGATCTTTCTACCTTGACGAAGCTTTTATAATGCAAAATCTCGTTTTTTTTGCGTAGAATTTGCATCTGATTGGCAGTTAAGTTACGCTATATTAATTAAAGCTCTTTTTAAGCTGTATTTTGTATATTTCTGGTCCAAAAACTCTTTAAAAAATTTTAAGATGCCTTTTTGGCCCAAAATTTTGATTCTTATACAGTATACCCTTCCTTCTAAGTAACCCACCGTTATGATAAGCTGCCAAAATGCAATTAGGGTCACTCTATCTACCTATCACCTCCCCGTGCCACCCGCTACCAACCCCATTTACTCGTTCATTTCTGTTTTCTTGTCGTTCTCGCCCATCGACACTCATCCTTGACCGAGTTCTCCTGGAAGCTCATCATCTCTAATCATTGGTAGTCCAGGAATTTCAGGAATTTTTGGATCTTTAAAACCCTAAGAAGCTGTACAACTTTTTTCTCTTCATTTTCTTAATGTGCATTATTTCAAAATCTTTTAGAATTTTTCAAATTTCAGCAAAGTTGACACTGGCGCGCGGCGCCATCCCATCACCCCGTCCTCACGGACCCTGCCAGGTTGGTGGTTTTGGTTTCGGTTGCACTGGTTTTGATCCTCCCTGCCTCCTGCTCCATGCTCCTTGCGTCCTGCTCCTCTTCATAATTCTGAAAACTTTATTCCTCCAATTTTGTGTCCCGAAAAAAACTAGAGAATGGGCTGCTGGCTGTCAACCGGGGGCGGAATTTGTCAGGACAATACGGGCGACCCTCGTTCCAC